AATTATTATAGTACTTATAATAGACTATAAAGAGTAGGTTAAATTAACTAGGGTCCTAGGAAATAGGTACTATATAATATATAAGATCTATCCTAATCTCTATAAAGACCTTAAAGCTACTATAGAGTAGCAAATACCTAAAGATACTTAGGATAGGATCTAGTAATAGTGTTAAGTAGCTAATAGTATAGCTAATAATAAAGTATAAGGATAATAAATGCTTAACGTTAATAAGTATTTAGACATTAATAACGACTAGCTTAAGTTGGAAGTAGTAGAGGACTCTAATCTAGATCTAGATAAGCATATCTATAATATTAAATACTTTATATTAAATATGCTATTAATAGATATCTATTAGAGTCTAATAGTTAATATTCTTTACTAATTACTTAAGGGTATTATAATGCATATTTTAGCCTAGACGTAAGTATTTATAATAGATTAGGCTAGAAATAAGCTAGGTATAAGAATAGCTAAAGCAGTTATAAAGGCTAATACTTTAAAGAAACGCCTAACTAAGGATTATGCTAAAGTAAAGAAGGCTATTATAACTAGTATTATTGATTATCGCTTTATATTAATGCTATAATATCTAACTATACATATGTTTTAGCGCCTATTAAAGGTTAGCTAGTAGACTAGAGTAGAATAGAAGTATATCCTTTACTAGATCTTACCTATCTATATTTCCCTCCTTAAAAAAATAAGGACTATAGAGGCTAAAGATATAATTAAGTTTATCTATATAACTATCGACTTTATTACTCTAGCTATGTATAAGAGCTATAATGATGATATACTCCAATACTTTAAGCTTACTTTATACTAGATAAATAAGCATAAAGAGGTCTTTTAAAGCTATTATAAGTTAAAGGCTAAGGATAATAAGGGTTACTTTAATTTTCTAAAATAGTACTCTTTAACCTATTATATATATATAATCTATATATACGGTTATGCACTAAACTAGGATACCTTATATCTAAAGCATAAGCACTATACTTATATAAAGGAAGGCTTTTATAATATAAATAAGAAGAATAAATAGGAAGATTAACTAATAGAGTACTACCTATAAGGTCTTAACATACTAGTATTATAGGATTTAATCTACTAGGAGGCGCGACCTACTATAGCTAATAGCCATAAAAAGGATAAGGAGCTAGCATCTATTAGTAAAGCATAACTAATTAGCCTAGTATTTAGATAGCTAGAGCTATATCGAAGGATAAATAAGGAGCTATTATGTCTAGTTAAGGATATTATTAAATTACTTAGACTAGAAGAAGGCCCTCTATTCTAGTAAGCTATAGCTATCTTTATCTACGAATTACGTCCTTATATAGAAGGTTAACTTACTAATTTAAGTCTAGAAAGAGTAGAACGCGACGATGCTTAGATTAATAACTACCCTATTAAGCTCTATTACTCTATCTAATGTTAAAAGGAATATAAAGGGGTCTTTAACGATAAGAGCCTTATAGAGCATAATATTATATACTATGTAAGAAACTAGCAAAAAAGGGGATAGCTATAGCATAATTAAGTATAGGTCTAAGAGTTTAAATAGCTAGTAAAGGACCCTAGGTTAGTAATATTTAAGGGTAGATTACTAGTATGTCTACACCTTATTATAACTATTTAAGATATTAGTACTCTAATAAGCTATAAGGAGAAATAGAGTATAACATATAGTAGAGTCTATATTAATATATATAGGCTAAAGCATTCTAAGGGCTAAGTAGACAATATATATAGTATAACTATTATTAAGCCTTTACTACTAAGGCTATAGCGTAGAAAACTCTAAGGACGGCAGATATATAGACTAACTAGTATCTATTATATAATACATGTAGTACTAGTAGATAAGTAGCCTAGAAGTATAAATAAAGAGATATACATTAATAATACTACTAACTAAAGGATGTATAACTTTATATATAACGACGACTAGAAAAAGAAAGTATTAAATAAGGTAGTATTAACTAAATAGGAAAAGGTTTAGAATCGTGCTACTTAAGTAGCTAAAGTAAGAGCTATAGTAAGAAAGAGGTATAAAGTAAATAGAGTAAAGGTAGCTACTAAGTTAAAGGTAGTAAAGGTAAGAGTAAGAGTAGAGGAATAAATATAAGAAGAGATTAAGGAGAGAATAGAGTAAGAGGTAGCATTATAGTAATAGTTATATAAGAGGTTAAGATAAGAGGGTAATAGTTTAGATTAAGTAGAAGACACCTCTTTAATATTAGCTATAGAGATAACTAGCAATAAAGATAGAAATATTAGGATAACTATAACTAATACTTACTAGAGATATAATAAAGAGTCGATAAACTAAGGACTATATATTCTAACTACTAACTAGTAAGGAAGGTATAGTTATAGTTATAGATTAGATACTAATTATACTTATAAGAGATATTATTACTAATAATAGTGTAAGAAAAGGATAAGTAAACCTAATTCTATATATTTCTAGTAGGAATAATAAGCTATATTATTAGGTCCTTAAGATATAATAAGTAGCTATATATTACTATTATTTCACTTAGCTACCTTCTTAATAATATAGGTACTCTAAAGCTTATGCCTTCTAGGCTTCTTAGTCTTAGCCTAATTTAAAATCTCTAGTAGTATTTATTCTACTTTAAGCTAGAAGCTAATATAAGGTAGTATAGTAGAAAGGGCTAAATCGATAGTAATAAGGTAGATAAAGTTAGATACTATAATATAGGCGTCCTTATTATTAGAAGGAGTAGGCAAAACTAGAGAGAAGGAGTAGATAGATTTAGAGATATTGTCGTCTACTAGATATATATAATTATAGTTAGCTATAGTTAGAAAAATAGATAGAGTTAAGAAGGGAGTACCTTATATAAGACTAGGGAGTCTTTATATAGTAGCTTTAAAGGAAAATAATAATAAAGGGCTAGAGACTAGAGGATATATATATCGAGCTTACTACTTATAGTAGTACTATAAAGAGAATAGGAATATTAGTACTAAATATAGATTATTACTAATAGGAAAGAAGGTTACTAATAATAAAGAGGTAAGATAGTAAGAAAGAGAAAAAAAGAGAGAAAGAAAAAGAGAAGTAAGATAATATAAATATAGAGTATATGTAAGTAGATTAATTATAGTGTAAATATAGTAAGTATAGTAGTTATATTAAAATACTAGTCTTAGTAAAAAAGAATACTAGTTAGATAGCTATACTATTTACCTTACTATTTATCTTACTATTTACCTTACTATTTGCCTTACTATTAGCCCTATATAATATATTCTTAAGTAGAAAGTTAAAAGAGTTAAGCTACCTTATATAGATCTAATTATATAGCTAGTAAATAGTAAGGCTAATAGTATATAGAAAATTAGCTAAGGTAGAAGGTATAGTAGAGGGATATATACTAGGCTATTAGTATAGCTATTAACGCTAGATAGTCTATATAATAGTACCTATAGTAGGCTATAGTAAGGATAATACTATAGTAGGCTTTAGGATTTTATAATGTAGCTCTATAAGGTATAGCCCTTATTTTTTAAGCTATTATTATATATTATAGGCTAGAGTTTACTTAAGCTATTAGTTAAAATAGCTATCTATACTATAACATATATATCCTTACTCTTATTATAGTTAGTAACTTTATTATAATTAAATTACTAGCTAGAAAAGTAAAAGATATACTTATATATATAAGAGACTCTATACTCTATAGAATACTTATCTAAAAATACTACTTTTATCTATTAAGATATTATCTAATTTTAAAGCTACTTAGTAAAGTAGTAGTACTTATATATAGTTTCTTATATTAAAAGTAGTTACTTCTTTATAAGCTATTTTTTAATCCTAAATAGCTATAATATTTGCCAGATTATCTAGTTACTCTATATAAAGCTATACTATCTTTTAAGCTTATTATATAACTAGAATAGGTATTATTTAATAGCTAATTTGATATAATATTAATTATAATATAAATAACTATATAGCCTACTACTTTAAGCTAGTTTAGTACTATATTTGTAATATAGTATATTATAGATTATATAAGAAATAGTTAATAGAATATAATAGAATTAATTAGTAATTAACTTAAGTATATAGCTATCTTTATATACCTATGTAATTTAGCTATAATTATATAGAGTTAGATTTAGCCCTTATATATATAATCTAGCTAGTTGCAAGTATTTAATTATTAGTACTATATTATTATATTAATATAAAGAGGGAAAGAGAGATATAATAATATATAGTATATTAAGTAGTTTGCAAAACTTCTATCTATATATAGTACTAGATTTAAGGCACTTTTCTAATATAACTACATAGCTTTAAGACTTTAATAAAACCTACTAATTATAAGATAGTACATAAGAGATTATCTTTAGAAGGCCATGCTTACTACAGATAATCGCATGATCTGTAGTTGTCGGTGCATACTGCTACAAGTGGTCGGAGATGTGATGGTGCCAGGGTGATAACCACAGCACGGAGTTGCATAAAGTGGCACAAGAAGATTGTGCAAAAAGCAATACCAATTGGGCTTCATTTGTTCCAGCTTCCAACTTATGAATCAAGAAACGCCCCACTTGGATGATGCGTGACCTGTGTGGATAGTGTCCGGCAGGCACGCGGTCGACACCTCGTTCTCGCTGTTCGCTCATCTACCAAGTCACGGCTCCGTCAAGCAAGTCCAAGACAACAGCTCGAAGCAGTCAGCATACGCCGTGCTAGACACGCCATAGATAAGGACCGTATTGGTCTCAAACCTGTCATCTCTTCCTTCCGTCTTGCCTCCCCTCAGTTCCTTCCACGTCAGCGTTGACCGCGTTTGATCTTTCTCCTTCTGTGACGTTCTGACCACTTGCCTGACATCTCATTCACTCGTCGATTCAACCATCTGATCCAGCCTCAGTCGTTGCTCTCACATATCCTGCCAGCACTATCGCTACCATACAGCTCATCGAACCCGACTGTAGTCATGGCCACCAAAGCTCACTGTGCTTACTGTTTCGAATCGCTCGTTGCTAGTTTCGAAAAACGACAGCCGCTATCTCTATCCCAAGTCGAACAGCTCTGGACCGAACAATATGGAGAAGAGGAGGACGATATAACAGATGTCGACGGCGAAGACGAGCCAGAGCCGAGTCCATCCCGCGTGCCTGCCATCTCACGCCTCGTCAACAGAGTCACTCCCAAGTCCAACTCGTCCTCGTCGAGCTTGACATCTCGCTCTACCCAGAACTCCGCCTCGACTCAAGCCTCGACCTCCTCCAGTCGCACCTCTCTATCCTCTCGCTCCAACATCTCTCCCTCAGACTCATACCCTCTCTTTGTGACCTGGAACACTATCTCCCCACGCAGCCATCAAAAGTCCCTTCGCGGTTGCATTGGCACCTTCAAACCACTACCTCTAGAAGAAGGACTCGCAGATTACGCCTTGACTTCTGCCTTTGAAGACTCTCGCTTCCCACCAATCCCTTCGTCTCAACTTTCACAACTGCAGTGTTGCGTTACTCTATTGACTAATTTCAGCAACCCTACTCACGATATCATGGCTTGGGAGGTCGGCAAGCATGGTATCAGGATCAGTTTTACCTATCAAGGTAAAAAACTGGGTGCTACCTATCTGCCTGATGTAGCCAAGGAGCAAGGGTGGACCAAGGAGGAGGCTTTGGTCAGTTTGATGAGGAAGGCTGGCTGGTCGGGCAGGAAGGATGACTGGAGGAAGGTTGCTGCCGGTATGGAGTTGGTCACGTATGAAGGCAAGAAGGTCGACTTGAGTTATGCCGAGTTCAAGGAGTGGAGCGACAAGATCAGAGTCAAGGCCTGAAGACATGTGCTGTTGCTCGCTGCATGGGCTTGCTCTCCCATTTAATGTTTACACGACGGCGGCGTTTCCAGGATGGAGTTTTCTGCGGGTCAATCTAGAGTTCGTTCCTCTTTGCTTTTCTCTATCTCTTTCTTTTTTCGCGTCGGTAGATGGATGTTTTCCTTGGAGCGAGGTTGGACCTTTTTTGGCCGCTTACCCTTTCCCATAGCGATCACGACCGTCTTGTCCTTCCCATAGCGATTGCTGTTACACAATCCGCACACATTCAACCACAAACTTTGCAAATTTCCGATATCGTCAGTTTTTTCGCTCTCCTAAAGATAAGAGACAACCTTTCAGAGATACAAAAAGAGGGACTATCCCCGGGTGCTTCTGTCTCTGCATCTATCTCCATCTTTCTACTTCGCGACTATCCTTGTTGAATTACCGACCCTGGCCATTTTCTACCTACTTCCACCCACTGTACCACCAGGAACACGTCAAGAACAGCAATAATGTCTACCACCACCACTACCGACCAAACCAAATACAAAATCTGCTACTTTGTCCCTCCTTCCTCTCTCCAAAGCACAAAAACCGCTATCTTTGCTACAAACCTCGCCGGCGTGTTTTCGTCACTAACTGATACTGATAAGATCTTATACACAAATGTCGTAAGTTTTTACCCTTTTCCCCTTCCCAAGCCTTCATATCATCTGGATGTTTTTGAGGTGTAGGTGCTGACGACGACGCAAAAACAGTGTTGGGAAACAAGCGGAACAGGCCAATTCATCCCTGGCCCAGACAGTACTCCGGATATCGGTACTAGAGGCAAGTTGGAAGTTCTAGAGGAAGTTAGAGTGGAGATGCAGGTGTTAGGAAAAGAGAATGTGAAAAAGGTTGTCGAGGTGTTGAAGAAGTGAGTTTGTCCTTTTCCTATTCTACTTTTTGTGGTTGAGAGGAAGAATGTGCTGATATAGGAACAGAGCTCACCCTTACGAAGTCCCTGTGTATGAGGTCTATAAGATGGAAGACTTTTAGATTGATATGTTGGTAGAGGAGGAAGGAGGAGGTGGTGGTGCATGCAAACTTATATCCTCCAAATGTTTTAAAAGTATATATTTTCCATTATACTCCGACCCACAACGCAGAGTAAGGTAGTCACTCTAGAAAGGCACGATATTGTTCGGAAATAAGTGATGTCCATAGAGAGTCCATAGGTTGTTGCTTCTTAGTGGGAGTTGTCCAGTCCTATGCATTCCCACAGCTATACCCATTACATACTTTTCGAAACACGGCAAGGGCGGAGATGCAGGATTTCTTTGAGAAAAGAGTATTACCAGTCAATGAAATAGTTCCAAGAAGCACTATGACATTCGGCAGTCGCGAAGCACCATCTTACCTTGCCCGTGTTCCAAATCTGTGACTCCTATTACTTCCGCCTGTGGTGACAAGCAAACATGTCACTATAAAAAGGCACAATTGTTTACGGGGGCAGGAGCTTGTCCACAGAGAGCCGGTAGTTTGGAACAAAGTATCAATTCATTAACACGAGCATCCTAGCTCAAGTGCTGTATAATAGTATGCCTTCAAGGCTTCCGACCCCAAGACTCATGCCAGAACAAAAGAAAAAGTCATCATAGGGAAGACTCAGCTATACCATAGCGAGTCATGGTTGTCGCACTCCCATCTCAGCCCATTACTGGTGCAGGCAGATGAAGCTAGTCGCCATGTCATCAAAGGTGACGTTGCGCAGGTCGGAGATGCCAGGGTAAGAGGCTTGACGGTAGGGCATGGCATCGTTGCAAGAGCCTTGCATCAACAGGCAAGTTGAGCCAGCGTCTGGACCGAAGGATGACACTTTCTTGCTGAGGCTGTCGGGAAGAACGACGCATGTGTCCAATGGTTGCTTCAGGTATTCGCAGTGACCTGTGAAGTTGGCATCGGTGCAGACGTAGACCTGGGAATGTCAGACAAGGGTTTGATGGATGGTCATGTCAGTACTTACATTGCCAGCGTCACGAGAGACAGGTAGAGTGAGGAAGTTGGGCTTGGTAGGGAAGGCGGTGGCAGCTGCTGCGAAGAGCGAGAAGGCGGCTGTGAAGAAGTGCATGATGGATCTGAAGGTAGTTGTGTTGATGGATGATGAGGTTATGGGGTGCACTTGGTGGTCTCGAGAGGAGTGTTTGTCGTGTATGGGTGTTTGATGAACTGGTACTTGATGCAGAAGAACAATTGATTGTGGAATGCTTCTGGTGATGGATGCAAAGATGTTGTGGTTGAAGAGCAACAGAAGAGGGCACTCGTCGGTTTTGTTGGAAAGTAAGACGGTCGTGCACAGAAGGAAGCAGCATCACATGTCATCATTAGGGTCAGTGGTAGTTCCTTCCCACGTTGATAGACAGGAACGATCAACAGTGGATGCTTGCAAGTGTCTGGGCAAAGGAAAGTGCACCCCTGCTCATCACAACCTCGTCAAGCTGTTAAAAGCCATGATCTGCACTCTTGGTACCTGCCTCGTTGTTTCACAATCCAACTGCCAAGTCCTGACATCCCTTCGCATCTACTCATCTGATTTACGATCGTGCTCAGAGCTCTTGAGTAGAGATTGATATGTTATACATAGTACAATATAATATGGATGAGGGACAAGCCGTGCGAAAGAGCGAAAAGACCCCGACTTGGCGACACGCGTTGGTGGTTTGTTTGGAGAAGCTTGTTGATCACTCCCGGCCTTCTCCACGAGGCGCTTTCGAAACACTATTCTTGTTATGGCAGATCTCAACGTCCACCCATGACGATGCCGTGCTTTTGTATGACATTGGTCACGGCTGACGGTTGGACCCGATGGTCACAAGGTCTCGAATTCGGCCGAGATGAAGATATATCTTCGGTGGCTCTTTGGGCGATTCATGGCTACCTTAAGCAGACCTATAATAGAAGTAATTGTATGTCGCGAGATGAGGTGCTATATGCTGCCTTGTTGCCTTGTATTATCTACAGTCGCTCATCAGGGTTCACCCTGATTACAGCTCATATCCCAACTGCCTTGAGAATCTCCTCGACACCACTCTTAGGGCTTCCTGGTACGACATCCGTCCAAATCTCATCTTTAATACGTTTGTCCGTGTTCAGTACGCTCCAGTTGGGACTCTGTTCTGCCTTGAGCCACTTGAAGTCGTCAACTTGGTCGTACAGGTTCTTGACATCCTGATCCTTTTCTGTGGCCTGATTTTGACCATTAGCACGAATATCCCCTTCGACTCTTGTGCAACAAGACAAAATGGGAGCAGACTCACATAGCAGTCAGGCATTTCTGCAAACTCGATGCCCTCACAGTCCTCAATAATTGGTCTGCTTTTGCAGAGCATATACACCTTGACGTTCTTACTCTCGTGCATGCGGAACTGTCTCGTTGCTATCACTAAAACAGAGTCTTTGACGCCTGTGATGTGAACAGAACCGTCAACATGTCCGCAAACAATCAGTGAACCTTGGATGTTCTTCAAAGTAAGATTGGCAAAGGCAGAAGCTGCGGATATGCTCATGTCAATGACGCTGTCGCGGACATTGGTGACCGTGCCAGAAGTTCCGGATGTTGCGTGTATGGCCGAGGATGGGAGCATGATATGAATTTTGCTGTGGTTAGAGATGTGTATCTTGTCAGCTTTCGAGAAGGAGAGTTTTCGCACGCCCTCAGTGACTCCGTCAGACGCATCCGATTTGGTTTCGGCAGGTTTGGATTCATCGACAGCAAGTCCATTGGCAGGCGTTTGAGGCATCGTCAATGGCGTCGTTGCAAAGGAGGATACTTCTGATGAGATGTTGCTGTTCGGTTGGAGAAGACGCTTTTTTGCCGCCAGTTCCGCTGCATCGTTGATAGAAATGGCAGAAGCATTCTTCTTCTTGAAAGAGAACTTTGGCTTAGGTGCTGCCTGAGCCCGCGTCTTTTGCAGCTTTTCTGACAGTGCTTTGATTGCCTGAACAGTCTTTAGCATGAACTCACCAAGAGCGTTCGATTACTCAATGGCCGACCTCGCTATATGTTCTTTGATCGTGTGCCGGAAGAGATCCAGATATGTCTTTCACATCATTAGAGAGCTTTGAAATGCCGGCTAGACAGTGATCAATTGCATCTGCTCGTTCACCACCAGAAGTGCCGTGGTCTTGAATGACTTGCATTTGCTCCTGTAGTGCTGAGATCCGAAATGCACAAGTCAGCGAACGAGTCCTGTGCTGTTGTAGTAGATGGAATGCAGGACACGCACCAGCAACTTCGGTCTGGAAATAACGGAAGAAACGTTCTTGTTCACTCATCTCGAGCCTGGGAGGTTGAGATATAGCAATGGTAGTCATAGAGAAGGTGAGTGGTGGTGGATGTGTCTGTGAGGAAGGATCTTGTCAGAAAATATTGTTGGAGAAAAGAAAAAGATCAAGAAAGCAGAAGGCATGAGAAATATAGTTAGATGTACATGTCGAATCGCTGGACGGCACATGAGCACAGCAGCTGAATCCTGATGTCATGAGTTCTGGTATGGATGTAGAGTTACCAGATGTCTTGGTCGAACGAACAGGACCCCGCCGCGATTTTAGCCAGACATTTTCCCACAGAGCCTCATAAAAGCGGTGTGCCATGCAGATGCTATTCGGGGAATACATGTAAACCTTACCTGCCTCTATGTTAGGACATGAGCACTATGTAGACTTTGTGATGCACATGAGTGGTTGTCGTTTTCGTGCCTCTATGGTGTTGATCTTCTCGTCCCCCACTTCGATTGTGGATGCGGGGCTGGACAAGCGGCTGCGGGACGGGGCACCGGGAAGGTACACTTTCTTCAGCCAATCTGCTGTGACACATGTATGTACATCATAAGTCATGTCAAGAGACTTCTATTGGTGTATCTACAAACGCGGAAAGAGCACAAGAGGAGAGATATGAAGAAGGAACAGGTGCGATCAAGATCAAAGTCTGTAGTCACAGGATCATCACGTTCAGACAGGCGTCACTGCATTGATAGTTGGAAATACGATATCTGTGAGCTGTGTGATTAGAATTTGATGATGGAATACACATTGATATGGTTGGTACGAGGGCAAACATTCTAGAGGGATTTTGTGGCACTCTTTGTCGTGGCCTTCTGAGATCCTCACATCCGGAGAAGAACTAGATCGAGGCGATTGTCGTGCTTCATTGAAACACACGTAGGTCGAATATTGAACAGAGGAAACAATGGCGTGAAAGGTATCTACGAAGGTTGAAAATCTAAGAAGAAGCAGCTGGCACCTCGATGCCGTAGTTTTGCTGGAGTCTCTCTGCTCTTCTCTCTTGGTATCCGGGCCCGAAGATGCCTGAAATGGTCAGTGTGTATTCTCTTGTTGTAGAGGCAGAGTTGGCATACCGCGTCCCTCGCCAATCTGCTCGAGTGTCTCCTCCATTGGTCTCCTTCTGTTCTTGCGCACGTATTCTTTTCGGGCCACTTCGTCGACTGTGGGATCAACATCGTAACCAGTGATCTTGCCACCAGCGTACTGCCAGGTACCGAGGACAACGGCGAGAGCGGCTCCGTAACCGGCGACGGCGGGAGCGGTGCGGACTGTATGAAGCTTAGCGATTGCGTAAACGGGTCAATTGGAGTCGGAATCGGCATACATCTAAGACCGAGCATTGAGCCACCAGCAAGACCACCCCAGAAAGAGTTCCAGGCATCGTCGCGTTGTCTGAGGTTGGCCGAGGCGCATCTGGTGAATTCGTAGGCGGCTCCCATGGCACCTGAGGTTTCGTTAGCTCAGTCGAGCGCATCATGACCAGGATAAAAAGATACCGTAGACGGCGGTAGTGCCACCAAACTTGGTGAAGGCGCCCATAGCACCATAGTTCTGCTTGGTGAGGGTGTTCTGAATGGTCGAGACGAAAAGACCAGCGCCGGTGGTGATCATGCCGGCCTTGATTGAGGCGCCCAGGGCATCCTTGGGGCGGTAGGGCTGCTCCTCGTGTGCGGCCATGTTTGTGTTGGTCGAGTGCGTTGTTGGCAGGAGGATTGACGAGCTCAATTCGAGATGATGCTGCCGCTCTGGCGTCCGGCTCGCATGAGGTCGCGCTTTCCGCTCTTGGCGCTTGATGCTGACCTTTGACGCTCGGACGTGCTAAGGCAGCGGAAGTCGACGCAGTCAGCCACTGTGGCTGCACAGGCTAGCAGGTCTTTGTGGCTGGTGTCCCGCTCTTCCCACGTTCGGTCCAGGCTTCGCTGACGTACCTTCCATGTGAATGTGTGACAGCAGCGACTGGGCCAAATCTTGTGATTGCCTAACAAGACTCTTGCAGGAAAACATTCCCTATCATCTCAACTTGAAGCTTTTGCCTGTCTGTTGAGCCTGCTTCGGCCAACCTTTGCCTTCATTCAAGAGTCTCGCCGACTCTTTCAAGGCCATGCCTTCCCGGGCTTCGCAACCTGGTACCATCCCAGCTGCCTTTCAAATATGCTTTGAGATAGACTCGCTAACCACATTTTCGCGACAGGTAAGACTGCGCCCAAGTTTCTTCAAGACCTCCTTCGATTCGATCCCCTATCCGCTCCCGCGAATCGAAACGTTCTCACCGACCACCCTCCGCAATTTGATGGCAAGGCTCGCTCAGGCCCGCCCTTGGTCTTAGACAGAGGCAGCTGCAAGCATGAATACTACTCGCATATAGAACGCTGCAATCTGCCGCGTCTTGATGAGTCTGCACAACAAGACACATGCTGGAAGGTCGCAGCTTGCTGCAGGAAATGCCGTCTTCATCTTACCCTGTCCATCGACTATCCGGACACGGGCTGCATACAACCTTGTCCTAATCGAGATCACCCACTCCACCATCTCCGTCACATATCAACAGACACCGACCCATTGCGAGTCAGCTATCATTTCGAGTGCTCGAATCTTGCCTGTCAAGCCCACGTGCACGTTACCTACGAAATCCCCGTCTTGACGAAAGAAGACATCAAACTTCTCACTGACCCTCAAGCTTTGACTCGGCGTTACGAGCATGTACTCGAAGCTTATCCGGACCGTGAGGGTGTGCGGCAGGCTACTCCTGGAGATGTCTTCTTCCGGTTGAAGAGATATGTTTCGGATTCCTTGGTTGAGGGAAATGCTAGGCGCAGCTTTCCCGCGAGAAATAAGAGATTCATGGAAGCCTTCGGAACAGACTGCGACTTGCTACTCGAACGCTTAGGATTCAGGAAGGGCGAGGACGGTAATGGCGAGGCTCAGTGGCAACTGCCTTCACCAAAACCAGTTGACGACCCAGACCCGTTGCGTCCTATGCTTGAGAGACTGGCGATCGAACTGCTATATCTGAACGATGAGTACTGTGCAAGCCACGCGCTTCCCAATCCTTCTCGCCCGTCATATCAGGATTCGAAAGTGGATTTCGCTCGTACACTGAGCGCACAGAACTGTATGATGAGTCATGTGTATCTGGTGCTGGATCATGCTGACGACTAGGCAGATGACAAAGTTCCTGGACGTAACTTGAATTCGACTGAAGAGGACCACCCGTGAGTATTCAGCTGTTGTCTAGCCAAAGTCAGTGGTTCATGCTTACCGCTTTATAGCTGTTATGCCAGTCTTGGTGCTCTTGGCGACTTTTCAGATCGTCTGATCGCTTTCTCCTACGAAATGCAGGCAGCATGCGATCCCATGGAAGGACCATACTATGTCGATTGTCTCCAGGATCTCGCAACAGGCCGGGACAGCGACATTCTTATCACCAAGTCAGCTACACTTGCATCACAAAACGTTTTGAGCAGAAAGGTTCGGTCACTGTGTTTTCTTTAGCCTCCTCGGCTGCTAACGGGTCTGCAGGACATCAATCAAGCATACAAAGCTCTGGGGATCGACCCGGAGTTGCAAAAGACCATCGATGACGAACAACTCCTTGGAATCTATAAATCGCGATGGTCAGACTCTAGTAAAACAGGACAGACTGATCTAAAGACAGCCTTGAAAACACTCGGCCAAGCCAGAAACAGTCGATATATACTAGATACTGCCGCGGACAGTAAGTGTAGCTCATTTCAGAGATTGCTCCACATGGCTAACCAAAGCAGCTGTGGAAACATACGAACAGGCACTTGCGTGGCTTGGTGCCGATGCAACTCAGGCAGACGACACAATCGTCGCGTTATATGGTGTCAAAGTAAGTTGAACCCACGATTTCATTGTGCATGAGAGAAAAGCCGAGAGGAGACCGTCTTGCGTGCCAGGTCCTACATCTCAATTCGATCTCTGCAAGTTTCAGTACTTATCGTCCGTTTGCGCATTCAAACGATGACACAGAACAAAGTCGTATGCGTCTACTGCCATTGTTCACCCTCTCACACTTGCCGCTTAACGCTTCGCTTCTACAACTCCGACTAACACATGTTCCCCAGGTCGACGACGCACATAACGATCCAATGACTAAAGATCTTGCTCGTCGTGCTGTCAGCTTGATTGCTGCACACCGCAAAAGTGAAATACTGCAGAGTTGGCTTGCTACTGGTGAAATGACCTCACAAACCATGACACTTGAAGATGCATGCAAACATCTGGAAATTGACAATCTCGACGAGGTCGTTCCGGAAATGATTGATCTTCAATTCGACCTTGTCAGAGAGGGAAAACCTGGACCAACAACTGACAAGGCTATCGCCGTTGTTCGCAAAGCTATGGATGAACGACAGTTCGGACAACACTCGACACAGAGCTGGCCTGTTGGCTTGATCAGCCATGGAAATACCTGCTATCTCAACAGTCTTCTTCAGTATTATTTCACCATCAAACCTCTTCGAGAGCTTGTACTTGACTTCGATAAGTTCAAGTACGACCTGGCAACCGAAGGTTCCAAAACTGAGCGAGTTGGAAATCTTCATCGTCCTGAGTATGAGATTGAATCCTTCCAAAGTCTTACGAACGATCTTCGTCACCTCTTTCAGCGCATGATCAGAGACCGTGGACCAGCCGTCAAACCTGAGGCAGACCTGGTCTGTCGAGCTTTTCTAAAGCCTACCAGCCCTGAAGCAGACACGACAGGTTCACAACAGACTAACGAAGTAGACGTCAACATGACCTCAGAAGAGAACGAGAGCCATCCTGCTGCCGTGGCCGCAAATGCAGATGACTCTTCAACAATCTCACAAACGAGCTCGACTACACTCCAAGGCAATGCTGTGCTTACTCCGCCAGTCACGCCTAAAGCCGAGAAAGAAGGCGAGCTACTCGCCCCGCCACTGCCGCCCAGAAGGCCTGCAACCCCATCACAACAAACCAAAACCAATTTGGAGAAGGCAGAAGAAGCTGCCAGACAGCAGCAGGATGTTGCCGAAGTTATGGAAGAATTGCTGACAAGGCTGAGAGCGTCGATCAAGCCGCTCGGTCAAGACCCTCAGGGTGAGCAATTAGACCAACTTCGAGAGTACGTATTGTTTCCACTCCTGTAAACAATTCACTAATTTCAAGCCTGTAGCATCTTCAACATGCGCATCGTCGATACCATCATGCCTGAGGGCGAGCAACCTTCCACAAAAGAAGACGAATTCACCAACTTGATGCTCCTTCCACCTTACGAGCCTACCGACATTTACTCTGCTCTCAGTCGAGTTCTTGATCTACACCCAGAACCAGAAGCTAGCAAACCGGTCAATGTGTATAAAACCTTGAAGTCGTTCCCACCGATCCTTCAAATCAGCATCAATCGCATCCGTTTGGGTCGCGATGGCAAACCAGTCAAGAGTGTTGATCGCATAAGGCTCGAAGAGACTCTTTACATGGATCGCTTCTCGGATGATGAGGCTGTTCTCGCTAAGCGCAAGCAGTGCTGGGAGTGGCAAAGACGTTTACGCAGCTTACAGGCCGAGAAAGTGATGATGCAGAAGACTGAGACTGGTATTGACGGCCCGTCCACACTTGATGCCGTGGGTGATTGGTTGTCTAAGATCTCTGAGTGTGACCAAATCCTTTCGGAAGCTGGAATTGAACCGATCAAGGTACCTGAGTCACTCGCATCGGATCTCCAGCAAGAGAGTGCTTCTCAGCGCGCACGTCTCTCAGTCATTGACCAGGAAGTACGAGAGCTCGAAGAAAACATTGCAAAGCAATTTTCTGGACCCGACTTCGAAAAGATGAAATATCGCCTTCATGCCGTCTTCTTCCACCGTGGTAGCACTGGTCATGGTCACTATTGGACCTGCATTTACGACATTCAACACAACATCTGGCGTTCATACAACGATGAGAAGGTAGAGCAAGCCAACAAGCTTGATGATATCCTCAACGCAGAAACCTGGATGCAAGGTACACCTACATATGCCGTATACGTCCGGGACGACACCAAGGAACAATACGTGGAGCCATTATGTCGCGATGTCGAAGAGATAGTTGACGAGCCAATGCCTGACGCAGTCACTTCGTTCGAACCGGAGGCTGAGAATACCGCTCCATTTGACCCAGAAGTTGTAGCGCCCAGCAGTATCAAAGTGGAGGGAGACTGGAACACGAGGGACCATCCGGTAGAGAATTGGTAGGCTTGGTGAAGAACATCAGAGCAGTCTACTCACTGCTTTCTTCCTAGACCACTATCACCCCTACTTCCCCAGACGGGCATCGATTGAATCAGAACAGCGCAGTTACCAAGCTCGAGCAAAAACCTAAGAATAAGCCGCTTCGCACGTACAAGGGATTCCGTCGCTGGGTGCCACAGTAGTACAAGAAACTGAAAGAGAAGATTATTGCTCGGAAGAAATGGATTTTTAGGTTCAAGGATGGTATGTTGCATCCTTTGAAGAGTTAGTGCATGGTCAAGGGAAAACCACACTATTGCTTGGAGGGGTATGAGGATAGAATTGCTGTCTCATACGACAAGCTTGTTATTGCATCGAAAGCGATTAGCATTACTGTAATACAATATCGCATTGCTCGACACCTTTTAACCTCTGTGCCTTTGTCGTTGTGTCCATGGTATGCGAGATTATCCTTGATATACCACCAGTAGTTGACGCGTGGTTGTTGCACTTCAATGTGTCCAGGAGCAAACTCTGCGGCCTGATTGCAACCAGTCGGCGATCTGCTGACATGACCAAATTTGGCTCGTATATCTCTATTTTCCCTTGAAGACAGGCGGTCTCTTCTCACCAAACGCCTTGAGAGCCTCGATTCTGTCCTGAGTAACCAAGACACGCTCGTAAGCCAGATTCTCAGCCTCTTCACCGGCACCCCAGCTATTCACTGCCTGTAGCGCAGATCTTGTAGCCACAGGCCCACCTTCACAAACATCTCTCGCCAAAGCCACAGCTTGTGTGAGCACCAAATCTCTTTCTTTTGCCTTGTCTCCTTGCGCCTCGTCGACTTCCACCAACCGATCACAGAGACCCAAAAAGTAGGATTCAGCGGCTGTCACTCTTCTGCCTGTGAGAATCATGTCTCTGGCTCTTGCGGTGCCGATTAAAGATGGCAGGCGGAAGGTTCCTCCTGCGCCGGGGATAATTGCTAGTCTTGTTTCTGGCAGGGCGACTGTGGATGTAGAGCCGAAGACGCGGAAAGTGGTTGTGAGGGCTAGTTCTAGACCGCCACCGAATGCGACTGAGGACACTGCTGAGATGGTGGGAATGGGGAGGAGAGAGAGACGAGTAAATGTGTCGCGGAGGGTGGTTAGGAAGTGTTTTGTTCTGGAACTTAGTCAGTACTTTGGTCTTGGGGAAAGGAAAGGTAGAGGACGTACTCGTCTCCACTCATAGTCAATCTCTCCTTCAAGTCTGCGCCAGCGCAGAATGCTTGATCGGACTCGGAAGCCAGGATCAGAGCTCTTGTGGGACCATCTTCGGGCTCATTGCTAATCTCCTCGACTTGTTGACGAAGTTCTTGGAGTAATTGTCTCGAGATTGCGTTTCTTGCTGTAGGGCGATTGAGGGAGAGGATGCGTATGTTGCCGGCATGTGGTGCGGGTACTCGGGTGACTTTTATTGTTGATGCGGGAGTGCTGTAGAGACGGGGGTTGTAGAGCGAGGGTTTGAGGAGGGTGGGTACCCGGCGGGTGGTGAGGCGGACAGGCATCGTGGAGATATGTACACAAAGAGTCGGATGATTGGGTTGGTCAAAGGTTTGTGTTTTTGTGTGTATTCAGTAGGATGGGAGGAAGGGCGTCATGCGGGGGAAGCTCCTTCCTCCGAGGTTCATCAAATTGGCCGTCACCCTGACGCACAAGTCAGACTTCGTCTGTTCGGACGTCCTTCCTAGAATCTGAAGAGTCCATTGTTGCCATCTTCGACGACATGTCAGACGACAATACACGCATTGAAGTTGATAAACTTTGTCGTCTACACACATGACCTGATTGGCGCCTAGTGTCGGCGAATCATGTTGGTCAAACTGCAAGCCACCTGCGCAGGCCTTCGATCCAACTCTTGACGAGTGCGCCAATTGGGCTACGACCTCTCGTGGATCATTCAATGTCCTTAGCTACCCACAACTAGTTTGCAAGAAGCTCATGCTTCCAAACTTCCCCGATCTGGAAAGCGCGGGTCTCCACCTAGAAGTCATCAACGTCAAGATGTACAGAGTGTTCGACACAGTATACCAATACACGTATTGCACTTTAAACAAGCCGAAAGTTCTGCACAACCTTGACAAACGTCAGCATATTCGTCTCTGGCCACTTCGCGTTCATCAAAGTCCGATAAAACCCGCCATCTGACCACTGATGTAGAAGATCTCCGGCTTGTCTTGTGTTCTTAAGCTAAGGCGTTGGTCACAGATCCCTGCGGATTTCATGCTATGAATGTTCTATTCTTGCATGCGGATGTGGCTTGAGACCTGGCGTGACTGCCTTTGGATGTCTAGAAGAACATCGGATTTGATGATGCGAGCGCAAGGTTTGGCGACGTCAGTATTGTGATGTTACCACAAATGCTCTTCGAGTGGTCCGAGACGGCCAGCGGACATGTTCAGAAGGAGCCGGTAGAGGACTGTCGGCTACACCGTCGAGAAATCCGGAGGATGACCGAGCATTCCGCTATATAACTGAAGGTCTTGGCCGGCTAAAATTGATGATCCCGAGTGAGTTACATATGATATAGGAGACAATATTTCTTACTCTGTATTCCTATGTCATGAATCACGCAAGCATAATTAGAAGGGACTGTGGGCGAGTACTGAGCAGTCAATCGCCTCGAAAAGGTCTCAGGCTAGGCACGTACATCCGCATAAAAAGATCACTAGCGACTTCTTCTTCTCTAGTAATGCCCAATAACCAAGGTGATCATTCTGGATTAGGTCATTCTTGATGTCTCCAAACACTAACAAGCCTGAGAAGCGGAGCCAAGCACGACATGGCAAGACCGGTCCATCGCCATGGAGGGTACACTTAACATGCGCGATCTCGGAAGCCTTCGAACGAATGACGGTCGATACATCGTCAGGAACCGCCTCTTTCGAAGTGCGAACCTCGCTCAGATCACCAATAGCGATATGGAGACACTAGCGCGACTCGGTATAAAGACAGTCGTGGATTTACGCGGCCCAAAGGAAGCTCTCGACCATCCCGATCGGGTACCTGCTGGAACAACAATCATCCCAAGTCCAATCATCGGAAGCGATACTGGCGATGCGATCGATGATACGACTATCCGAGCGCTTGTTCTCGATGCTGGCCTCCCAGAAACCATGCTAAATGTCGCCAAAGTCAGTCAATATGGACCTTATTATCGCATGCTCTTTCTCGTTAACAGTTATGGCACGGAAATTCATACATCCAAATTGACAAAATACAGCCTTTTCTTTCGCTCCCTCCTTGATCTGGCTCCGAACGAAAGTCTCTTAGTTCATTGTACTGGAGGCCGTGACCGCACTGGCATGGGTATAGCATTATTGCTCAAAGCCCTTGGGGTTTTCCAGAAAGACATCGAGGCCGACTTTGTGGCTTCGAATCATGCTCTCCAGCCTGATCGCGAGGACCCAAACTCGACAGCCTTCCTTCAATCTCATTCCGCCAACGTATTCCTGCAGCCACCAGCGAACAAATACTATCAGCAGGTTGCAAAAGAGCTTGGAGCATCCCCAGAAAGCATCAGGAATGCCGTCAAACTAAAGGCCGACCTACTCAGACGTACTTTCGCGTCAATAGATGCTCGATATGGATCTTTTTTGTGGTTCCTTGAGAGCCAGTTAGGAGTAGGCCCGGAGGAATTGAATATCTTGAGACCGAAACTTCTGACTGAGATCAAATGATAGAAGAGTAATTCAAGTATGGGAACGAAGAGCGAGAGAGAGGAAGATGGATTTGATCATTGATATCCAGGCCAAGAAACTACTGATGATGGCGCCGAGTGTGCTTCTCAATCTTCTCAATTGGATCTCAATTTCATCGAGGATGACAAGAACGTGTTAGGTAGTGAAGCCAGTCAGTGGAAAAAGGTCAGAAGATTAGTGACGAAGGGAGATAGTAAACCATATGGTGGACGTGAATATATACCCATCAAGCTTACTCTTGGTATCATGCTCAGTATGAGTATCAAGAATCATGAGCTTAACCTTTGTCAAACTTCATCGTCAAGCTCTAGACAAAACAAGAGACAATCTTCGAAACACATATCGTACGATACAATATATATTGTGAAGGCGAAGAAACATCACTTTGATGTCTATCCTGCGGCTCCTGTTTCGCTCCACACTCAGCAACCCACATACCAGTGGCTTTTGAATGTCGGTATGACATTGAGTATACCAAAGCCATCCACAGGTCACTGTTGATGGTCGCTGTAGTGGATCCCGTCGGCATCGAAGGCAACGTTCCGATGCAAAATCCCTTATCACGAATCTCGTTGTCAAAAAAGATCGTGAATTCTGACAATCAACTTCCACTTGAACAGCTCCAAGGGAGTATCGAGACTCATTCTTGGCCTTGGTGACCTGGCTAGCGTCTGCTCTGTACTGCAGGCGTTAAGAAAATACCATACCTTGTGTAATGAGTCCCTTATCATTTTCTCTGAGCAGATCACTTCGTGAGAAAGAGATCTTGAATTGCAACCATCAACTTTCAGCTTGATAGTTGGAGAGGGAGATATACGGACTGAGTCTTGGTTTTGGTGACCTACCACTTGCGCTTGTTGTTGTAGTTTGCGAGCGTGGTACGGTGGAAACCGTCCAGGTAGTGGGCATTGTACTGGAGGTTGTACGGGAACATGAAGTTTGATCCGATGGGCTGGTCGGTAGTGTCCACTTCGAGGACAGGACGAACACAGTCTGATGTTCCAGGCTCGACGCCCTCTCTGTGGGCCTTGATTCGATCCCATGACACGTTAGATGATGCTTACAGAGTACCGTTCGCTACGCGCCTTCGGCTCTGGACGGTGAATCCAGGGCTTTCCGCGAAGGACGGCGGGATTCTCGTCGTCTTCCTCGTCCTCGGATCCGAGATCGTCCTCCTGTAAAGCGTCAGTATAGTGATTCAACAATAGCAGCAACTATTTCCTTTCTTGATAAAAGAAGACGAGGACGAGACCATCCTCGCACTAGATGACTCTAGATACGGTGACAACCATCCAGAATATCAAAGGCTACTACGAAGGGGTCTTATATCCTCCCAGCGAATAGCCGAAGAGAAGCTTGAAAGCCGCCAGCGATGACCCTCAGGTCTCAGCAAGGCACAGGATCACAGCCTATTTCCACAAAATTTGTGCCTCAAAGGACTGCTGCGAAAAGTCACAGAAATTTTCTGATATGGGACTGTTCTGCGAAGAGCCCCTTTTCTCACCAGCTGTCCTTGGACGATGACTCTTCTAGTGACACATTATGCATTTCAGAGATATACTGTTAAGTATTGATATTATGAGGAACTGATTTATGATGAGTATTTGCTAAGGTCTGCTACCTAATACTGTCTGGTGTGTATGCAATAAGTTATGACTCCTAGTGTCACCAATGTGATTGCCAGAAAAATGAACACCCGGATGACTTGACAGAGCTCCGCCTTGTGCCTGTAGCGATCGTAGCTACATATGTCGAAGACGTTCTGCGAACAGGTGTAAAAGCTCCTGTCTGGACCTGCCCTGCATGGATCTGAACTTTCGACAGCACGCGAGACCAACGTGATCGGGCTCGTTGTTGCTTGCCAGTCAGCCTCATTCTAAGCGGCTTGCCATTCCACCGTCAATTCAGTGCCATGGCCTTCTTTGTCGACATAAATATCGATCTTGTTGAAGCGGTACGGTACTTCGTCGGCATAGAAAGTCAGAGTGTCATCGTCGCTCCCGCTGAAGACGGTGGCTTCTGAGATGTCTGATGAACAGCGGAATATATTGTCGACGACCGCGCACTTGCCCTTGGAGCTCTCGAGGCTAAAGCCGCCTTCCTCTTCCTGAGTGGCATGGAATCGCGCGCAACTTCTAGTGTCGTACCAGGAGCCACCTGAGATGATGCAGCCCTTGCTTCTACCACCGGTTTTGGCAATCAAGTTACCTCTGCCGCTGAAAGCGGGCCCTGTTGGCTCAGGAACATGGGTACGAGTACGAGTATGAGTTGGTGCAGGACGCCCTCCTCGGGCTGCTTTGGGTGGATAGCGAATCCCGCTGTATGGGCATGTGCTCTTGCCGCCATCTGGATCAGCTGCTTCAAAGACACCAGTCTGGACACTGCCGCGGACCTCGAAGTGGTACCAGACCTCGTCCAGCTTACCACCCTTGCAACCCAGTGTGACTGGACGGCCGTGTTTCGAGCTCAGGGCAGTTTGAATCTGGTCTCTTGTGTATGATTTTGAAGTGCTTGGCTCGATACCGGCTTCCAAGAGCCATTGGTATGTAGGGCGCTGGGTGTAGAGCGACACAGCGGCGGCAAAGTAATCGACGACTTCTTCTTTGCTACGGTATGAGGAGTAGCAGTCAGGGTTGAGAGTGGAGACACAAGTGCCGTGTTTACTCCATTCGTGCATCCACAGAGTCTCATCGTTGCCTTTGTAATCTTTCCAATACATTGTCATGTTCGAGAGGAGGTCGGTAGCACCAAAGGATTCGAGAATGTCCCTAATGTTGTGGTATGCGCGGCTGTCGTCACAATTGGCTTCGTAAGTGCCATCGCATCGGTCAGGCCTAGAGTGGGTGTGTCAGCCATGGTCAACGTCAGTAGAGGAAGATGATGGGCTCACCATAGGCCGTGTATGGTCCAAGCATCATCAGGGCCAGTGGGTGGATTCGTATCCCAGAACTGAGTTTGCAGCATTTGGCCGCCGGGGTAATTAAAACAGCACAGGTCCTCAACAACCGAGGTGTTGTGACAGCTCAATTGAGGATTGGAGCAGGACGGTGCGTTGCCGACGTCGAGGCCACCAAAGTAAGACTGAGCGCCTAAGATGACTTGGGAGCCACCAAGTAGGACTGATTTGACCGATGGTATAGAAGGAGCCTTGTCGGCTAGATTGGACCAGAAGTCCGGAGCCGCTACTACGACCATGTTGATGTCGTTGTAGAGGACAGCTGCTCCTGTGGGGCTACCTTGATGGGTCGAGGTGGGATTGATGGGCGTTAGGTTGTGGTGTGAGGTATAGATCAAATTGAACTGAAGTAAAGCAGGAAGGAGTGAAGACGCTCAAGTTGTCATGTGAGAAAGTGAAGTAAGAGTCAGAAGGGCAGGCACGTTGGTTGATGAGGTAGGAACATGCAACAACGATAGGCCCACATGACCGCGTGAAACCGATAAGCTGCCTTATCGCCGACACGACCCGTCATTGCCCTGCGCCACACCCGTGTTCCTGCATGCGCCTGACGACCTGTCTCCAACTGCCAAGCCACGACATGTGAGCTTGTAGAAATGCACAATACCATTGAAAAATTCAGGGCAGTATCCAGAGAGAGCCGTTACATCTCCGACTCTCCTTGGACAATCTTCCAATCTGGAAACATCGTGCATTTCCACAGCTTCAGCATGACAAACCCTCGCTCACGAGAGCTCTAACCGTTTTCTCGGCCTTCCCTCATCTGACTTCACCATGCTTCAGCATACCTTGAATCAATTCAGGAAGGAGTTCAGTACCGAGTGGCTTTACTGGGAGCCTGGCAGGACTCCCTACCTATCTGAGCAGTCCATGAGGAAACGATGTAGCGTGTTTCGTCTGCTTGCAGTCGCGGAGTTCACCTCACTTTAATGCCGAAGTTAACCCATCTTACCGCTTGCTGCCTGAACCTCAAACCATCTTTTGGCATATAGTCGCGACGCACATAAAATAGACTGCTGGTTCAGTCACGAGTATTCTTTACGAGAACCTGAATACTGATTTGCATGTATACTGTTAGCGTAAGTCCCATCTACTGATAGTTGATCTACAGAAGTTCAAACGGCTGGTCTCGAGGACTCCAGAATATAGAAAACCATTGTCGGAATGACCATGAGCTGCAAGCTGCTACGGACGTTACTCGTTCTATAAGAAGAGCTCACTGATGTTGCTCTAGGCTTTTGCAATCCTTTTCTTCTTAACCCAAGCGGTCTTTGCACAGCCACACGACAATTACGAATCACAGCCTCAAGGCTACATATATCAACAACAACCTTTACTCAACCCTATACTTTACAACAACTCAACCATGGCATACCAGAACGGCTATCGCGCTGTCTCTTACTTTGTCAACTGGGTACGATCCACAGACTCAAGTGTAGTTGGCAGACGACTGACAATGCCAAGGCAATCTATGGTCGTAACCACCAGCCACAGGATCTGCCTGCCGACAAGCTTACGCACGTTCTATATGCATTCGCCAACATCAAGCCTGATTCTGGCGAGGTTCACCTCACCGATGCATGGTCAGACACCGACAAGCATTATGCTGGCGACTCCTGGAACGATGTTGGCACCAATGTTTATGGCTGCATGAAGCAACTCTTCTTGCTCAAGAAGCGTAACCGCAACCTCAAAGTTCTGCTCAGTATCGGTGGTTGGACATACTCGCCCAACTTTGCCGGACCTGCATCCACCGAGGCCGGTCGCCAGCGCTTCGCCGATAGCGCTGTAGCTCTGCTCAAGGACCATGGCCTCGACGGTCTGGATGTTGACTGGGAGTACCCAGCAGACGACACTCAAGCACACAACTACGTACTCCTCTTGAGAGCTACGAGACTTGCGCTGGACGCATACTCGCAGTCTCTACCTGGCAACCCACACTTCGCCCTTACAGTTGCTGCACCTTGTGGCCCTGAGAATCTGCGTCGCATGCATCTTCGCGAGATGGATCAATATCTTGACTTCTGGAACTTGATGGCATACGATTACACAGGCACTTGGAGCACGCATGCAGGTCATCAAGCCAATGTTGCCCCCTCTCGAGACAACCCCCAAAGCACTCCCGTTAGTACCGTGGGTGCTGTTAGCTGGTACACCGAGAATTGTGGCATTCATCCGAGCAAGCTTGTCATCGGTATGCCGTTGTACGGTCGCAGTTTTGCTAACACCGATGGACCTGGCGCACCATACTCAGGTGTCGATTCTGGAGCCAGTTGGGAAGCCGGGTCTGGTATTTGGGATTACAAAGTGAGTCTCTTTCAAGATCATACTTTCCTTGACTTTCCAACACACAACTTCGATGATGCATAAAAGACATCGCACGACCTTCTCCATCGTTCTTACTAAACACCGGATACATGGCAAAGGGATCTCGGCATGCATCAGAAGCCCTTTGTCACCATTGCGGTTCCTGTGTGGCTGCAGCCCTTTGTCCGGGTCCATGAGCGCCAAAAATAACTTGATCTAATCTGACCACCCCCACTACTTTCATTCTCTCACTCATCGAAGCTTGCTAGACACCAGCACTGACTTTGAGAACTAGGCTCTTCCCCGCCCAGGCGCAACTGAATACCACGATCCTGCTGCCGGTGCCTCATGGAGCTACGACCCCTCCACCCGTGTCATGATGACCTACGACAATCCAGTCTCTTCAGCTGCAAAGGTAAACTACATTCAGCAGAGTGGACTAGGAGGAGCAATGTGGTGGGAGAGCAGTGGTGATCGAGTTGGCGAAGGCAGTCTGATCACTCTAGTTGTCAATGGCATGGGAGGCTATGAAGGCAAACATATGCAGAAAGTGGACAACTGTTTGGAGTATCCACAAAGCAAGTTTGACAACTTGAGAAAAGGGTTCCCTGGCGAGTAAGGGAAGAGTGGGTGGATTACTTGAGTAGTGATAGAAAGCAGATAGTCCATTCTCGTCTGGAGAGATCGACCAGACACTAAATCTTCACTTTACCTCTCCATAATCACATGAAACACCCAAGGTGTCACAATACATAGAGATAGCCTTCACTCATGTAGCGGTCCGTTGGCGCAATGGCTTGCCATCACCGTCAAGTTACTGGTTCGATCCCAGGCGTGGCCGCTATGTCTGATTATTTCGCCTTGTCAACAGATCCGTGCCCGCTCGAGCGGAATCAAGACGATTGGTAAGAAGTTGTGAGAGGTCCTTTTTTTGCTCTTCACTCCATCTTGCTTTCGCTAAACCATCCATCTTTACATTCATGAGGTTGTATGCTCGACCTGGTTGAAGCAGATCAGAGTCAAGCACATGTGACAATTCTGCCGAGAAACCATACGAAGCAAAGCCTATATAATAAGCCTCCACGATCTCAATAACTCCTCCAAACAGAGTCAAGCTTCTGCTTCACCAGCGCCAGCTTCTGCTGCACCGACGCCAGCTTCAGCGACGAGGATCTTGTCCTGTCTGCTACTCACGAGGATGACACGCGACCGATGTTCGATAGCCGGGTCGATGTCGAGTTGGATCCCGTCGACACGCTCGTGTTGGCGGCAAGGTGCCCGAGTCTACGGAGACAAAGCACGAGAATCGATTTTTCCTGGGAGAAGGGTGCTTCAAAGCCAGATAACCATAGTTTACAATCGGGTCCATGTCAAGATGAGAGCAATAAGAGCCTACCCGTGCGCTGGAGTATGTAAAACATATAGCTATAAAAATGCATAATACTGATACGAATCACAATAGTATCCACTGAGAAGTGGAAATATCTCGGCTCTCTGTGGAAACACCTCTGGTTCAGTAAACGGTTGTGCCTTTTTACAGTATATGTTCTGCTTTGTGCTGTAGTCGGAGTACGAATGGAAGTTACAAACGGGGAAGGAAGAGTGGCCGAAGAAAGATGCCAAGAAATGCGGAGATCGCAGTTTCCTGACGTCTGTGCGGCGAACTTTTGAAGATTCCATCTTTGGACGGCGCGCAAGATTTCAAGTCTCTTCACGAACACAACATTGCGCCCGCCCTAAACAATGGAGGCGCTGAGTGATTTCAACGCCCTACAACAGCAGATTCAAGCCTCTCTCGTCGCCGTCACTCGATCATCTCAGGCCATCTCATCTGAGGACTTGGGCTTTCACCGATCTCTGGATCCATCACTAGGTCGCGCTCTCGATACACAGAATGCGCGGCTTCTGGGGCTTGCGGAACGCCTTTTGGGCAATGCGGCTTCGAATACGGAGCTTGTACGTCCCAAGTTGCCCGACACAGACGCTGTAGACGCACAGTGGAGTAGCGTCGTTGATGTTATCGACAGCTTGCTTGAGAAAGCAGACATAAGCCTGGACGAATATACCGGTGCTGTTAAGCGCTTGAGCCCGGCAAGAGAACAGGTCAGACATCAACCCTGCTTCTCTTCATATCGTGCTAACTCCTTCTAGGCACAAACACCAACCAAGTCGCAAAAGTTCTCACGCATCTCCCAAGCTCTCCGAACACAAGACATTCCCAAACCTCAACAAAACTTCAACGACATTCCCACAAACGCCGACACAGGACCGTTTAAACCACTTCTGCAATCAAAGCCTCATGCTATCGTACCTTTCGCAAAAGCTCTGGAGCTGTTCAAGGACCACAACGATGTTGAGCACCACCCACACCCCTACCAGAAGGAGATCGAGCAATACGAGTATCCGTCATTTGTCTACACTCATGCCGAGCCCATCCCATACCACCCTTACGAAACTACCACCGCCACATTTGTCGACACAGAGGAGAAGGTGGATCAGATGCTTCAAGAGCTCAAAAAGGCCAGGGAGATTGCTATTGATCTGGAACACCATGATTCGCGCTCATATATCGGTATTGTGTCATTGATGCAAATTAGTACTCGCGACAAGGACTGGATCGTCGACACCCTTCAACCCTGGAGAAGAAAGCTAAGCAAGCTTAACGAAGTCTTCGCCGATCCCAACATTCTCAAGGTCTTGCACGGTGCTTTCATGGATATCACTTGGTTGCAGAGAGATTTGGGCTTGTATGTCGTAGGCCTGTTCGACACGCATTTCGCATCAAGAGCTCTGGGGTACACTGGAGGAAGTCTGGCATTTTTGCTTAAGAAGTTTGTCAACTTTGACGCCCAGAAGCAATATCAGACGGCCGACTGGCGCATCCGACCCCTTCCTCAGGAGATGTTCGAGTACGCTCGATCCGACACACACTTTCTTCTTTACATCTATGACAACATGCGCAATGAGCTTATTGAGAAGTCTGACTTTTCCGTTCCCAACCACGAAAAGGACAAGATCTACGACGTCTTGACACGCTCCAAGGATACTGCTCTACAACGATATGAACATCCTGTGTATGATGCTGCACAGGGTCTGGGTGCTGGAGGATGGTACAAAATGCTGAGTCGCACGCCTGCCCTTCTGGACAAGCAGCAATTTGCTGTCTTCCGAGCCGTTCACCAGTGGCGTGACCAAGTTGCTCGTGAGCAGGATGATAGCACTCACTATGTCATGGCCAACCACAACATTTTCAGTCTCGCAAAGGAGATGCCTACAGAGAAGGCACAACTGTTCGCCGTCGCTCAAAACACCAGCCAGACTGTGCGTCTGAGAGCTGATGAGCTGCTGTCGGTCATCATCAAAGCCAAAGAGCAGGGCGAAAATGGACCCGACATGGTTTCTACATTGAAAGAGATTGAGGCACAACAACTGGGAGTTCCGCTCAACGAAACACCCACTCACTTTGCTGCCCTCAAACAGTCACAGCCTAAACAAGCCGTTGTGGCCGCTTCACCAGCACCTCAACCTCCAGTTCTGAACCGTGTAAACAGCAGCGAACCATCAGGAGTCCGCGCAAAGGTCTCTCAATTCTGGGGTGGCCTGTTTGGTGGCAAGAGTCAGAGCGAACAACCTCCACCCTACTCTTCGAACATCTCACTTTCTGTTCCTCTTCCTCCGTTGACAGCAGAAGCCTTTGCTTCATCGGCTCCCTTAACGGCACCACCTACTCCTGCTAGCGCCACACCCACATCTGCTACACCTACAAGCGCACTGCCGACGCCCAAGGATCGCATTTTCACCCTCAAGGAGCGTGGACGTAAGCGTGATTCTGACGCAATGTCGACTGGCAACGACAGCCTCGCAACAAACGCTGATGAGATTGATATTACGGCGGATGAGACCTTGGAAGCTAAGCGCGAGGCCAAGCGTCAACGCAAGGAAGCGAAGAAGGCAGCAAAGGAGGCGGCAGCACAACACGCGGCTGAAGTTGATCTGGAAGAAGAGGAATTTGATTACGCAGCTGCACCAAGTGTGCTAGATGCCAACAAGGAGGATCCTCGCGACAGGAAGAAGAACAAGAAGGAGCCCAAGACGAAAGCATTCAATCCGTTCATCAAGGCAATGGACACGATGAAGGGTATGCCTAGAGGGCAAAAGGAGAGGGCTGGCAAGAGTATGACTTTCAGAAAGTAGACGCATAGGCATGGAGTTTATCGGGATTCTGGGATCAGGTATATTACATAGCATTCGGACTACGGTCCAGACATGATATCCTTTTTTCTTCTTCGAGACAATGCTTCGAGACCATCAAGTTCGTGGTGACCCTGCCCAATTTTACCCCACAAATGCACATGTCAGAACGTCGTCAAATTGACCCTTGACATCAACAAGTTGCACCTTCAATACAACAGACAATCACAGCGAACTAATATACATCGCAACACAACAACAACCACCATTCACAATGTCGATTGCCTCACCACGACCAAGTCTCAATCTTCCGTCAAGCCGCCGCGGCTCGACCAGCACAATAAACTCAACCCGATCCCCCTCAACCTCACGACCAGCTTCCATCCGCGACAACCACACCGCAAACAGCACACCCGTCCCAGCATCTACACGCCGCCGCGACCGCGCCGCCCTCCGCGAATTCTACAACCTTCAAGCCACAGAGTCACCCACAAAACCACCACCACCAACCTCACAACCCGAAGACTCAGGACCACAAGATGCACTTTCCGCTCTCGACGATCCGTCCTTCTCTGCAAAAACATATGCGGATGAACTACTCAATACCTCTGATGCTGAAACTCTGCTACGCACGTTAAACTCTATCACGATTTCTGCTCTAGGGCTTGAGGGCGATAAGAAGGCGTTGGTGTATGATAATTACACTACACTACTTTCTGCGACGAGTACCATTAGTAGAATGAGAGAGAATGTGGATCCCATGGCGCCTGTGACGACGACGCTTGAGCCTGCGGTCAAGCATATTGCTGACGTTGCGAAAAGTATAGCGGATAGTAGGAATGCTGGGGATGTGGAGAGGGAAAGACAGAAAGAGACTGTGAGGTGGGTGTTGGGCGCACCGGAGAGATTGAAGGAGTTGAAAGAGCAAGGGAAAGAAGAAGAGGTGAAGAAAGAGTGGGATGAGGTACGAGGGCTGTTGGACAAGTGGGAGGGAGTCAAGGGTGTGGAGGAGGTGAGGAAGAAGTGTAAAGATGTTGTTGGAAAGGATTGAAGAGTTTTTGATTCTTGAGATGGATGATCAAAAACACAAAAATCCACGAGAAATGACAATACGATAAATTCATCTGGACCCGCTCAGACCTCGAAACGAGACATCTTCATTTACCACGATACGCTGAGCGCGTATCTACAGGACTACCTCATATCTCCTGGCAACTCCTTGGTCGAGGAGCCAGCGGCACAATCATTTTGTGTAGCGACACCTTACTTCTGGTGTGCGAAGATGGAGAGCAACGACGCCTACCGAAATGCATTCAGCTGACACGATGCATGCTTGATGCGATACACAAGTCGCCTACAGAGCCACTGCTATGCAAACAACATCAAGCATGACAAATTGTGCTGGATTTTCGCTTGGCTATCAGCTACAACACATCAGGACATGAGTGATACCCAGGAATAGGCAAGCTAGTGCAAACCCAGAGAGTCACTTCGCACGAGATAGAGGAAAAATACACTACTGACTACGACAAACAAGAGAAGCTAAGAAATTGTGTCAAGCCACTCAGCCAGACATGCATATGTACGGTACCTTATATGTGCTGTACTATTGCCATACTATCTACCCCGCACGATGGTTCAAGAGAAAGACTACGATCTGACAGCTTCATATGATTCCTCTAAATTCTGGATCTCTCTGACTCGCACTATAGTACCCTGCTATTCTATGGTTTTGAAATCACCATGTCTTTTAGCACGATTATACGCTTCGTTCTTCTTGGGATCTGCCTTCTATACAACCACGCGGACGCATCCTCTGGCAAATACAGACAAAGATCGTCTCACAACCGCCGCCAAGCTCTCCCAACATATTCTATTTTCATCCACTTACGTCTTGGTCGAGCAACCAGTAGGTGCTGGATTCTCCATCGGTACACCTAGCGCCACCTCAGCAGAAGACATTTCCCAGAAATTTATCAAGTTACCCTGTCATGGGCGACTCTGATTACACCCAAGAGGAGGTCGTCATCGTACCATTCGCAATGCAAAACCAAAACATATCGAATCTCAACGCATCCTTCCTCTCCAGTATGGAAACCTTGCATCGAAGCTGTGTATACGCTGACTACATAGACAAATACCTAACCTTCCCAGCTTCTGAATTACAGTCACCAGTACTCTTAACTTCACCAGCAATGCTAGCTGCGATCTTTTCGACTTGATCAATGAAGCAGCACTGCAAGTCAATCCTTATTTTGACGTTTACGAGATCACACAAATGTGTCCGGTGTTATGGGACGCTTTGGGATACTCGACACAATAGATATACACACCTCCTGGAGCAGATGTATATTTCAATAGGACGGATTTGAGCTGATCGACCTAATTGGGTATATGGTGGGGGATGGGATAGCTGACTGCAGCCACCAGCGGCTATGCAAACATGGATGGCGCTAAATGAAAGCAAGGCAAGAAGTTCCCGTTCAACTGCCTGATTAGGTAGACGCATTTCTATCTACACCACAAGCACACCCAGATGAGGAATAAGCTGCTCGAGTGGATATGAGGAATGCTCTGAGCAGGACGTCTGCGCATTGCAGGCGCGGATGCCCTCCCTGGCTATTGGCTGCCAACCAGGATTATTAATGGTGGCTCCTGCAGTATCTGCCTGACCCCGCACTTGCTGGGGGCTGAAGCTGATGTCGTTCTTTCCACTCTTTTAATGAGTCCTTGACCACCAATCTGAAAGCTGTTCATGGAAGCCGCCTCCACGGTGTGAAGCTTCCTGTGAACACAAGCAAACTCTAAGCCAGCTTTCGTTTCATACTTCTCGGACAAATTATCCAAAGCTGAAGCTGCTCACTTCATTCATTTTATCCACCCGCTTGGACCTTCTTAGACACCTTCCAGTCTGACAGTATGGCGCTCTTCCGGAAACTGACCCAACGGTCAAAATCCAGAAGAGAAGAGACTCCCACCCTAGCGGACCCCCAGCCGGTGCAGCAAGTATGACTGATCGTTTCCAAGGTTCGACTTTGGGGAAGTTAACAAAGACGACAGGCGACTCTCCAAGAGGAAAACTATGGATTATTCGAAGTATCCGACGCAGCAGCTGGAAATGATGGATCCGTAGACGAGGAATCGATGCGCCAAGTCGAGTGAGTGACCTCTTTCTCCAGATACCTTGAGTATTAGACCTGATGCTTCCTCAGTATTGTCGCCGTTCACGGACTCATGGGACACTGGGAGAACACATGGAATGCTGGAAACTCGCACGAGGATGCTATGTTCCTCCGAGATAGGGTCCCAGCAGATCTCAGTCGTAACAGGATACGGGCACGGATCTTCTCGTACGGATATGACTCTGCTGTATTCAGCAGATCTGTCGTCACTATCGATCAGGCGGCCGACATGCTCCTTGAGAGGCTGCTTGGGAAGAGAAAAAAGCCAGAGGAAAAATGTCGTCCGATCATATTCATTGCGCATAGTCTTGGTGGCTTGGTAGTCAAACAAGCCATGATACAAGCCTGGTCTCACAGCCAGCGATACAACGAACTTTTGGACAGCGTCAAAGGTTGTCTCTTCCTTGGTGTTCCTCACGGCGGAGCAGACTCTGCATACTGGGCCAATCTTCCAGCTCAGATGATACCTTATGTCACTTTGGGCTTGCGAGGAAACCCAAGATTTTTGAGAAGTCTAGAGAGCAAGTCAGCGGACTGCGTTCGCATCAGCCGTGATTTCGTGCACAGAGCTGTATCGTTGAGAATCCGAACTTTCTATGAGACTGAAAAGCTTGGGACTATAATAGTAAGTGTTGCGAACTTACTATGTTTGGATGCTAATTCTTGTCGGTTGTCGTAGGTCGTTGATAGAAGCTCGGCAACATTGAATCTACCCAATGAAGTTGCTGTGCCACTAGATGGATCAAACCACGTTACCATCTGCAAGTTCTCAGCATCGGAGAACCAAAGATATGAGCCAATCAAAGACGCAATAGAAGAATTGGTCATTGCGGGCTTAGGTAGGTAACTCTGACAGGATCCAGGAAGACATCAAATCCTAGCGACGGTCAGCAATCTGAAACGATACAGATGCTTAGAACTAACACCTAGCAGGCACAACTCAAACAAAATGGAATATGCCTCTAAAGAGTGATATGCCCTCAAGTACTGATACGTTCTGTGGCCGCGAAACAGAACTCCAGAGAATGACTGAAGCCCTTCGTCCCGCAGAGCCTCGGCAAACAGATGATTCAGATCTCACAAATCCTCGGCCAAATGGTTTGGTTCTATACGGTATCGGAGGTTCAGGAAAGACTCAACTTGCACTCCGATATATACAAAAGCACGGAAGCCTCTACAAGGCCATTGTTTGGATAAATGCTTCAGATACACAGAATCTGGAAGCGTCTTTTGCTGAAGCTGCAGATCTGTTGTCTGGATGGCCAGAGAACACTGCACCGAGATCCTCCACAGCCACTCCTCAAAATCTAGTGATCGGCAAGTTATGCGACACTAGAAGCTCTCCTTGGCTTCTAGTCATCGACAGTGTAGACGATCTAAGTCAACATAACTTCAGAGCGTGTATCCCCAACTGTGGCCATGGCTCGGTAATTGTCACGAGTACACGAGCTAACGCATCCGAAGTGTTCCGCATCCCGGAAAGCTTAGAGATTGATTACTTGGATCAGAGTAGCGGGTGTCAGCTGCTGCTGAAGATTGTCGGTGGTGCTGACATTCCGGAAACAGGTTTTTACAATCGGAATTTGTTCGGCTGCTGGGTTTCGCTCTAACAGCTTATCAGACTGGGCAGCACAAATAGTCAAAGAGTTGCATGGAATTCCTCTGGCTATCGAGCACGCCGGCGTACTGATACGAACATCACTCTCACCTGAACAATTCCTGGAATCCTATCAAGAGCGCTATATATGGTTGATGACCAAATATCCTGACAGGGGCATCATCTCGTACGATAAAGACCGCTCTATCATTGCAGTCTTCGAGTTACTGTTTCAGGACGTAAAGAGCAGATATCCTGAAGCCGGTGCACTCCTTGTCTTCCTGGCAATCTTGGGGACATGGAAAATTCCAACAACTTTCTTGAATCAATACCAGCGCTTCCTGCCCGGAATACGATCAGAAGTTGATCATGAATCTCAGCATTTGGTCGAGGCCTTGAGCACTCCAGAAGCACTTCAATTCGCACTCTCGCACCTTGTAGATGCTTGTTTGGTCAAGCGGGACCCTAATCGAGACCATTCTCGCAAATCGATTGAGCTTCATAGAGCTATCCGTGATTGGTCATTACAGACATCAATGAGAGGTAAACAGGTATGGCTAATACAGGCCACTAGAGGGTTAGTCGCTGCCACTCTGAACTATGTTGAGCAGACGACGTGAGTGGTTGATATATGCTCGTGTTTCGTTTACTAACATGTTCCAGACACTCGCTCCAGAATTTACAACAAACAAGTACTCTTGATCGATCGTTTCTTGCACATCTCAGACAGTGTGTCGCTCTTTTACACAAAACAATCCCTGCAAACGAGATACTACCTCCATTTGGCAGGTATTGCCGCCAATATGCTGAGCTTGTCGGCAAGCTCGCTGAGATTGACCTCTCCTGCGGCCTACTGTCGGAAGCTGACCAAAACTTTACAGTCGCCATCGAATATCAACGAACCAAAGAAGTAACGGGATGGCCAGACTCTCGGGCGGATCTGGTGCTCTTAGAAGGCTTGGCTGTGGTTCGTTACAGATCGGCCGACTTCGACTCCTGCATAGAGATTCTTGAAACTGCCATGAGACTGGCTGAAAGACTTTACGGGAAATTCGATCCTGAGGTCGTCGCAATCACATCGTATTCAAAAGATGTATCTGAAAAACGTGAGAGGATGCAGCAGCATCACAAGAATGTTATACTTGCTGTTTCTGGAAGCAAGATGAACAATCCGAGTGCGGAACTTCCTGAGGAAGGATACCAAGGTGAAATCGCTGGGCCATCGAGTTATAGTCAACAGCAAACCTTGTCAGACGAACATCAGATAGAAGATGATGAGGTCAACACATATCTGCGTGAGGCGGTCTCTCGAGGTTCCAGCGCCAAAGGGACATATATTTTGTCCAATCAAAATTCACAAGATGAATTTATCTCGACAGCTCAGTCTTGGGCATATCAACGGCTCCAAGTTGATCCACAAGATGAACTTGGATTGATAGCTCGGTCGTTAGCATCCAATGGACGCCATGAAGAACTTGTACACTTGCTGCTTGAGAATGACCAGATCGATGTCAATGCGAGGGACATATTTGGATCAACGCCGCTCGAGGAATTTTCAGGACTCGGATATCACAAGATAGTGCACATGCTGCTCACAAGAGGAGCAGATGTCAACGCTCTGAGTGGAGAATATGGCAACGCACTACAAGCAGCTTCGGCACATGGCCACGACAAGATAGTGCAGATGCTTCTTGAACATAATGCGGACGTCAATGCTCAGGGTGGAAAACATGGCAACGCACTACAAGCAGCTTCGAGAAAAGGCCACGACAAGATAGTACGCATGCTACTTAGCAGAGACGCACGTATCACTACGGAGACTTTTTATCACCTTTTCGCCAGCCAACGCGGCCCACCCTTACTTTCCTCTTTATCTTGCATACAGAAGGGCACGATTCTGGAGAAAGACCCAGATAATGGTAAGACCCTGCTGCACTTGGCAGCAGAGAATGGCCGTACGAGTGTCATAGAGCGCTGTCTTGAGCTTGGCGCTGAAGTCAATGCGACAGACGTTTCCGGCAGGACTGCACTTCACTATGCTGCTCGAAATGGGCACGTTGAAGTCGTCAAAATACTCGTTCAAGCAAAAGCTGACAGAACGATGCTTGATAATGACAAGCAGAGCGCACTTGTACATGCGCTGAGAGCTGGTGCTGATGGCCCAGGCTACAGCCGAAGGTTTTATTTGACAATGTTTGCACAGTTGTGGAGACCACGAGTAACAAATGCTTCCATATACAGCGAAGCCATATCGGCTTTCCGTAAGAAAAAGAATTACAGGTGATAGACAGAACAAGAATGCACATAACGGCGAAAGTCAATACCAAATATCGACAAGTGTACAACAAGCAATATCGAGACTACGAGCACAGATGAGTCTGCAAGAACTCAGTCTGTACCCGAACGTTCTTCTCAAAGTTGGGGCCAGAGTAAGCTTCGAAATGTCCTCCAGGCAGGAGATGCAATCGCTTCGGCTCCAGCGCTCGACTGTAAGCTTCCAAAGCAAGATCCGTTGGTGTCAAGACATCATTATCGGCCACAGTCATCAACAATGGTGTTGGAGAGATGTGTTGTATATGTGCAGATGGCAAGTATTCGCGGAATGTCTCGATGCTAAACCAGATGCTTCGGTCAACAAGATGCAATACCAACGAAGAGTGAGTAGACTTACGACTTTACTGTTACTTCGTTCTTCCAGTTGCTTTTCTCAGCCCATGCTGTGAAGAACTGGAAACTGTCTGGGGTGGGTAGAGCAGACGGCTTCGTTGGATCAGCATCCACGACGGGAATTACTGCAGCAGGTTCGCCGACTGCCCTCGAATGACGGTCTGATCTCAAGGTCAGCTGAATACATAGGCAGAAAGATGGCAAGCTCACCGTCCTGGAACATTGCATTCAACCCAGCCACGAAATCAGGTCGAATGAGACGATGGAAGTTGGCCCAACCATCAACAAGAGGTGCTTGACTCATGACCGCTTTGACTCTTCGGTCTATGGCTCCGACCCAAAGAACATGTCCTCCACTATAAGAGCTACCCCAAATCCCAATCTTATCCTTGTTCACATCTTCTCTCGACTGAGCATAAGTGATGGCATCCGTGTAGTCGCTAGTCTGCTCTGCGGGGATGATCTCCTGCCGAGGCTGTCCTTTTTTAGCATCACTATCTCCAAATCCACGGTTGTCGTACACCAAGCAGGTGATAGGAAGATTAGTGACAAAGTGCTCGGCAAAAGTGTTCAGGTCCATTTCTTTCAAGGCGGAGAAACCGTGGGCCATGACGAGACAAGGTAGAGGACCATTTGATTCGGATGGCTTGTAGAACCAGCCGCGAAGGGTGACATTGTCGGAGGTTTGAAATGAGATGTCTTCACGCATGTTGAATTGTTTTGTCAGAAAAGTGGTATTCAGCAAGTCAGGAAGGTGCAATGGTCTTAAAAGCCCAGCTCGAGGTAAGCATGAAGGTCATGCGGGGTCGACCGGATTAGTGGAATGCACTTGCCTCGCATAGTATGGTACTTAAAGTGACATGCAGCCAAGCAATTGGCAAGGCGCTCTATAGTCATACCTCGTTATAGCGATTGTTTCTAATTGCTACTTTAATATCGTTATAACGTGATTATCGTTTAATCAAGGACTCTTAGTGCTATATATGCTATGTTATAGGCAAATAATGTATACATAGAGATTTAATGTGCTTTTATAGGGAATAGGTTTAATAAAGGGAAGAAGGAGCTATCTATATAGAGTCTATAAAATATTATGTAGACGCTAAGAACACTAAGGAGCTATATATAGGCTTAGCCTACACTATACTAAAAGAGCTTACCCTTTATAATACTCCCTCTCTTCCCTCTAGTATAAAAGTTATAGAGTCCCTTCTTTACTATAAAAGGCCTAGAGTCCGATATATGCATACTAGAGATGCTCTTATTATTCTAATTAGCTAGATCTAGCAACTATAGTAAGCTTAGAAAAGTAAAAGTTATAATATCGTTTTTAGCATCCTATTTACTATATACTAGTAGCTATACATTTGCCCTAGAGATCTAGGGTAAATTCTATAGAGTAGTTAATAATAATACTAACTCTTACTATTATTACTTTATAATAGTTATTTACCCTTAATAGCTTATTCTTATAATAGCTTTTAGTATATTACTTCTACTTTTCTCTTCTTCCTTTTTCTTTCCTTCTTATAATAATAATAATAATAATAATAGTAGTAGTAATAGTAATAGTAGTAATAATATATATAGCCTATAGTTATTTAGCATATAAGCATAGTAGCTTCGTAGTATACTACATAGTATGCTATATATATAGCGATATAAACTACTTATATAGCAATATATCTAGTATCTAATTAGTAAATTTTCTAGTATCTAATAGAAACTAACTAGAGCGTAGATAGCTCTTCTTATCTACTATATTAGCTACGCTAATAGTAGCATTAACTACATCGCCTAGTAGGTAGATTATAATCTATAGGAATTTATCTAGTATCTACTTAAAATCGTCTATAGTCTTTCTACTCTACTACCTACCTTACTTATAAGGAGGGTAAGTAAGGTTATAAGCTCCTATATATATTATCTAGCCTCTATAGGAAAATACCTACTTACTAGTTAGTCCTTAAATAGCCTATGTAGCTTATGCTACCTAGACCTACTCTAATAATATTAATATATAGGTTTTTCTAGGGTTCTACTACTTTTTTACTAGCTTATAGCTATTAGCGGTTATACCTATAAAAACCTAAAGTAGGTTCTTAAGGCCTAGAAGGCCTTAAAGCCTCTTTAGTACTAGAGTCTTCTTTTTCTATAATTTCTTTCTAGCCTTTATAGGTTTTCTACTAGCTTATGCTACTTTAGTACTATTACTAATAAAGTTACTACTATAGTAGTTAACATTATCGCCTAGTAGGGCTACCTATAAGTAGTTACTATAGTCTAATAGTTTTTTACTACTAACTAGTCGTTTAGTACTAGAGGTCCTCTTACTACCCTTACCCTTAGCGAGCGCTATAATAATAGAGTTATAAAGGACTCTAAGGACTCTAAGTAGATTTATCTAGCTACTACTTATTTTCTACTAGTCTTTCTTTTTCTTTTAGAATTAAATTTATTTTCTATCTCCTATTTTTTTAAACTCTAATTCTATATAACTTTCTATATAAAATATACTAGTTGCTAGTATAGAAATTCTAGCTTACTCCTAGTCTACTTACTAAGGATTAGTCTCTAGTTTAAAAGATCTAGTTACTACTTAATTAGCTTTTCTTTTTTTCTTTCTAGAGGTTTTATACTTCTTTAGTAGACTATTATAGATACTAGGGTATCTAAATCTCTTTTTAAATTAGTCTACTACTTCATTATCTACTAGTAACTCTAGAGGTTCCTATATAGGGTTATAGTATCTAGTCTATTTTACTAGGACCTATCTTTCTCTATCTTTCTTATACCTTATATATAGGATTTCTTCTATATAGTATTTTTTATATAACTTAACTAGTATAGGGTCTAGTTAGGAATTATCGGTCTTCTATCTAGGTAGTAGGTTATTACTAGCTAGTTATAGTAGGTCTATATAGAATATAGAGTAGATGTTAGTTAGTAGCCCTATTAGTTATATAGATACTAGTAATAATACCTTAGAGACTATATATTTTATATGTTTTACATCTAGGCTTCTCTTTAGCTATATAGTCTTATAGTTTCTTAGGTCTAGCTATACCTTATTACCTACCTAGTAGACTAGTATAGAGGTCTAGCTATAATTAGCGTTTTCCTCCTATTTCTATATAGAGGCTACTATACTTATCTAGCAAAGTTCTAATATTACCTTTATTTTTCTTATAAAGGTTACTATACGTTTAAAGGCTAATAAATAAGTATCTACTATAGGCTCTATAAATAATACTATAGAGTTTAGTACTTTATAGCTATATATAGTAGAGAAGGGGCTTATTTCTAATCTTGCTTAGTAATAGCTATTTAGCGCTAGCTCTATAGTAGATAGCCATTTCTTTTAGTTAGACTACTTATAATTAATAAAGTAGTATAGGTACGCCTAGGCTTCCTAGTTTATACGCTCTAGGCCTCTATCTATTTAGAAGTAGTATATAGAGCTTAATCGCCGGTATATACTAGTTAGTTAGTAAAGCTCTATCTAAAACATACTTATCTAGTTAGTATCTCTATTACTTATGATTACTCTTAGTAGGCTATAGTATTATACCTAGTAGTCTATAAACTTTTCTATGCACTTCTTAGCTTTTATAGTAGATATTGCTTTAAGGACTACCTACTTAGATAGGTAGTCTTTAATTAGCTAGAGGTATTAGTTACCTTATAAATTTAGAAGGTCTATTATAAAATCTATAGAGATCTCCTAGAAGAAATAGTTAGAAACTAGTAGTAGCTTAAGAAGTCTATATTTAAGCTCTCTCTATACCTTATTATGTCTATAATAGTTATAGTTATATAGGAACTACCTTATATGCCTTAACTAAAGTAGCTAGTAAAAGTCTTAAGCTAGTATTAAGGTAGTAGTATTCTTACTAGGGTAGCTATATACTACTAAGTTATATATAGACTAAATTAATTTAGTATGTAGGACATCTAGTTATAGTAACCTAGAGTCTATTAATTTATACTTAGCCTTAGTATATATAGGCGCACCTAGTACCTATAGTTTACTATAGTATTATAAGTATCTTCTACTATCGATTATATAGTCTCCTACCTAGATTTTAATCTTAACTTTGCTAGGTAAAACATAGGCCTTAGCCTATATTAAGTAGAGGATAATGCTATAGAGACTATCTCTATATAAGGCAGATTCCTAGAGCTAGTTTAGGTCTTTCTCTTTAAAGGGCTTTCTAGTTACCTCCTTAGTCTCTAGAGACGTAGTAGCTACTACTACTATCTTACTATTACTTTCTAGCTATTCCTATATACGTTCTAGCGTAAGGAAGTAGTAAAACTATAACTTATAGTTATCTTCTCCTAATATATCCTATTCTCTCCTAGATAAGGTATCTAGTATAATAGCCTTAGACCCTAGTTAATATACTAGAGAGAACTAAAAGAGGCTTAAATACTTATACTATTATACCTATCTCTCTATAAGTTACCTCTTTATTATAAAGTACTCTAAGTTCTTATAATCTATCTAAATAGTAAAGAGGCCTACTACTTTTAGCTTAAGGGCCTAGAACTTTATATAGGACACTATAGCTAGTATTTCTTTATTATAGATATTATAGTTAATCTCTACTTTATTTAGCTTCCTTAAGAAGAAACCTACTAGCTAGCGCACTCTATCTTTCTCTTAGATTAGTACGCTACCTAGCATAAAGCTACTATAATTAGTCTTAAAGAAGGTAGGATTATCTAGGTTCTACTTAGAAAGGACTAGCGCCTAGTAGAAAAGGGCTTTTAGCATATTAAATACGCTTACCTATAGTTTCTCTTAAGAGAATAGTATACCTTTACTAGTTAGCGCTATAAGTAGCGTAGTAATCTTTAAGTAGTTTAGAATAAATATCTAATAGTAGTTTATAAAACTAAGGAACCTATAGACCTCCTTCTATATAGTAGGCTTCTACTAAGAATATATAGCCTTTACCTTCTCTAGGTTAGTACTTACCTCTTTTTTATCTATATATACTATAAACCTAAGATATTTAATCTTCTTCTATGCGAATTTACTCTTCTTAGGGTTAAGATATAGGCCTCTACTTTATAACTTATAGAGTATAGCTCTTACCTTATAGAAGTAGTCTTCCTTTAAGCTATTAGAATAGATAATAATGTTATTAAGATATACTAAGGTAAAGTCGTCTAGATACTCCTATAGTAGGGTATTAATATACCGTTAAAAAGTAGCTAGGGCCCTAGATAATCTAAATAGGTATACTAACTATTTAAATAAACTAAACCTAGTTTAGAACGCTATCTTATATTTGTCTCTAAGGGCTATTCTAATCTTATAGAATATAGTGATAATATCTACCTTAGTTAACTATCTAGTACCTATAAGATTTTATAAGGTCTCTAGAATAAGTAGTAAGGAGTACTAGTCCTATTTTATAATAGTATTTAATACTCTATAATCGTAGTAGAACTATAAGCCTCTACTAGGCTTCTATATAAAAAGTATAGGGGCTATAGCTTTTAAGTTACTTAGTTAGATATATCCCTTCTTAAGTAAGTCGTCTAGAGACTTTCTTAGTACTAATAGCTCTTCTTTTAATATACTATATAGCAGCCCCTATAGTAAAGCGAAGGGGCTTCTATCTAGTTTTATCTAGAGCTTAATATAGTAGTTAATCCCTTCTTAGTATAGTACTAGTTTTTCTACTTCCTACTTATTAAATAGTAAAGCTATGTCCTTAAGCTCTAGAGGGAGCTTTTATTTAAGAGCTATCCTAGTAAGGTATTCTTTTAGTTTTAGGACTTTTATAATGTCCTTTAAGCTAGTAACGGCTACTATAGTAAGGTTACTATTATTATAGTATAGCTAGTAATTACGACCTTTGTTTACCTATAGCTTTACTCTTCTATAGTAGTACCGGCGTTTTTTAGGCATAGTCTAGACTTTATTATGCACCTTCTAGGGGTTCTCTAGGATTAGGGGAAATGCTAGGTCTAGTATAACATAGGTATATACGACTTAGTAAAACCTAGCGATTTCTATATAGAAGGTAGTAACTCCTTTAATTCTAGAGCTCTTTATAGTAGATAATGCTTTTCTAACCTTATATTTATTATTACTAATAAAATGTACTTTAAGACCTTTTATAAGGTCCCTATTAATTATAGTATAGTACTAGCATCCTTTGTTAATAAGAGTAGAAGTTCTAGTATTATTTTTAAGGATTACATCTATATATACAAGATTCTTATTTATAATCTTCTTAGCTTTAGCCTACCTTTTATCTAGTACTTCTTTATCTTCTCCTATACCCTAACTTTAAGTAGGAGCTACTCTTTTCCTAAGTTATAACTAGTAGGCTCTAATCTATCTAAGCTAGCCTCTAGTAGAGGTAGTATGTTAATAGCGTTAATTATAGTTAGTTAGATAGCTAGTATATAGGGATATTCCTTAATATAGTGCCTACTTACTCTATAGTAAAAGTAGAGCCTATTCTCCTTTTATCTTTCCCTTTTAGCGTTATTAACCTACTTAGCTCTAGCCTTACTATTCGATCCCTAGTAGTCTCTATTTCTTTTACTATAGCTACTAAAGGTATATATAGGTACTATTATAGTGTTGCTATTAAGGTCTATAGTTAGAACTACTACGACGTTTAGGACCCTTATAGCCTCTAAGGTATATATAGTAATATTCCTATTTTTATATTTAGACCATTTTTAGTTAGTAGCGTAGAACTAATTAGTCGTTTCTAGATTAGTTATAATACATTCTACCTTCTTAGAAAAGGAGTAGTAGTTCTTCGTTTTTAGGATAGTAGCTATATATATCTTTATAAGGTTAGAAAAGGTATTCTTTAGGTATCTAATCTTAGTAGGGTCTAGCTAGCTATCTCCTCTTACGCTAAGTAAAAGTCTATCGAATTTAAGCTAGTATTTATACTAAGGTTAACTAACTAAATATCTAAGGCTAGTAAGCTACTTAAGGGCTTTAGCCTATTTATTACTCTCTATAAATATATTCTTAAGTTATATAAAGAAAGCTTTAGGGTCCTTACCTTTTATAGAATCCTCCTTTTTCTAGAAGTAATATATATAAGCTCTCTTATATAGAAAGAGGGTATTATAAATAATATTCTAGTAGTATTTAGTAGAGAGTATAGGCTTTAGACTAGATTATACTTAGTAGGAGCTTCTTAACTATAGAAGGTAGTTATAGAATGTCTTAGTATAACTATCCTAAGAGGGAGGTTTCTAATCCCTAGGACCTAACATTTCTCTATTAGAGCCTAGGCAAGAATTTATAGTAAGTATTTAAAGTAGGGTTTATAATAGGGCATTTATAAAGCTCTTATTATATTAGCTAGTAGCTATAGGGTTCCTACTAGCTTCTACATTTTTTATAGTAGCGTAAGTATCTCTTAGCTTAGCCTCTAACTAATATTATTAGTTATAGATTTCTTTAAGAATGTATTACATTTCTATAGTAGGCGTCTCTTATTATAGGACGGCCTTTATAACATAGTCCGACGTTTCTATAGCATAGTATACTATATTTATACTAGTATCTATATTAGGGTTTATAAAGGTCGAACCTAATATTATAGGCGAATAATATATATATAGAGATTTAATATACTTTTATAAGAAATAGGTTTAATAAAGGGAAGAAGAAGCTATCTATATAGAGTCTATAAAATATTATGTAGACGCTAAGAATGCTAAGGAGCTATATATAGGCTTAGCCTATACTATACTAAAAGGGCTTACCCTTTATATGCTATATAAAGTAGCTAGTTATCTATACTTAATAAAGGCTTCTATTCCGTCGATCTTATAGTACTACCTTATACTTACTTAGCTAATTAATAAGTAGTATCGAAGCCTTACTCTACTACTCTTTATATAGTCGTAGTAGCTATAAGGCTTCGATAGCTAATCGGATTAGTATAGGTAGTAGCTCTTTAAGCTCCTTATCTAACTTATAGTCCTCTTATAAATTAAATTAAGTAGCTATCTCCTCCTTTATTTAATTAGTTACTATAAGGCTCTAAATAGCTTCCTTAGCTAGATTAAGAAAGCTCTTAATTAATATAGCTAACTAAATTCGCTACTACTACTAAAGCTAATTTATAAGGCTACTAACTTTAGAGATTACTTCTCTAATTTCTATACTATCTTATTATATAGAAGGCCTTAGAATAGGCATTAAGTAGTACTAGTAGTTAGTAATAGTAGCTTTTAAAATAGTCTACTATACTTATATAGACTAATAAATAGCTTTAAAGATATTAGTTATTTTAAAAGGATTTTTACTAGCCTTAAATTAATTAACTATATATAGTAGCTAGTGCTTATAGTAGTAAGCTTTCTAAGCATAGATAATATCTTAATCTAGTAGCTAATACTTTAATATAGTATTTAGTAGAAGCTAGTAGATAATAGTATTTTATAAAGGCATTAATTTAATAGCTTTAAGTTCTATAGTAGCTATATAAGCTAAAAAGTTATCTATTAGTAGAAGGATCTTTTAGCTAGTAACTTGCTAATTAAACTAGTAGAGCTACTTAATTATAATATTAGTCTTTATCTATACTTTACTATTATGCTGCTAGTAGTAGCTAAGCAAGTTAATATTAATATTAGTAGTACTAAAAGCTTAAGGCTTCTTATACTTACTAATAAACTAGAGAGGTAGCTTATAGCTACTATCTATATTATAGCAAAAGTAGATAGTAATTTAGGCCTTTTTAAGCTTTATACTAGTAATAACTTATATAGCTTAGCCTCTATTAGGAGTAATCTTCTAAAAGAGGCCGGATTTATTATAGTTATATATATTAGAAGGGTAGAATTAAGAGGCTATTACCTATATAGTAACTAGCTACTTAGTAATTAAAGCCTTATTAACTAAGCTAGCTTTACTATATTGAACTTGCTTACTAATTCTATACCTCCTCTTAAATTTCTTAAGCTAGCTATTACTAAATTAAGGTACCTCTATATCACGATAGATCGGTAATCGGTACTAGAAGCATATAGCTATAGCTCTAATAAGCTCGTTCGATATTAGTACTTAAGTCTTAATTTAAAGCTACTACTCGTAGAGGCATGTCTCGAGCTCTAGCTAGTGCTACGTGTAAAGCCTCTTCTAAGAGGGGCCCTCGCTATTATATTCGTTATTAAGATCGGTGAAGCGCGCTAAGAGGCTCTTAGAGATGGTTCCTTAAGACGGTCGATGGCCAAATTGCTGCTTAAACCAGCTAGCTAGCTGTAGCTAATTAAGTGCGCAGTACTGCTACGCGTAGCGACGAAGAGCTCTACGCTGCTTAGTGGTAATCGCGCGTCGCCGGCGAGGCTCCGGAGGCTTCATGGCGAACTCGATATAGCGATAATTGGCTCTGGAAGCAGCGATATATCGAGGAGGCGAGGAATAGCGATAATTGTATGAGGAATTTGATGATTGACGAAAAATAATCGCTCAATCGAGGATATCGTTGTACGGATCATTGCTATAACGAGGTGTGACTGTACTGCATGAGAAGGCTTGTTGTAGCTTTAGGAAGTCACTCCGGAAATCAAGCAAACGCGATCGAACAACTCGAAAGGACAAGTCAACTTCAATCAATTTATGATAAGACCTCGAAGTTGAAGGCCGGGCTTGATGAAATATTAATAAAACTTTAAGCTTGCCTTTCCTACTCATCATACTCCAGGGTCAGAGTAGTGGGAATGGGTGACTCCTTCGAGGACGCATCAAGGTATTGTCTCATCTTGACACCAGCAACCTCATGCTCAACAATCGAGAACTGCCCAGCGCGACCTTGCGCACGACGCAAATTCTTCAACTTGAAAACTTCCTTCAATGTAGCAGCCAACGACACACCGACCAATCTCGCACCAAAGCAATAATGCAAGCCATGACCAAGAAGAATGTAGGAGCTGAACGGACGATGAGGGTCCAGTTTTTCTGGGTTGGGGAATGCTATAGGATCCATGGATGCCTTCGACGTCGCGATCAGGACGGTTTGGTTGGCTTTGATATGAATGGGGCCGCGAGTGCCGTCGTTGACAGTCACATCCTGCGATGCCACACGAGGCAGGCCTGGGACCACACCCGCATGGCGCATGCCTTCGAAGACGAAACCTTGAAGCTCGCGTTCCGCTGCTGGATCGTCTCGGTGAGCAAGTTCGGTGATGCGATCTTTGTAGACTTCGTAGCCGGGGCTTAGGAAGAGGTCGATAAGCAATGATGCTTGTTGTGTGATGTTGCCTGCGACTGGAGCACCCATGCCGATACAGTCACCGACCAAATCACCAACGGGAAGCTTTGTCGCATTCAAGGCATGGTAGATGCGATCTGCATCCGGGCCAACCTCATATGCTGTACCTTTAGCAACCCAGTCCACCACTTTTTCTTTGACACCTTGTTGAGTTTCAAGATGAGCTTTCAAGATCTTGCGCAAGATCGGCGCAACCTTGGTAGCTCCTTCACGGAGTGTGGTTTCGACTAGAGGTTGGATGTTGAAACTCTGGTACATGAACAAGACCAAGTAGATACCAAAGAGCTCAGGGACCGATAACAGGCCTCGAGGATGCTCTGCGTCCTTGATGGGGATAGCGAATCTCTCCGCCAGCCAGAGGATAGGCGTGACATTGGTGACGTCTCGTACAATGTCAATTGACCGCCTGGTACCTTGATACTTGAGCGAACTCTGCGAGATGAGTCTTGCAACATTCGTGCGGAAGAACTTCGTGACGTTCGCTTCAAAGTTCTCTTCAAAGAACACTTTATGAAGAATCTTTGATCTGTCGTCGTGCTTCTTCTGTTGATCCCATCCGATCATGAAGTCGTGCCCATCGGTACATTGTCTGATTGCTGCCTGGTACATGACGCGGAAGTTTTCGCGGTCCTCAAAGACCTTCTTGCAGCCTTCTTGCGTGTGAACAGAGACAACAGTCTTATCACTCTTTGGTCTGGTGAGATCATATTGATCAATAACTCCGTTGCCCTTCAAGATCCCTGCTGCAGCTTTGGGTGTGTAGAAAGGCAATAAAGCATAAGAAGATGTGCCAGTGAAGGCATTAGGTAGTCCCGAGAGAAGCAATTGCGGAAGCATGCCTCCATATGCTCCTGGTGGAGAAACGCTGAGCTTGGCGACACCCCAATTTGTCAAGGTCGAACTGTTCATATCGTAAGAAAGGAAACGATCTCCTCGGACTAGGGCAACAGCATCATCGAGAATACCACGTCCAGTAGTTTGGCCTGGACAGACACCACTACCAGCCATAGCAGGCTTGGTGACTTCGGCCATCAGCCCTGGATACAGTTCAAGGTTGTCAATGTGGCCGTAGAGGAGCTCTGCAGCTCTGGCAACCTCTTTGTCAGGGTTCCACTCTTCGAAGTTCGCGTACGCCTTCAAATTAAGGTAGCGACGGAACCTAGAAATGTCAGTATCTCTGCTGTCTTCCCTCTTCTGTGACTTACTCATTCATTGTGCAGACTTGGAACTTGTTGCGAGCTTGAAGCATTCCCATGATATCGACAATCTTCAGACTCGCGGGTGTGCCGTGAGCACCGAAAGCATGCGCTGGCGACTCAATACAGTCCTTGATGATTTCTGCAAGGTCAACATCGTCAAACATGCCATTGGAGTTTCGTTTGAGTTTTCCAAAGGTCCAGTTTCTAGGAAGAGTGTCCTTCAGCTTGTGGCCCTCAGTCATGACAACCTTCTTAAACATGTCCGGCGTAACATCGTCCACAGATTTGAGCCCCGGAAGATTTTCTCTTAGGAGATCTTCCATCCATTTTGCGTCAGCAGCGCTCAGAGCCGCATGCCAGTGGTAGAGAACAGCAAACTCAACAGAGACGACATTGCCAGTGCCGCGTTCTAAGCGTTGACCAGCTTGCTTGATTTCAGCGCCAAGGTCAAGAGACCACTCTGAGTTGGCTCTTGGAGTGTTCAAGATGGCGGCAACATAGTCTTTGAGGACGACGGTAGCGAAGAAGCCGACAATGATGTTGCGAGCAAGCTGGAAAATGTCTTCATCTTGTCTATGTTGTTGTCAGTGGTGATCAATCAACAGATACACTCAATCATCTTGACTCACTCGGTCCTCTGCTCCTCATTCAAGGTCTCCCATGGCTTGTACTTGCCATCTTCGTTGACAGAGAACAATGAGTGGGCGATGCTGTTGTGGTTTCTCGAGAACATAATCAAGACTGCAATCACTCCAGGTGGCATCATCATGATTCTTTCAGAAGCAACTGAGTCTGGGTATATCGTTCCATTCTCATAAGTGCGCACACGCTTTTGTTCGACTTCTGTGTTTCCGTAAAGAGTGCTCAGATCAACATAACTGGAAGTTTCGTTGATCCATGGGTCTGTTCGAGAGGTCTGGAAACACTCGTGAATAACAATTGTGGCGAAAGAGAAGAACAGTCTGTTGAGACCAGAAGGGTGCTCGCGAAATGGTCCTTTTCTCTTGAGCAGTTGCTCAAAGACAAGCTCGGGATCAGGAAGGTTGGGACCTTTCGGCCTCATTGGTGGGACACTTCTGCTGTAGGGGCTTCCGGCTTTGCCCATCTCGGGATTCCATGGATTGTTATTGCCACCGTCGTGTCGTCTGTATCTGGCCGTGGGTCCAGCTAGAGTTACTGGTGGATGAGGTAGGTCGTTGTAAAGCATCTTGATGAAACCTTCTGACACCATTGCAGAAAGTCCGCTATTCGGTGGTGCAGATTGTAGTGCAGCTACGCCATGCTCGAGCAAGAGCTCTTTGTCGTCCATGGGCTCACCGGACGCGATTGTTGTCAAGCCTTGAGCCACGGTACTCATGTTTTTCACGCCCATGTGTGTGATATCATGGAGTATCGATGTCTTTTCGTTGATGGGGCTCAGCTCTGCTTCGGCATTGGTCTTTCGGTCTGGAGCTGTGGAAGGCTTCTTCCTGATCGATCCGATCAATGACTTGAGCTGACCGACCGCCATGATTGTGGTAGATGATGAGTATAGAGAAGATTAGGGATATGTCAAGAACAATCAGAAAAAAAGGCTCGGACAAACTCTACGTGACAGGAAACCAGATGTGTACAGATATACTGTCAAGTAGTTTGTCTTGTCTTTGCATCATTGCAAGCTCTGGCAATCATTTCCTAGGATGGTCAATGGCCCGTGAACGCACTGAACATTCACATGGCGTGCGGAGGGGTAAGGATCGGCGAGTCACTAGCGGTTATCATTGATCCAAATTCCATACCATGCTCGCATGACAATGGTTTTTTTGTAATCAATGTCTGACGATTGGTCGGAGCAATGTCGTGTTACATCTCGTGCGTAGACAGATAGCTGTTGAGGCGGGGCAAGCATACTGATCGACAACAAAAGAGGAGAAACAGCAAGACTACTAGCTCAGCAAGTGATTTGCAGCGTAATGACATGAAGCTAGGTAAACGCCATTGTGGTGTGTCGGCGGTGTAATCTCAACTTCAGCTGGTGTCGAAGGCGTGCAGTAGTCGTGTGATCGTCGAAGCAAGGTCAATTGATGTTCATTCAGTAGACATAACGGTCTTCTTGGAATTGACTATGCATAGCCATCCAAGATGATCGTAGAGGTAGATCATTGGTTTGTAGAAGTTATCGTTCCAAATGAGTCGTGGAAAAAGTCGTGCACGCACCAGCTTTCGTCGCTTGAGGCTGCGGTACGCCAGATGTGCACAAAAAGACGATATCCGCTCTCCAACGCTCGTGCATGAAGACACCTACCTTTCCTAGCGTCAGATGGACGAATATCGATTCTGCACTAACTGTCTCTTTGCTGCTTGGAATGACAACTTTTCGACTTGATTCAAGGCTAATGCTAATCTTTGCTTTGCGCAGACATAGCGACAAAGCTAGTGTATGCCCTACAGCGAGAGCAAATCTCATGAGCTTGTTCGTCAGTCGGCAACGACGCTGGTACGGACTTCCGCTAGAAGCTGTCAGCAACCATTGTTTGTGATGTTGCACTCGGTGGCTGATCTTCACGCGACTGAAGCTTTCCAGCTTCGAACTCTCGATAGCTAATTGGTACCTGCCACGTATCGTCGCTCGACTTGTCACTCTCCTGATAAGAGTCACTACAAGACTCGAGAATGTCTCTGCAGTACGACATGGTGGAGCTCATATGATTTCCAGATGAGGGCAAAGCACCATTGTTTGGCTTTTCGCGAATTGTCGTTGTACAGCAGCAGTGCGGTGTGCGGCGCTAACGCTATACCATGTGGGTCGCGAGATCGTGCTCGCCGGTAGATCGCACATGTTTGGTAAGAGCGGATCGGGACGCTACCGTCATCCTGGAAAAATGCTTGGGATCTACAACATACCAACTGGATTTGTTCGGAGCACTGATTTATTGGTGATTGACAGTATGATGAATAGGGTCAGAGGCACGCGGACGATGACATTGTAAACGATGTCAGTCGACGCCACTCTCTGCCGAATGCTCTTCTGCATGCTCTTCGCAGTCCATGAGTTAATTGAGACCTTTGCAATCATAATTCGTATTCCGCAACAATGGACCGCCGTGGCTCATACCCCATACAGTCAGCACCAGAAGTGTCGCCAATCTCAGCTATACCGTCAGAGAAAGCATCGGCCAAACCAAGCACACCTCAATTGCCTAGATACATTCATGCCACCAAGGATGGAACAACAACAAAAGGTCGTGCTCTGATCATTTGTTTGGATGGCACTGGCGACAAATTCGACGGCGATAACAGTAACATTGTACATCTTGTCAGCTGCCTCAAGAAAGACGATCCACACCAGATCACATACTACCAGTCAGGTATTGGCACATACAATGCCGGAGGACTGAGCAACGGCATCGCTGCTGCTGTTGACATGGCAGTTGGCAGTGGCCTTGGTGTCCACGTGAGAGATGCCTACCGCTTTCTCATGCAGACATACCGCGAAGGCGACAACATCTGCCTCTTCGGTTTCTCTCGAGGTGCATACACTGCTCGCTGCTTGGCTGGCATGCTCCACAAAGTCGGGCTGCTTCCTGCACACAATCGAGCTCAGGTTCCATTTGCCTACAAATTCTACAAAGATGACACTCAGAAGGGATGGGACATGAGTGCCGAGTTCAAGCGAACATTTTGCATGGATGTCAATGTCCATTTTGTCGGAGTGTTCGATAGTGTCGCCAGCGTCGGTTTTATCCCGAGAAAACTGCCGTTGAGCAGCACACCAAGGAACAAACCAAGCTACTTCAGACATGCGATGGCCTTGGACGAGCACAGAGCAAAGTTCAAAGTTTGTCGTTACCAACAGAAAGATCATACAGATCCCGATTCGAAATGGGTCACAAAGGCTGCCACCGAGGGACAGTCGCAGTCGCAACGGCAGAGACTGGCGTCCAGTAGCACTGAAGACACATATACTGGTTACCAGCCCAGGTCGATGAGGAAAAACTCATATGCTTCCAAAGCTGTGCGAGAGGTCGATTGCCTCGAAGTCTGGTTTTCGGGTTGTCATGCCGATGTAGGTGGGGGCGCAGTTTTGAATGAAGAGCGCCACAAGGCATCGCAAATACCTCTTCGCTGGATGATTCGACAATGCTTCGAGTGCAACACGGGCATCATGTTTGACACACATCGACTAGCTGAAGAAGGTCTCGACGTCCACATGCTCTATCCTGTGTATCAAAGACTCGAGAGACCTACAGTCGGTCCCTCTCCAAACACAATGGAGAAGTACCATCAAGGCGAACTTGCACCAATTTCACGCCGCTCCACTCTTCTAGAAGCTCAAGACAGCAACCACGAAGACGGCCTCTACAATCTGAACCTCTACGAAGATATAGAAAAGCGCAAGAGATCCGAACACTGGATGCCAGAACAAATCGAAGACTACTTTGATGCTATCGCACCGATCAATGATCAACTCGTGCAAGCAAAGTTCTGGTGGATCTTGGAGTTGTGGCCGATTAAGGTTCGCTTCCAGTCGAAGGACGAGGACACTTGGATCAAGAAAGTGAGAATGAATTTGGGAAGATACAGAGCTGTGCAGGAGCCAGAACCTAATTTGCATTGGACGGTGCAGCAAAGGATGCTGGATACTGGCTACAAGCCGCAAGTGAGAACGGGTAGAGGAGCAGCTTGGAGGTTTGTTGTCTAGTGCTTTTACTTGATTGTATCCATCTGCTGAGTCCGATGGTGATCTGGTGACTTTCTGCTAATATTTTGTTCTTTATCCTTGAGGTCTGAGAAGCCCTCTTGTCAGACCACAGATTCTGCATGTTGCTCATCCTTCCCTATCTTTCTTGTATGCCTTCTGCCTCACAATTCTGCTGGTCGTTCCCAATCTCTTCTGTGTCTTGAGAAACAAATATTACCTCGCCTTCGTCTTTGCTTCGCCATGTGTCAGTCAAAAACTTGCTCTATCCGCAATATGTTCTTAGATGACCAAATCTTCGGTCTGGGACCGTCAATCGTCTTTCGAGAGGGATATTCAGATAGGTGCTCGAGCATGTTCCCGCATTTCACGATGAGACATCTCGACCCAGCCGTGATCATGGAAAACGTTCAGCATCTCTTCGATACCATTTGTTGTCTTGCTAACCTGCGCTTCCACGATCGGCGTTGACCGGAGAGGCACCGTGATGAGAAGATAATCACCACGTTGCAGCGCCAACGCATGGTGTTTATGCGCAATGCGGCGGAGTCTGACCATACGTGAAATGATTCTCGAGGCATATGCGTAAATGTGGTGTCTCATGTGGCAGAGCGAGTGATATAACTGTGGTTGGAGCGTGGCGAGCTCTGTAGAAATGGGCACCTCGACGAACGTGCGAATGCCGGACTTGAGGCAAGCAAAAGGCTGGACGACCTTGATGATCCCAGCGATGGACAAGTAAGTGTCCCGCAACAGGTCGGTTAGTGAGGTCGCGGTGGTCGTGCCAACTTGATAGCCCAGAACACGTATATTGGGCAGGCGAATGTTGACGAGGTCGACGATCAACTTCATATCTCGGGGAGTCATGGCAGCAGACTTATCATTGATGACCAGAGAAGTCAGCATTGAACAGGTTGTAGGACTGTGTGACCCAAGAAAGCGAGTCAGGGGGCTGAAAGCAACAGTATGTTTCAATGATTTGGCGACAGGCAGGATTTCACCAGATGAGTAGACGAGATCTGCATTGTTGTAGATGGTCTTGGTCGCTTCCACATACAGCATCTTGCTGGCTCTGGCCAATGACCACAGATCAGTGAAGTCGAGGTGATGTAGCGTGAATGGTTGGACATCGACGCAGCAGGGAGCCGTGGAGTGGCCTTCATTGTGTGGTTGCTCGGTCTGAGTACATCGAGCGCGGCTCCAGGTCTTTTTCTTGTTGTCGAGAGGATCAAACGTCAAGGCGATGCGCAATCTATCTCGGATGGGATCGACTAGTAGGAGTTGGTAGATGTGTAACTTGATCTCTGGCGGCAGGTCGGTGAGGCGAGCCATGTTGGATGATGGTCTACTGGAAAGGGTGTGAGGAAGATCGAGAGGATTTGTAGTGTTTAAGGATGTTTGTGACGGCAGATGGCCGAAGAATTATCGGACGGTATTTAGCAGAGTTGGGCTTTGTTCCAAGGTAGAGATAAAGTAAAACGAAGCGAAGTGAAGGTGAAACTGAAGGGTTGGAGTCCTTCTGATATGAGACATTGTTCAGTCTCTACCTTGTTTGGCAGTGACCATGCTCAATAGTCCTTCCTTCCTCACATTACGCACTCTCACTATCCGCGCAGGGCAAAACCAGATGATGTGTAAGCTATCACTCTTAATGATTTGCTTGCTGGGGATTGCAGCATTGTTTGGAAACGCTCTTTTGATTTCAGGATTTGTATCCTCAATGACGTTGAGGCTGTACAAGTAAAAGGTCACCTTATCGATTGTCTTGTTTGTTTCGTGTCACTCACCAAAGTTATATACTTTGAAACAAATGCGAATTTAGAGAAATTCGCAAGATCAATCCTGTCAATGACTTGATATATGCTGAGCGAGACCAGACGATGTCTGACAGATCATCTCATCTGCAGGCTCATGCTACCATTTGTCTTAGTTTCGCGGCAGTTTGCTACCCATGCCCATCAAGCCCATGAGATTGCCAGCAGGCCCAGCCATGCCACCTTGTCCCTGGAAACTCTCGAGCATGTTCTTCAGCATCTCATAATGTGGGTCTCCATCTTCACCAGCAAGTAGATCGTCATCATCGCTGCTCTCATCATCGATAGTCACCGGTCGTGCCTTTGCTTTTCCTTTGCCTTTGTTCTTGTTTCTGCCCTCGATGTCTTCGCGGACCTTGTCTTCAAATCTGACGTTCTTGCCCGCTGCATTCGTTTCGGGTGCGGCGTGTGGTGTGAATGCTTTGCCTTTACCCTTGTCCTTGCTCTTGTCGTTATTTCCATTTTTCCTTGATTCGTGGATCTCTTGCATCATCTTCCAGATCTGTTCTGCTTCTTTTTCGTCGTCTCTTTCCATTTCTTCCTCATCTTCCATTTCCAGAGCCAGTTTTCTAGCTTCTGAATTCAAACCGTTTGTTTCTTTTTCTGTGTCAGGCATGCCCATCATCTCGCGCATCGCTCGTTCAAACTCTGCATCTGTGAAAGAGCCGGCTTTGTCTTCACCTTCGTCGTCCTCATCTTCTTCGTCTGAATCAAAGGCCGAAGAGCCAGAGGAGAAGGTCTCGGCACCAGTCTCTTCGTCTTCGTTGAGGAACTTTTCGAAGCGTGAGACCATGTCTTGAAGATCTTTTTGTGTTGATTTATCACCAAAGCCCTGGCCTTCAGGCATGTCGCCTGCTGCGACCCCGCCACTACGACCTTTGAGCTCTTTGTCAAAGTCGTTAAAGTCGATATCCAGCCATTTATCATCATCTTCATGCTGCGGCCATGATCTGATCTCTTTGTCTGAAGGTAATGTGTCTTCCTCTTCCTCGACGTCTTCAAGTAGCATGTTCATCTCTCTGACTTCGCGCTTGTTCTTATTTTGAGGATCACGTAGCATCATCTCGAAACCACAAGATAGCTTCATACCCAACAGAACAGGCTTCTTGTGGATGTGAGGAGTTATGCCTACCCAAGCTAGCGGTGGAGGGAAGTCCTGACTCACGAGCTGTGCATAGCCGACTTTGGGAAAGCGCACACTCACAGTGACAAAATCTTCGGGAGCGAATTGGAGAGTAGCCGTGTCCTTTGTGGCCAGGGGCTTCACAGCGATGGGATCGCGAAGGTAGAATGCCTCGATAGCTGGGGCTACGTAGGCTGGATTGCGATGAAGGAGGTAGGCGAGACGGCGAGGTACAGATAATAGTGCGTTATGTTGGCTCTTCGAGATAGCGGCTGGATAGTCTCTCAAGCGGTGGAAAGCTTCCTCTTCAATCATGGGCGAGTGCATTGTCGAGTGAGGAGTTTGCTGCAAGAACAGCAAAGCTTGTGCTATGTCGACGTTACCAGAGATACCAGGAGTTGTGGGTCCTGATGCTCCACTGCCAGCATTTCTTTGTAGTGGTATGATGTGAAGTTGTCCGCGATGTATCCAAACACGGTTGTCGGCAAGTTCAGGTTCCAACCATTTTGGCAAAGCATTCGCAGCTTCTGCGAGCAGAAATTCACCATCGGGATCTCGAACTTGAATCCATGCCGAGGTATGCCGTTGGCTGAGATCGAGAAGGAGCCACACAATTAACCATTCGTCTGCTATTGAGTCGCCAAAATTGGTTCGTCCATGAAGGTAGTAATCGTGACCAGGGATCTGTAACTTTTCTTCTGACGCTTCTCCAGCTTCGTTGCCATTGAGGCTAGAGTCGATCCTGGCATCAATCAAGTCTAGTTGGAATTTCTCGCGTTGCCAGATATAATCCTTGAGGTCCGCACTTTTGAGTAAAGCATTAGCAGCTGATTGAACAGCTTTCAGCTTCTCTCGGCGAGCATAGTCGGTCTTGAGTTTCGAATCGATGACAAAAATTGTGTATTCAATGCAATCGTCCGGTAGGCGTTTGGTGAAATCAGAAAAGCCTTCGCCTCCTCCGAAGCCGCCAAAATCTTGTGCTCCTTCATCGTCGGTATCCACTTCCTCTACGCGATTTTGGTCGTCCAACATCGTTTTCCCCAACGCGTGATTTAGACGAACGAAATTGTTGTTGCTGAACGATGTGGACAAGAGGTTCTGGTGGCGGGCATGTTCGGGCCCGGGGCGGCAGAAAACGCGGCCGCGTGGTGGTCCAAGCGCCAGGGCTTTCGTCGCTGCCCTGGCCCAACCTCATCTTGACTTGACCATCTGCTTTACCATGTCGAGAGCTTCTTTCTGTATGGCATGACCATGTGAAAATCTCTTGACAACTTTGAACTAAGGATGGATGCCGCCAGATACCGTCAGAAGGTCTGGATCTACTTCAACCGAGTCAAAACGATCAAAGACAAGATCCGCTTTGCAAGCCCGTCAGCAGGAGATGCAGTGATCAGACGTCAGAATAAACATCATTCAGATCACCATGGCCCGTCGATACTATTGCATTGTACACACTAATCAAATAATACGGCAAAGGCTCTGATGAGGGCTCTGTAGTGTCCCACAGATCTCCACGATTGTAAGACCTTCAACCAGAAAACTATATCTGATCTCCGTCGTCTTCTCCAGGAGTTTCCTATCGCATGAGATACTTTTAGCCATCGTGCATACGCTTCTAGTCTTCATTCATATAGTCTTACCTAGCGTAGTGGCTGTTTTATTCCTCTTCTGCTATGATGTGACTGGAAACATGCTACTAGCTGATATCGAACAACTAAAATGTACTTTCATCTGTCGATGGTCATTTTGGGAGCAAAGGCCCTGGTCAGATCGACGGTACCAGGCGTGTGAGTGATGGATCCGTGCCTCTGAGGTCCATATCAGCGATCTCACTTATCCCACCAACCCACCTCTCACTTCACTTCCCTCTTCTACCCATAAAACCCCCCCTTATCTTCCTTCCTCTCGTCCCCAGCCAAGCAAGGGTCCCGCCTTACACGCCTAGGTGTGTTTGGCCCACTTGGCTGGCGCCGACATTCAACAACCCCTATACGCGAGTTCGAACCTCGCGATAGGCAATCTCTTTCTTCACTTCTTGGATCTGGACTTTGAACCTGGACATACACTTGGACTTCAATCTGGATTCATATAGGACTTGGATCTGAATAAGAGAACTCGGAGGCTGCCGGGTTTCTTTCCACCTGGAGGGGGTGGTTTCTTTTACTGTTTTTGCTGGAAGAATGTTGTGGTCCTCAACGACACTCACCGGCCACGAAGATGTTCGAAACATAGATACGAGTTCGCGATTCAAAAGACGCGAGCAAGGAGTGCTACTCAAGGCTTCTACAGCACAAACAAAGCTGGCAACTCTTGTATGCAAGACCATTCCATTCGACGAACTATGTCACTCCATTCATGAATCATCAAGAACTATAATAACAAGAAAACAACATCTCCAACTGCCGCTTATCCTTCTCCTCAACAGTGCTAGGCGTACTCGCCCTCCTCGCCTGCATTTTCAACTGCTCAATCGTCTGCTGCATAGCCTGTTCCTGCGTCTTCCTCACCAACATCGCAAACGTCTCTATCAAGTCAAAGCTATCAGATTCTTCTTCATCAAGCTCGCCAACCTTGCGTCTGTGGCGTGCAAACCTCAAAGGCGTTTTTGTAGCTTTGACTTTGCGCACAAAGTCGCTGCGGCGTGAGTGGTAGCGGATGGAGCGGGCAGACCAAAAGTCTTTGGCCATTTCGCCCAGTTCATGCATGCGGGCGGCAGCGAGGCCGCTAGGGCTGAGGTCAAGTTTGTCCTTCCACTGGCCGGGTTTTTGGTTGGTGCAGACCAGTTCGTTGACATGCTTGCGAATGGCGGTATCTAGTGACTCTCCATAGCCAGACAAGACGACGTCGACGAGGCCGATATCCTTGGCTTGTTGAGCTGATACAGGCACCATATCACGCAAAAGGCGGTGACCGGTCTCATAACCTGCTCTACCATAGTATGTAATCGTGTGATATTCGCTACCGAACAACCCCAAAGCACGATACGCAGGATTGATGACAACGTGTTCGCCAGCGAGTACGAGGTCAGCGGCAGCAGCGAGCGCCACACCTCCAGCAGCAGCATTGCCTCGAAGCGTAGCCACGGTGATGATTCCGCGAACAGCAAAGTCGTGTAGAATTAGAAGGATTACATCGTTGATCGCGTTGATGTTGGACCAAGACTCGTGGGCTGGATCCGGACTGCTTTCGATCACATTGAGATGTATGCCGTTCGAGAAGTAGGTACCTCCCAGCAGAACAACTGCTGATAAAGGGTTCAACTCCGTGTGTGTCTCCAGAATGCTTTGTAGAGCAGCACACATCTGACGACACTGATTTGTACTCATTGCTCCGTTGTAGAAATCGAAAGTCAGATAAGCGACACGTTGACCTGTCGCTATCTCGTCGTACTCGATAAAGATCTCTTGGAATGTTGGATAGTTGAGTCTTGCAAAGTCTTTCGGCAAGAGAGGAAGATATTGAGGCAGTTTCTTGGGATCTACAATCCCAAGATCTACGAACAATGGTATGGCAGGCACTTTTGGCCAGAGCGTGGGGTCTGTCTTCTTCTTGACTCGTCGACCATGAGTTATCCAAACACCCTTGCCATCAAGGGTCTTGAAGCACACAGCATCGTTGCGAACACCAATGAATGTGCCTGGCTTGACATCGATGGTTGACATGTGTTCGCCATCTTCAATCAAACCACCGTAGACATAGAGATTCGGAGAGAAATCTCTAGTAAGACAGCCTGGTTGCGAGTCTGATGCTCGTATAAGTCTCGAGATCATCACGGCGCCATGGCGATTGACATCAAAGCCTCTATTAGCAGCTTTCAGCAGAGGAAGAGGACAAGTGTGCCCGCCAAGGAAGGGCTCGCCAGTGCTGGCAGAAGCGGTGCCGTACTCGGGTTTGGTCTTCAAACCAGGGTTGATGCATTCCCGGTCATCAACGTCGCCAGCCTTTGTGTCTTGAACTTGTCTAGCAGCGGACTTGATCCTCTCGATGGCGGTCGAACACGCTATCAAGGCAGCTCGTGTGACGTCTCCTCGATAGAGACTCGACTTAGTGGTAGTGTGATTGTCGATGTTGACGCTGAACTGCTCCCATGCCCATACTGGACCTGCATCATATTCTGCAATAGCTTGCAAGACTGTTACACCCCAGTGGCTGCGACCATGTTCGGACCACAAATCTTTGCCGATAACTCTTTGTATGTCTTCGTCGGTCCCATCCTCGCCCATAAGCATGAAGTCTAGAGCGCTGGGACCGCCGTCTCCAGGAGCACCAGGATGGACTATCAAGGTCATGTACTTGCTGTACACTTCCGCGGGGACCGGAGAGGTAAGAAAGGGGCAGATGATAAGATGTGGATGGGCAAGAGAAGCTGCCTCGATCATGGTATCTGTCGACAATGCATACTCGACAGTAACCTCGTGCTTGAGAGTCAGAGTCAAGTACAGTCGTTGTGACAAAGAGTTGTGTGCTGTACAAAGAAGAAGGATCTTCATGCTGTCGTATGTTGCTGTCGATGAACGAAGTATACCACACCAGGTTGTTTGACTTGAAAGATAGATAACAAGGAAAGAGTATGGTGGTTATAGCTTCGTTAGAAGAACCATTGTTATATGCTGTGTTCTCCGCCAGCTCATCTTCGATGTCCGTCGGACAACGTCAGCGGCAAAGGGCACGTGCAAGTCTCGCTTTAGAGTGTCCAATTGATCTGCTTTGTGACCGACCAAGAGATTGTGTGGGTTCTGTCAGAGTTTACAGGTGATTGAGATGTACGATTCTCCAGATGTCTCAACTACACAGCACCATTGTTGATAGCAGAAGTTGTAACATCGACTGCAAACAGTAAAGCTCGCTGATGTCTGCCGCAAAATCCTGTTTTGAAGCGAACTCGTCTGGCATAACCAATACTATATGCGTATGAGGCTCTCTCAAGTGATTGCAATATGCTCCACGTACTGGCAAGGCTGATGAATGTGGAGGATGTATCGAATCGAGGGATTTTGCGTCCGTAGAGTGAACTATGACACCAGACTCTGTGGTAAACTGATCATTCTAATGACACGTAGTCTGAGATGGCTCATTGATGTCTGTTTGGCGGCCGATATTGAGGGGTGCGTGGCGGGGTGAGGTCCGGGGCCAGATCTGGCACTGGGGTTCGGTTTGGTGATTGACTAAAGCTCTAGCAACAGAGCACAGTGAGAGATCTGCAGAGTACGAACCCAGTCGTGGCATAGTCAAATGATTGAGGGTGGCTAGGGGGCATAGATGCTCTGGTGTTGACAGTAGCACTGTGGATTGAGTTCTCAGGCCATGGTGCGGTAGATTGACTGAATGGCCCCACCACAAAGGAAAGAGTGATTTTCGGCCAATCGATGCAAACCCCATTTGAGCCTCAACCTCTGGAACGTTCTTTCCTCAGTCTCGCCAAAAGGAGATGAACAATGAAATGCGACGTACAGCGCTACTTATCCTGCCAGATTACTGATCAGGGACAGCAGATCTGCTCCGAACTGTTTGTCTTTGGTCGAGATCCCTCGTAGCACAGGGCAGGATCGCAGGTTTTAGTCTGCTTGCGTGTCTGAACAACTTCTTAGCAGATCATCGACTATTGAAGCGCAAGATCGAGAAATGTGTATGCCCTCCCAAATCAGCCACTCGCGCGAGCGAAGCTTACATAAACAACGACATCAACCACCATACTCGAAAAGTCGACCTGCATGTAGCACAAACCAAATGCACCGGGTCTGCTCACTCAGCGAGCTATCACCACCCGATTCTGAAACACTTTTGATTCACAATATGATTTCCATGGCCACTTTCATATCGCGCCAGCTCTACCATTCGGAAGCAGATCCTCCCGTCAAGCTAAATCGTCGCTGTCTCGATTGTCTTTCTTGGTCCAAAGTCTGGCTAGCTACGATAGGGTAGTCACCGAACAAGTCAGATTGTCCAGACCAAGATCCCAAGCATCCAACAATGTCCTATATCGGACAGACACAAGTTGCCTGAAAATCAAAAGATTGCTTACTTGGAGTCGCTTGAACGAAAGTTGAAAGTTTGCCAATGAAACGCTCCCATACAGGTTACTGCAGCAGAAACGTGTGTTGACACAGGGTAGGAACGGTTGCAAGGCATGCACGACAAACCGTGCAAGTTCGTATCGTATTCGCTGGCGACCATACACGTTCCACTGGACTCTCGGATTGCAAAGGTCCCGAAAGTGTTTGATCTCCTCTGCGAATATATCATGTATAACAATGGTCCGCGACATTAGTGGACATGATGCTCTCTCCTGATCAGATCGAAGAAGTACCTCAAGACCTTCAACTTGAGATTATTGTTGGATTGCCATGCTCGAGGTTGTGCAAACCCAGGATTGTCCTTTGAATGGAAGGCCAGGTCGTAGATCTACTGGGGACAGAATTCCCATGCATGAATCGTGGAATCTTATGGACGCTGACTACGGCCGTAGATGCTGACAGAAAAAAGGAGGGGGAGAATTGACTCTATGCATGTGACTGCAAATCATCTCTTGCCTTTCTTGCCTTTTGTACCGCCAGCAGAAGTGACACTCTTGAGGGCAGCATGCTTGAAGTCCTTGATGTGCTGATGCAGTCTGGTTTTGGAAGGAAACATGGCATCGCACGTTGCACACTTGAACTTGTTCTCTTCCTGCTCCGCGGATGCAGCTGCGGCAGCCGCAGCCTTCTTTGCTCTTTTCTGGGCAGCTTTGCCCTTCTTTGGTGCTTGTGCAGGAGTAGCGTCTGAGTCAGGATCTTCGATGTTAGGTACGGTATCTTGCATCGAAGCAGGGTCCTGACCGAGGCGAGCTTTGACTTGAGATGCTGGAGCGTATTCGTCGTCTGAGGAATCGATCGTGTCTGCGGTCTCCTCTGTCGGATTTTCGCTGGCTTCTGTAGTCTTGACAGAATGTGTGGCTTCCTCATCTTCGGACTCAGACAAATCGTCCTGCAACTTGAGATTTGCCATGTCTGCTGCAGTATCGTCATCCATGATGGGATATGCGTCCTCTGGCAAAGCTTCGTCTTCCATCATAGGGTATTGGTCTTCGGGTAGGGGTTCGTAGTCTTCAACATCGAGTGGTGTGGCGTCTCCGCTTGTTGGCTCGCTGTCCAGATTCAAGTTTGCGTTCTCTTTCTGCATCTTCTTCCTCAATGCTTGAACAGCTTTCTGATGTTTCTTGCTCTTCTCATGGGCGTCCCATTGTTTCTCGCTTTTAAAGACCTTCTTGCATGCAACGCACTCGAAGACCTCCTCGACCTCTGATTCGCTCTCACCAATGACACCTTCATGCTCATCCTTTGTGATTGTTTGTGCCCATTCTGGAATGGCAGAGTCTTCTGTATTGACCTGGTTGGCAGCTCTTGCTCTTGCAGCCTGAGCGGCAGCAGCATCTCGGAGGACCTTTTGTCGCTCGGCTTCTGTTTGAGTGTTGGGAATGTATCGAGGATCTCGCTTGCGAACAAAGGCAACAAGAGCGCGAACGGACTCGTTGAATTCGCGAATACCCTGCTCTCGGAAGCGTTGATTCTCTTTCTCCATCAATCTGCGGTAGCGACGATCAGGTGCCTCGGATAGGCGATATTTGTCGCACCAGGCGAAGGACTTGCGGGTGCTGAAAGACAGCCAGACGGCATAAAAGGACTTGGGTACATCGTCGTATGAGTCGTCTTTGTGACCAAAGGAGGGATAGTCAGGTAGATCAAGTCCTTCCCAGTGAGCAGCAGCCTCCTCTTCTTTAGCCAGCTGGTCAAACGTCTCGCGAAGGAAGCCGAAGAAGCCTGAGGGAGCATCGGTGAACTCGACGCCGCTGTTGAATTTTCGAAGCATACGAGCCAAATCTTCGGCACTTGTCATCTTCACGTTGCCATATTCGTACTCGCCACCTCCAGAGCCTCCAGTAGTTGGATCATCTCCTCTTAAGATCTGAGACTCGTGCGAATCGTACCAAGCTCTTTCTTGCGGATCCGAGAGAACTTCGTAGGCAGATTGGACTTCGGCAAACAAGGCGGTGGCAGACTCGACGTTTCCATAGTTGCGGTCAGGGTGTAACTCAAGAGCCTTTCGACGGTAGGCCTTCTTGATTTCGTCTTCGGTGGCATCGCGTTCAATACCGAGAAGGGTGTAGTAGCCCGTCTTTTGTGCCTCGGGGGCGGCCTCCTGAGCGCCGCTCGTCGAGGACTGTCCAGCACCCATGATCCCTCTTCACTGCACTCCCAGCTCTTTCTATGCAGGTGACTTTTTTGAATGTCCGACACGTCACAGCGGGTAGATGCACAATTGTGCAAGCTTTTAGATAAGATAAGAACGAGTCTTGGCACTCATGAAACGCGTGCATCGCGCCTGCCTGCCGTTTGCTGCGCGTCACCCGGCAGTCGCAGCAAATGAGCTTGTTGTCGCTTCACTTTTTGCTTCGATCAAGTCAACTCTGCCCCTCCGAGCGTGCATCAGGCAGCCGTTGAGCCCATCGCTGGCTCCCTCAATCTCTTTCTGCCAGCACTCGGAGGCATAATCCACCATGGCGAACAAGCGACGACACAATCCCGACCAAGACGCCGACGACTCTTCTCCGCCCTCCTCACCTAAGCGCGCTCGAGTCAACGGTCAACGTGCGACTGAGACTCCTTTCGAGACCGACGAAGTCGACGGAGGCTACACCTACCAATACCACAGCCATGTCAACGACGACCACAATCTCCATCTCGATGTCTCGTCTGACGAGGGCGACGACCCCGAAGGCGAGATCCGCGCTACTCAACTTGTCCAACGCCACTACTCGCGGAACAAAGAGAACAGAGCCGCCGAGCAGGGCATCATCGAAGAGGTCTACATGGAAAACTTCATGTGTCACAGCAAGCTCCGTATCCAACTTGGCCCTTTAATCAACTTTATCATCGGTCACAATGGCAGTGGAAAGAGTGCCATCCTCACAGCCCTCACCATCTGCTTGGGTGTCAAAGCTGCACAAACAAATCGAGCCGGCAGTCTCAAGAACTTCATCAAGTCTGGCGAGGAGCAGGCCTACGTCGCCGTCAAGATCAAGAACGATGGTGACATGGCCTACCACCCCAACGATTATGGCAAGTCCATTATAGTCGAGAGACACTTCTCACAAGGCGGAAGTGGTTTCAAGATCAAGAACGCTCAAGGCAAGACCATGTCCACCAAGAGAGCCGAGCTCGAGAACATCGTCGACTTCTTCGCTCTACAGCTGGACAACCCCATGAACGTTTTGTCTCAAGACAAGGCTCGAGAATTTCTCAGTGGCTCTTCTCCTCACGACAAGTATAAATTCTTCATCAAAGGCACTCAACTTGAGCAACTCGATGGCGACTATCGCATTCTCGAAGATCAATTGGACACTATCGAGCACAGGTGTGAGCTTGGAGAAACCGATCTCGAGATCCTGGGCAGAGATGCAAGAGCGGCCGAGCAGAAAAAGAAGATGATCGACCGGAGCCAGACCACCATGGAGAGGATTAACCAGCTGCGCTGGCAGCATGCTTGGGCTCAAGTCGAAGAGCAAGAACGCGAGCTGCAGAGAATTCAAAATGAAATTCATCAGGCCGAGAACAAAATCGCCATGCAGCAAGCACAAGCCGATCAAGCCAGCAAGCTTTATGACGAATCACACTCTACACGTGAAGCAAACGCAAGTGTCATCATCGATCTGCAAGAACAACTGGGTCCTCTACAGGATAATCACGCCGAAGCCAAGAGCATCTTCGATTCGAACCTGGCTGAAATGCGCGACAAGAAGTCCGAGCAAAGGAGCATTAAACAAGACATCACACAATCGAAAGCAACAATGACCAATCTGGAGGACAAGATCAATGCTGAAAGGATCAGAATCGAGAACGCCAGCGGTCCCGCCCACGCTCAAAAGGTATCCGAACTCGAGGATGCTCGATCACAACTGCAAGACATCAAGCAACAAGAAGATCAGCATGGAGCACAGAAGATGCAAATTGATAATAGCGTCACCGAAGCTCAAAACGACGTGAGAAATGCTCGAGGACCAGGCCTAGAAGCAAAGAGGAGAGCTGTTCACGAGGCAGAAAGCATGCTGAAACGGTTGCGAGAGGATCAAGGCCAACAAGCCAAGGCCTACCCACCTCAGATCCACAACGTTCTTCGTCAAATCAAAAACGAGCGCGGTTTCACGCAACAGCCAGTAGGGCCATTCGGCATGCACGTCAGACTGCTCAAGCCAGAGTGGGGATCAATCATTGAGACAACCTTTGGTGGACAACTAAATTCCTTTGTGGTCAGAAATGTTCAAGACAGCAGATTGCTGTCAAGAATATTAAACCAACATAACCTGTGAGCATCATTTAGCCCGAGAATACGTATGTTACTGACACACTCGCAGTCACGCTGGCATACTGATCAACAACGGAAATCACATCGATACTTCACAGCACGAGCCTGAACAGCATCTCGATACAATCCTACGGGTACTGGAAGTGGGTAAATCTCAGCCCCAGGATTGACCACAAAGAAGCTTACTTCGTTACAGATCGACAATGATGCAGTGCGCAACTGTCTCATCATCAACCAGTCCATTGACCAGACCGTGCTGATACCTCAGAGAGAGGCTGCCAATCGATTTGCTCAGTCGCACCCACGAAACGTCAAAGCGACCATGTGTCATCATGAACATTTGCGCGGACATGGTTGGCGTTACGCGCCTACTAGAAGTGGTGGTATCTCAATGGGTCCCGTCAAACCCTGGACAATACAGATGCGAATGAAGACCAGTCTAGAGGCACAATTGAAGTGAGGGGTCCTATCATTGTATGATAAGATGGCATGACTAACTCAATCTGTAGCATCGCACAAGAGAGGTTGAACGACACCAAACGGGACCTCCAGGAAGCCGAAAACCAATTGCGAACCCTAGAGACTGCTCTCACCCGCGCCAAACAGGCCAAGGTTCGCTATGATAGAGAAACGGCAAATCTTCGTCAGCAGAGGCAACGATGTGAAGATCGGATCGAACAGCTGCAGGGCGAGCTCGATGCGGATGCTGTCAATGATACAGGTGCGCTAGATGAGCTACATGCGCAGTACAAAGAGGCCGAGCAGAATCTTCAAGCTGCCAATGATACCATGATGGATTCCGTCAATGCCTTGGACAAGTTAGGCCAAGACAACAGGCTGATCAAGCAGCAGCTTGATGCCGCTACCAAGGAGGTCGAGGAAGCCCAGGCACGACTCGCCAAAGCACAAAAGAGGCTGGAAGACAAGACCACGCAACGGGAGTTTGCGCTTCGCAAGAAGAACGAGGCTCTTGAGATGGTTGATCTTGCTCGACGAGACAAGGAAGCACTTGAAGAGCAGCGTGTCGAACAAGAGAGAATCCTCAACGAAGATTACATTCATGGAGCAGAGCAAGTCAGTCGCAGGGTGGTCGTCGAACCTGGCAATACAGTCGAAGTTCTGGACAGAAAACTCGAGAAGCTCGAGGAAGAACACAGGCGATACCAAGATAGGTGCGCATCTCCTGCACGTCTGAAAAGCAAAAGCATAGCTAACATCATACAGCATCGGTGGCAGTCGCGAAGAAATCTATGCGGCGTGGCGTACTGCACACAAGAAGTTCGCCAGTGCTCAGCGAGAATTGAATACGCAGAAGGATATGGCGAAGGTGCGTTGATGTTCAATTGTTTTAATGCACGCATAGTTGCTGACATACCTGCTACAGAAACTCAAATCATCGCTGATTTATCGCAAGAATCGCTGGAAGCTTTTTCGCAGGCACATCACAACCAGAGCAAAGATTACCTTCAGCTATCTTTTGTCTGAACGCAACTTCCGTGGTCGCATTCTGGTCCATCATATCGACAAGACGCTGGACATCAGCGTTGAACCTGATATCTCGAAGAACAGCGACAAGGGCCGTCAGACCAAGACTCTCTCTGGTGGAGAAAAGTCTTTCTCGACCATCTGCCTATTGCTCTCCATCTGGGAGGCCATGGGCTCCCCTATCCGCTGTCTTGACGAGTTCGATGTCTTTATGGACAGTGCGAACAGAGAAATCAGTATGAAGATGATGATTCAGGCTGCTCGTAGGTCTGTTGGCAGACAGTTTGTGCTCATTACGCCTCAAGCTATGGGCAAGTATACCGAAGGTGTGCAGGATGTGAGTGTTCACAAAATGGCCGATCCAGAGCGTGGACAGACGACGTTGAACTTTGCTGCTGCTTGAGCCACTGGTGAGTGATATTCGAATCATGTGTCTGTATTAGCTAGGCGCTGGAAGGAGTTTGCTGGATGATTACGAGACAATGTCATTACCTCTGATGGTACATATGCTAGTTGAGCAATCAATTGACATGACGGCTTGATTCGCGGTGAGTTGCAACAGTGCTTCAATAATACAACTCATCGTTCTGGTCAAAGATCAACTCATACCTCGAGTAACCAAGTTACTAACCAAAAAGCCAACCCTCGCACATGTCCTCCTCCCCATCAAACCACAGCAACCAAATCCATCATAACATCTGCCCCCTTGAGCAAAAAAGCCTCTTGATGCACCGTCCTCGCCGGCCTCTGCGGAAAATAACTCATATAAACCTTATTAACCTCTTCCAACATTTGAAAATCGCGAACCCATAAATTGACCTTGACCACTTTTGTAAGGTCAGAACCACCGGCTTCAAGCACATGACGGGCGTTGGAGATCATTTTGTGGGTTTGAGAGGTGAGGGAGCCAGAGACCAAAGTGCAGGATTCATCGGCGGGGAGTTGGGCGGAGAGGAAGAGGAAGTTGTTTGCCTTGATGGCTTGGGACTGTGATTATCAGTTTTAACTATCCTGCAGGCTCTCAGTGGTTCTGGAGGTGTCGAGGGTGATGCATACGTAGTAAGGACCAATAGCTGCGATAATTAGAGGTCAGCCGAAGAATATAACGAAAGTGAATGGATAAATTGGAAGTGCTTACGATGAATGGCTTTGTCAGAAAACACCTGAGTCAAGGTTGACTTTGACTTTTTGGCAATGTTCAAGGAGGAGCTGGGAAATAGGTGCTTGTGGAGCATGGAGCTTGCGCCCATTCGGGTGCTTCTTGCGATGTAGTTCATCATCGAGCCTGTAAGAAATACTTTCGGTGGATCTTGTTGTTAGCTATGGAGTTCGAGTACACAAGATCCAATTGATGCAGAAAGGCGGGAATCGATTTATGGTTGGAGGTGTTGTTGAGGTCTAGATAGGCCAAGGTCAGGAGCCAAGTGTAGGATTGTCCCGCATCATCTCGGATTGATTAAAAGCGCGATCCTGCTCCGTAGCAAGAAAGTATCACGATAAGAACAGCATAAAATCTCTCGGCCCCAGGGTCAAGAAGGCTGTCCTAGGGTTTGTGATTCGCTGATATGGTTCAGAAACCTGAGGGGAGGGAGAACTTTGTGTTGTATGGTGTTGGAGAGTTTTGAGGCTAAAATTATATACCGCCCGCCGGAGATGAACACCGCAATCGCCCTGGCATGAGCTTGTATCTATGTAGGATACTGAACCTCTTCAATAACCACAATGAGTGTAGTTGCTGATTTTACTTCGCCCGAATGCACTCACTGCTCCACTTCACTAATATGCAGTAATGGGCCACGAATGATATCAGACTGTTGCTTCAGACCTCCTACCAGCTCTGGTGGACAAACGCAATTGGTATCTCGGCTGCCATCAGTGAAGCGAGGAGAGAAGGGACGGACTTGAGATTTAGCCAGTAGCTGTCTTGCGTCCGTGAGCTGCCAGATATGCTCCACCTATTTCCGCTCATTTCTGTTTACCTTTTCAGTAGCGGCATCCCAGATCAGGTGTGCAGCGTGAATCGTGGGTGCAATCCAACCAAGTCATCGATTAAAGCATTTTGCGCTTTTCATGCGTGCCAAGATGGCAATCGATCGATTGTCCTTGTCCGACGCCATTGCAGTCGCAACTTTTATCCAGAGGTAAAATAGTTCTTGACATGGCATAAGGAATGTGCCAGCCTTCGCCTGGAGATCTGATGCGAGCCTTAAGGTAGGTGGACGTTCCCTTTCTGAAGTAATTCAATCTGGCTCATGTCTGGGTCGTCACCCATCAGAGTACCTAGGGCGCTTAGGCGCATACTGAACGTGACGATCCCAATCTTCCAATCTTTCGTATGGTGATCGCAACCAAGCCTCCAACTCGTGCAAGAACAGCGAAGCAGCATTGAGACTCAAAAATTCAGCTACCAAGGCACTTGCAGAGCCAGAGGCATCTTTAATTTCGGTTGTCTTGAGGATAGCGACGATGTACTCGATCAGAAAACCAAGTCTGGCATTGTTGTCGGCCAAGAAATCAAAGACGAGTAGCTCACGACGCATAAAGAGGCGAGCGCGTGATTGGAGAGGGGGGGATGCGGCGAAAGTAGCGGGTGTGAAGTTTTGATATTGCGAGGTACGGTTTGTGCCTACGTGCAAGCTGTAGTTCTGGTCTGCATAGATGCGACGACGGAAAGCTAGAGCGGCATCTGGGGTTGTGTATAGCGGACGATGCGAAGTAGCAGGGCGTCGGCGAGGTGGACGAAAGCGAGATGTGGCGGACGCGACAGCAGGAGTTTTAGGCGTTTCTTGCTTAGGAATGGTGTAGACTTTGTGATCTGTCGGAGAGCGCCAGTCATACTCGATGGCAGTCAATGGAGCCTTGCATAGTGGACAGGAAGGGTGTTCTTGAGACCAGCTCAATAAACAGAGAAAATCGAAGTTCAGGTGATTGCAGGGCACGGCGACGGCACGTTCGGTGACGGTATCCAGGCAGATGACACAGGTATCCTGAGGAGCTTCTCGTAATTTGGCCTTGCCCTTGATGCGGAAGCCGAGTGATGGGTCGTAGTCATTCTGCACTTCCATACGGTGGGGAAGAGAAGACGGAAGAGGAAGAAGCTGGGGAGAGGAAAGAGCCAACAACAACGTCATGCAGGGAGCGGGCCGACCCTTGCTGATCGGCTTCGGCTTGTTGGAACGAAATCGAGTCGCAGCTTCCTTAGATTTTGTTCTCGTCATAGACTGCCATCCCACAATTGTATGCGCATTTCCCCTGTCGCTCGCTACCTGTCTTCAATCGCCCGCCGCTCGCCTTCCACTCCCACCATGGACGGAAACGCGAAGCATACCCTTACTGGTCTAAAACGCTGGTCATGCCAGGACCCCACTGTACTCCCGGACATGGATAAGATCAAGGCCATTCATGTCTACGATTTCGACAACACTCTATTCTGTAGTCCCTTACCGAACAAGCAAGTCTGGGCCGCTCCGAGCATAGGAACACTACAAGCACTTGAACAAATCTCGACTGGCGGTTGGTGGCATGATGCGAATATTCTGGCGTCAACCGGCAAGGGTCTGGAAGAGGAGGAAAAGACTGCCTGGTCTGGCTGGTGGAATGAGAACATTGTCGATCTTGTGCGCCTATCCATGGAGCAGAAGGATGCCCTTACCGTCCTCTTGACAGGTCGCAATGAGAGAGGCTTTGCCGATCTTGTCACGCGCATGTTCAGAGCAAAGAAACTCGAGTTCGATATGGTCTGTCTGAAGCCTGCCGTTGGTCCTTCCGGCCAGCGCTTCTCGTCGACCATGCTTTTCAAGCAGGATCTGCTGCGCGACCTCGTCTGCACGTACTCAGACGCCGACGAAATTCGCATCTATGAGGACCGCCCAAAACAGTGCGCTCAACTTCATTTTTGTCGCTACCTGCCATGCTGACCAGTGCACAGTACAAAAGCATTCCGCGACTTCTTCGATACCTTCAATCGCTCCGTGTCTTCTCGTTCCCCCATCCACGCCGACGTTGTACAAGTAACAGAAGAATCAACCACTCTTGACCCCATCGTAGAAGTCTCAGAAGTCCAGCGCATGATCAACACACACAACCAAGCTGTGCTGGACGGAGAAGTGCCTGGACTAGTGCCCCTGGCCATCAAACGCAACGTCTTCTACACTGGCTATCTTATCTCTCCACAAGACACTGAGCGCTTTGCTGCTCTAACCAAGAACACATCAGATCGCGACTGGCGTACGCTAGCGAACAACATCCTCATCACTCCTCGTCCTGCTCCTCAGAGTATCCTCAATAAGGTTGGAGGTCTTGGTCACCGCATGACCTGGAAAGTCACCGGCATCTCACAATTCGAGAACAAGCTATGGGCTGCTCGTGTCGAACCTGCAGACCCAAGAGCCCGCTACTACTCGGAAAACCCAACTCCACTTGTCGTCATCTCACTACGCAGTAATGCTCGCCCAATCGATGCAAAATACATTTCAAATTGGCAACCCATCTCCCCTGAACAATCCTTCGAGTTCGAAACAGTCGTTGGTGAAAAGGTTCTGCTTCGCATCGAGACAGAAACACATGAAGACGACTACAATGCCTCGAATACTCGCAACAAGCCTCAACACAAATACCGCGATGAGGACTTCCCAGTTCTAGGCACAGAACGCGGCTCTCAGAAAGAGTCACAACAAGCACACCACCCCTCACAGCTCGATCCCACAGCCATGCAATTCGGCTCAAATGTTCCCACAGGTCCTGGTCGTGGCAACTACACCGGCCACAACAACAGAGGCGGTGGTGTCTCCAAGCCCGGCAGCAATAACAGAGGTGGTCGCGGTGGTCGAGGAGGCCGAGGAAACAGATTCGGCGGCAGAGGAGGCAGAAATGGTAGAGGAAGAGGTGGCAGTTACAGATCACTCGATGATCGCCAGGAAAGTTACGGTGGCGCAGGGATGCAGTACTAGCAGCGCTGGTCTCCTTATTAACTACCGATCTCCGTGTGAGAGATTCTGAGTGGATGCATTGCTTTGAACTGGCTAGCAGGCGTTGTCAGGAGTCTGGAATGGTGTTATGGCGTTATCTCAAGATGGCACGGACTATTGTCGATATTGTCATTGCTCGATGAAAGAGAAAGGTTGCATGGACGGAGTTTATGATAGAAGAAGTATGTATCATCCTCTTCAAAAAGAACCGTTATTTACATCTCATGTGCCAAACTCCATCACATCGTAACCATGGAAATACACGAAACCTTTTTCATGGAGTTTTGTTGAGACCATCAGACTGCAGAAGAAGCCGTGATTGTCAAAAGGATGAGTGATGGGTATCGACTCGATCAATACGTGACTTGGACTTTGATTAATAACCTCTGAACCCAGGTCATGAGCAGAAACCGATGACTTTCGTTGATGAAACGAGATATAACCTTTACAGGCAACGAGCATCGGATACTGGGTGGATGCAAGCTGGCTATGACGAATTGATCTGGAAGAACGTTTGAATGGCATACTACATCAAGTCACGCTCGCGTTGCAAGAGGGAATTGAGGCAAAATTGAGGCGATGCAGTTGATTCAGGATTCTGCAAAAATCATGGTACTTTATCAATGTTCGTCGTGCTCCACCTTGTCGTGAACTTCCTCATTGTGGCCCTCGTCCTCTCCTTACTCGTCGTCAGTGTCTTCATCATCGGGATCATCATCGTCCGAGTCATCATCATCATCTGGATCGTCATCGTCTGAGTCGTCATCATCATCATCATCTGGATCCTCTTCACCTTCTCCCTCGCTATCAGAGTCCTTGTCGTGTTCTTTCTCAGTATCCGGGTCCTCCTTGCCTTCTGGATCGTCCTCGCGCTCTGGTTCTGCTGTTCCGTCTGGGCTACTCGAAACGGCAAACTCTTGCCAAGGCATGTTGTCGGTATAGGGCTCCAGTTCCACGAATGGCTCTACCACGCCATCGTAATATTCGTCACCCGGAATGCGGTCAAAAGGACATTTCTCATTGGGTCTCCATATTTGCAAGATTGCGGCACACTTGATGTTCCACCAAGCCGCTCTGGCAAAACTTTTGACAGTTGTCCATCGTGAAGTACTTGGCTCCATGGCCTGGACCAACTTGTGATCGGAGTCAAAGCAGCCGAAGGTCTTTGGCACTCCATCGTTCTGCGGTGCAAGCGATGCCAAATGTTTTCCTGAAAGTCGTTTGAGGTCATCTGGGATGCGAAAGAAGAGGTATTCTGTATCATCAAGATCGATATAGCGGCGAGTGTCAGGGGTGACCCAGTTGGACCTTTCAGTAGCCGAAATGTCTCGGATGAGGAGGCATTGAATGCGAGGATAGAAGTCGTCCAAAGCCTCTGGGAACCTTTTCATGTTGGTGTTGGTGTCGTATATTGAGATGAATCTTCGCCCAGGAAAGCTCTCCATGAGTCTCCTGATATTGTGTTTGCGGGCATTTATCATCTCGCCGGTCTTGGTGAAGTTCATCGGACGAAAGTCAAACGAGCCTTTGGGATACATGTCGAAGATGTGATTGGTGTAAGAGCTGGATATGGCCTCGGGAGCGTCTGTCAGATAATGGAAGTGGACGTTCTGGCCTTCAGCCTCGATGCGTCTCTTGAGATCCCACAATACTTCTGGCATGTTTCTCCATGGTTTGAACGGACGAACGAAAACGTTCAAGAGTGTCTGCTTCACGTTCCATGTGTCCGTCACTCGCAGTGCGTCATCTAGGTCGGCAATTACGGTGATACCTCTTGGAGGAACGAACAAGACTTCCGCAGAGTTTGGGACGTCTTTGTCTATGCCGCTGCGAAGATTGCAGGGGACGAGGGAGAAGTTCCGAGAGGGAATTTCGATGGAGCTCTTGTTGTTCGCGAGAGCACATGAGTCCGAGATTGAGGTTGTGCCATAGAAGGAGCCTTCCTGATTGCTTGCAACCCCAAGAATGGAGCCTTCGTCACAAGTATCAATGGTGACGCCAATGGTAGCATGGTTGATGGGTACTGAGGCAACCTCGAGCGCCAGGGGCCTTCCTTGTGCGAGCTCTTTCTCATCCAGCGTGTGGTAGTCAGCTTCCCAAAACTTCCACTTCTTGACCTCGAGGCGAGTACGGATGAGGAAACCATTAAGGATCTTGTTCAATTGAACCTCGTCGTAGGGCTGGCGGTGGTGTACGTTGCCGTGAATGTGAGCTCTCCAGCCATCCTCGGTCTTGTGGGCGTAGCTCGGATAAGTGATGATGGTCCATGGCTGACGTTCAGTTTCCTTCTTGTTTTTGTGAGGAAGTCGTTTGAAGAAGGCATCGATGACGCCGCGAAGAGGCTTGAGGAGAATGGCGAACTTTGAGCTTTTGGGAAATACGACTGACGGAGCCTGGTCTCCGAAAGCGGTAGCACAGACGTCAATAGATGCTGTAGCGATGCATGCAAGAGCCAGTAGATATGCAACGATGAATGGGAAACGCATCGTGATAAGAAGTGCCAACGAACAATGAAATTGCTGGGGATGATGGGATGTGTATGAAGGATGGAGAGTCGGACAGCGTCAATTGAGTAAACGCTTACATGTTGAAGCTTCGAACGAGGTAGGAGCACCCCAGTCTACTCCTGCCTCCTTCAGAAAGACACTTCGGCTTGGCACGCAATGAAGGAACGCCAAATATAGTTACATTATGGCGGGCAATCGTATATCACGCCAACAGCTGATTCGAACAAGAAAGGAGTGCACGTCAATCAATGTGTACAAGACTGGGACAGAAGAGGTGCGACAGATGACTACTTATCCTGCTGATGCATATATCATGCGTCCCCGACTTCTGCTTCGAGCTTTTCCGAAGCTGCTTCAACGGCAGGCGATTTGGTGGCTCTCGGTGGGCCACCTGCCTTCGGTGGAGGTGGCAGACCTGAAGTTGGTTTTGGCGTAGGAGCATTGTCCAACTCACGACTTTTCTGCTCTCCCTCGGCGAAATAGTCATCAAGACCACCAGTGGGGGATATAGCATGATGCACTCTTTGTTTCCTAGCACCTCTCTTTTCTCCGCCCATGCCGATGCTTGCAGGTGGTGTCGTGGCACTGAGATTCATATTGGCGGGTACGAGGAAGTCGCCAGCTGGAGTCGGCGTCGACCGAGGCTCTTCATTGCTGAAACGGGCTGTTTCGAAGAGTGTCTCTCCAGGTGCTTGTGCGGGTTCGTTCAGGGGAGCAGGCACGCGGTGGAGGGCTCCGAAGCCCAAGACGCAGCCCAATGCACCGTCGCCACCCCATCCTCTTGTGGGTGTAATGGTGATCATGCGAGTAACATCGTACTCGTTGTTATAGACGTACAGGCGGAGTGGGCGGTTGAGGAACTGTTGTGTCATGTCAGTCCAAACCCCAGATATACGATCTATCCATCCTTACGTCTTCAATGAGCTCGCTAAGTCCACTGTCTCCTCTCATCAGGCCTTCCGGGCTTCCAATAACATAGTCGCTGTAGGGCAGCAGGCCAGCGACGTCGGCAGGCGAGTTGGGGATGACGTCCAGAATATGCCAGACGGCTTCGGTTGTTGTGAGCGGTGACCACTGCAAGGCGAGCCCTAGCGGCGAGTTGTCTGCAGGGACCGAGATGAAGACTTCGCGGATCTGCTGTCCTTTGGCACTGTAGACTCCCAAGCTGATGTTGGTTCCGGCGCAGTTGCGCAGTTCTTGAACGAAGAGGCTGGGTTCGGGGTTATCCTGCTATGTCTTAGCGGTCGGACTTCGCCGTGCGAAGAGGTCGTTTGCGCGTACGATGGTGCGGCCATTGATGCCAATGATTGAGTCGAACCATGGCTCCAGGGGTAGCTCTGGGTTGGTGTTGCGAAGCACCTGGAATCCGTACGTGTCGTACCCTCCGGTCTGCTTCTGAGCTTGTGGATCGGCGTCCAGGCGCGAGATGAATCTGTTCAAAGCTCCAAACATGTTCGCCATGATTGTTGTCTTGTAGCTACTGTCGCATCCAGCCAGCCGAAATGACATCTACCATCGTGGTCTGTGCGCCGAGGGGGGTCGTCGGGCTGGTAACCCTGTTACCATGTTCAGGTGCAGCAAGCAAGGCTCCTTGAGCCAAAACTGGACACAAGATGTGAATCACATACTCTCTAGATTGTCCTCTGTCAGAGCCGCAACAGATGTGTTGTTTCTGTAGAACAAGGCCAGGTTGAATGACTTCTACTTGTTTGTGGAGCTTGTTACGTGCGTTCACGAGAGACTCTTCTCGTGAGAACCAAGCACACTACACATTCGCGAGCTGCGGCGGTATGAATGACATGTAGAAGTTATCTTAGAATTGTAGTAAGCTAGTCAGTAAGTATTTGAAACACTATTTGATGATTGGCCATGTCTTGTCGACCATATTTCTGGATCCACCTGTGCACTGTAGTTCTGTTTGCGACGCCGAAGCCACACCGGATAGAGTACACGCACGTTCCAGCCGTTCATGTCAACCTTGCAGATCTGCGCCACAAATCTATAACGGTTGTGGCGCATGTATATAAAATGTTTCTGTAGTACAAAAGTCATCACTTTCGAATTCACATTCACTTGTCGAGAAAGTGAGCTTCTGTCGAGCGCAGAGTGAAAGTCAGGGCGCTGGAAGCTTCCGCCAACACGCCGCGCTTATGTAAGCGGGACTTGAGCGCTGGCCACCAGTGCTGCCTATAAAAGCAGCTTCCCTCTCCACCACTTCTTCTCTTTCTCATGCCACTCCAGTCGTCTGTAGTGTTGATACGAGCTTCTCTCGTCAGCAGTCTGATGTTGGTCTTTCTTCCAGTGGGGTCCCTTGAAGAAGATCAACCCATATCAGTTCTGCCAGAAGTCTCCGAGGTCATCAATTCGCTTTGTGCGATGCGCTTTACTAACACATCCTCCAGCAGCGGTCTCTGGGGACGCCCTTTGACTCGACTGCTGGGTAAGGATCATGCCGTTGTGCGAGGGCATTTGTCTCTGAGGTTCCAATCCTCTTTGGCAAGTGTCTGATTCGCCAGGCGAGCGTACATGGAATCAAGATAGAGCGAGTACCGACAATCTTGTCAATATAGCAATTCAGTCATGCTGTTCTCCTTTGATTAGATGTTGTTTTCTTCTTCGTGTGCGCGTGTGTCTTGCTTTTGTTTTGTTTCCCAAGTGAGAGTCGTGACCATAACGCGTCTCTTTGTGCGCGCCGCTGAATCTGTTTGTCCTTTTCCGCATATTACAGCCTTCTATGTGTTAGACTCTGTCTTCCGCTTGGAGATACACACATTACGACTCAAGCCTGTGAGTGAGCCCGATCGCTACTCGTCGTGCCTTCGCTGGACTGATTCAAGCAAGAGAAGTTGTGTTTGTCTCTCACAACTCATCTCTCACTTGTACCACAGTGAGAACAAGCTAGCGGCGACCCGATCTGAGAAAGCCCGTGAAAGAGACGCCTCTCTTCGGTGCGCGTAGCACCGTTATATCAGGCCAGCAGTCATCATCAACAGTGATCGTCTCGCCATACCCACTCAAAAGACTTCTGTTTCCCAGAACCCCTGAGCTTGGAACGTTCGCCTCCTCAAAAAGGCAAACACTGAACTCATACATTCGTGAGGAAGCTGGCCTCTGCTTTGTTGATCGCAGCTAATCTGAAGGAAACAGGTTACTCAGTCATCATGTTCTCGCAACAAAGTTTCGAGCGCAGAAAGCCATACGAACGCACCGAATCGGCATACGTTCGTGGCTACAAGTGCGAGACCCCTTGTGAATGCAGTATCTGCCAGGAGCAGTTCATCGGAACACAGAAGCAAGACGACGGCTACTATTACAGCACCGTTGTCGCACCTGTTACTGCCCAGGCCACACTCGCCGCCCTTACGAGCAAGATCAAGGCCGACAGAGCCTATCTTGCCGAACTGTGTGCAAAGTTTGGAAACACGATCCTCAGCAGATGGAGAAAGAAGAGTCGGGACAAACGTGAGGCACTCTTGCTTCTAGCAGATCCGACTATCGAGAAGGATCCCTGGTTCAGGCTACACACCGAAGGCGCGATAACCAATTGGAAGGAATTGCGCAAGTGCAGGAAGAGTTGGCTGCTGCCTTACTTGAACACCGCAACACTGAAGGCAAATCCATTGGTCCTCGTAGGTCTGCTACACAATCGCGTACAGCATTCACCAGAAGAGTGGGTATCCTTCGACAGCGCCATTGTAAGACAGGGTTGGGATGCTGGATTGCTCGATCTGGAATACTGTGGCCAGTACTGTGTCATCATGCATGGCGTCAACTATGGCAAGCTCGTTTCCTGGAACAAAGACGCTGCAGAGCGCTACAATATGGTCGGTTACCCACGAGCTCGGCTGATTCTCGAAGCACAAGCGTTGATGTTCTCTCGGCTCCGTGACATCGTCGATCTCATTCTCGAGGGAGTTGATCGTGACACGACAGGTGCTTCTGACAGGTGGCGCGAGACGGTAAAACTCGGTTTCAAGCAATGCAACAACATTGAGTTGTGGTCGGACTATGTCAATCAGCCATTCTCCGCTCCTCCGAGGTTTGACGTTGACTACTACTGCTCCATCGCAAAGGCCAGAATGCAGGCGGTCCAAGACCACCTCTGGTTGCTGCAGACAGATCCCTCATATTTCCGCCGCTTCATAAAAGTTTTGGCGGTTGGGGAGATATACAAGACAGTGTGGAGATACGCAATTATCGCAAGGGACGCCCATCTAGCTCTGCTAGATTACTTGACTTGGCGAGCATTGTACGCGGAGTGGACCGATGTACGAGATCACTACCGCCGTTTCAGAGACAGCATCCATCCAGGTCAACCACTTCCGAGCCGTCTTGAACACAAACTCGCAGCCCTGGAACTTTCTCTTGTAGGCAGTGTGACCACAGGAATTCTTCATCTGCCTGGATTTATTGCGCAACGTCCTGGATTCCAGCACAACTACAAGTTTGCCATACTGAGCAAGCCTCCGAGCCGTCCAGGACAAAACATGTATAGCATTGAGGCCATTTCTACGCTGTCAGAATATCAGCAATACCGCGAAGATACCCTTGAGTGGATCCTGACCGAGCTGCTATGTGAGCCAAACCAAGAGCTTCGATTTGATCATCCAGAGCTCTTTGCTAGGCTCGAGGCCCATCTGGCGGAGGCGAGCCCCGAGGAGCGAGCACGAATGGATGAGACAATCTATGCGAAGATGTCAGATTATGCACTACGACATGAGATGCTTTCAGCTCTCAAATTGCACCGCCCTGGATTCCTTCGTTTTTCATTCGAGGGCAAGAGTGCTAAGGATGCGCTAAAATGGGTTGAAGAATCTTCGACTCCTTCGATGAGAATCATGGCTGTTGACGTTGGCGGGTACTACAAAAAGTATCATGAGTTTCCAGCAGACCCCATCGAAGCCCTTGAACGTCTGACACCCGCAGTTGGTCGTAAAAGCGAAGCATGGCTTGAACGCAGGACTGCCGAGCGTAAAGTTCTGCGTGATTTCTGGAGAGGAGCGCTAGAGTCTTTCCGCGTAGAGGCAAGTTTCATGCGTATGACACAGGAAGAACTCGATGACGCCTTCTCAGTCATTTCTGTCTCGACCAGCGCCGAATATGCAGAGATAGTCGAGAACGAACGTATGCAGGTAGCAGATGCCATCGCAGCAGCAGCCACCAAAAAGAAGGTCGCAAACACAGCAAGCATTCCTGATATTCTGTGGAGTAAGGACCCGGATATCTCAAAACTCGTCATTGAAGAACGAGCACCTAAGCAAAAGACACGTCCATCCCAGCCAGTCGGCAAAGCAGATTCCCCTGAGCCTTTGGTCAATGCAGACGCCACATCTCCCAGCCAGCCAAAGATCTCCACCACCCCACGCGCCCTCGACATCATCAGGAAGATGTTCCCCAGCTCTGCTGAAGAAACCTCAGCCAAAGACACCGACTGGGATCTCTTCGTCCACGCAATGAATGATCTCACTTTCAGCGCTCGCAATGTCGGTGGTTCCGCAGTCGCCTTCGAGCACCCCTCTAACAAGAAGATCATCTTCCACCGCCCTCACCCAGTTGCAAAGATTGACAGCATCATGCTGCAATCCATGGGCAAGAGACTGAGGAAGCACTTCGACTGGAGCAGAGAGGCCTTCATTGGAGTTTGAAGAGCTTGGAGTTGAGACAAGGATACTGAGACGTTGAAGACCACGGGTCTGCTTCATCCGCATGGGTTTGGATTGTGCTTCCTGCAGTACAATCTTCTTGAACCCCTTCTATCAGATCGAAGATTTGCAGGCATAAGATACTGGATGGGATCTTCATCATTTGCACGTTGATTCTTTTTGAGCAAGACCGATACACCAGAGTTGGATGTCGAGAAGGAAACAGGGAAAGAAAAAGAAAACAAAAATTCACAGCGCGAAGTGGATAGGAACAAGGCACAGACAATACGAGAAGATGAAATCAAAAGTAGGAAAAGCAGAGCAGAGAGGAGTGATTTTCAAGGAGGAAGGTTTTTCTTTTGGTAAAGTGTTTAAAGAAAGAAGGAAACTGAAACATATCCAAGTCTAGTTTGTCCCACAAAAAAAGAGCCCTCAGTATAGAAAAACAGAAACACCACTTTGACATGAAATTCGTATGTTCGGAATCAAGGAAACAAAACTCTTAACGACCCACCATCCTTGTGTGAAGACTCAAGAGCCGCCTTTTGACCTCGCCATCAGCGCATCAATTTCAGCTTGCATGGCATTCATATCGGCCAAGATGTCATGGCCTCCTGTTGTTGCACTACCAGCACCATTGTCACCAACATGTGGAGTCTGGGGTTGCGGAGTAGCAGTGAAACTCCTATCTTCACCCGAGTCACCTTCATCAACCGTGGGAATGGATGAGATAGACGGTGCCCTGCCTCCAACTGAGTAAATGCTGGCTCCACTTGATCGGCGGCTGGTGTCGCTCATGCGACGTGAACTTGGGACAGAAGCGCTCAGCAATGTGCCATCCAAACTTCGTCGCTTGTTTTCGCCTCGTCTTGGTGGGGGAGGTGGAGGCATGTTGGCTTTATTCAGTGAATGCGTGGAGTTTGTGGATGGCGTACGGCTGATACTCGCAGGTCGCTGTTTCGTGTGTCGGGGTGGTGGTGGAAGCGGTGGTCGTGCTGAAGGAGCCGGTAGGTCTGTTTCTACAGAATGAGGTCCTCGCCTTGCCGGAGGCGGAGGAGGTTTCACTGGTGGTGTTGCTGTGCCATCTGAGTAGTCATCGGGGATGGATGATCGTGAGAGATTGGAGCTGCTGCGAGGCCGGCCGCTTGAGCTTCTCATTTGACTGCTTCTGCGTGACAACGGGATCGGAGGAGGTCTTTTCGAGCTGATGCTAAAGTCCTCGGCAGGCAGTTGTGGTGACTGAGCAGGTCCATCAAATTGCTCTGAGATGGAGGGAGCTTTATCTGGACTAGGCGAGTGATGCGGCGGAGGAGGTGGAGGTAGTGGTTTGTTCAGATCACTCGGAGATCGGGCGAGTTGTGGCTTCGGCGAGGCGATTGATGGTGAAGGGAGAGCAGGGGGGGTTGCGGAGACGTCAAAGTCGGCGAATGAGACAGTTTGCGGGCCTTTGTTAGGAGTGGACAGAGCTTTGCCATGGTGATGTGCAGGAGGCGGCGGTTTGGACTTCTTCGAGTGGGTATTCGGTGTCCTGACCAAGCCTGTCAATTGCTCGTAGTCGGGTTCCGGAGGTCCATCATGATGTTCGTCGTCGTCGGAAGCAGGCGGGGACTCGGGGTGCAGGTCTCCGAGTGAGTTGGTAGCAGCAGACGGAAGGCCAGCTGAGGGAGTCATTGGTCCTGGTGATGCAGATGGAGTGTTGCCTGTCAGGAGCATGCGCGTGAAGGCATCGACGTCCATGGCCGGCTTAGCGGAAGCAGCGGATGTGTCCCTCGAGAGACCGACGGGGGCCGAGGCGGCATTCTGAGGATCGATTGTGGCCAGCGTTCGAGCAAAGGGGTTGTATGGTGCTTGCTGCCCCGACTGAGATGATGTTTCCATTCTTTCTGGTGCAGGAACGGGAGCTTGAGCTGGGGATTGAGCTGGAGCTGCAGCTATCGGTGGAGCTATCGGTGCAGCAGGCTGCGAGGCTTCTCTATTCGGGACGGTGGCTCCTCGTGCCAGCGAGTCTATGAAGGACTTGCGCAGCTCGCGCGCTACGTCTATGTCTTGCTCTTCGGTCGTTGGTAGTGCAGGCTGTCCCACAGGGTTGAGGTATGAGTCGAAGGGGTCATGTTGATCGCGGTAGGCGGCGGGAGAGTCCGGCGAGATGACTGGACTCTGTATGCGAACCTTCTTCTGCACCTTCCCTTTTGTCTTGGCTATCGAGCTCTCAGTAAATGCTTGCGGAAGGCAGTAACAGTCGTGGGCTGGTCGCTCTTACCCTGAGTGCTTGTGGAAGTTGCTACTGGCGGACTCTGACTAGCCTCGAGTCCCGCTGCCTCACGCGCCGCAGAAACGTCGAGCGACAGGAACTGTGACTTCCTGAAAGGATTGCCCGCCATCGTATTCCAAGAATCGCGCTGTGCTTGCTCTACCGGCTCATTGCTTCATCGTGCATACCTGAATGGTCACGATCATCGCTGCCGACAACAACTTGGCTTGACGACGGCTGCCATCCGCTGCCGTCCGTGTGCTTTGCTTCCGCCCTCGCCGAACCCCGCGGACAAGAAACTCTTTTTGACTGTCTGAGACTCTGAACTCTATAAACACCTCTGACAGCATCGACTGCGATATCAAAGTCATGCGCCATTGACGACTGCTCGTATTGTTTATTCTCGATATCCACGGTACAGTACCAACTGACTTCAACAATCAACGTAGACATGCCATCCGTACTCCTGGCCGAACCACCGTCTAGCTAAGGCTGTCCCCATCTCGGTAGGTTGACTAAAGGCAACCATATCTCTCGATGTAACCTTAGGTAGGAATGTCTTTGCAACACACTTCAACAGGGCTTTTGCGATGCCCTTCTTCCTTGACCCCCGAGATGTCCAGATTCGAGATATGCCAATTGCTGCTACGTCTGTCTCTTCGCTGATAGACAGTAGCTCGCTTGCCCGCACTTTTCCGGAGTCTGACGTCTCCCCCTCGTCCTCTGCTTCCTGTGCCTCCCTTTCTTTCTCCGCCTTCTTCTTTGGCTCGACGACTCTGAAAGCGTTCTCGATGCTTTCCGCAAGACAGAGACCTACGCATCTGCCATTGTCCACGTAGAGATACAACTTGTACCTGTCGTTCTTCTCCTCATTTGCGTCGGTCCTTTGGTTTCGAGCACTTGCAGCGAATTGTGATCCCCATAGTTTCTCATCAGGTATGTCCACAGCACCCAGATCTGCTGTTGCCATCTCAAAGACAGCGCGAGATTTTTTGAGCCAGTTCTTCGGATCCCGGGAGTCGAGGCATATGACAAAGTCTCCTTGCGGACCATGCCACACGGCCTTCTCGGATTTGACCTTGGTAAGAAAGTCTCGCTCCATGGGGACGCCATTGACGTGTTGGGAGTGAAATTTCTTGTGAAGAGTAACATCTTCTGGAGCAGACGGCACGTATTCCATACGACACTCTTTGCAAGTTTTTCGCATCGATTGACCAAAGTTGAGTTGCATCTGAACAAGTGGCTTTGAGGCTGTCCGAGCAGACTTTGTACTTGGCGCAGGCTTGCCAGCTTGGGATTTTGAAGGTTGTCGCTCCTCGGGTACATCTTTTGGAGAGATGGCAAGACTGGGTGGTGATGAGGGAGGGGTTGAAGGAGCGACATTCTCATCAGAGAAGACTGCGACATCTGATGATGGGAAATCTGATGAAGGAGCAGATTCGCTTTCCTCGTCCTCAATCACCAAGATACGTCGTCGTTTGATCGTATCATTGGGGCTATCCTGGTGCTTCCTTTTGGAGTATGTTTTTGAATATGTCCTTAGAGGTGGCCTGCAAGCCGTATCAATACTTGGTTCTGATCAACTGCAAAACCACTGACCTGTTTGTCAACGAGCTCATGATAATTATACTCTGGATATCAATAATGTGTTGTTGTCGTCGTCGTCAAAAATGGTATAAGACGCGTCGCTGAGCAGAAGACGCGTTCGTGTCGAAATTGAGCAATGCTTGGCATCAAGCTGACCAACCCCCGAATTCGGCGGTCTACTCGTATCAAGTCCGACTGCCATAAAAGAGACCAACCTCTGTTTGCGTGGTCGTGGAATTACTCTTACAAACGGAAACTCCAAGCAAATCACACGCGTCTCACTGTGGAAATGCTGCCCCATATTATTGCGCCAAACTTGAACCTGCCAGTACGGCCCTTGACTCAGGACGCCTTTGCTGAGTTTGGCACCGTCGTCGAGAATCCAGTGAATGCCACTGGGAGGTCTCAGCAACTCAAGGTCGTTCAAGCAAATCAAGGCTCGGCTCTGAAGTACATCGACGTTTCTCATGTTTCCAACTTTTATCATCTGGCTCCCAGCGGGCGACCTGCGAGGGCTGTTATGAACATGTTCGTTTGTTCACCACGCCAACTGCAATCCACAAGCAGCGGATCAGATATTGCCAAGGGACGACCATCCAAATTTCCCGTGCAGATTCTGGAACGACATCCGTTCACTCCTCAAACTTTTGTGCCTCTTGGTCTTTCGGCCGTAGATGCGACAACGGCTTACCTTGTTATTGTCGCTCCTACATGCAAAACGACGGACAGACCATCACCCTATCCCCAACATGCCCCGAAACAACAACGGAGCTGGACCGAAATTTTCTCCAGGGCTCAACCAACTTCACAAGACAACTCTGCTTCGTCGCCGTCGGGATCTAGCCCTGAGCCCCAGCTTCCTAAAGGTCCGGGCGAGCCAGATCTGAGCCGTGCTTGCGCGTTTCTTGCCGATGGTTCGCAAGCTGTCACCTATGGTCCTGGTACATGGCACGCGCCAATGGTTGTGCTTGGCGAGAAAGCTATCGATTTTGTCGTGATTCAGTATGCCAATGACGTTGCTTTGGAAGACTGTCAAGAGATGGAAATCAGGACAGAAACCGGATCAGATGGGCTCAATGTTGTCATTGACAAGGCTCGACTCAATCCCAAACTGCAAGAGAAGGCCAAACTATGAGAAGTGTACCAAAACGACTGCGCTTTAGCCCACACAGCTAGGATCGGTACGGAGCTCCCAAATATCTCATCGATCTTATCACCCGCAATTTGCACACTTGTTTTAGTCAATAGGAATCGCGCGCATGACTCGACATCTGACTAGCCCTGGTTGAATCGCCGTGGAGCAAATCCGTGGATATTCCTATAGCCTCAAGCCTGTCAGGCCCACACCATTTGTGTCTCGGGCTCGAGGTGCCCCCAAATTTGAAGCGATATTCTTGACACCGCGGAATTAAGTCTATATGGCGGAATTTCGTGCCGCATACAGTATCGCTCACCACCGAGCGCTCTGTATACCTTATTTGGCAATGATGGGCAGTCCAATTTTGGTGGCAAGCAGACCTTGCCTAATCTGAAACCATATGATCAAGCTTCAATAATAAGGCACTTTTGATCGTGGGGGGCGATTGAAGGAAGAACAAGCAGCAAGGCGGAGTTGAAGATCTGAGTCGTACAACGCTATTCTGTGGCTGAAATCGGCGTCTCGCTGATGGACAATTTCTTGTCAGTCGAGCTTGCGTATTTTGGTTTACTTCGTATCTGTCGTAGAGATCGAACAACGGTCTCTGCCCAAAACGAGCAACTATGAACCACCATTATCGCAATATAGTTAGCACGTCCAGTGCGATTCGGTGATTTGCGGATCGTCGAGCCGGCCCAGTCTTCTACGATGGCAAGAAGCTCAAGCTCGTGTCGATCTTATTACGCTTAGCACGAGTATTGAACCGCACGTGATAAGGAGAGTAGGTGAACACCTTGACCCTACTTTTGGAGTGTGTCTTTCGTACAGACTCAAAATTAAGGTTTGCTTGACGACACCGTCGTCAAACAGTCTGCAGGCCAAAAGCCCTCGAGAGCAAAGAGCCAAGTATAAGCGATGACTGACGGTGGAGAACGGAGCAGTTTATGAGGCTGAGATTGACCGGTTACTGATGTTCATCATCATGATTGCTCCGCTAGCAGAGAGTGCTAAGTTATTGTGAGGCATCAAATCAGCAGCGAAGCACGGCCACCCAGATGAAAGCCCAGCCCGCAGTCACGCCATATGCTTGCCGTCTCAAATCTCAACTCACCGGTTTGTGTTATTCTTCAGGCATCCACGTTGTCTAGACGAGAATATGCCAGGCAGACAGACGGCGATTGAATTCTGGGCATGCCCTGGCGATGCGGGGATAGCTCACAGACCAATACCAAGCCGGAGAAACTGATTCAAAGCCACTAACCGTTTCAGGAGACATTCCGCGAGGAGACCTTTCAACCGTGGCAGCACCAGGCTGCCAGATACCTCCCTGTGGCTACATCATGGTCTCAGAGCGCGGCCCGAATGAACCAAGAAATATTCCGTTGTCGTTTGCTTGCCAAGTGCAAGAAGATATGACAAGAACGGGAACGACTTGGTTCTCTGTGTCAATTTGGCAATTACTCTGTCCAGGCTTTCCTGCACCTGCTAGATGCCATGACACTTCGTACCGCTGTCAGCTTTACGATGCAGACAACTATTCTAATGATGATTAGCACGCCCTCATGTCTACAGGCTCGAGCCGATGATAGCCTTTTGCAACGCCAGGAGTACGGCCCGACGGTTTGTCGCAAACGAAGGCACCAACGGTCGAACCGACAAACAACAAGCATCAGTGTGGGACGGAACCCAGCCGATCCCATTCTAGTACAGTTGCATGGCTGCATAGGGCGCGAAGACCCTGACCCCCGCTATTCGGTCGCAACCAGACTCCAGAGCAAAGAGCAAGATGAGCTCTTTAATTATCGTTACTCGTTTTGATTACTGTTCGGTCTAGTCGCAGTCCGGTAAAATTTTGCCGGCGTCCACCACATCTCTTACATGTCAAATCACAGTTCGGCTGTGTAAGTTGGCGGAATTGGCTTCTGACAAGGCTCCGTAAGCGCATGCAACCACTTTCGTATAGAGTTCAAGATGATAGAAGAAACAAAGGGATCAGCAGAGAGAACCTTGTGTGACGAGATGTCAAGCGGCATCGATGCTCCATCCACTGCTATTGGTTCGAGCTACGAGTCAACCCATGTTTGGGAGCCTGGTACAGCGTGCGCTCTGTTCCCAACTTAGGCGTCCACTAAGATCAATCTGGTTGCCGGCTGGCACGCGCCGACCACCTGATATTGCCAAAGGAGAAATCGCGGGTCCCGGCAGCCCCTCACCTCAACCCTCTTTTTGACAGCCTCAAACTACTACGCCAAACCTCTCACTAAACTCAATCTATGACTCGAGTGGTGAATGGTCGTTAACGTTGTAACAATCTCATCAAGATCTATTTGATGTTCAATACGAGGCCTAGCCAGTCCCTCGGGTCCATCACAAGATTCATGCCAGAAGCGAATATTCTCTTGGTCGTGCCGATGCCTACAAATCTCAATTCTGCATCTGGACATATGTTAGCTTTCGAGCAGACCCGTGCGCAGCAGTAGATGGAGGGGCAGGGGTCCGTAGGTTATGCCCTGGAGCCCCGGGCCAATTAGCTCGGGCGATGCCTAGCCATGTGTTGGTGGTTGCGTGCTCCCGCCGTTGCTTGTTGGAAAGCCCACTGCGCCTTGTCAGTGTTTAAAACCGAACCACCACCCGAGATAGTCATCCTGGTGTAGATCAACTCCGCCTAAGACGTCTCATGTCAATGCGGGCCTATGAAAAGTAGGCCAGCATCCTCCTCCCGCTCCGTTCCCTTCATCTGAGCAACTTTTATATCCGTCATGACCTCCCCGTACCTAAGTCCATCCTCTTCATCAGATCCCAGATCAAGAACAGACAGCATCTTTCCAATACACCTACAAGAAACCAACGGTATAAGGAAGCGAAGCAACTCTCGATCAAGTCGTACTCGATCCTTCTCGTCGGCCAACATCGAGCGCCATCCAGAGCTACTACCCGACCAGGTACAAGACCGGTTGAACCTGAACAGCAACAATTGGACCGCAACAAAACTCTCTCCTCGACCCCAGCATCCATCGGCACCACTCAGCTCGTCGTCAGACGCTCCACCATCTCAAGCAGCTAGTGAAACCCTTACGCTACCTGGATTCCAGTCTTTGCAGAACAGCTATACTAGATTCGATTCTGCCTCCCGCGAGTCCAAAGAAGCTCCTCATACCACATCTGCAGACATGGCGTACGTTGATCCGTTAAGCAATTGAGATGGCAAAACTAATACCCAATCTAGTTCCCTCAGTTACCTTCCTCCTCCTCACTATGGACACATGGCATTTCATGACCCATCATTTGATCACAGTAAGTCGTACAGATGATTTCAAGCAGCCAGTTTTCGCTGACCATAGCTTAACAAGACTACCAACAATCCGAATCGAACTCGCACATTCACCCCTCGAGCAACTTCGGTTTCATCTTTGGGACCTCAGCACCGTCGCAGCAAAGTATCTACGCCTCAGGACCCTTGGACATTGAGCCCACTTTCTCCGCCGCGCCAATGGCGCCCTCTCTAAACCACGTATCCGAGCCGGCGACAATGAACAACCTCAATAGGGCAGTCAGCCCTTTCCACCCATCGAACTACGACAGTCTCGAATATCCTCTGGCATCTTCTACAAGCCGTACACTGGCAAACAGAAGCATATCACACAGCCCACTTTCTCAGCACATGGACCCTTTGACTCCTCCTCTTACGGCAGGACTGGACTCTGCACAACCACAGTTGGCAGGAAGCCCAGGAGCACAGGCTAGCATGGACCGTATGCGATCACCAAGCATCTACGACGCACAATCATACTCCTCATCATACGCAGCACCCGGTGTGCAGGCAAGCCAACCCCTTTTCCCAACTACGCAGAGCTACAGCTACCCTCCCCCTTCTGCAATCAGCGCGCGCTCGCAAGTACCACGAAACAACAGTGAATCTCAATCGAGAGGAGTGGTAAGCCAGAAACCAAAACCTCAATGCTGGGAACATGGTTGCAACGGACGCGAGTTCTCTACATTCAGCAACCTTTTGCGACACCAACGAGAAAAGTCAGGAACGGCCGCTAAATCGTATTGTCCAAAGTGTGGAGCGGAATTCACCCGAACGACAGCAAGAAACGGGCATTTGGCCCATGAGAAGTGTTCAAAGCAACGCAGAGCGTCAGAGGCCAAGTAGCGCAGGCGCTATGAGTTGATGATCGCAACGGCACACCACAACTACCATCGGAGGAACCGACGCGCTTAGGCATCGCGTGAACCATTAACCAACCAATATGATACCCTTCTTTGCCAATCCATTATTATCCCAGAGTTTTTCAAACAGTTTTTTGTCATTCATCTCATTTGAGTCACATTGCTTTGCATGGTCGCATGTCCACTTTACCGATAAAAGTTTTGAGTTTTGTTCGTCGCCTTTGAGGCGTTCCTCGCATACGCATCTGAGTGGCTCTTTATCGGAAAGTCGAAGCGTTCTCTGTATTGATTATGGGCTCGGTTAGCGCTGAAGATCAGGCGTGGAGCTGCCTGTCTCCCGGAATATTATCTGTCGCCTATCGCATGAGGCTTGCTCTTCCAAATAGCTTTTAGATGGCCTGCTGTTTGAATTGCCATGCAACATCGAGCAGGCTGCAGAATTTTGACACGACACGTGAATGAAGTCGTCTGCATGTCGATCACTCTTTCCTTTGACTTGCGCGCCGCATCATTTCGCCATTCTGTTCTCTGATCGCCTATTTCCAGCAACTCCACTTCGAACCTCGAACTACAGGTTCTTGGTCTCATGCCAGTGGATCACTCTCTTAATCGGACAACTCCTCATTCCGACGCTTCACCAGCGGTCGATCTGGTTGACGAGAAGAGTGGAATGCCCAGCCTCTTATGTATCACCATGTCATTGGACCTTAGGGTCCCAGAGACCCCGATTATCGTGGCCACGGCATGCAGCCTGATGCATGCGATGAACAACGCAGACAATGCTCTAAATAAAGATATCCAATCGGAGACACTGGGTCAAGACTTGGCCTTTTAGGGGCGGACTCGCCGTCCATCAGGGTGGGGACAAACTCTGGTGGCGCAAGCCAGGGGGGTACCCTTTCCATTTTCCTATCAGAGATGGCTTGCACGCTCCGATCGACGGCCACGCTTTACTCTTTTCTGATAAAAGTGCGAGGGCAGGTGTAAGCGGCCTCATTGACGTGGTGTCCATGTCCTTGCCGCGCTGCTAGTCAGCCAGTGGCCAAGGCCAATAAGACATGCCGCAACGGCTTCGCTCTCTTCGGCCTTAGAACACCGAGCCTTATCCACTCTGCTCTATCGATGGTTCACCGGTTAATATAGTGTGCCAGTCTGAGCTCACCGGTGCGCGCGTAAAGGGCAAGCACATGCGGCTCGCGGAGTCATTGTCGGATAAACACAGATCAATCAATCAAATTTTTGCTTTTGCACCTGACTCTTTTGCTCTGGCGACGTTTTGCACATGAGAGCTCGCTTACAGGGCTTGTCCGCGCGTGGCGTTCAAGCGCGCGTCTCGCCGCGAGCCGGCGGCCGACCGTGACTGCTGCCAAGCCTTTCCAACGTCGAGTCGTCCTTGCTGTGACTGTATCGCATAGGTCTTTGCATAATTGCTTGGATGAAGATGGCCTTGGGCTCCGCCAGCACAATGAACGCTCAAGCTTAACACCCTTGACACAGACTCGACATCATCTCCATACCGTGCTCATAGTCCACCGCCATCGCCACCATGCTGCCATCTTTATCAGCATCTTCTCAAGCCAGACCTCATACCACTGATTCATCATTGGAAAAAACTTCAACGCGAATACCATAAGTGCACAAATAAGCACGAACCATTTCATCTAGACCACACGCTTCTTCTTAATTCTCTTTGCAGCTCATACCGCTGAGTCACATCCGGATCGGGCGACTTATCAACCCGACTTGCCTGTTCACACCTCAAACGATTGTGTATACTCGCAACTACCTCTCTAATAGTTTTAGGGGTCTTCCGAAGCCATGGCCTCAGCTTCAATATTCTCATTTGATGAGACTGAACCACGAGTATCATCACCATGGCTCAAGCAGCTTGATTCTCTGAATAGCACCAGAACTCCATCGCGCAACAGTAACTTTGTTGCCGAGTCTGAGCCTACCGCTTACTTGGATGAAGCTGGCCATATCACCAGGCTCGAGGCTGAGCCCCAGAAAGGTCCTGTTGAGTACAAGCTCCATCTTCTAATTCGACCCCGTCGCAATTACACATACATGAGTACTGTGACACGGATATCTGGCTCGAAGCATTCAAAGTACAATGGTCCATCCCGTAGTACTTCTGGGACACCGCTGCCGGCAAAGAGTGCCTCTCCGTCTGTCACGCCGAACTACAGGCAGGATAGATTTGAACACCTGACTACCCAGCTTCTTTGGAGACTTGGTCAATCTTGTCCACATCACTCGAATGCATCGACCACACTCATTCTACCACAGCTGCCGGAAAGCACAACAGAGCTACAAGCACCACCAAAGCCTGGACCAATACATCCGGGCTTGGAAGAAAGTGAGGGTGCGCTCTACGAAATTGGTGTTTCTGATGATGGCACTCTTGTCGGCCTTGCCGAGGACGAGATGCAGGACAGTCTCAACAATTTGCGTGCCATGGCTGCAAGTTTGGGATGTATTGTTGAGGTGCAGAGGATGGTCAAAGTCGGTACCTGTTCCTACACGGCGCAAACCGAGGGAAAGCTCTCTTCGGAAGCTATTGAACACCAGAGTGATCTTTATGTAGCAGAAGCTCTGGTGAAACCAAACTTGACGACACTTGTGGACAACGGCCGTCCTCGCGTGGACAATACGCTGGAAGATGATCCGATCGAGACCAAGTCGACAACGCAACTTCGAATATCTCTCACAGGAGCTACTATGTCTGGAAAATCGTCTTTGCTTGGCACTCTGTCAACGTCAACTCTAGATGATGGCCGAGGCAAGAGCCGCTTGAGCATGCTCAAACATCGACACGAGATTACTTCTGGTATCACGAGCTCAGTCACCCAAGAGTTGATGGGGTATTCTCCAACTTCAACAGGCGATGTGAAAGTCATCAATTATGCTACAGAAGGTGTAACATCGTGGATTGATATGCACACAGCTTCCGCCGATGGACGTTTGGTGTTTGTGGCAGATTCTGCTGGTCACCCACGTTACCGACGGACGACGGTCAGAGGTCTTGTAGGCTGGAAGCCGCACTGGGTACTTCTTTGCGTACCTGCTGATGACGAAGTGAAGTCCTCTAGTAAGGTCGCAGAGGTGCTGGGTCCGGCTGCCAGTGACATCGACCTATCTGCAGCACATCTAGACCTCTGTCTGCGTCTTCAATTGCCTCTGGTGGTCGTGATCACCAAGTATGATTTGGCACAACTATCCGTCTTGAAAGCCACCTTAGGGAAACTGCTCTCGGTTCTGAAATCTGCCGGCAGAAAACCGCTGATGATACCTAACTCGCCAGGCACTGTCGACGAGGAAGAACTACAGAGCTTCACTCAGAAGAAATCGGCTAGTATACGTAAGACCATTGACACTTTATACAACGATCCTCTGTCAGCAGTTCCGATAGTCTTGACAAGCGCTGTACAAGGTGCAGGGTTCGATAATTTGCATGCTGTCCTGAACGAGCTACCCATTCCTGACCATCGGGAGGAACCTTCAGTCAATTCAAAAACTGCAACCTCCCTCTTCCATATCGAGGATATATACAACAAAGCACAGGATGCCAGTACCATCATTTTGAGTGGCCACTTGGGCAGAGGTACAATATCAACAGGAGAAGAGCTTTTCCTGGGACCCTGTTCCCCTTCTGGTGGAGATGACTCCGAAGACTCAGATACTCAACAGCGCCCTCGACTCGCTCAAACTTTACCACCATCACGTTCTTTCCCAGGTGCGCTCAAGACTCATGGAAGTCTCAATCCGTTCAACAAAGCATCAGAGCAAGAATGGCGTAGAGTCAAGGTTGCAAGTATCAGAAACTTGCGTCTTCCTGTCTCAACTCTGCAGTCTGATCAAGCAGGCACTATTGGTATTGAGTTGAGTGATGACAAGTCTCTCGATACATGGGCCACTATCAAGGTGCGAAGGGGTATGGTGCTCTGCAATAAGCCGGCGACTTCGTCTAGCACTATTGTCGCACAATTCAGACGGGATGATTTGGGCACGTTGGCAGTTGGGAGCCAAGTTGTAGTGTACCTCGCAAGTGTTCGCTCATCTGCAAGAATATTGTCCTGCAGAACTCCTGAGCCTTCTGAACTAGTAGGTGAAGACACCAGTCCGGAGGTACTTGATCAGGACAGTGGCTCGCAGGATGGTGAATTTGCCAATAGGGCTGCTGCTGGTGCTATCACGCATCAGTTCCTGCAGGTGACGTTCCATTTTGACTCCACAAAGGAATGCGTCGAAGTCGGTTCCAAGATCCTGGTCATGCCTGGAGGTGGTCCAGGCTTATTCGGTGGCACAGAGCGTGGAGAAAAAGGCGCAGCTGGTCTCGAAGGATTTGTCGGAAGAGTCGTGGAAGTACTCCGTTAAAGCCGGAGCTTATTATTCTTATACTTGTCCATCGGCTGGTCGATAGCATGGCGAAGGTAGCTTTAGAATATCTTGCTTGCATAGCGGACACGTAACGTGTAAGGCCTCAAACCAGGAATCCATACAATTTTTGTGAAAGACGTGTAGACAAGGTAATCCTCGTATCAGTTCTCGGTCGCCGATGGGGTCGAAGCAGATTGTGCATATTGCATGGCCGATGAAGAGGTCTGGAAATTTCGACTCCCATTCGCGACGCCAGTCTGCGAATTCACGTTCTGCGGCTGCTTCGTAGACGGCATGTGGATTTTGACTTTGGTCTGCGCGTAAGGCTTTGGTGAACCTGTGGTCGAGAACGCAGAGGCTATTATTGCTATAGATCAGCTTGGCTCTTTTTGAGATTTATGTTCGGGAGTAGGTATCTTACATGAAGATTAGTATTACTAGAATGGCTTCGCAGATGTATGGGACGTATGCGCCGTCCAAGATGTCGCTTCGCGACCAGTCCCAGTCTGGAGAGTCGAAGCTTGAATTCGCAGTGCTCACCGCTGCGTATGTATGATCTAAGAGGGGTACGGGCATGTACTGCGGGGCCATTTCTGTTGCAGTCGACGACAATATTTTGCAGATTCACATTTTCCGAGAGCAGAGCAAGATATCGCGTACAGCTTTTATTGTAGTTCGAGAGAATTTGATGACTGTGACGCGTGAGTCTTAAGTCGCATGGCAAAGGCGAATACACCGCTTAGTGGCTCTTGCATGTTAAATGTCTCGAGGTAGATGCAGCTGCTAGGAGTCGACGCGTGATGTGGGCTCTTTAGTCTGGATCGCCAAGTCACATCAATTGGCCAATACCTGTATATAGCGCAAGGTCATCTGAGGGGCTACCATCAAGGTGTTACAATATATATTTCGTGAGATGCTTAATAAGAAGTAGTCGTGGTATGTACACAATAATCATTCCTCAACACCGCCACCCAAACTCCAAAATAGTGTGATTAATAGCCAACCCGCGAGAATACCAAAGAGTCGTTATGTGTAAGAGGAATTGTGGTCTTAAGCATCCCAACCGTAGATCTTCAGGACTGGAGGCTCTTTGCGAGGCACGAGTTCGTCGACGCGCTCATCCACCTTCTCCACTTCCGAGAATCGGTACTCGACATCGCTGAAACTGGCGGTCGGGAACACATAGAACCACTTCAGTTCCTGGTCTCCAGTGTTCTTGATACCATGCTCGGCATCTCCAGGAATGAATACCGTGCTGCCTCCCGACACGGCATGAACCTTGCCATCAACAGTAACCTCGCCCTTGCCAGAAATGATATAGTAGATTTCTGACTGAGTGTGGCGGTGGTGAGCCAAGTAGCCAGTGTTTGCAGGACAGCTAGCGATACCAGCGGACATGTCTTGAGATGAGGTCTTGGGAGCTGAGAGCAGGGTGTGCCATGTTACCTCACCGCGAGAGCTGTCTGAAAAGCTCTCAGGCTGGGTTTGTGATGTGTAGCTGGCATCGATCACGACAGCTTCTTGAGGAGCTGGTTTCTTTGCCTCCTCTTGTGGGGGTGTGAGGGGTCTTGTTTGGTGAAGGCGGGGCGAGCTTCCGGTTCTCTTTCTCGGCAAGACTGACCACATTGCTACAGCTGCTTGAATTTGTGGTTTTGAAAGGTAAGAAGAGAGGTATGGATGTTTGGTTTGAAGGTCAAGAAGCTGTTCGGAGAAGGTCACAAAGATTGTATTCTGGGGTTCTTGTAGGGCTCTTTGCATGTTATATCGCAGCTTCGGCACATGCGATAGGCGATCGTGGAGGAACCCATTACCTATTTGGGAAAGTTGAACCAGTGGAGGGGTCGCTCATGCTCGTTCTACAGCAACTCCTTGCCAAAACCAACAATCCGGTCCATAAAGCCTGGCCTTATCCCGTCGCAGATTCCACATGCGAAAGCACTTTTGAAAGACGGTTTCAAGATGCTGCTCGATGGTAAAGAAAGGACGCCTTTGACCCGGTCCGAGGTTCTCCCGCCCAAACTGGTGATATACAGCTCTGGTCACGCCACGAGCTTCGATCGCGAGCGAATCCGTTCCAATGATCTTTCCGAGATGATATACAGTGAGTACGAGTTAACGCCGTCAATCTCGTGATGTCTTGTGTAGCAAGGATGTCTCTGGGCGGCAGGTAGGTATATACGCATCTCTGGTCGTCCACTGTCCAAGGTCTAGCGACATCACACCAGTCAAATTGTTTGAGACAACAACAACAATCGATTTGCTTTAATCCAGAGAAACCAACATGGCTGCAAACCCAAACATCACCATGACACAAGTACTCAGCCTCTTTCCACACGCCTCAGACATTACTCCAGAAGGTAAACAACCTTGCAACAACACTCCCAAGATCGTCACTAACCTACGTTTACAGAATCTGCAAAATTCGAACAAGAAGTTCAACTGGAGATGGACCGTCGCGGCAACTTCCACGGCAATCATGGCAACGATGTCTGCTGTCAACGACGGCAGTCCGTACCAGAGGTAGCAGAAGAAGAACTCGAACGACGCTTGCTATGGGCCAAGAAGATGATTTCTCAAAATCCTGCTTTGTGTGCCAGGTCTTGTCAATTGCCTGGTTTGCAGGAAGAACCTCAATGATTTCTGGCTTCGAGTCCATTTTCTCTGCTTGGATATGGCGAAGGATACCAGGGCGTTCGGGATTGTGATACTCAGGCGGTCTTTTGTTGTTAGATCTGGGGACATAGAACTCCGTTATGAGCAGCTAGATGAGGCTCTAGGAATATACATGGCGCAAAGCTTGTAGGCGGAAGGATCGTACAGTCCGTGCTAATGACTCGGTGTATATGAGATACGATTCAAATGGCAATCGATTCGATTCAACATACGTTTCCCCTACTATTCAGGATCCGAGAATCTCGCAGAGCTAAGGAAGGATAATGGTCGCGGTTCTCGAGACATGTATCATCAATGCAACGAAGCCCTCGCGATCTTGTCCCCCAGACTGAATCCAATCAATTGCCTCATCTACGACATGTGAAACCGTGTTGGTTGTCCAAAAGCAATAAAGATAAAGTGAGGCAAAAATCGCGTGATGGTGGCACTCGGTGATGTTGTGATTTTTGCTGGGCGTCAGGTGAGGCTAGCTTAACCGCCCCGGATGAATACAGAATATCTCATGTCTACGAAAACATCTCACGGACGCAATCGGTATACAGATCCATTGCACAATGGAGAGTATGCTTATAAGAGAGCGACGACTCATGTTTGCTACTCCAAATATCTTCAATTCAGAAGACACAAACACACTTCATCAACATATATCAAATTCAACCAAGCTATTTTCGAAACAAGAGCTGCCTATCTTTCTCTTAATCTATTTCAAATGTCAACTTGGAATCAACTCTACGATCTTGAACCCCTCCTCCATACTCCTCCCACAGAACCAACCTCAAAACAACAACACTCGTACATTACCTGCAAACCCTACAGACGCTACGATTCCGATACCTCTTCCATCAGCAGTGCTGAAGGCATCGACGATTTCGACAGCCCAACCTGGTGGGATATCCTTGACCACGAAGAAGAAGCCATCACCCGCTACAAGAAGTTCTTGCGCGAGCAATTAGCCAAAGGACAGAGTTCGAAGAAGCAAGAAGAACCTGAGGTTATGATGAGAAGATTGCAAGGTACGTTAACGGTGGCTTGGGTCCAGAAGAGCAAATACTGATAGATACGATAGCGAAAAGCAAGCCTGTACAAACTACAAAGACAGTGTCTTTGCCAGAAAGATGCAAGGAGAAAAGCGATCACACGCATATTGTTGAGAAGATGCAGAATTCGCGAGATCTGGCTGGACCGGTTGAGTTCTGTTTCTGGAGTATGAACGGTCAAGAGTGCAGATGTGGAAAATGTTGATTGATGCTTGTCGTTGAAAGAAGGCTTGCTGTTTAAGGGTTTGCAATGACACTGGCTTAGTCTGGGAAGCACGGATGTACTTATTGGATGATAATGACCGGCGGATTATACACTTCGCTCTAGAGAGATTGTTCTTCGAAAGCTTCTCTCAACCACAATCGGCAATACGTATGCCTATTGTACCCCAAAATATCTCGGGAGAGGGGAACTTGCGCAGGAAAGTGCCATCTCATCGGCTCTCTTTGAGGGAAATGCTGGTTCAGTTACAACTGCAGGTATTCGTGACACGGTTTGTGCATATGAAAAGTATATGTTTGTCAAGCAGTGATGTGAGATTTAGTCATTGAATGTAGCATTCAAAGGCAAGGCTGCAGCTGAAAGCGCGAAGATAACGCTGTTCAGGGCGACGAAAGTGCGCCTGATGACCAGAAGTCGACAAGCTGATATACTTGATGGTCGGATACTGTTCTGCTGTGTAGCTCTGATGTCCTTTGGACTGTTTATATACTCAAATATTCATGCTGTGCTCATTCGACCTTTCGGTATCTCCGACACTGCTTAATTCGAGCTGAACTTCTGGATCAAATGGCATAGTCTCTGCTGGGTTTGTGTAGAGATGACCTTCAGGTATAGCGTATTATCGGACGACTATCGTTCTCGCGCGTTTCCCCCTGTCATAAACAGTTGGTGCAACGAAAAGCGGCATAGCTTGCGGAGGTTGAAAGATCATGGAGCTCAAGGTGAGCCGCGCACGACCTAGCGGTGAGCAACCTTACATCGAAAGTCTTGTCGTGCAGTAGTCTGGATAACCGTTTCGTACACGGTTCTCAGCCCGCAAGTTGAAGACGTTTGCTCAAGCATATTGTGGGAGAAGACTAGCTCCTGCCAAATGTCAGTGCCTCATGGACAACCCGTTCGTGAAAAGTGCTCCTTGAAGCAGTGTTACTGTCGGTTGCATCGAGCTACAAACCTTTCATTCTGAAGATCAGCGTGGTGCAAGATTTCAAGCGGTTCCTCTTCCTGCAACCAAAAGCTTTTCCATGTGCAACCGTGAATATGGCCTTGTCGGCGAGTGCCAGAAGCAAAGCTCATTGCTAACACTCAAGGGGAATTTCCTTTCTAGAAGTCGAACAAAGTTTCTTCGGCGCGGAAGCATGGACGTCTTGCGTTGATGGACGTTGAAAGAGAGATTTGACAGTCCGGAGACTAGTCAAAAAGAGCTTACTAGAACATGCGCTGGAGCTCAGGCGCGTGACCGAGCTTGTCGTACATGGCTATATTTGCGTCTATGATAGCAAGAATATGCAAGTGCAAGCGACATGAATGGGACGCAGAGTGAAATGGATCCTTAAGATTATGAAGTCGGAGAAAAGGAGAGAGGGGGATAGAGAGTCGAGAAACGTGAGCCGCAGGCACAATGTCGGCAAAGCTTCACGTCATCGACTTGAAATATTCTTATGATCAATATTCTTACAGTCCAGTCTATCATTAATGCTCAAGGTATGTCTCTGGCCTAGTCAGATATATAAACCGTATTATCTTTCTGCGCGACCGATATCATGCCGGTGCGAGAATATCGCTGACTCAGCATTTCGCTGTACTAACTCTGTTTTACAGCACCCAAATAGTCCTGTCCGATCCTAATATTCCATCTTCCTATACGCCGATGCAAGCAAACATTTTCTTCGTGAAAGTCGTGTAGTCGTAAGCCGTTGTCTTCGGTCGGCGCGCGCCAACTCTCGTCGAGGGTAGGCTTTATGGATCTGCTCTACTCATCGTCGATGGCGGATGACTCTTGGGATAGGGATTCCATTGACCATCGACGCCTAACGTCGTCGAAATCCTGTACAGATTCTCGTCGAGACGAGCCATGAGGAATGGTGTGACGTGTAATTGTTTGTCTGTCTTCGCTACCGTTGCGTGCAGCCTCGGGCACATGAGGCATGGCCGGACTTATCGATGTAGTGGGAGACCAGTCTTGATATGAGTCGGAAAACGAATCCGGAGATGAGCAGTCACTCTTCTCGGTCTGAAAATCTGGAGCGAAGTGCACGTGTCTACGAAGAATATTAGACTGGCAAGAAGACCTATGTTTCAATAACTTACTTGGCAGGTCGTAATGTGGTTCTAGCCATTTTTGATGTGAGAGAAGTTTGAGATCCGGTGGTATGCATAGTTAAAGAGGCAGGCATGTTGGTTGTGTGTATGTGGGTGGAAAGAGAGAAACAGACTTTAATGTGGAACTAGGCAGGGGAGGAACGAACTCGATGGCTGTTAAGTATTTGTTCAACAGTGCTAGATTTCTAGAACCCCAATGACGGCAGGTGACCTATCGAGAGTCCGATCTGATTCGAGCCGCGCAAGCAATCTCCTACTTGGAATAGGGAGAAGAGGAGAAGATCCGCACGATTGCTAGTGACAAAACCGCAGTCAGGCCGGTGGTGTGATGGTAGTTGGCGATTGCGGAGAAGTACGGGCTGCAGGTGTGAGAAACGTCAGTGGTTATCAGGCGAGCGCTGCAGGAACATGAACGAGGATCGTGGAATAGGCGTGCATCGGACCCGTGTCTGGGCACATTTGACCTGGGGATCATGATCCAGAAGGCAGAGTGGAGCGGCAGTCGTGCAAGAACGAGGCTCTCCGGAACCTTAACTCTATGGCATTGTTGCCCTGAAGATCGCGACGACCTACAACATCATTTTTGTGGGTTGAAACAGCCATGATGTGCGAGGGACGACGATCCAGTGTGGCCAGAGGACTGAAATTTTTTGAGGATGAAGTCACTGCATGTCGTGTTTGCCCTCAAGCAAAGAGCAGCAATCCGTGAGTGTCTCACGAGTCCCGAGCGCAAAAGACGTGAGGCTACTCGTAATGCTTGAACATTCTATGAAAGTGGGACCGGGGAAAGCAGGGTATTTGGAGAGCCGATTCCAAGGCTCGTTCGGCGCATGGTCGTTCGCAAATACCTATCGTCGCTGTACATGAAGATCGTGCCATCGCCCTATCGTGTTTTGTGACCCGACAAAACAAAGCAAGCCCCCTGGGGATTGGGGAAGGTAGACAGTTCGATGTTAGAGCCTCAAGGGGCACCACATCCTTGTTTCGTTTTTGCAGAGTGGAGTCGGACATATTCAAGCTTTGAGGACTTGGTTCAGCGATCGAGGATGCTGTTTGTCACACAGCTGAACGTCATGTTAGAGAGAAACTTGCAGGCGAAAAGTTGTCTTGATCGAGATCGGCGTCATCAGTCTGTCGCGAATCGTGGCCTGTGCGGACTTACTTCCATTCCAGCGAGCCGCCAACCAAGAGACCCAGGCACGCACCCATCCTGAGTCACTCACTTCCATCTCTCCTTTATGAGCACTCCACTATATTGTCCTCATTATATCCGGACTGGTCAATGCAAATGCCTCTTACGAAGAAAGTCCCTAATTCGACGGCTGAGCCGAAAGCATGCACAGCCTTGTACGGCCCAGGACGTTTGATTAAATTGACTGCTTCTTGACTTGGGAAAGTGCAGTGGACACAGTGCTTGCTCTGTATTTCTGCATTGACAGTATCGCACCGCATCATCGTGAGGTCGCTGTAGGACGATCAATTCTCGCGTTCTCCCTTTTGCTCCCAGTCCGACACATTGATCTCGTGTGAGCCAACTCGCCTAGCCTCTTCATTTAAGGCCTCAATCTCTGCTTCAACATATGGTATTCCCGATCGCGCTCTCTCTTGTTGTGTCAGTTGTTCCAACTCTCCTGGCATGTAGATGCGATCGACTCCAGCCATCTTGTCCGAGCCGACGACGCGCTGATACAGATACTCCATCCTATCTTTGAAATCTTCCATGCTCATAAACAGGTCTGGTTTGATTGCGACCAAGAAGTGGCCAACGTCCGCGGGCCGTGATGGATCGTATGGGTTTGTGACATGGCCTGCAAAAGCGGACCCAGATAAGACTCCGCTGAAGACGTCCATCATGATCGCCAAGGCGCTTCCCTTCGGTCCGCCCATTGGCAACATGACACCTTCGAGAGCTGCTGCCGGGTCGTCTGTCTGTCGTCCTTCGGCATCTAATGCCCAATCTTTTGGGATCTTTTCGCCACGACGCTTTGCTTTATAGATTTTGCCGCGCGCAGCAACAGACGGCGCCATATCCAGAATGAAAGGGTGCTCATTTCCTGGAGCTCCACAAGCAATGGGTGACACTCCCATTAGCTTGGATTTTCCTCCCCAAACTGGCAATGCTGGAGAAGAGTTGGTGAAAACAAGGGACATAAGGCCAGCGTCGAGAGCCTGCTGAACTACCCATGCTGACATCCCGAAGTGATTGGAGTGTTTGACCGACACCATGCCGATGCCGAATGTTTTGGCCATATTAATAGCTTTCGCCATGCCGAGTTTTGCAGCTACAAAACCGAATCCGTTCTTGCCATCGACTTGAGCAACAACAGGTGTAATTTCTTTGAGTTCTGGTTCTGCTTTTGGGTCCAACACGCCTTGTCTGATTCGAGCCACGTAGGATGGGATTCTGTTGACACCATGTGTATCCACTCCTCTCAGATCCGCTGCAACAAGACAATCCGCGACTGTCGAGGCGTGTTCTGGAGAGACTTTGTTCGCTTCAAGCACTGCCTTGACATATGCATGTGCATCAGACGAAGGGATCCTGGCTATACGAGAGCTTGGCTGTCCGTCCGACATGTTTCAAATCGTGTGTTCGGTCTGGAAAATCCAACAAGTTGATAACGTCGTCCTCGAGTCTGGGGATGGACAATTTCTATCAAGCAGACGGACAAGTTTGAGTAATTAAGTCGGTATTCGGGTGGGGAACTAATCTGCCGGGAGCGGCCCCGACCTCCGTTGAGAATCAATACTACATGCTGTCACAAGAAGCAACAAGATGGATTCTTGAATGTTGTTTTGTTCTCACAAGATATCGTTGCTGGCCTCCTTCACCAGAGTCTGGAAAGCTTTCTTGAACCAGGACTATGACATGCGTGCTGTTACTCGGTTAAATGCATACCGAAGGGCTCTGGAGAGAAGTGCGGAGTGTGGGGCATCTCCAGACCCATCACATCACCACAGGCCACTTCTCGAAGTCTTCTGTTGTCGCATACCGTCCACAACACGTCGTGTCAGTATACACTCTACTAACAGTCATACTTGCAGAGCTTGAAAGCCGTTTGTTCAGCTCACAAGCTGCGCTCAAAGTCTGTAACAGCCTTAGGGTTTTGACTTTATGGTAGGACCTATGCTCTTGGCAAGGTGAGTCCATATGAGTGTATTATGGTAAGTTCAAGGACTCGAAGACTTTTCGAGCTCTGGTTCTTGATCCCTCCACGACAGAGCATTCGATATCTGATTGCGCGTTCAACGAAGAACTGGCAACTACCCTCCAGACAAGACATCCAGTACTTGCGACGCTTTATTGTGCCGATTCGCCTTTTCACGACGTAAAGTACAACATGAACACACCTCCTGTCCCATGGAACGTACAAACACCGCACCTTCATCAAGTAGCTTGCAAAGTAGCCATGGAGGCTCAGGCGGCCAACCTGAAAACAACAACCAACAGCCATTATATCGCAATGAGCGACCACATTCAGTCAACTACCTTGAAAATAAAGAATCCTCTCGACACAAGCAGGTGCGACAAAGGCCATGCCTGCACAGACATTGAAATCCCTCAAACAGACTGCGCTGCTCAGGCGCCACTTATGGATGCATCAAATTTAGTGGAGGAAAGTGATTTGGAGAGCGTGGATATTTCTTCCGACAACGAGTCCGATGGCTGGTCGATCATCAGTGATCGCAGCGATTTCGTTGTCGTAGACTCTGCTGGTACTACACACCAATCTTCGGACGCTAAGTCAAGGAAGAGATCTGTTGTGCCTAAACGCATCTCGAAGCTGCGTGACAGGTTGAGAATTTCGGGGATTCGGCCACGAAAGATGATACCGAGCCAAAAGGAGCAAGAGGTGCCTGAGATGAAGCCTGCTATAGATGCCGGCAGTCAGGGTTTTGATGAGCATACACAGAGATTGGCAGCTCCTCAAGCTACTCCTAACGTTATAGACGAACTTATTGAGCGCCTTACTGAGCAAGCAAGAGCTTTAAAGCTTTGAGGATTGCGCAAGGCACAACCTGGGCGATGCACCTAGGATGAGAATCCAAGAACAGTATCGATCCATATTGATATCGAAATAGACATAACTAGTCTTCCATGTTTCCTTGATTGTCCAAACCTTGGTAAAAGTGAACTTCAGAAACTTGTGGAGGAGTTGTGCCTCGAAACTCTGGAGAGAAGTGCGGAGGGGTAATATAGTGGGGCATCTCCAGTCACATCATCGACAAAACTGATGACAATACCAAAACCATTCATCCTCATCCGACATTTTCAAAGTAATCACAAACAACCAAGGCATCATGGATAATGAAGAAAACAGGATCGACCCACAGAATGACTACGACCTCTCAAGACCCCTTGACACAACCACCGGCCTACGACAAGGCTTAACCTCCTACGGCGATGCCCATTTCAGCCTCTTCCTCCGAAAAGTATTCATAAAAGCCGCCGGTTACGGCGAAGATGCCCTCTCCCGTCCCATCATCGGCATTATAAACACCTATTCAGCATTTAACCCATGCCACGCCAACATCCCCCAACTCCTCGAAGCCGTAAAACGCGGCGTACAACTACACGGAGGCCTAGCCATCGAATTCCCCACCATCAGTATACATGAATCTTTTGCTGCACCTACAAGTATGTATCTCAGGAACTTGATGGCTATGGATACGGAAGAGATGATCAAAGCACAGCCGGTGGATGCGGTGGTTGCGATAGGTGGCTGTGATAAAACTGTGCCTGCGCAATTGATGGGAGGCATTTCTGCGAATAAGGTTGTTTTGCCGTTGGTTACGGGGCCGATGATGCCTGGGTCGAGCAGAGGGGTCAGAGTGGGTGCGTGTACGGATTGTAGGAGTCAGTGGGCGGCGTATAGGGCGGGGGAGATTGATATGGAGGATATTGCTGCTGTGAATGAGGAACTTGCTCCTACGGTGAGTTGCCTTTTCCTTTGCCTGATGATGGCTTTACTGACCATCGGAAGTCGGGCACTTGTGGTGTGATGGGCACTGCGAGCACGATGGCTTGCGTGACTGTTGCACTCGGCTTGATGCCTTTTGATGGTGCATCTGCGGCGGCTGTTTCTTCGGCACGTCTGAGGATTGCTGAGCGAACGGGCGCGAATGCAGTCGCCGCAGCAGCGGCTCAAAGACTTCCTCAATCGATACTTACGAAGGAATCTTTTCTCAACGCCATCACGGTCCTTCAGGCTATCGGAGGATCAACCAATGCGGTGGTGCATTTGATGGCCATTGTCAATCGTCATCCTGATGTGGCTGGGTCGATCACATTGGAGACTTTTGACGAGATTGGAAGAAAAACGCCGCTTCTTGTTGACCTCAAGCCAAGTGGTGAGAACTATGTATGTGACGCGCGACGACTTTTTGTGAAGACCGCAAGCTGACAATATATAGATGACTGACTTCCATAATGCTGGTGGAATGCTTGCTTTATTACACACGCTGAAGCCACTACTTGACCTCGAGGCAAAAACGATCAATGGCAAGACTCTAGGAGAAGAACTTGAAGCCACGCCATTCAAGCCGTTCAAGTACTCAAGCGAACTGATTAGGCCTCTCTCCAATCCGATGTATCCAAAGTCTGCACTTGTAGTGTTGCGAGGAAACCTTGCGCCGAGAGGAGCAGTAATGAAAGCAGCCGCTTCAAAAGAAAGAAGTCTTCTTACCCACACGGGGCGCGCTGTGGTCTTCAAGAACACGGCTGATATGGCACAACGCATCGATGATCCCGACCTACCTGTAACCAAAGACTCAGTGCTCGTCTTACAAGGCGTAGGACCAATCGGCAATCCTGGTATGCCAGAAGCAGGCGTCATCCCCATCCCTCGCAAACTCGGAGCTCAGGGTGTCAAAGACATGTTGCGAATATCTGATGGACGCATGTCTGGCACAGCAGGCGGCACAATCGTTTTGCACATCTCGCCAGAATCTGCATTGCCCGACTCAGTGTTTGGATGTGTAGAAGATGGAGATTTGATTGAATGTGACGTTGAAAAAAGACTGCTCAGACTGCATGTCTCTGATGAAGAATTGGCGCATCGTATTGCTGTACGATCAGCGGCTAAGAAAAAGGAAGAGCATGGTACGAAAAGGATCCATGGGAGAAAGCGTGGATATAGGGGATTGTATGAGCGATGTGTGAATCAAGCGGAGGAAGGTGCCGACTTTGATTTCCTCACAGCAGCAGGACCTACTGAGTCGTGATAGCAGCAATTATGTTTTATCCTTGTGGAATGTGTATCTCGGAGGTGCCTGGAGGAGTGAGAAAGTCCGCAGTGGTCAAAGGAGGTCAAAGCGTACAGGCTTGGCAGAAAGTTGGACTCGCGAAAGATGCGCATGCGGCGAGCGACAAATTGACAACGACAGGTCACACCCACATCACACACATCATGTCGCGGATATCTACTTTCGGAAGGGCTGTCAGCCAACTGGCGACCCCCAATGTCTCGTCCACCACCTGCAGATCCTGCCAGCTACGACTCAGCGCCGCCTCGCAACAACGCCAATTGCAGACCTCCGCTACCCGTCCCGCAATCGCCGACCGCTTCAAGTCTGTCTTTGGCGGCAAGAAGAAGGAAGAGGACTCGGCAGACCTTGCTGCAGCCGAACTAGCAGAACTCGACGACACACCACGAAAGCCTGACTTCCCTGGATGGTATCTACCAAAGGAGAATCTGCCCGAGGGATGGGCCAAGACGCCGGAAGAGGACAAGGAATATGTTATGGCATCCGAGGGCAAGGACTTGGAACATGTGGGAAGCGACAAGTGGCTCGAGCAGCAGTTCGATGACAAGCCAAAGTACAAGGGGTATGGAGCACAACCAGTTCGTCATGAGGTTTTATACTGACCCTTTGCAGATGGGCAAAAGTCAGAAAGACCAACGCATTAACTCCCAAGGATGCCGGAGAGCAAGTCCTCAAGGCTGCAAGAGAGGCTGGCCTCAATGTGGACCAAAAAGGCTTGGACTTTGCAGTAACAGAGGTCAAGGACAAATTCAAGGTATGTGGACAAAGGAACGAAGGAGATAGAACCAACAGGTCTGACATGATTTCACGCAGCTCACCAAGATCCTACGAACCACCACAAACATGCAAATCTCAGACATTGTCATGCACAGAGCAACAACGCTCAAGGACTTCCAACAAGCCATTCTCACAAAGCCCAAGCCCAAGAAGTTGGCCTTCACACTCTTGGCCAACGAGGAGCTGATGGCAAACCGCAACATTCAGGTTCGCGGAGGCCGTCAAACACCGGTGCACAAGGACAGAGCCGTTGGCAGGTGGAAGTTGATTGAGGAAGAGCTTGTGAACAAGGGTCTTCCCGTGTTTGGACATGGCATCAAGGCCGACAGAGGTATCCAGGCTGAAGAAGCCAAGGACCAAACTGCATAAGCCAACCTGACTGTTTGAGACGCAAAAAGCGTGCGGTCTTGAACAAAGCCGTCTTGTACAAATATCAATGTAAGCATTTAGCGAAGTCCTTGATGACATAAATTCTCCTGTATATCATGTGAAACATTCAAACGACATAGGTCCGGCGCGTGAAGAGAAGCAGAAAGCAAACGAAACATAGCTCAAGGGCTACAGGAAAATTCAAGCAACAACAGGACTTCTGCCCTGTAGAGGTAGTCTGTACTACCGTCCTCCTGCACCTAGCGAGACGATAGGTCGCTGATGAATGCTATAAGTTTAATACCATAAGTGGTCATGGTCAAAAACATGAAATACGCACGGACCAAAACCTAGCGCAAAAAGTTGATGGAGCGCTGCCCCGCGGATGACGGACTGGTAGTGAGAGGCGTTTGTCTACAGCGGAAAAGAGAATCAAAAGCAGGCACCTCACTCCGGAGGCGCATGTTGATATTGGTTTATTGCCTCTGGAGTACGAAGTTCACCGCCGTCTCATTTTCACCATGAGCTCCAAGGCAATGGCTCGGCAGCGCATCGTGCCTGCCATTCCGCATCAACTGACTATCCGCCGCGCAAAAGTCGTTCCAGCAGGCAAGAGCGACCAACAACCCGCCGGTGACAAGGGAAAGAGCGCATCACTTTCGACCAGCGCAGACAAGTTGGAAGCTGCACCGCGCACGAACGGTATCGAACACGAAGATGCGCATCACGGGAACACCGCACTTGTCAACGGGGCCAAAGACGAGCAAGCCAAACAGGCGCCTGCTGAGGAGGAGCCTGTCGCAATCAAGGAGCTTGCTGTGAACAAGGAACTCCTGGAGGAGAAAGAGAAGCTTGTTGAGAACAAGGAAGAGCCTGCCGCTGAGAAGGAAGTGATTGATGAGAAGAAGGAGGAGGTCAATGGTAAGTCATCCATCGTACCTTCCTTCACATCGCGTATGGGATGCTAAACGATAAGTAGGGGTTACCGCTCCCATTCCTCGTCGTCAGCCTCATCACCAGGACGCTCAAGCTCTCCCATTCATTCCCAAGCATAAGCACAAGCACAGTGAATCTCTCGTCTTTGGCGGCCTTCAAGACTCGTCCAGCGCATCGCCTGCCGACATGTCAACCTCGGTCTTCTTACCTCCTCCGCCTATGTCCGCTGTCCCTCCTGCAGTGAATCCTTACGACAACTTCTCTGCTGCCCAGTCATATCCATCTGCCGCTCCTCCTGCACCTGTCGCTGTAATGGCTCCTCCTCAACTGCCCAACGGCCACGCCTTTGCACACACAAACGGAGCTGCCGCCCATCTTGGAAGCATTTCATCTTCGCCTTCGCGCACACCATCGGTTCCACTTGGCGATTCTGCTGTCGCTACACCTGATGCCTATGTGCCACACAAGCATCATGCTCATCAGCCATCTTACCTTCCCCCTCCCCCTCTCCACAACAATGCGCAGCATCTGGCCGATTACGTCCTTTCCTACTGGAATCAGCATGAGTTTGCCGACTACCTGCTTGAGCTTTACTCCAGCAATCAGTCTGCCAACCCTTTGATGCTGCCTGTGCACGGAATCATTATTGCACGCTACCCTGGTCTCCTCAAGCTCATCAACAGCCTCCCTCAGACTCGTACTCACTCTCGCGCTACCATTGTCCATATCCCTCGTAGCTACTGCTTTGCCGACGCCTCTGCGTTCGCCGATGCAATTCGCTACGTCTATGGTGGCCGCTTGATCGAGCCCATGTACATTTTCAGCAACCCTGCCAGCACTCCAACCACCCGCATGCGCTACGTCCTGTCATACCTTGCCGCTGGTCATTTCTTGGGTGCTGAACCTATCGTCATGCACGCCTATAACATGGCTTTGCGTATTCTTGGCTTCAACGAGCTCGAGACTGTTTTGTTCTTCGCTGCATGTGGCTGGTGCCTCACTGAGAATTGTTTGTATGGTCCCTACGCCGACCAAATTGTCTACCAGGCTCTGTACATGGTTGTCTCAAGTATGAACGCAGACTTTGTCTTTGACGCCTCGGCTCCTGAGTTCGCTTCTGTTCCTCGCCTCCCTATCAGCTACAACTCGACCTCAACATCTCAATCTCGTCCCGACTCACGATCTTCCTCTGTCTTCGCTTCATCAGACGCCCAGTCCGGACAGCGTACCATGTCAAGCATCCGTTTCGGCTCAGCAACCCCTAGCAGTTCGGACACTTCCTCGCCCAACTACCTCCTGTCATCTGCACTTCTGTCTTTGTCTTTCGACGCTCTGAAGATTGTACTGGAGCACGATCAGCTCGTGGCAAACTTGGGTTTCGATACATTGCTTTCCATCGCTGGCGAGATCGTGCGCGAGCGCGAGCGTCGTCGCGTCGATGCCTGCAACTCACTGCATGACCAGAAGAAGACCCCTGAAGGAGTTCTTCTTGTTGGAGAGTCGGTGGGTCGCGATGTGACCGGCACACGCCTTCAGCTTCACGCAACACGCCTTGGTTGATATCTTACAACATCAACCTTGCTTATGGAACGCTTTAACGAGACTCTGTTTTTTCTACATTTCTTTTCTTCTTCTGTACTTTTTTTTTTTGCTCTTTCCTTATTTACGTTCCTCCTTCTGCAGAGGAGCTCTTGGGTTAATTAGAGCGCTGGCAACATGGGAAGAACAACAACACAAAAAGCGAGACAACATATGCGGACACCATTGCTGCTTTTGCTCGCGCTTTTTCTTTTCTCTTAATATGTTTCTTTTCAGCGTGGCATTCTATTGGCATGGCGAAGGTGCTCAAAAATGGGAACACAAAAAGGGGAACCACGCAATTCAAAAATGATACCAAATTCAATTTTTCTCTCACAATACAAAGAACCAGTTCAAAAGTCATTCATCTTCTCGTTGTTCTCCTTGCTATTTGTGGATTCTGTATTGTTGGTGTAGAGCTTGTGATTGAACAAGTCTCTTCACCTCCTGTATAAGGTTCTAGCGAATTGCTCTTCCATCTTGAAAACGGCACAATCACACTGAATGATCCAATACATAAGAAAGGAGTTTCGTACCTATTTAGACAAATGACTGAACGAAAAGAAAGAAGCAAGTCATTACCCATCACTTATCATCCTGTAAGCATTACCACCGAACCCCCAAACCCAAGGCCCTTCGCGTATTCGTCGTAACATTCGTGTTTCGCATCCTCATGTCCCTTCACCTCCATATCCTCCCTAAGCACATACCCAAATCATCACGACTCCAAAATCTTCTTGGCCCTCATCGCAGCAGCATTATCAGGACCTCCCACAGCAGCTCTATGCATAGCAGCCGCATACGCCTTGGCATTCGCAATTTTGATTTCTTCTTCGTCTGATTCTGCTTCTGCTTCCACTTGAGCTGTTTCTTGTTTTTCGTCGATGTTGAAATCGTTCTCTTGTGGTGCTGGCTTTTCGTCTGCGCCTTCGTCTTCCGAGGCAGAGGTTTCGACTTCAGAGGCATTGGCGGACGCTTTTGCAGATTCGGATTCGCGGAGCATGCGGACTTGTTTGCCGCGTTTGTGGCAGTACCAGAAGACGAAGAGGAGGACTGTTGTTTTGTTAGCAACAAATCCAGAGGAAGGGAGGGAAGGAAGGAGTAGACTTACTGAACACAGCCAAACTCATAACCACATTGGTACCAGTGACGAATGCTGGGAATCTAACCTTGAGGAAGTTGACGATGTTGGTCAACATACTCGTGACCGTTCCTTTGGAAGAAGCCAAATCCTTGATGTTTGGGACTTTTCTCTTCTGCTTTTTGTTCTTGAGGTAAGGGTTTGCTGCTGAGGCTGAGGCTGAGGAAGAAGCAGTGCTGGCAGCTTCCATCTGTTTCTTGAGGTCATTGCCAGGTTTGTCTCCGGCCATTGCCATGATTTCTGGTCCCATCGATGAAGCAAATTTAGCAGGCAAAGACTTTACCAGTGTCTGCACAAAAGGAGGCATATTTTTGAACATCTGCTCGAGATGTTTTTCATTCTCTTTGAGCAGGGTTTCGAGGTCTTCCCATGCTGTGGGTGCGCCATTGACAATGTCTTTGAGGATCAAGGTGAATTCAGAGTAGAGGCGTTGGGACTGGTCGCTGAAACTGAAGACGCGGTTGTTGATGGCGGAGAGATTGAGGCGGTCGAGTAGGACGGAGACTTCGCGTTCGTCTTGTTCTTTGGACTCTGGCGACTGAGCCTTTGCCGCTGCTTCGGCTGTGTCTTGCGCTTTTGTGTTGCCGAGGCCGAAAGTGGGGACTGAAGGGATGTAGGATGCCCAGGTGCGTTGGGTGGGTTCGGTGGGCTTGTCGTCTTTTGAGTCTGTGGTTTGAGACTTGGGGTCGTCAGTCTCCTCCTTTGGTGTAGAGTCATCAGTCTCCTCTTTGGTTTTGGAGTCGTCAGTCTCCTCCTTTAGTTCGGACTTAGGCTCTTGAGGTGCATCATCGGCTTCCTTGGCTGCAGGTTGCGATGTTGTTGTCAAGTCATTGATGGGCTCGTCCTTGGTCTTTTGGGCAGTATCTTTTGCGGCCTCATCCTCAGTCTCTTGGGCAGTCTCCTTTGTGGTCTCGGCCAGCTCTTCGACCTTATCCGCAGCGTCGTTCTTCTCGTCCTGAGTAGATGTCTCCGAAGGCTTCTCTGAGGCGACATCCTTCTCTTCCGTAGCAGGCGCTACCTCCTTCTCCTCTGGCTTAGCATTTCCCTTACCGCCCCTCAACGAGGCGAGAGAAGGGACTGAAGGCACACCGACACTAGGAATATAACTCGCCCACGTCCTCTTCTCTTTCTCCTCACCAGGACTTGCCGGCAAGATCATCTCAGCAGCTTCCTTTTGCGTCTCATCTGCTTTCTTCTCGTTGCCTTCATCATCAATCACTGTAGGCTCGATGGTGGGCAGTGGAGGGGCAGGAGCCTCTTGACTAGTAATCCTTTGCAGAAACTGTTCGTCATCGTCATTGAGAACAGGGTTCTGAGGGTTGGTTTTCTCCAGCGCTTCTTTATTCTTGCGAGCTCGGGTCCAAGAGAGGACGTCAAAGTATGAAGACATGTTGATTGTTTGCATGTACTGAGAAATGTTTCAGATGTAGACACAAAAAACGATCAGTAGGATTCTTAGGAAAAGTTGGTAGTGATATTTAATATTTTCTAGAGGGGTCATGGGTGGTTGTTTCGAAGTTGGTCACTATGCCGTGTTGGCTGTGGCGCAAGCTGTCAAGGGTGTGACGTCGGCGGGGCGTTTGCATGTGATACTGTACAGCCGCAAGTCTCGACCCAACCTCCTCCCGTCCCTCCTTCCTCGACGACTGGCTGAAATGTCATCGAGAAAGACGTATCAGAATTTGCTGATGAATCCTTTCTTCTGTCTTTCGCTCAACTCAATATCCCTTTCCAGATCCTGACTAGATCAAGTCACTTTAGCATTCCACTTCTGACCACAAACGCCAAGCATATCGTTTAGACCAGGAGTCCTGTTTCTTGAGGGTTGTAGATGGAATAAAAGACTGCTCGTCCAAGATGGCTCAGAGGGACCCTTCTAAGCTGGCAGGTCCAAAGAGAGTCTAGAAGCAAAGGACCTCTTCCATCCAACATCGAGACACGACACCAAATGCAGGCCAGGAAAAGTTATTTCAAGACGATAATGTGACTCTTTTTGTAGATGCAAAATCATAACTAAAAAGGACATCCAAATCAGAGAATCAATAAGACAAAACACATAAAAACCTCAGATCATGCCTCTTCTGTCATCAGCAGCAGAAGCACTAGATGAACCAGCAGCATCCGGTCGTCTAAACGGATGCGCCTCAGTATTCAAAACCCATTCATCAAGACTAATAACCCCCTCCTCTTCAAACAGCAGATAGAAATACTTCAACGTCTCCGCCAGCCAGAAACTCTCTTCACTGTCCTCTTGCGTAGGGAGAGTTTTCGTGACATCGTCGATTGCAGAAGCGCCATAAGTTGCATAAGTATACTTTTGCACTGCGAGGAACATTTGCCAGCCGACTTCGCGCCAATGAGGTGAGCCGGTGATGCGATACATGTAAAATACTGATTCGATGGCTTCGGGACGGAGGATGTATTTGCGGCTGAGGAGGCGTGTCATTCCTGTAGGAAGGCGTTCTTCAGAGATACGTGCGAGGACAAATTCTTCGTGGGAGGGTGGGGTGGGAGGGACGTATTCGATCACAGTTTCTTCTTTAGGTGTGGCCATGTCGAGTTCAGGGACGCTGTTGGGAACTGCAGGGGCAGGAACGTGTGGGACTGTTGCAGCAGGGCCATCTAAGTCTCTCTTATTGACTTGAGGTGCATTCCGAGATCCTGCTAATGATGTCGGAAGGGTTGTTGGGGGAACGTAGACTTTGGTGCGAGATTCGGCGTATGGATCCAGATCTTCCCAGTATTTGGTTTCGTTCCATTTGCAGTCTGTCATGCTTTCGCACTGCGAGACCAAGAAGTGTTCAGGCATAATGCCAGTGGCTGTGGCGTTGTAAGCCCACACACAGCCTTCAGTCAATTTGGCACCTATTTCGAGATCTTCCTCGCGACCAAATATCTTGGCTGCCATGGCGTACATGCCGCCAGCGAAGCAAGAAAGGTGAGCGCCTTCTGGTTTGAGGGTGCCTTCTACAGAGCCTTCTTTGGTGGGTGGCTGGGCCCGGTACTCGCCTACGAACAGGATGTCTGCGTCTTGGGGAGTCATGGGCCGGAACAAGAGATGCTTGGTAACAGCATCAATGGACTGCTCGTACAGTGTCTGGTACTTCTTCTCCAAGCCACCGAGCAGTAGATACTGCTTAGGGAAGTACTCGTACAAAGAGTCAGCCATGCCACCGATGGTGAATGTCTCATAGCCACCAGAGCCGCTGGAAGCCAGCCCACGAGGGATACACACGTCTTGTTGGAGAGTGTGCATCCTGGCTTCGGTTTCTTCTTGGAAGACATCTTCTGCAGCCTTTGCCTTTTGGTTTTCAAGATCACCTAGTTGGCGTTTGTTAAGATTTGCGTTCCTGCTATTCAGAACAGCGGCCTTTGCCTGAGGACTATCGAGATCACCTTCAGTCAAAGGATCATCCCAGCCAATGATCTTGCCCATTCCACCAGCAGAGGATGCACCCGCTTGCGAACCACCAGCGTTGATAGACTGAGAGGGGTTGTCCTTTGCCCGACGATTGTCAAGATCGCCTTCAGTCAAAGGATCACCCCAACCAGTGATCTTGCCCACTCCACCGCCTGAGGAAGAGCCAACTTGTGGTTTACTAGCGTCCACGGGCTGAGAGGACCCGTCTTTTTCGGTAGAGGGGCCAGTTCGTGTGCCTTGACCCTGGGTCACTGGACGCTGAGGAATGACAGGCTTACCATCGCCTACTGCGACATCGCCACCTTTTCCAGCTTCATGAGAATAGGTAGACTTGATCTGAGCAGGTTTCTCGCAACCAGAAGCATCAATATGAACAGGGAACAAACCGGGCATAAATGTCGCATTGGCACCAGAAGCGCTCTGCCACTCAAGGAAGGCATCGGTAATGCGATCAATAGCATCGTAATACTTGGGCTCCTTCGTCAATTGGGCAAGACGAGTGAATTCAACACTGAGAGAACCAATCTCAGCCAAGACGACGTGTGTACCAGCGCGATGAGGCTGAGAAGCAAAAGTCGGCATCCAGCGGTAGAAAGTGACAGGCATCCTGTTAGGGGTATCGAAAGCACCCATCAAGACTTCAGCGAGCTCGACGGCCTTGTCCAGCAGAACCTTGTATTGCCCACCGCTCAAGTCATAAGCCGAGAGCATACCACCAAGGTAGCGAATGGTAGTCTCGAAAAGAGGGATGTCTTTTCTCTGAGAAGTGGTGAAGTCAATCTCGCCGACGGCCCTAACGGCATCATCAAATTCATCCTTAAGGCCAACAATCCACAGTGTATCCAATGAATCGACCAGAGTGGCAGCCCATCCACAGAAGGGATCGCGAGCACCACCCGAGACGGGTCGTACTTCATCTCTCATCCAAGCTTTTGATCTGTATCCGCTCCAAGCATGCGAGACTGCACCCTCAATAATCTTCAGCTTCTTCTCTCTATCAGCCTTTTCGGCAGACGACTCTTTCTTGAAGTCGTGCTGGATACGAGGAATAGCCTTGGGAGTACCAGTGGGTAGTTGGATGGTTGATGAAACGGGGAAATGCTCAGGCATCTTAGACCAGTGTATGGTAGGGAAATTGACCTTGCCTTGACTGATTGGAGGTATCTCAATTCTGCCTTCACCAATCTCGGTCATATCGTCCAGCTCGTGTACAGGCAAGATGGCAGCAGCATCTTGAGGTTTGGTTCGAATGTGCGACTGTGTTGCGACGGCGGCGGACGAGGTGGTCGAGGAAGAGAGGGGAGTAGACGCCTCCTGAGTCGAGGGGATAGGCGCTTGAGCAAGGCTTGAAATGGTAGAAGCAGCTGGTTTGGTGGTCGGAAGCGGCGGTAGAGCACCAAGAATATCCTCTTTCGTAGGTTCGTCAGGTTTGTCGGGTTTGATCAGGTCAAGACCAGCTTGAGCCTTCTCTTTGGCGGCAGCTGCAGCATCATTGCCAGCCTGCTTCAACGCGCCTGCGCCAATGGCTGAAGGTAGGTCTATACTGCCATGTCCTATGAAGTAATATGTGGCCAAGATGGCAATGACAGTAAAGGCAATAAAAGCCCTGTAACGTCTATACCGAATCATGGCAGGCGGCTATATGCTCATCCAGATATTGGAGCGGTCGTGTGACTTAACTCCGAGAGAAGACGGGGAAGAATAAGCTGCCCTGTGGGTCCGCTCGCTGATCCAAGGAGAGCCCTAACGGCCAGGAAAGGGAAAGAAAGATAGAAATAGGGACGCGGCAAATGTCAGCTGGAGTTATGTAAAGGAGCGCAGGTACAAAGCGACAGCAGTGTCCTCGAGTTTTGGAATTGAAAGTGATGGCACTCTTGGCTGCTATTGCCGGTACTCCTTTGCCAAGCGCGTATTCATGCCTCCGCGGCATCAAATGTGGGTTTCGAGGGGCTCCATTTCATACAATACTGTACATTCGTGCAACACTGCTTGTGACTACGAATGCCGTCTTGGAGATTAGCTTGCAATGACTAGTCTTTTCAACATTGGGACCACGTTCATCTGCTGAAGCCTGGTCTTCGTTCGTGATGCAGAATAACCCAGTCTTTCATCTTCTCGCCATGAGTGGCTGGCTGAGATCAAACTTTCAAGTTTCACCTCTGCTGATTCTGATGCGTCTTTTGGAACATACGAAATGCTGCGACTCGGCGCATTATGCCATGATCGTCATGATTACTTTTTATCTGACTTGACTTTTGTTCCTTACTCCATCTGCTCTCCACCAGGACCGGGTGCTCTACCCATTTGTCTTGCCTTGAGCATCTCATCGCACAGTAGTAGGTTTGATGCGATACCAGCGGCTGAGGCAATGCAGTTACGGAGCACTCGGAATGAATCGTACACGCCTTCTTGTGTGGGATCCATGGGCTCGCCAGTCGTCAGGTTCAGACCGACAATGTTGCCCTCTGCTTGCTCATCTTGCAGAGCGGCGACTAAATCACAATCAGTATACGTGTAATCAATTGTGGATTGTCGAAACTTACTTGAGTCTTGTACGTCGTGCCCAGAGTTTGCGGCAAGAGTCTTAGGAATAACAAGAAGGGCATCGGCAAATGCATCAACACCCCACTTGGCCTTGCCCTTGACTGTCTTGCGGAATGCCTCGCTGTTCAGGTGTGCGTGTGCAGCAATCTGGAAGGCACCACCACCCGGTACGACGCTACCATCGACAATCATGTTGTAGACACTGCGGAGACCGTCACGGACGGCGTCCTTGATCTGGGCAATTGTGTGTGCGTTAGGTCCCTTGATCAGAAGAGTGACCGACTTGGGCTCCTTGACATCCTCGATAAAGGTGTACTTCTCCTCGCCGAGCTGGTGTTCGTAGACAGTTCCAGCGTAACCGAGAACATCGGGTGACAAGTCGTCGACACTGTTTTGAGCAATACCACCGCAGATGAGCTGCAATCTCTCCATGTTTCTTCTCTTTGCGCGGCGAAGAGCGAAAATGCCGTTCTTGACCAGAACATCCAAACTCAAGGGGTCAATACCCTTCTGGTTGATAATGACAAAGCCCTTGGTGCCATCGGTACCGCAAACCTCCTTCTTCAGCTCGACAATTTTGCGCAACTTCTCGTCAACGAATCTGCGCTCACTCTCGACCAACTTTTCTCTTTGTTCGGCGCTCGAGTAATAGAAGCCAGAGTTGATCTCGGACTTCTCGTATTCCAGACTGACGTTGAGAGTGAGGATGAAAGCGTTCTCGACACGCTTGGGCATATCGGGGTGTCTGGCGCCGTGGTCGAGGGCGAGACCACGGATAAGTTGTGTGTCGGCAGCGGTACGATGTTGCATGGTCATAATCTCAACCATGTGCAAGTCGGGCTTAGCAGGGGCGTTGTAGATGGCGAGGACAGCGTCAACGATATCAGGGGTGAGTTGCTCGGCCAAGGTGGCATTGATCTTTGTGGACAGCGAGGTGCGGGCAACGGAGAGGAGCAGTTCACGGTCGACATCGCGGTCAAGCTTGAATTGGTCAAGGAACTTGAGGGTCTCGGTCTTTGCAAGGTCGTAACCGTCGGTGATGACTCTGGGGTGGAGGCCTTCGGAGATGTAGCGTTGAGCCTGCTTGAGAAGCTCGCCGATGAGGATGACAGCAGAGGTAGTACCGTCACCAGTGATGTCGTCTTGTGCAGTGGCGGCGCGGGCAATCATGACAGCGGTAGGGTTCTGGATCTGCATCTCGCGCAGCAAGACACTGCCATCCTTGGTAAGCTTGATGCCGCCAGCGCCATCGACCAGCATTTTCAGGGTGCCCGAAGGACCCAAGTTGGAGGCAAGAACACCCTGGAGACCTTCACCAGCAGCAATGTTGACACTCAAGGCCTCACCACGGCGCTGTACACGACTTGTCAGTGATTGTTTGGTGGGCGCATAATAATTATTTGGCTGGACGCACCCTTGATTCGGCCTTGGGGTTGAGGAGTTGGGCTGCAGACATGATGGCGATGTGTGAATACGACTTCGCCTAGAATCTGACAAGAACCCTGTTGATTAAGCAGAGTATAGGAGCTGGCAGTAACAAGTCACTGTCTATTGATTGTCCGCAGCATACAACTTTCTCGTCTCGCGGAGGAGCCCTCAGCCCTACGGCACCGCAAGCTCGAATGCTTGGCATTTTCTCTCTCTCGAATTTTGGCTCCAGCTTTTTTCTTCCGCAGTAAAGTGTCAACCCGACGAGACCTTTGCGCCGCCCTATATTGAATAGACAACCAGATTCCGGCGCCATGTCTGTCGACTACCTTTTGCACGAGTCCGGTGTGGGCTATGCCATCTTCAAGGTCCGCATGCAGGCCGACTCGGTCGGTCAGCGCCTCAAGGAAGTCCAGGAGCAGTCGCAGGACCTCGCCAAGTTCGGTATTGCATTCTGTATATCGTAAATGTGTTTGCGCAATCCTCCTAATACCTCCCAGGCAAGATGGTCGAGCTCGTCTCCTTCGCTCCTTTCCAGGGCGCCGCCCAGGCTCTCGAGAACGCTAACCTCGTCTCCGAGGGCATCATGTCCGACTACCTGAAGACCGTCCTCGAGGCCAACATGCCCAAGGCCAGCAAGAAGAACAAGACCGTCCTCGGTGTTACCGACAGAGGTCTTGCTGGAAGCATCAAGGCTGGATTCCCCTCGCTCGAGTGCGAGACCTCTGAGACTTCCGAAGTCTGCGCCGACCTCCTCCGTGGTTTGAGACTTCACGCCGAGAAGCTCCTCAAGCAGCTCCAGACCGGCGATGTCGACCGTGCCCAGCTTGGTCTTGGTCACGCCTACTCGCGTGCCAAGGTCAAGTTCAGCGTCCAGAAGAACGACAACCACATTATCCAGGCTATTGCTACCATCGACCACCTCGACAAGGCCGTCAACCTCTTCTCCATGCGTGTCCGTGAATGGTACGGCTGGCACTTCCCCGAGCTGGTCAAGATTGTCTCTGACAACACAAAATACGCCCAGCTCGCTCTTTTGATCAAGGACAAGAAGACTCTCACCGAGGACAACATCCACGACATTGCCGCCATTGTCGACGATGACGAGGCTGTTGCCCGCAGCATCATCGACGCCGCAAAGGTCTCCATGGGTCAGGACATCTCTGACGCTGACATGGAGAACGTTATGGCTTTCGCCGAGCGCGTCGTTTCTCTCAACAAGTACCGCAAGTCGGTTGGCAACTACCTCGTCTCCAAGATGAGCATTGTCGCTCCCAACTTGGCTGCTCTCATCGGCGAGACTGTCGGTGCTCGTCTTATCTCCAAGGCTGGTTCCTTGACCAACCTCGCAAAGTACCCCGCCTCTACTGTCCAGATTCTCGGTGCCGAGAAGGCCCTCTTCAGAGCTCTCAAGACCAAGGGCAACACCCCCAAGTTCGGTATCATCTACCACTCTTCCTTCATCGGCCGTGCTGGAGCCAAGAACAAGGGTCGTATCTCTCGTTTCCTTGCCAACAAGACTTCGATCGCTTCAAGAATCGACAACTTCTCAGAGACTCCCACCACCAAGTTCGGTGAGGCTCTTAAGGCTCAGGTTGAGGAGAGACTGAACTTCTACGCCACTGGCGAGGCCCCCACCAAGAACGAGCAAGCAATGGTAAGCAATGGTCAATGATTATGTATACAATGCAACGTACTAACAACCCACTAGCAAGCCGCAATGAACGCTGTTCTTGGAGACATCAACGTCGAGGACCCCACCGCTGGCGCTGCCGAGGACGTCGAGATGGCTGACGGTGTCACTGCTGCCGCAACCGAACAGGCCGTCCGCAAGGAGAAGTCCAAGGAAGAGAAGAAGAAGGAAAAGAAGGAGAAGAAGAGAAAGTCAATGGGCGCCGACTCAGACGACGAAGCCGACAAGAAGGAGAAGAAGAAGAAGCGCAAGAGCGAGGGCGTCGACGGTGACAAGAAGGAGAAGAAGAAGTCAAGGAAGAGCATGTAGATTGGCTGAATTTCTCATAGAGCCATCTTGTCGGAGTAGCGGCGTCGTCGGCGTTGAAAGGATTTTGGGCCAAAGAGAGTGGGAAAGCATTATTCGTTACCATTGATTTTCCAAAAATGCCTCTTTTGCGGGTATGAGGCAGTTTGACTTAGCTGTACAAAACGCATGAATGATTTCCTTTTCAATTCAAGTTGCTTGAACTCCAGACAAAAAGTGACGCTTTGCTTGATCGTGACTTCTCTCTGAAATTGCTTGGCACTTCAACCTCGCTTGCCGATCTGCGAAAGTCCATTCGAAGAAAAACTCCATCGTCCTTACAAAATCTCATCCACTTATCTAGACATGGCTGATGCAAGTAAGAAGCGTGCCGCACCTTCAGGTGGTGCTGACAAGAGCGCCAAAAAGTCTAAGGTAAATCTCTGCATCTCACATTTTGATCATTCAAAGACTGATAGGGTGGTAGAAACAATGGCGTGTACCTCGTAAAGCCGATCAATACGCATCGCAGAAAGTGATCTTGCCAGGCGACCAAGGAATCTGGGCCACATGCGACAAAGGTAGAGAAGGCAAATGCACCGGTGAACTTCGTGATCTTTTCAATGAGGTACATAAAGATTCTTACGATTGGTTATTTATTGCGCTAACAGGATACAGTATGCCCAACTGCTGTACGGAGATGAACTGGCTGCAGAAGCTGGTGCTGCCGGCTCTGACGATGAGGGTGATGGTGAAATCAACATCGAAGCTGAAATCCAGCAAGAACTCGCAGGCATGCGTAAGCCTCAAGAAAAACCTCTGTTCTGGTCAATAAAGCTGGATGTTCAGTGCGGTAAGTAAACCTGCTCCACAAGTCATTGCCCTACTAATACTGGTTTCAGTGATCTTCTTCAAGACCAGGGCACCTGTTGAGCCTGTTTCATTTGTACGAAGAATATGCGAAGATGCGGCCAAAAAAAACGCTCCCAAGCGTACCAGATTCTGCAACCGTCTTACACCGATGACTTTGATGGGCAAGGCGACCGAAGATGGTCTGGAGAAGACAGCCAAGCAGGTCCTCGCGCCTCACTTCCACACAGAACCGCGTGTGCCAACAAAGGTGAGTTTTTCTGCTTGCGCGTGATCTTCATGAATCTTGATGAATCTTCTAGTTCGCCATCCGTCCCACAATCCGCAACCACACCGTCATGAAGCGGATGGATATCATCCAGAAGGTTGCGTCCACGGTTGGCCCGGGACATCAAGTCGATCTCAAGAACCCAGACGTTCTCATTCTGGTCGAGATCTACACTGTAAGTTGACTGGGCGTCTTTTGTTGTGTCACGTATACTTAACTTTGGCAGAGCATCTGCGGTATCAGCGTAGTCCCCAACGACTACGAGACCCTGAAGCGATACAACCTGGCCGAGATCTTCGAGCCTTCTCCTAAAGAGCAACCTAAAAAGAAGGTCGAGGCTCAAAAAGAACAGCCTGTGGAGATTGCTCAATCGGAGCCAGATGAGAAGAACGAGACAGACGTTGTCAAAGAGGAGATTGACATACCAGCCGGCGAAGCAGAGAGCGAAACTGCAGCCGCACCTGCAAAGGACACAGCTGATGAGGCTTGAGCACGACGACAGCCTAGGAGAATAAACACCCCACAAACAGATTTTCTGACTCCAATACTCTCACCTCTTGCTCACCGATGATGGAGATGCTCATCAAGCCACGATCTAATATCTCCGCATTGCACAGGAAAGTATGAGCAAGTCAGTCCCCTCTTCTCTTATCTATCGCAGCCCTCGCGCGCCTGGGCCCCTGGAGAACACATCCTTGCCGCCAAGCCAGCAGCTCGACGGTTCGTCACGCAGCTCTCTCGCTACTCTGTGCACGCACCTACCTGCTGCGCGGAGATGCTTTGGTTCTCCTGACTCTGCACCCGGAGAAGCAGATCCATAGAGTGGAGTTGACGACGTTGGTTGAGCTCTGGGACCATGCCTTAAGAGAGTCCGGAAAGACAATGCAGGCTTCAACAGATCTTTCTCTATGCTGTTTTTCCGCCATGCCACAGGATATGTCTCTGTGTCATTAGTGTCAATTTCAATAGGGTCTATGGAGTCACAATGCTTGCGAAGATGGTGTGCATATCCCTCCCCGAACGGATGGGACTTGCTTTTTGACCTGACCGCGTCGGCTTGCGTGCCGAGGACCGACTCACTCATGCCAATAGGATGTGAAAGGAATATACCCGAGACCAGAGAAAGTGTGCTGGTGACTTGTTTCTATCATCCAGTCGCTCGAGTGAGCCATGAGGTTCCGACACCACGCCTAAAGCGATACAGCTCAGCTTCCGCTTTCCCAAAGAGGGAATTCACGCAGTTAAGAACTATGGTATGTCCGACAAGAGTATTTCCGCGGGTACCCTGACAAGATATGGTTCATCTGGCATCGCGTTCTTCATCAGAAGTTATCAGAACGACTTGGCTACCGAGTTACTCCAGCATTGCAACGCTGCGTGTGGCTTTACGCCTAGAACCAGTCTTTTTGCGGATGGGAGAGACGGTAGGCCATAGTCCCTCAATGTCTACGTGTCGAGCCACTTCTCCTTGCCTTGATCAGATCTCTCGATGTGAATGAATCCTCCCTGCGTGATCTTAGGATCTACCTACATCATAGTATGCATACCAAGAGGCTCAAATTGGAACCAGAAGCAATTACCCTGCATTCTGACATGGTAGGCGCACTCTATATAGCATGGAGAACGTGGCATACTGCTATCAAGACATTCACATGTCAACGACTCTAAATGCAAAATGTACGAGACGATCAGCATAGATAGAGGTCTCGAGGCCGATGAAGCAGTTGGCTGTGATTGGCCAATTTCGACTACAGATAAGGGACGGCGGGAGCTAGCGGGAAGGTGCGTCAACGTCAAACGCAACGACACTGGTTCAACAGATTTCTGCTCTCAGCTCGCTTTACACATACGATGACTGTCGCAAAGGCAATCGTAATTGCCAGAGATAGAACAATCTGAGTCTCCTACAATGAGACCCAATGTTTTGACTTTGGTTCATGAGTTGAATGGATGTGCTAATCCCAACTCTAGTCAAGCACTCATAGCTGTGTATCGCCAGTACACCAACTCTCGAGGCGAAGTAGGCAAGTACGGCAATGGGCTTGGGTCGAGAACAAAGCAAAAACTGAACATGCATCCAAAAGAGTTCAACTCTGCATCGCAGATGGTCAAGTATTTCTATGATGAGAGGTTTTACGACAAGCCACTGATAAGGCAGGGGATGTTCCAAATCCACTTTTTCCCGTCGGAAAGCTGTGGTTATCTGTGCGCCCAGAGATAAGCCAACCCAATGCGTGGTCAACCATTCGTCGATTGAGGCACCCACACTCCATGCAACCCGCTTTCGATACATTACCCTGTCAGATTGGACTATGTTGGTCTGCTGAAAGGCCTGTTATTGTGCAACGAGCCCATAACTTGCTGAAGCTCAAAAGACAGGTTTGTTGTCTGATTGTATAACTATCATCCAAGAGCAGCGAAAGTAGAAAGGGAAGTGGTAGATCAAGGGTTCATGTGTACAGCATCCTAAAACTCCCGGATTCTTATCTCGACACGGCTTAGCCTGAAGTCAACCCGTTTCCTAACCCACGTTCCCATCTGCGGCTCTGTGTACGACTTCGGTACACGCATCGTTCGACCATTTCCACTGCGGTTCCTTATCTGAGCCCAGGAAGGGCCGGCTGCTCCAGATCTTCTCAACCCCAGAATTAGCTGAGGACCCAAGATCTGCACGCTGACGGCAGTCCAAATCCGCGGACTTGTTTTTTGCTTTGGCGTTGTGGTAATCAGTTGTGTACCGGAGATACACTGAACAAACTGCTCGACGTCAATGTGAGGGAGAGTTGAATATTAAACCTCCACGTCCTCACCCCAGCAATTGGTCTCTCCATCCGGATTCTATTACATACCAACAACCCCAAAGAGGTTCAAAGGCCGTCCTATTTCTGGCTTCGAGGATTCTTCTTTGGTAGTCTCTCATCCTCAACTCTAGTCCGGACATATCACATACCAAATCACAATGGGTATCAACGTTCTGTGGTCGGCCCCTGAGGTCAACCCCATCAACAGAAAGGCTCGCTCTGTTCCTGTCCTCAACCCTATCAACAACTATGGACGTGTATTCTTCTTCTCATGGTTCGGCTTCTTGTTGGCATTCTGGTCCTGGTAAGTACAAGATCTTCTCCACAAAACATCTCTCTCCCCAGACTGTGGCTGACCCGACTGAAAGGTACGCATTCCCTCCACTGCTCAGCGATGTCATTGCCAAGGACTTGCACCTCACCAAGCACGAAATCGCCAACTCCAACATCATCGCTCTGACTGCCACTCTCCTCGTTCGTCTGGTTGCTGGTCCTGCTTGTGACCGTTTCGGTCCTAGATACACATTTGCCGGATGCTTGCTTATTGGTGCTCTCCCTACCTTCTTGGCTGGTACCATCTCAAGCCCTGCTGGCCTCTATGTCATCAGATTCTTCATTGGTATTCTTGGTGGCTCTTTCGTGCCTTGTCAAGTATGGACAACAGGCTTCTTCGACAAGAACATCATCGGAACTGCCAACTCTTTGACTGCTGGTCTTGGTAACTCTGGTGGTGGTATCACCTACTTCGTCATGCCTGCCATCTACACCTCGCTTGTGCAAGACCAAGGCCTTACCCACCACGTCGCTTGGCGTGTTGCCTTCGTTGTTCCTGGTATTTTGATCACTGCTGTCGCCTTGTCCCTGTTCTTCTTGTGCGATGACACTCCCACTGGTAAGTGGGCCGACCGCTTCCAGGTTGCCGAGAGCAACCTCCGCTCCCACGCCGTCGAGGGCGCCATCGTCGACGTTCCCGGTACTGGCGAGATCACTGCAGAGAAGACTAGAAAAGAAGCTTCTCGTACACCATCTACCTCCGACGTTGCCAGTGAAGAGAAGAAGCTTGACGAGACCCGCGGTACCTTCGCCGACAATGAGGCTCAGATGGGTGAGGAACAGATGATCGACACCGTCCGTGGCGAAGTTGTTCAGAAGCCTTCATTCAAGGACGCTTTGCCTGTTATTTTCTCGCCCCAAACCCTTGTGCTCGGTCTTTGCTACTTCTCCACTTTCGGTTGTGAGCTTTCGGTAAACAGCATTCTCGGAAACTACTACACCGCCAACCTCAAGCTCGGTCTTCAAGATTCTGGTAACTGGGCTGCCATGTTCGGTCTCATGAACATCGTCTTCCGCCCTCTTGGTGGTCTGGCCTCCGATTACGCATACAGAATGTGCGGACCTTGGGGCAAGAAGGTTCTGCTTCACACCTACGTCACTCTTGCAGGTCTGTTCATGGTCATCACTGGTGTTGTCAACCCTCACAAGCGCCCTGCACTTGTCGGTCTCATCACTGGTGGTGTAGCTTTCTTCATGGAAGGTGCCAACGGTCTCAACTACTCGCTTGTTCCTCACGTCCACCCTCACGCCAATGGTATCGTTTCTGGTGTCGTTGGTGCCAGTGGTAACTTGGGCGGTATCATCTTCGCCATCGTCTTCCGTTACAGTGTCCATGGCAAGACTACTTTGTACGGACGCAGCTTCTACACCATTGGTGCTATCATGATGGGCATTGGTGTTTTGACTGCCTGGATCAGACCCATCCCCAAGGGTCAAATCGGTGGTCGCTAAAGAAGTTGTTTTTCTCTGTTATGATTATGGATTTTATTAGGGTTAGGGAATGATTTGTTATGACTATGCTGGGAGCTTGGACTGTGGGACTTGTTTTTGTATCGAGATATCCAATGTTTGTATTTAGAGTAGATTTTTTGGGCTTTTCTTTGACAAAAATCGCATTTTCGAGTTTGTTGTCATCGCTACTTCCCTTTTTCTTCTATGTGCTTCAGTGATGTGTAGTTCATGCGAAGGAAAGTGCGAGTTTTGTCGCTTCCTGGGAAGCTTTGTTGGCATTGATCTGCCTTGTGGCTCCTGGGGTTGCTTGTTCTGCCTCCTTATCTGCTCTTCTCACGCAAATCGCCTTCTGTCATAAGACAACAACGATATTCAAGCAACTGTTATCCTCTTCGCTCTATCTGGATACCAACGCTTCATCATGGCATGTCCTCTCACAACTTCCATTGACCTGACGATAGATCTGATCATAAACGCCGCACGCGTTATTGCTTCCAAGCATCATCGCATGCTCCATCGTTTCTTCAACTTTCTGACAAAGAGACTCATAGTCGTGACCAGTAGAATCCACAAGGTGTCTCTTTTAAAATAATTGCCAGCGCTCTTTCATGCTGATTCTAGCGATTTCATCCGACTGTAGACAGCGTATATCTCAAACGATCCGCCAACCCTGCGACATGCCTGAATACAGCCAACATCCTCAATCATGACTGGATTTCTGGATCTTCCATATGAGGTTCGCGAGATTGTCTACAACAAGGTTCTTGGAATCATCATCGCAAGACGTGAACGTATCCTCTGGGTTCCGGATGTCTTGGAGCAGGATATCAATCATCAGACCCTCGCCATCACGTACAGAAGAGCAAGAGACTTCGACTCGCAAGAGCATGGAATCCTCCTGTGGATTGGCGATAGGTGGCCTGCTGTCCGTCACCGCGACATTGCATCGTTTGTATCTTTAGCTCGAACTTGTCAGGCTCTGCACACCGAAGTCTCAAGATTTGCCTGGAAAGCATCGGATTTTAAAGTCGAGGGGAGTCTTGACATGATCCGTGAGTTGCTCCGTCATCGTCTTGCTCTCCACATGTCGGTCGTTACCAAGAGCTTCATCACATCTTTGGAGCTGATCATCTCCGAACCCTGGGAGATGGAAAGTCTAGAGGCCATGAAAGATATCGTACAGATGATCAACGCTCATCTACCTGCATTGGCAATTCTGACACTGAGAGTCCCTAATGTCACGCTTCGTGTCCCGGCAAGCAACCTCACAATGCGCTCGCTGTGTCAACCAGCCAAGGCAATGCTTGCACAGCTTCTTCCCCTGCGTTCTGAACTGCTTATCGACTTCAAAGGTGGCTGTGATTTATGGTCGGCCAGCTGCAGCCACTATCACAGTGGCCTCAACGCACATATGCCTAAGATATCCACACTAGTCGAGCTACTGACGACCAACTATGCAATCATCCGTGCAAAAGCTATCAACAGACAGCGCAAGAAGATCGAAAACGACTGCTTGGATTCTGACTACTACATCCACATGACACTAGGCCTGCGTTCCTCCACTCACTACGAAACTATCCGTTGCTGTCTCGATCACAAAATTCAGAATCACCTGAGGAAGATTTATCTACCCAGTCTCAAGATGACTACGAGATGTGCATCACCAGACTCGGACGATCGAGCCCTGCTTCTCAAATCTCGTGGAGAGAATGGTCTTTTCCGCATCAAGAATGAGCAAGACTGATCGTTGAGACTATTTCTGAGAGCCAGTCAAACGAAGCTTCTGAGATGTTAGTTTAGACGAAGCAGAGACAACAAAAAGAAGGCAGAGATGGGTGTCAAAAAACTGGAAAGAGGCTAAGACTACTCTCTTTGCGTTGAAGCACGAGCATGAGTTACGCGATTGGGGACATAGTTGCGATAGGTTTAGTTTGAACTATCGACAGTGACCTGGTGAGCTTACGTGAAGGGATAGTGCAAACATGGGCTTACTTTTCCATTGAGCTGAAGTATGCAATGCGTAGCTATAGAAATGCACAATACTATCAGAAGACAGAGCAATGTCCGCTGAGAGCCGGTGTCTTATTTTCTCCCACTGGACACGCCTTTACCTCTCAAAACAATCGTGGTTTTCTATGGTATACTTTTTCGCCCTTCACTATAGCTGGAACTCAACGAACATTTTCAAGATACCAGAATTCCAGATCAAAAACAGTGGCTCACAACGATTTCTTTGCGTCCTAGCACGAGATTAAACGATGAGATTGCTCGTGGAGTTGCGAGCTACCGTGATCGAAAGTGTCGACAACGACCTGATGAGCGAACATACATGTTGCGTGGTCGCACATCCTTTGGTGAAAACCGAACATCGTCGTTGGTCTTTGCCTGTTTGGCAGCGCGTTGCTGGGAACTTGCTGGTGCTGTGTGATGAAAAGAATGTAAGCAGATGTTCGAAAGAAGGTGTTATATACTAGCTATCAAAAACTACTTCTTCAAAATGTTTCGTCCCACTTTTTTTTTCATTTCTAGAATCCACCTATTGTTCTTCTAAACCCGATATCCAAAACATTGCTTCCTAGAACTTGTATAGCTTCTAACAAAGCTTTGTCTTGTGTGTTTGATGTTTTGAGGGATTGAGAGGTGGAGAATGGGGTTTGGTCAGATGAACAAGTCGTGTTTGGAGGTGGTAAAAGACCGGTTTGGAAGTATTCTCGCACGACTTTTGCTGTGCAGAGGGATGGTGATGACCAGGATGTGTGCTGTTCAGACGAGGTCAGTATCTGTCTTCTGCAGGAGAGGAGGGATATACTTACGCCTTCTGATTCTTGCTGCAAAACCACTGAACCAGGAAAGTTCTTTGCCATTTCCCTTGCACTAGTTTCTTGTGTTAGCAACCCCTTTCTTTATAGCTTAGAGCCCGTTCGAGAGGATTCAGGTGAACTTACTTAGCCAAAGGAGTAACAGGATCCAACGTCGTCGATACAAACAAAGCCGGATGGGACAAGCTTCCAGCAAAAGGTCCTTCGAACCTATTCTTCGCTTTTGTTTTCCACCCTACACACCCTAACCTCGTATGCGCCCACCAATCCCCCAATACCTCACTTTGCTGCTGCAACGCATGCCAATACTCTTGGAAACTGGTTTCATCGATATCACCGAGGCCAGGTCCATCGGTACATAGGATTGCCAGTGTGGCATCTGGCATATTGGAGTCTTGGTCGCATTCATCGCTGAAAGGGCCGGCGGAGGCGCAGTCGGAGCTCGGGCAGGTGAAGGTGTTCGACATGGCTTTGAAGTCGGCGAAGAGGGTGCCGTTGCCAGTGGATATGGAGGTGAGGAGGTCGGAGACCATGGGCGAGTAGATGATCGGTTGGTACATGCCTAGTCGAACCATGCTTTTTACGTCTGACCAGGTGATTACATCTGGTCCTCTGGTCTTCGAACTTGGCACCACTATTGGTTTCTCGAAAATTGCTGTCAACAGATTCTCGTAGTTTTTTCTTATCTCTGCGGGAGTCGTAGAGTAGAAACTACAGGCTTTGGGGCCTGCAGCATGACAATAGGCAAAGAAGCGTTCTAGAATGGCATCTGCGTCGGAGAGATTGCTGAACCAGGAACCAAAGAAGTAATCATGAGCATTGCAGACGCCATCGAGGACGATTCTGTCGACGCGTGTTGGGAACATCGAGGCAAAGGTTTGTCCAAGGATGGTACCATAGCTGTTTCCCCAGTATTTGAGCTTTGGTTCGCCTCTGGTATATCGAAGTCGTCGGACGACTTCATGTTTGTTTTGCCCACGAAGACTGTCGCTTCTCCTCGTGGGATGAGCTTGTTTGGCTAGCCATTCTGCATGCCGCTCAATAATCTCGAGCATATCGCGAGCAACAGGCGAGGTATTAACATGCTCGCCAATAGCTTCAGAGCCATCATCAGTAGTCCCAGTAGCAGCCGAACAGCCCTCAGCCAGTGCCCTCGATCTATACCAATTCCGATAAAACGAATCTTCCGAACTACCCAGTAGTCCCAGAGCTTCATTCTGCAGCATCCAGCTCGAACGTGCCAAGCTATCAGGAAAACAATGAATTGCAGGTGTTGTATACCCAACACCTCTAGGGTCGAAACTGATAATATCGTGGTATTTTGCTGTCTCGGAGTTTAGAGTATCGTTGGGGTGTTTGTCTGCATCGACGATGATTTGTGTTGCTCGACCACTACGCAGCATTTGAGCTACTCCACTTCCACCAGGGCCACCGGGGTTTGTCAGGACGGCACCTCCATAGCGCGGATCCGTTACTGGGACTTTTGCTGGGAGTTTTATTATGGCTAGTGAGATGTTGTTTCCTGGCTGTGTAGAGTTCCGCCACCAATCCATTGGCACCTGGAGTTTGGCACAATAGTAATCGTCGTAACATTGATGGTATTGGAGATCGGGACTAGAGTCAATGTCGTACCATGAGAACTGAGGTTGACCGGCAGTCGAGGGCTCTGTTATAGGACGAGCATCCAGATCACGTGTTGGCACAATGTTCCATCCTTGGAGAAAAGTGAACAATGAGAGGCCAGCCGCTACACATAAGACAGCCTTTCTCCATACAAACTGAGACCCTTTCTCGGGAAGATTAGCATCTGTTCGGACTTGAGGCGTGGCGGCCTCTTTCTCTCTGAGGATTGGATGATGCATGACAAGCTTAAGGTGCTAAAGCTCCAAGAGATCCATCCAAGAAGCTGTGAAGCATGTCCCTCAGCTTGATAGTTGACAAATCGATCAAACAGGGGAACCCGTCACATTAAGGTACAGGAGAGGCGGTAAAGAAACGGAAAGGGTGCAGCACGGAACACGACAGTGCAGTAGGTTCCGCATCATGTATGCGATAAGGATGATAAGCGGGGTTGATCCTACTGCTATGCCAGTGATCTCCTCCCGCGCTTCAGAGCCATGACTGGACTCATGAACCCATTCAGTTCTATACTGAGCATCCCTCCAGCCGACTGGACAGAGGGAAATACTGTCGCGTTCCCAGAAGATGGCGTTGGCTAGATCCGCATCAGATTAGACGCAGGCCAGAAAATGGATGGTGTTGTTGCTCTAGAAGGAAGCGCGAACCGAGATTCGGTTCGCGCTGCCCTAATCCTTGTATCCACTCGACCCTCGCCATCCAGGTTGATCACAAGAACCTCTCCACCTTAGCGGACCACCACAATGGTGCTCAAGGATTGCTAGTCAGTGGGCTAAGGTAAGTCGTATTTGAAGGTAGGTCTCTGCTTAATATCTCCTCTCCTCTCGCTCATGTCTTTGTGCTCTCCCTTTCTTCGTACCACTACTCGATTGCAACAAATAGCTAGGACATTCATCCAACTGCCTCTTCGCCATACACCAAGCCTGAGAACAAGCACACATTCGAAGCAAAGATTCAGAATCACAATGGGAGCACAGAAGATACCCTCAGAGGAAGGCTATGCCCAAACACCTCTCAACACCATCAAGGTGTACAAACACAGAGGTATGCCCAGACCATGGTCTCCTCATACTGTCTCGACAACCAATTAACCTTGTCATTCCAGCCGCCTACGACTACCACACCGTCCACTCCATCTTCGCCTCCACCCTCGTCTCCCACGTCTCCTTCATATCCACCGACGAAGACGGCGATCCAACACCCATGAACCTGCCCTTGACAGCCGTATTAGGCCACTACGACCCCTCGCACCCTCTCCCCGAACACCCCACTCCACAAGTCTCTGCCTACCACCAAGACCTCAACCGACCACTCGACCTCTACCTGCACGGCAATGTAGCAATGATGCTCCGCCGCGCAGTCCACAAAAACGGAGTCATGAAAGTCTGCATCACATCCACAAAAGTCGACGGCGTAGTCCTAAACTTCACACCCAACGGCCACTCTCTAAACTACCGCAGTGCAGTAATCCACGGAACCGCAGAACTCGTTTCCCTACCCGAAGAAAAAAGATTCGCCATGCATTTACTGACTAACCACATGATTCCTCACCGTTGGCAAAACACAAATCCTATAACGCCTGCAGCGTTGAAAAGTGTGCAGGTCTTGCGTGTGACCATCAACTCTGCTTCTGCCAAAGTGCGAGCGAAGAATATGGGCTTGGCGGATAGTTGCGAGATTGCTGCGCAGAGGGACGATATTTATACTGGTGTGTTTCCTTTGTATGAGACTTTGGGCGAGCCGGTGGAGAGTGGGTATGCGCCGGGCAGACCTGTGCAAAAGCATCTCGAGGAGTGGAGGGAGAGGCGGAATGCAGAGGAGAAGGGATATGCAGTGCGAGCGGCCGAGAATGAGCCTGAAGAGGCAGAGACGATAGTCGAGCATGTCAAGAAGATTGGCGAGATCACGAGACAGAAGATTGTCGACGAAGGCGTCAGTGTTTAAGCGTTGTTATACGCGATTGTTCATGAGCGCTGTTGTTTTACAATACGCTCAAATATACAAAAGCTCAGTATCACTTGCTGGTCACAAAAAAACGATGAAGCAAAACGATAAAGTGCAGTAAAAATCTGTTTTTACTTTGCGTGGTCAAACGAGCTACTTATTTCGCGTCCATTGTAAGAAGCGGTGTCCATTACAGGCTGTGAGTTATGTGCGTCTACCATGACTTGGGCGTGTGTGTGAGAAGTTGAGGGGATGGATAGTGATGGGTGACTGTTGAGTATATGAACAAGAGAAAGGAAGTAGTGAAGAGAAAAGGAAACAAGAAGAAAACACAAGGGAAAAGGGTTCTCTGGCGGACAGAGCAGAAGAAAACGCTCCCATTTCAACACGAAGATGGCACAGTAAAGTGTTCCTCATCATTCAAGATCAAAAAAAAAGCGCTCCAGTGTTGTACGCCGGGCATTCGCCAATCCCAGAAAACATTTGAGAAAGAGAAGAGTTAAAGAAAAACGTCAAGGAAATCGGGCGATCGATATTGGTAAAGTCGTTCAAGGTCGTGGATGTTGCAGAGTCAAGCGCTAATTGGATCATTAAGCGTTGGTGACCTGGGAGATGTTAGTATTGCTTTTCGATGCGTTTTTGATAGTAGCGCTTAAACACACCTTCAATATTCTTCGCGAGTAGTCCTCGTTATCAGCAATGCTACCATCGCTCATTCTCCTTGATGCCATGGCGTCAGGGTCGATACGAGAGTCAGGTCCGGGTGCGGGTCTGAAAGCCATGGGCTTTTGGGCCGAGCTTGAGTAGTCGTTGAGTTGCTGATGACCAGTTTCTGTCTCGCGACGTTGCTTGCGACGCCAGAAGAAGAATGCAGCACCGAAAAGTGCAGCTACCACGACTATGCCGACAACCACACCAGCAGCAATTCCAGCAGTATTTGAGCCTCCTTTGTGTGACTTTTCAGAGTCGGCAGAGCTGGTGCCTGTGGAGGTGGGAACCTGAGTGATGATGACGGTCGTGCCAGGAGCAACGCTGGTAATGACAGTAGCCTTGGTTGCGGCAGGATCTGCGGAAGTGGTGCTTGTGATCATCGAGGAAGGTGCAGAGCTTGATGATGAGGAGGAGGAGGAGGATGATGAGGAAGATGAGCCAGAAGACTTGGCTGCGGCAGATGATGAGCTTGACGAGCTGGATGAGCCGCCGCCGCCATAATAGCCAATGTTAGTGTCGGTGGTTGTGTAGTAAACGCTCCAGTATCCATCGCCACCACCTTGAGGTCTAAGTTAGTCGATGCACGTGTGCAGTGTTGTCAAGTGTCAACTTACAGATGTCATCAGGATATCCAACGCATGTCATGCTGCACTTTGAATCGTCGCTCTGCAGACTGCTCTTTGCTGGCAGAGTAGAGCCACACCAACAATCATTACCGTCAGTCATGGCCATGACAGTGGCACCGACGCCGATACATGTCTCCTGGCAATGACCTTTGGACTGGTAGTTGAAAGTTCCATTATCCTCGAGACCAGCAGATCCACTGAAGCAGCCAGCATCTGTGACTGGACCAGCAGTGATTGCGGATACTGTCTGGACTGAGAATGCCGAGAGGGCGAGTGTGACTGCTGCGACCGAACGCATTGTTGACAGCATGGTGCGTATGTGAGGGAGAAAGTTGGTTGAGAAGGTTCCGGGTGAAGGACGAGGATGTGTGTGAGAGTGTTGAATGGTGCGACTTGAGTAACGTCAGTCGCCTCGTCGTGCAACCAGCAGTGAACAGGTCAAGTGTCAAGCTCGTGTCCGTATAAGCCAAAAGTCAAAACCACACTATCGTGACCAGCACGCGAATGTGTGAATTTCTTGGGCCTGTAGAGGGATGCTATACAGAGGTGGCTCGTTGGAGTTTCGGGAGTGCCTCAGGGTGCGTCGCAAGATGCCAAGGGTGGAATGATGTTTTGGTCAATACACGGTTGAGGAATGTGGGCGTCCAGGAATTAGTGTGTTTGTCGAAGAGGAAGATGAGTTTGTGAATAGCGAATGTCGTCTGCCAGGTGGACAGGCAGTGTCGGACGGGGACTAACTAGTGCAGGTCGATGATGAATTGATGGAAACTTGGACAGAAACAGGGAGCGAAGACGGAGAAACAATCAAAGAAGAGAAAGCAAAGAGACGTCCGTGTGCGTGACCAGGCACAGGCAGTCCCGTCCCTCCGTCCACAGCCAGTCGACAGTCGACAGTCCATTGATCGGCCCAGCCCCGTTGCGCCCTGCCCGTTGCGCTAAAGCAGGAACCGCCTAGTGTTCCTGATGACCCCTGGCCAATATTGAAACCAGGACCATGTCAACACAACCTTACTGCCCTCTCTCCAAGAAAATCCCACAAGGGACAATCCCATTGTTGACCCTCTGTCTATGAACATCATCATTCATGCCCAACTTCTCTGACTCTCACTCCTGCGTGACTGTTCGACCATTTGATTGCGCTCAACATCCCATCTGTTCTAGACCCCCCTTGTGCGAAACGCGTACCCTCGCCTATTCTGCTGGCCAATCTCATGGCCAATGCACAGACTCTTTCCGATTTGGCTGCCTCTTTTTCCCGGCCGTCATGTGGCGCCAAGCTTTGCTTCTTTAATTCCCTCTTTCCTCCATGAGAAACCGTTCACAACGTCTCTTCAGATGACAGGATGGAAGCTATCCTGCAGGATTCAGGAACACATCCATCACCATGGGGAAAGAGGGGCAAAGACAAGGAACGAAAAAGAAAAAATTACCGTCGCTTGCAATTCTCTGTCCCTTTCCCCCACGCCTCTTCGTGTTTCTCGTCTTCCGCTTGCCGTCGATCTCACTTTGTACGAAGCAGTCGCGGCCTGTTGATCACCTGTCTTTTTCCAGCAACCTTTTTACCTTTCTGGCCGCCCGCATGCATGCCATGTGCGCTGTCTTTTTTTGTCGTTGACCACCGTTGGTTTGACTTGTTCTCTCCTCATCTTCAATCAAAGCTTGATCATTCTCTCGACTCAATGCTGCAACAATCCCTTCGGATCGAGTTCGGTCTCTGAACAGCCTCTCCGTTACGAGTCGGGCTTTTCAACATGACAGCCCAGCGCGGAGGTTTCAGACTGCGCACAACGTTCCTTGGCTGTTTTGTATCTCTGTCAACCACGAAATAATGACAGAGATTTTTGAAAGATATGTCATGCTTCAAGTAACCAGACTATCCTGTTGACATGTCCTTTTTGTATGGACAATAGAAGAACTGCATCGAATCACGAAATCTCAAACCTTCTCTCTGCATGATCATTTAAGGACATTAGGATCTAACGGTAATGCCACCACAATCGTTCTCGCGATTGGCGATTAGGTACCAACCGGAACCTGAGGGAAGTTCAGGCCTACGAAAGGAAGAGTTTTCACCAAACTCCATCTTCTAGACTCATAACCATCTACTGGTGTATGGCCTTTGCACTGTGGTGCGATGCATGGGTGTTTCAACAACCCCATCCAGCTTTATACCCGTGAGGCTGAATTGGCCTAATCCGCCATGAACTGCATCTATCAGGCCTCCCAAGCCTACAAGCAAATCGACGATATCCGAGCTCCAGGTTCTTGGGATTGTGGAAATGGCGCAAACGATTTTTATCTCTTTCGTCCATGGCTTTCCAGGATAGGTCGCGCAATGCTCTCCGCCTAGTCGGCCTGACTATTGGAAGGACTCTTCCCAAATCGTTTAGGCTTGACAGCCTATTCATGGTGTGACAAGCACGACATGTACTGATACAGGACTCGTCAGCTCTGGGATGGTCGTCCCTGATGTTGGTACAGTCAGAGATCAGAGCTCAACAAAGAAGTGCATATCATACAGCTGATTGTGTCTCCATCAACCCACTGCCCTGGGATCATACAGTGTTTTGTTGGTATCAAGGCAAGGCATGATCTTTTCAACTGTAAACCCGTGTTTGAGTTCATGTCAGACATCTGACGAGTATAACCTCGACGGCAATCTGCATGAGGCAGTATTAACCTCATGTTCATTGCTGCTGTGCCATCGGGAAAGGAAAGATCTATCGACAGACAATGAGAAGACGAACAGACTCTACGAGAATTGGCAGCTGGTTCCCTGCTTGTCGATAACTCGGGTCATTCACCGAACATGCTGTGTCTTTAGACAACAACGTGGATGCATCGGCAACTGATTCTTCATGGCATCGAGCTATCTGAACGCAAACAATTTATCACAGCTGCTGTATATACAACGGGAACTCTCTGCCGAAGAGAGCTCTGAGAATAGACTTCTCGTTAATTGGTCAGCCTAGCTATATAGAGAGCTTCGTACCTTGTACCTCCCAAAAAGTCATAGATACTCTCTCCACATGTCCCTACGAAGGAAGGAGATCAAGGCATGGTGCCCGCAAAGTGCAACCCAATCTGCAGGCTGCATCTACGTTGCCACTTCAGATCATCTATGATCTCTCCCGTCAGATCCAAATCAAAAAATCAATATCATGTCGGCATAAACTCAACAGCATACACGTCTATCCGACCCGTTCTCATCAACCACAATGACACAGACAATGACAACATCCACCGGTGGACGCACTACCTTCGGCCATCTTCCCTCCCGTATGCCGCGCACTGCACAGCACTGCCCACAGCCACCTTTACTAACACTCGGACCGTGGTCACTCCGGACATGCGAAGCTCTGGTGTCGTGGCTCCGTGCCTCTTCCAATTTCGGCACTCGGCTTCCGCAGCCTAGAAAAAAAGTCGCAAAAAAAATTGAACCACAGCAGAAAAGAGGTTTGAAAAGTTGTGCAAAAGAAGAAATTCCGACACGGGGAATTGAACCCCGGCCTCCTCGGACCTGATCGTTGTTGGTACAACTGTTTGAGAGCGAGAAATCCTAGCCACTAGACCATATCGGATTTGATGTAAGGACAACCATCAATTTGCAATATAATTCTTTCTAGGTAGAGGACTAGCAGTGCTGTTCGTGGCACCCTGATCAGAGTCACTGTCGAGTATCCTGGTACGACAAGATGCTCTGCCCGTTCCTCAGTCATGGCTCCTAGATACTGCGTTTCTCAGTTATCTCTGCAGGCACTTTGACCCTGATAAGGTCTTTGGTTGACGAGATCTGCATGAAGTTACTCTCAAGCTCAAGAAGTACCCCAGGAGCGCTGGCGACCACCAAAGCCCTTAGCGGAAGGCCACCCGACAAACATAACATTCAGAGCTATGCAGCAACCTCTGCTTGACAGACAGACCATTATACTCTGAGAATACTCTGCAGAACATTCGTCCGGAACTCCAACATCCTTACCAGGGTTATGACAGCCGCTTATATCGACTAGACCAACGAGCAGAGCCAGGATTAACAGCTTCAAAACCCCACACGATACTCTTCAGTCACCGAGCAAAAGCATGCAGTCAAGACTGCCACGTCCCTACAACCAAATTGACACCTTGACTGATAAGCAAAAAAGGATTACCAGCCATAGCAGCCAGCAAAAGGTAACTGCCGCTTCTGTGGATCGAACACAGTGCCTCCAGAATACTCCTGATATAGGAAGACATGAAGTGGACTTCAGTCTGGCGCTCTCCCAGATGAGCTAAAGCGGCTTGTTCCGATACTTCCCGTCATCAATGAATATGTGCCTTCTCATTGCGAGCTACGGACAGGGCAAGGAGCCAGAGTCTACATGGTCAATCGCCAGTGAAATAGAAACATGGCATCATGTAAGTATAAGGCCTTCCCTTTCCATGCAAGTTTTTGTCGTTTTTTCTAGCTCGTCTTCTCCAACACTTGCTGCTTCATGCTGTTCTCAATGTTTCCACTCCTTTGACTGCCTGATTGCTTTGACTCCTGTTATCATTCCGCAATCGAAAGTTAAGAACTCTTTCTCTCTTGCATAACCAAGGATTAGATACACGATCAGCCTTTACTACCTACCCCTCAACCATTTCTCGATAGAGGGCTGCCAGCCATATGGCACTTGACCCTGGATTCAAAATGCCAAGACTTGGCTTCGAAGCCTCAAAGCTCTCCCACCAAAAAATCAAGCAACGCCAAATTCACCAATACGCCTCCCACCACCTCTCCGATCATATATGTGCATGTTTGGGAGCAAAAGAAACATAGTCGACCTCGAAAAAGAGCAAAAAGAAAGCCCCACGTGGGGCTCGAACCCACAGCCTCAAGATATCGATTCATCGAAGGGATGATTAGAAGTCTTGCGCGCTACCATTGCGCCAGCAGGGCTGGTTTGTTGGAGGACAGACAATGTCACGTAATAATATAGCTCAGACCAAACGAGAACGTCATGCGGTCTCTGCTCATGATTGTTGGACCACCCATTCAGCCCTGAAAATTGCCTCGAGGCTTCCAAAAAACAGGGGACACTTCGTCGAGGTCGCAAATTGCGTCCATGTCCACTAGGAACGAAGTCCGACTTTACCAATCAGAGCACTTCAAGGACAGCACATCCAGCGAGGGCTCATCTAACATCCTCTCAGCAGTGCCTGGAGCAATCGAAATTTTCTTCTCCTAACACCCGAGATGTTGTTCATAAATATAGCTACAAGGAAGCAAGTCAAGCGAGAAGGATTCAGAGGCTAGAAAAGCACAGTAAGCAATTCTAGACCCGGGTACATGGAAATTCATGCATTGCCGCCCAGGAGGATCCTCCACCGAATCCTTCTTCCAATATCACAATACATACATATGCAAGAAGTGTAGCTTTGGGATGTTTCTTCGAGTATACTGACGATCTAGATGCATTTTGACATGGTCAGTCATCATCGACGCCTCGTTCGCATCAGGCTGACGGTGTCATATGGTTGGTTCATTGGTTGTCCTTTGGATATCATGCATGAAGTACACGAAGACATTCCTCGAATCCTTCGATCTGCAGGCACATTGTTGGTAGCAAGTTGCTATATCACAATCTATTATTTTCAAAATGGTGTGCACTATTGAATTGCTGCATCAAACATCTTCGTGGAAGAGGTGTACTGGATGTTTCAGCTTTTGGATCCTTCGAGTCTGCTTTCTTTCCTATATATATCCTATATCAGTGGTGAGGTTTCCCTTCTTCCCTGCTACAGCACATACAGCTCTTCCCCACTCCCGTCAAACATCCTTCTCAAACACCGACAAAATGCTCCTCAAACACATCCTCACCCTCTTCTCTCTCTCATCCCCCATTCTCGCAATCTCCTCCCCTGCTTCCTACCCCAACACCACCACCCCCTCCTTCCAAACTCCAAACCTCACTTTTTCCGAACTCTACAACCTCACAAATCGCTTCCTCACCAACCACATGTACCCCCTCAACATAGCCCAATCCCTCTCCATAAACTCTTCCCTCTTGTCCTCAGACATCCTAGGCCGCGTAGACGCAACTCGCGACTACGCAGGTCGCGAGTTAAACACCGAATACCTGTTCGGTCTTTTCGCCAATATCGCTTTAAATCCTGATGCTTTTACATTGCTCGGGTATCCTGTAAACTACACATTTACACGCTTCCTAGGGAGTGGGAATGTAGTTAGCTTTGCAGCTGTGGTGGAGTACATGTTGCCAGTTACAAAAACAACCATACCTCAAGAATTGGATTTTTGGGTCACGTATAATGAGAAAGGAGAGATTTCGCAATATGATGGGTGAGTACCTCCGACCCTTCCCCAACCTCTTCTCCTCAGACATCACTAACCAACCCCCATATAGCAATTTCCGCTACCTCGAATGGCAACTCAACAGCACGATCTCGTCCATCTCAGCACATCTAAACCTCTCTGCCTCTGTGGACATAACATCCCTACTCCATCAAAAACTAGCCCAAAGCATTTGTACCACAGCAACGACCTTTTGCAATGGGACAAACCTGCAGTATCCAAACCAAACAGCTTGTGAAGATTACCTCATCAACAAGACAAGGTTTGGAGAGGGTTGGGAGTGGGGGATGGATACCGTGTCTTGTAGGATGGTGAGTTGCTTTGCCCACAAAAGAGGTAAGAAGAGATACTGATGAAAAGGCGAGATAGATCCATCAAAACATGGTACCCCTTCGTCCAGAAGTTCATTGCCCGCATATTGGTCCGACAGGTGGAGGTATGTGTGCAGATGACCGCACATACATTGGCAACCTCGAGGAAAACTATTTTGTAAATTCGCCTTTTCTGGCTCCTGGGCTTGCGGGTGGTTCGTTTACTTGATGAATCGTTGGAAGACAAGAGATAGAGTATGAGGTACTGCTCTTGTATGGATGGCTATGTTGTCTCTCCTCTTCGTAGCTTTTTGCAAGGCATGAACTCGATGAGTTGGAAGATACCAGGAATGAGAGAGAGATTACCTAGTCGGCCTGGTGCCGATGGAAGTGGTGGTGGTGGTGGATTATGATGTGCATGCAGGATTACAGAAGCGAATAGCGACTCACACCTTCCATGACGGTTCATGATAATGTACACGTCGCTGGATCATTTGACTGGAGTTATCCAAACATTGATAGTTATCAGATCGACTTAACAGAACGTTGTTCCACACTTTCATTGCTTGTCTACACTTATCAAGATCATCTGCCTCCCCTCCCTCTTCTGCAAGCAGAAATGGGAAACACGCCATAAACACCCAACACTCCGATCATCATGGAAAGACAAAGTGCCTACCCATACAATAAATCATACCATACGCCATGCTGTAAAGAACAAGAGAGACCGAGAAATGCAACGTCCCGAAGAAGACCAAAAAGACCCCCCACGAGCGCGAATGATGCGAGCTTTTCATGCCTCCCAGACTTCAGAGATGAGCTCAAACAAGTAAAAACAGAACCGTCGCTATGTGTGTGCACCTAAAACCGAGAAGAAAAAACACAAGAAGAGTGAAAACAGACAAGACAAGCGAAGTAGTAGTTGATCGTGTTGTGATCCTCAAGCCCTGAAACTACCGCCTGTATGAACCGAGCTTGGCAAGAATATCTGCCATATCAGGTTGTCCAGGATTGGGCAAAGTTTGTGGTCGCTGAGGTTGAACAGGAGAGCGTATATCAGGCGTCTGGACACCCAAATGAGGGATGTTGATATTTTGAGGCGACTGCTGCTGTTGCTGTTGCTGAGCGAGTAAGCTAGCCAGTGCAGGGTTGTTTCTCAGAGCAGCGAGGGGATCCTGCTGAGGGTGAGGCGGCTGAGCGTAGGAAGGTGGAGACTGAAGACCAGGTGTACGAATGCCTGGTGAAGGTAACGGAGGTGGCGGTGGGCGCACTGCAGCCGCATTGCCCAGAAGTTTGGCCAAGTCTGGTGTCAAGGCTGTGGCAGGAGGAAGGCCAGGGTGTGGGCCAGTTGGGATGCCAGGTGGCTGCATGACACCAAGCAGCTTCTGCAAGCCAGTAGGATCAAGAGAAGTGATAAGATTAGATAGGTTGGGAGCGGCAGTAGTGACGCCTGCGCCATAACCATACTGCACTGGGGCAGGTACAGGCTGAGGGGGCGCATAGGCAGGAGCAGCCTTTGCGCGCAGAACCAATTGAGCAGCAATAGTAGGATCGAGGTTGTCATACTCGTCGAAGCGAACATTCTCAATGCCAGCACGACGATCAAAGATCTGCAGGGGTATCTTGGCTGTTTGTTGGTTGATGCGGGTGATGCGCGAGACAGCGAGAACACCTTCTAGGATCTGACGGCGCACGACTGCAGCTTCCGATAGACGTGGAGATAGAAGCAGAACGTCGACACGAATGCCCTGGAGTGTGAAGGAGTGTTCCAACCAGGCGATGAAGTTGCGATCGAGATCATCCAGAACAATGATTTGCACGTCTGGCACATCGCGTGGAGCTCTTCGTGGCAGCGGCAGATCGTCGTCGCTGTTGCGTCTCGAAAGTCTTGGAGGACTGGGACTGCGGAAGCGACCACCGCGACTGCCATAGGGCGGTGTTCTTGACCTGCTCCTGTAACGAGCGTCATATCTGTCTCTGCTTCGATCACGGCCACGGTACGATCTAGGAGACCTGGGAGACCGCGGCGAAGGCGATCTTCCAGGGCGATAATCGCGAGACCTTCTGTCTCTGTTCCTATCCCTATCTCTTTCTGCTCTTCTATCGCCTGGCAAGTAGCGATCTGGGATTACCGATGAGCTGCCAGCTCGGCCAGTTTCGGGCGAACGTGAACGACGAGGAGCGCGAGGATCGGGATTGCGGTTCTTCTGAGGCTTGCTAACCTCGAGATCTGGGATCGTCAGTATCATCTACTGTTGCTCATTGGATTGCGACTTACGAATCTTCTTGCCACGGATCGTCTTTCCTTGCTCCGCATTGATGGCCTTTGAGCAACCACCAGATTCCAGAAACTGTACAAAACCATACGCCTGCTTGATGGAGATCTGGGCCAGATCACCATACTTGTGGAAGACGTGGAAAATGTCGCGCTTCGTCACGCGCTCACTCGAGAGGTTTCCCACGAACAACCTCGATCCATAAGGAAACTGTTCCCAATTGCCCTCAGTCACATACTTTCTTTCCTCAGTAAGAAACTTGTCGTAGCGCTGCTGAATCTCGGGTGTCCATGGCTGATCATCCTCGTCTAGAGCTTCTCCTGTTGCTAGCTTCCTCTCGCGCTGACTCTCAAGTTTCATGCCTTGCTGGAATGAGGCTACGGGTGGAGGTGGCAGACCATTGGCTCCTACTCTTACATTGCTGGTTGTGTGCCCTCCGTTTGGCTGTTGCTGCTGCGATTGCTGAGTTTGAGGGTTGTTCGTGTAGGATGGATAGGCTTGCTCATGTTGAGCAGCGTATGCTGTGTTTGTAGCACCGGATGTGGGTTGTGCGACCTGAGAGGATGGAGAAGCGGACTGAGCCTGACTATGGCTGGGATTTGACAAGTTGTTGAGCAGGTTTTGCAGACTATTGGCATCGACACCTGGAGGGTGCTCAGACGCGTTGACGTTGCTTTGGCTGTGAGGCTGGAAGGAATTGCTCTGGAAAGAGGCTTCGTTGTTGGACTGGTTTGACAAGGCAGGAAGATGGTGGGCAGCAGTAGAAGGATAAGGGAGGTCAGATGGAACAGATGCAGTGGCAGAGGCGTCAGAGGAAGCGACAACGCCAGGGGCAGCAGGTTGGTAAGAGAACTTCTCGTCATAATGAACGACAGGAGGAACTTGATTGGTCTGACTATCCGTTCCAATCGATGCATGCTCTTGCGCCTGATGATAAGCTTGATGGCCCTGATCCTGCGCCTGGGAAGCTTGGGTTTGACCCTGCCCTACTTGACCTGCCTGTTGAGTCATGTAGGCTTCAGGGTGGTTAGATTGAGAATGAGAGTGGTCATTTTGGGCGGGTTGCTGCTGCTGTTGATGAAGGTTGTGGGTGTAGGAGGCAGCTTGCTGGTCGAGATACATGGGAGGCGGGAGCTGTTGAGCGAGGGGATCAACCATGTGTGTCCCAGTCTGGTTAAAGACGGGGTCGATTTGGTTCTCAAGGACAGGAATGTTAGATGGCACTGGGTAATGGACAGGTTTGGGAGATACTGGGCTCAGGACGTTGAGCTCGCTCGTATACTCGGGTGCTTCTTCAGATGTCATGTATGCGAAATGCGCTATGCGCCGACCATGCTAGGAATCGAATAATTGCGTCGGCAAGTGGGACGAGCGGGATGGAGGTGATGGGAAGGGACGAAAAGGACAACGCGACAATGAGGAGAAGGAAGGTCGATGATGGCTGTATGACCAACAGAAAGAAAACGTGAAAGTCGAGGCGTGAAATTCACTCCAGCTGCAGTACCTAGAAGGCGCTAGCTTGTGCTTTCCCCGCAAAACCGTCGTCGTGCACGAAAAAAGGGCAGGGACGTGCTATTGCTCTGGATCAGAGGCTGTCGGTGAGCTGTTCACAATTTGCGCCGGAAAACGAGCGTTTGCACTGGCAAGAATAGAGGGCGAACGCGAGGGAAAGACTCAAAGTCCATCCCCCTCCAAAACGCGGAATCGTATGCATGAGCACGAGCCATCTGAACGTCACCAGATCATCGAAAACATGTTGAGATCGCACACTGCTCGAGCCTAATAATGCTAAACGCGACGACCACTGCTTCAATATGCGTGGTCTTGCTGTCTCCCACAAGACGTGATGAGAGAGAAGAAAAACGTCTACAGCCGTGTGATCACAGCTCAGCAAGGACTCAGACCACCCTTCTTATTTCCTATCAAACTTTGCCAGAGGCGCGAGCTTTACGGTGCCGATTTTCCATCTTTCTAGAAGTCACGGAGCCGCAAGCGTACGCATCAATATTGGCGTTTGGAACCTGCATCTGAGCATAAAATCAACCCTGAAAATTCCCAACCTAGACTCGAACAAGCAAGCGGGACCGAAACCAACCACCTCTGAGGGGTTCTTCTCTGCATTTAGACAACGCATCGAAAAAAAGACGTGATAGAAGCCAGCTTTGTGACGAGTAAGCTCGACCCACGAACCTGCTGATCAAGTCTTGCTCAACATTAATCTCACAGCCCCCTTACTTACGAACGAGACACAATTTTCACTCGTGTCAAAATAATGTTTCCGTTCAGCGCCTTTTTACGCCAATTCCCAAACAAACTCGTCACGCGGACTCCGGCATCGTTCTGCACATCGACGCGTCTATTGGCCCCAAGACCGAGAACGGGAACAGACGGCGGTGAGATTGGCGCCGGCGACGACGAGCTAGAAGCGGCGAGGCGCTGGTTAGCAAATTTTGATACCGAGACTATACCACGGAGTATCTGCGACGTTTCCTTCAGTAGATCCTCCGGCCCTGGCGGTCAGAATGTGAACAAGTATTTATACACTCTGGTGGTCTTTCGCGAGACAGAGGCTGAGATATTCGTGTAGAGTGAATTCAAAGGCTACTTTACGACTGCCGTTATCGGCGTTATTGCCCATACTGCCTGCTGTCCTTCGACCTGCGGTGTCAAGGTCACGGTATAGTGCCAAGGACGATTTGGTAATACAGGCAGATGACAGCCGAAAGCAAATTGAAAACGTACATCGGTGCTTCGTCAAGCTGCATGAGATGATTGTACAGGCTGGACGTGAGGTAGTGCCAGGCGAGACTAGTGCTGAGCAGATGGAGCGCGTCAAGAAACTGTAGGTACATGTCCTGCGTTACCCACACTAGCTCCTGCTTACAGGTTGCAGACAAAAAGCAGAAAACGAAGGCAGACTCAAGATGAAGAAGAAGCACAGCGATAAGAAGAGTGCACGAAGAGGCGGCGGGAAGCCAGATTATTGAACAGAACAAGTGTCATTGTATCATTATCATGTATATCATCCCAGTCATAATCATGCAAGACGCAAGATGTATTGTGACAGATCCAGGGTCATCACAAAGTCCGGCGGATATCTAAACACATGACATGTCAGCAAGTGCTTGAAGAGAAGCGATGTAAATAGCTGCAGTGTGTATGCGTAGGATTTGGATCAGACATCCAAGGAAGATATTGCGCTCAACGACCGTCTAAGATAGGTTCTAGGCGACGGCTAGCGTGAAAACTGCGAATGTGGTATGGGTTTCATCATAGAAATCCGTGCTGCAGATGTGAAGGAAAAGAGGATACATACCAAGAAGCTATTGCATGGCCAAGGCAAGGAGTCGTGGTAGGTCAGCGTTGACTGTCAAACGTGTCTCTCTATAGCTTGCTGCAAAATATATGCAGGCGTGCTGTCAAGAGGCACGACATGGGCAGGCTGGAAGACGGTGCTGGTGGAAGAGAAAGAGAAGGTTTTGAGCCGAGGCGAAAGTAGCTTTGTCGCTCACCGCCCTGCCAAGCTGAATTCTGCTAGGGTTCGGATGCAGGCGCGTCGGACACGAGGGCTCAGGGGACGGAGCTCAAGAAGATTGAAACTTGTCTGTTCTCTTTGTGTCTGATAGATACGATTACTGGAGACATGGCTCCAAAGCACAAAGACGGCGACGTGGTCGCGGTGGTGAGACGATGCGATGGTTGCGCTTTGATTGACAAATGCTGACTGGTTTCAGATTCCTGGTCAATACATCTCGTGGCTTCATACCGTAGTGGCTTATGCTGCTTTCCTGGGAGCTCTGATAGTGGGAATGTGAGTGTTCTGATTGATCTTTGGCTCAATGGGTATACTGACGACTCCAGTGCCCTTCACTATGAGAAAATTGTTCAGAATGAGCACTTCGTACGTCTTGTCGACGGACCCTTTGCATACATAACCCAGCCTGACACTTGTACAGGGCTACCCCATCGAATGGTTCCCCTCAGTCTCTGCCACAATTGGCGACCGATACCCCGAACGCTCAGTCTTCCAAGTCTTCATTGCAATCACTTCTGGTCAGTACAGCCATGCAGTGGCAGAAAGAGCTTTGTCTGAACAACATCCTAGGCCCTCGCTTCCTCCTCGTCCTACTGTGGTACGTCTTGACAGCAAGACCCAACCAGACCCTGCCCAAGTTCATTCTGGGCGTCGGCATCTTCAGGACCTTCACCTGTGGAGGTTGGACCTACGTCACGTCTACCGACGACCATGACTGGCACGACATCTTCATGATCTCCTATCTCGTTGCTACTCTGCCCTGGACCCTTGGCTGTATCGCTCTGAGCCCCAACAACCCCAAGGCCATCTACTACCGCAAGGTCTTTGGCGGTGCCTTCTTCGCTACCCTCGTACCTCTTGTCTACTTCTTCATCCAGCACAAGGTCCACAAGGTGCCCGGTGCTTACACCATCTACGCCTTCTTCGAGTGGTCACTCGTCCTCTTGGATGTCGCCTTTGACGCTGTCACTGCGCTCGACTTCAACAGCCTCGAGCTGGTTGTCAAGGACATCAAAGGAACCAGCAAAGGGTATGTCAACTGGCTTCCCAAATAGTGGTATGCTAAAACCACAATGCTTGCCCAGTCAATAAGCTAACCAATTCAATCAACAGAAACAACCAGAGAGTTGCCGACAAGCTTGCCGAAACGGAAAAGGACAAGCCCGTTGGTCAGATTTTTGCTACCACCTACTCCAAGGGAGACATGCTCGACGCCTTGGCTGATGTCTATCTCGGCTTCACCTTCTGGTCTGTTCTGACTGGCTTGGGCCTGCTGATTTGGTACTTCCCTCTCTGGCACATGGGTATCTCCGGCTATGAAGCTTTCGTCATGGCTCCTATTTCTCCCTTCTTGCTCGGTATTTCTTCGTTGCGCAGAACTATTGTCCACAATATCCGCATCGTCCACTTCCTCTCACTCTCGGGTCTTGTTGCATTCCTGATTCCCACGCCTGAATACCGCTTGTTTGCTGTTGGATTCTCCATCTTCATGTCAGCTCTCGCGTGGTCCGCTACATGGTGGTCAGAGCGTGCTCAGCCTGCCCGACTCGAAGCTCGTATCTCGGCCTTCACCCTTGGTCTGCTCACTTCAAGTGTTGCAAAGTATGCTTGCCAAACCAACAACCCAATCTGGCCTGCCGTCCACGCAGAGAACGGCGGCTGGAACTACACTGGTCTCATTCTTGCCGTTGTTGCCATCTTGAGAGTCACTCGTAAGCCGCTTGACCCTCGTGGTGATGTGCCTGGCTACAAGGCTGTGACCGGCTCTTCTTTCCCAGCTGCTCTTGGTTTCTCTGGTCTTCTGTTTGGAATGCACTCTCTTCTTTCCGACTCTAGCACCATGATCTCGTGGGTCTGGGAAGGATTCCCAATTCGCGGTCCTATTGCTGTGCCCCATGGTAACTACACCTTCCTTGCCATGGGTTTCGGTCTTCTCATTGGTATCTACTATCCCGTCTTTGCTCGCAGCTGGACTTTCTATGGCATTGGTGCTCTCGGTGCTGCTTTCCTAACAGCCTTCTCTCACTGGTCGGGCTTCTATGGTGGTCTGGCACTCGCTACTTACTTGATGGCTGCTGCTCCTGTCTTGATTGGCAACGCTGCTCGCTACCCTCCTGGTCGCACCTTTTTCACTGGCTTCATGTTCTACAACATCTTGGTCCTTGCTCACGTCTGGGTTGTTGCATACGCTTTTGTGCCCGGCGGTCCTCTTATGCGTGAGCACACTGACTGGGTCATGACTGCCATGATGATCTTCATCGGTTGCGGTATCTTCTCTGCTACTGCTTCTGAGACTAAGCGATCCAAGCCTGCCCCTGCCAACCCTTACGCTCGCAAGCAACGTTCCCACTACATCTACATCTTGATCGGACTTCAACTTTTGGGCGCTTCTATTTCGTACCTCCGCTTCCCTACCTACGACTACACTCCTTACCACGCACCTGAGAAGAGTGTCACAGCTGGTATCTGGACAACCCACTTCGGTCTCGATAACCCAATGTGGACATCAGAGCGTCGTATTGGCGCACTTGTCAAAGAGATGGAGCTTGATGTCCTGGGTCTGCTCGAGTCAGATACTCAGCGTATCATCATGGGCAACCGTGACTCTACTCAATATCTCGCTGAGGAACTTGGCATGTACGTCGACTACGGACCGGGTCCCAACAAGCACACCTGGGGCTGCGCTCTGCTCTCCAAGTTCCCCATTGTGAACTCCACTCACCACTTGCTTCCTTCGCCAGTTGGTGAGCTCGCTCCTGCCATTCACGCTACTCTTGACGCCTACGGTGAGATGATTGATGTCTTCGTCTTCCACTCTGGTCAAGAAGAAGATCCTGAGGACAGACGCTTGCAATCCGAGTATTTGGCTGACCTCATGGGCTCAACCTCTCGTCCTTCCATCCTGCTCTCTTATCTGGTTACCAAGACTGGACAGGGCAACTACAACACCTACGTCTCTGAGCGCAGTGGTATGAGAGACATTGATCCCAGCGACGATTGGGACAGATGGTGCGAGTACATTCTGTACAAGGGCTTGAGAAGATCAGGATATGCCAGAGTTTCTAGAGGCACCATCACTGACACCGAACTTCAGGTAAGACTTTTGCCACATATTTTCCACCGTTCTTGACACATATGATGCTAACATTCTGTTCACAGGTCGGCAAGTTTGTCGTCGGTCAACCTGAAGGTGGTAATGAGCAAATCCCCGAGGATCAGGTTCCTGAGGGTCTCCGCTTCCCTGCTATGTTCAGGGGTGAGGGTGTCAGAGGACACCGATACCACGTCTTTGACGAGCCTAGATATTATGCTTGAGCATGTCATATATCTGGTTTCAGGTCTGAAATAAAAGTACAGTCTGCACTGTTGTAGCATTTGTAGAAGCTTCTTTTTTTTTGTATTTTTATGTTTGTCAACGGCATCAATCATACTTGGCACTCGTCCTCAACTTGTACCATTTTCTCTAAAGCTTGACACAAAGGGCAGCAAACCATCCACATTCTCCTCGTGGCACTTTTAGGCATGTTCGTGTAGAAATATCAATCATTCATTCATTGTAAACAAGACACTATCAGGATATCTAAGAAAGCCACGCAAAGAAAAAACCAATCATCAAAACACAAAAAGCCAAACACGACTTTTCTTTTTACATCTTAGTGTATCCATTTCCACCAGTAATAACCACATTAAACGAACTCCTCCACGACCCGATGTTGACAGCATTAGCCTCAGACACCGCAGTCGAGTAAAAAGCACACTTGACATCGACCTGCGGCGCAGGATTAGTGCATCCATTGCCAGGTGTCAAGCTAGGCGTTCTCTCAAAGTAGATATTGAAGCCTTTGCAAGCAATGTTGGCATCGCAGATGGCTGCGCATTGGGAGGGAGAGTAGGAAGATAGTTCGGTGTAGAACATGTAGCCTGCTTGGGAGACAGAGGCGTAGAAGCCTGCGAAGCGCCAGACGTAGTTGGCAGGGACCGAGGCGGACATGTATTGGGCGCGGAGAGTGGAGTCTTTGAGGAAAGCTGAGGGGGCGGGGTTGGAAGGTGTGTAGGTGTAGCCGTAGTTGGGCATTGGTGAGCAAGCTCCATTGGCAGCAGGAGTGGAAGATGCAACAACAGAAGAAGATGTAGTGGTTGCTGCACGGCGTTGACGTTTCTTGCTGCTTGTGCTTGTGCTGGCTTTAGAAGTTGTTGATGAAGCGGTGGGCTTTGCTGAGGTAGGAGCGGTGGTGCTCATCTTTGCAACTGCAGTGGCAGCGACTGGGGAGCCGGTAATTGAGGTGGTGGTCAGAACGGCTCTGGGACTTTGTGCGGACATCTGAGACAGAACTGATGAGATGGCGGCATCGGTGTTTTGGATTGTGACTGGGCAGGTCGTGCAGACACTGCTAGGCTTGCTAGAAATGGCAGCGGCCTCTGCGATAGCAGCCAGCACAGGAAGAACGAAGAGTTCGAAACGCATGGTGAATATGCTGTAGGGAGTGTAGTCGATAGAGTAGTCGTTGGAGAGAGCGTATTGGTAGTTGTTATAGAGAGTGACTAAAGCTTGAGCTTGATAGAGAATGTATTGGTATTGTAAATGAGTGTGAAGCTGCTTAATGATGATGGAGTAAACAACAGGGATACCAAAGAAATATATATACTTGGACCTCTACGATGGATTTTGGTATACTGGATCTCCAAGGGATCTCGGCCTTCGTGGTAGATGGATCGGGTCTCACATCTTCAACGTTTGAGTTCTGCTAACGGCCGAAAAATCGGCGGGGTGGCTGTCAAGAAGTTTTCTAGAACACTTACCATCTCGATTCATGGGATAGTGCTTTGTGCTGATGGTTTCTTGTGTGTAGGTTTTGTTGTGTAATTGCTCAGATGTCGTCAGAGCTGTCCGTCATCAAGATACTGACCTACAACAGACAAACCCAGCAAAGCAGTATCTACAGCACACTGGTCTGATCCTCATACACGATACCAGTAGCAGGACCCTTCGCGAGGTGCAGGGGTTTGACAGAAGCCTTGAGGCTCAAACACACTCTCGACATTTGTCAAGATGGAGCAAGTCCCACATAGCGACGAGATAGTACAAGATCCATATCAAGCCATCAACAATGGTCTCGCAATCATAGGTAAAAACAGGAATAGGAGAGGTAACCAAACCGTTGTTCCATAGCACGAGCAAGGACGAGACCGTTATGTGGCTTGACTCCAAGCGCTATTGATTGTCTTAGATCCTTACTCGAGATCCGAATTGAGCCGGATCCACTGGTTCTTCTATCGTTCTCTGGTTGAGAAGACACAAAAAGGCTTGATTATTGATCGAGACCAAGGGGATGGCTTTGATATATGAATCAGGGGATGTGCCCAAGGTGGTGCGAGGCTTTTCGGAGAATTGACCGGTGTGGCCTTTGACGAATGAGAGGCTTTGAGAGGACGTGCTGTATTTACCCAGGTATGATAGAGTTTTCTCGCATCGTACTGCGCCTCAGTAGTGTATATCCATCTGACGTGCCAAGAGGTATATGAGAAAGAGAATGCGAGGATGCGTTGAGACAAGAGATGAGGTGGCTGGGTGGTCTCGCGGAGTGTTTTTGTCCGAGCTCCGGCTGGATCGAAATTCTTCGTGACCAAGACTTTTTGGTTGTGGTATATGACCCTGTCCTTACGCTGTTCACGCCATATCACTGTTGAACGTGCATTTACTGATGAACCCAGTATGTTTTGAGGGGTCTCGAACTGCTTATAGCACTGACGTGTGATCGTTTCGCTGTTTATGTACGCGTTGCACCTTTCGACCTCTCGTTTTCGTTCTTTGCAAGAGTCAACATGATACAACGCTATTCGTGTTGTTGTTTCGAACAACCCGACACTCGAAATTGTAAATTTGACATAGGACCATACCACGACGTTCCTTGACCATATAACTACCCAAGCTGTTTGAGCTAATAGCAGGCTGTGTTATACTTGAGAAGTAAGCCAAAAAATGATGAGGGTGGCTTACAATGTTGTCTTGAAGTCGTCGAGGTCGACGAAATTCATGCTTCAGGTGCAACCCTGGCAAACGCTTGGAGGATTCAGGCTGGGAGACTTCTTCACATTTCGAAGTCTCACCGTGTTACATTGTCACAAGCCCCTACTGGATTCTCCATCTCACCGTAACATAGAGAAAATCTTGACAGCTGTCGGATCGCACAATACTATCCGGCAAGCCGATGTCTCCAAGGGGAGAGTGTCTATCAGGGTGCTTCCAAGGACACACTCCTGGCTTGAAAGTGTCGTGCATTGCATCAGCTGCCTTGGATAGTCTTTAGCACACGGGAGAGGTCATCATATGGCAGTAAACCATGATTCATTTCAATTTGAGGATACATATGACTAATACCTATAGCAGCAGATCTTCATAGTCTGCATGAGAAGAAAGAATCAAAACGACAAAAAATCCGGACAATGGCAACAAGAGTCACATCCTTGGTTATGCCCAACTCATCCATACATTCTAGCTATGCAAGAATTGTCCACCAAACCTTCTCGAGGAGTTTGAACACACTCACTTCCTTGCAAGAGCGTTGCCAAATTAACAGGAAAGGACACAAGTGGCTGGGGTGGTGGCGGTATCGCATGTCAATGTCGAATTGGCCACAACAGCACCCAAACGCTGGTTGGAGAATTGAACCGCAACTTGCGTGCTACCATCGGTCGATCCTTGGATACCAATGGCTGCACTGGCCGATCCTTGAGCCTGACCAATATCGTAGTATCTATAGACAAAGACACCTGGATTGGTACTGTCATAGCTGACGGTAAAGTGATAAGTCTCAGTAGTGCCAGCGCGAATAAGACGGTACTCGTAAGTGACAGCCGTGGATGTGTAGGTGTAGAAGATACCCTGCTCGAGATCGGATCCCGTTTTGAACAGATCATCGAAGAAGGGAGCTGCGGCGTACAACGGGATGTAAGGGTTGGGAAGGCCGGGACTGCTGTCGTAGTCGGTGGTGCCCGAGACCAATGAGAGAAGCTAGAATGAAGTCATCAGCGAAGGTCAAGCCATAGTCAATCATAATGATACGTACACCATTCGTGGAGGGGAAGGTAGCGGACGAGGATCCACCGTACATCGTCATCTGGAAAGGAAGATCGATCTCACAGTACGAGTCGTCTTCATCAGTGTCGATCGGATCACCAAAGTCACAGCGCGTCGGACTGGGCAGCAGACCGTTGTAAGTGGACGTTGAGCCATCAGGGTTGACGACTGTAGAGCTACCACTTCCGGAGGGAAGAGGAGGACCGGTACAGACAGGTGAGCTTGCAGCAGGGCTACTACTTGCACTGCTCACTGCAGCTCCAGAGCCACTTCCACTTCCACTTCCGGCCCCAGTGCTGCCACCACTTGAAGCAGCAGCAGCCGCAGGCGTGGATGCAGTCGAAGGATACATTGATACAGAAACAGTGGCAGGAGAGACCAAGATAGCCAAGGCGATTGTGTTTCCACTGTCACTTGATGTAGCGCCAGCAGACTGCTTCAAATAGCAGGTGCCCATGGTCATAGTACTATCCCCCGAGTAGACGAAAGCACCGCAACCTGAAGTGCTGTCACAAGCAGCGAAACATCCGTTAATGCCCTGGCCATTAGCAGCAACGACAGAGATGAGTGCACCATCACTGTTACTGCCACACGAGATGCTGTATTGAGCACCATTGGAGTCCGTGATGGTTGTGCCATTCATAGCGGGACACTTGGGTGGACCACCAGTAGCGGCAGAAGTAGGTGTTGCCTGAGTACTAGTTGGAGGCGGGCCGGAGCCATAAGCCAGTCCATTCCTGATACCGGCAACAGAATTCTCACCGGCAGGTATGAATGTAAGGTTTGCGTTGCCAGGCTTTTTCAGATAACAGTTTCCGTTGTAGACAAAACCACCACAACCATAACTGGCGTCGCAATAAAGCAGACATCCATTGAAATCTGGTGAGGGTCCAGCTAGAACGCCGCCGAGGGTCGTGTCCGAGCCACATCTGATCTCGTAGCTAGCACCATTACCATCGGTGACTGTTTGGTTGTCAACAGATGGGCACGAATAGGCGGTCAGCGATACAGTAGCGGACGGTGCTGAAGAAGTGGTCGATGTAGCGCCAACGACACCGTTTCTGATACCGCCAACATAGTTCGGACCAGCATTAGGAACGAATTGAATGCTTCCAACAGAGCCGGGGTTCTTGAGATAGCAATTTCCGTTGTACGTGAAACCACCACAGCCATCAACACCGTCGCAGATTGTCATACAGCCATTAAAGTCTGGTGAAGAGCCATAATTGATGCCACCCAATGTCGTGTCTGAGCCACACTCAATAAGATAGGTGGCTCCGTTAGCATCAACGACCGTTTGGTCGTTGTTTGCTGGGCATGAGTAGCTGGTCTGCGACACGGTCGCACCTGGGGCTGAACCTGTACTTGTGACAGTGCCTGAACCACTAGAGAGAGACGAACCACTTCCAGAACCGACAACAGTGGTAGAAGTCGAACTGATACCGCTTGTAGGCATTGAAGTGGTCATGCTTGTGGAAACTGAACCGGCACTTCCTCCGGGGCCGCCTATGGATATATAGATAAGAGGCGTCGTGGAGATCGAGCTGCTACTAGCCATAGATGATAAAACACTGACTACACCTGTAGCAGAAGATACAGGAGAAGCAACAGAAGACATGCTCATGGCTGAAGCGCTCGATGTCACACTCGGAGCATGGCTCGAAACAGCAAGCGACGATGAGCCTGAAGCTACAGAGGAAAGAATGGAAGCAATGGAGGAGACTCCAACAACTGACGATGAACCTGTACTCAAGGCTGACAAAACAGAGTGGCTCGCAGAGGACATCATCGAAATGCCAGAAGAGGCGGGCTGACCAGCGGAAGAAGCCATTGAGGCGCCGGAAGAGGTGCTTGCAACACTGCCAGGATGAGCCGGCACATTTCTGATACCAGAAACGGTGCCTTGTGTCGTAGAAGGTTGAAACGTGATGCCGGAGGAAGAGGTGCCAGTTTCGATGTAACAGCTGCTAACACCATCGAAGGTCCATGCCGTACAACCATTGGTCTGATCGCAGAGTGTCATACAGCCATTGAGATTGGTAGCTGAACCAGCGATTTGAGTAGCTGCACCACCGGACAAAGCTTCATTGCAGCCAAGTTGGTAGGTGCCTCCCATGTTCGACTGAACTGTCTGTCCATTGTTGACAGGGCAGGAGTAAGTGGTTTGAGGAGGCATACTGCTCGCCGAAGCAGCAGAACTGGCGGTGCTCGAGCTTGGTACAACAACAGGGCCAATTCCGCTGATCGATGCCGAACTGCTGAGAGGAGTACTGGCTGAACTGCCACCCATAGCTGAGCTGGGTTCCATAACAGCGTTCGCCGAGGACGATGTCATGGACTCCATCATCGAAGGAGCAGACATCATGCCTGAAGACATTCCAGATGCCATTGGGCTAGACATCATGCTTGAAGACATGCCAGGAGTCATAGGACTAGACATCGAGCCCATCGACGAAACAGATGAAGCCATCTGTGATGATAATTCGGACGCAATTGAGGATGCCACGACTGCTGCTGGCGATGAACTACCGCCACCTGGCAAGAGATTTGATACGGTACTCAATTGAGCCCCCGAAGCCCCAGAAGAAGTCGAAGAAGATGCTACCCCTATGCCATTGTTGGTCACAGGTTCAACATAGAGTATGACAGGACTCCAGCTTCTCTGTGCCTCCATGGGACCGAGAAACTTGGCCAGAATCAAAGCATTGTCAAGTAGACCTGGAGGCAACTTGTAGAACTGAGCCGTACCATTGGTGAAGAGCGGGTTGGTCCAGTTCAACATCCCGTTGTTGACAGTGAAGGTTGTGTTGATAGGCAGATCGTAATCAGTGACGCCAAATGCTTGATCAACAACGTTGAAGTTTGTCGCAACATGACTGCCATTGAGAATAGCAAGTCGCCCTTCGTTGATCGTGTAAACTGCCGCCACCGACTGGTTGGTAGTCGTGTTTCCATTAGCAGTCAACCAGTACGGAGCAGTATCTTGGTCAGGGTAGCCAGAGGTATCGACTTGCTGTAGTCGAATCACGAAGGGTGCACCACCATTGGCTGCGGCATCGGTCCATGGTGTAGGCTGAACAGTCACGGTCGACTGAATGACTGTGGTAGACGTGCCAGACGTGTAAGTTGCGCTACAAGCACTGACATGAGTTGTCAGAGTAATAGTTTGAGCGTTGCATGCCTGCGAGAACAAGGAGAACGCGGAAGCGATTGGAAGAAATCGACGGAGGATCATCTTGTGTCTGCCTCTGAAGGCCGGACAGCGAGTTAGGAAAATGTACCAGCAAAAAGCGAATGTGGTACCACAACCAGCTAACAAGTTGAAAGGAACGACTGAGATAAAGGAGGAGAGCGATACGCGCGGAAAACATTGTGCACGCGACTGGCCAAGTTTGAGGAATGAAAAACATACCTATGGTTTGATGGGCCAAGGTGGAGAGGAATGCAAGAACCATCCCTTCCTGCGTACCGATTTGATTAGACCCTGGATTATCAGTAGATCGCGTCACTCACATACCAGAGAAAGATCTGATGGCTTTTGACAAACCTAGATCAGTAAATTAGCCGCTGATAGAACGACCCATACCAGTTCAACACCAGGAGAGAACGATTTTTTCATGTAGTGATCTCGACGGGAGAAGACTCCTTGTCAAGAAGAGTTTGTGCTAGCACGCAACTGTGGGCGAGTCTTGAGTGGTGAAAACGAAGCCATATTATTCGAAGGCCTACTCAGCGTAAAACAAATTGAAAAATGAAATAACAGAGACGTATACGCCCTAATACTAAAAACATGAAAAGCGCATTAAGAACCGATCCAATATGTCCCACCGACATTCTGCGGCGGAGCCTTTATTCTGAATCATCAAATCCACAGACCTGCAATGCATGATGAATTCGCTTTTGATCATTTACAGAAGAAGGGCAGCAGCGCCAGAGAAGATGGCAATGAAAGCAGAAAGGCCAATGGTGTAAGGACCGACTTGGACAGACTGAACGGACAAGGCACCAGCAGCGCCCTTGGAGCCTGAGCCTGAAGACTTGGAGGAGCCAGAGCTGCCAGAACCGCCAGTAGCAGCAGCACCAGATCCAGTGGTAGGAGAGGCGGTGACCTGTCCTGTGCCAGCAGTTCCAGCTTGGGCCATGAGAGAAGAGCAGACTCCGGTAGGCTTGGATCCAGACTTGAGGGTGGCAGATCCACTGAAGGCACAAGCGCTGGCACGTTGAGCAGAGGGCTGAGCAGAGTAGTACTGGTCAAGGACGAAACCAAGCTGCTCGGTCGAGTTGCACATGCTGTAAGCACCGTAGGTACCAGTGGTAGCGTTCTGGGATGATGTTAGTCATGGATGTGAAATCAAGTATGGGTACGACTTACGTGTTGGATGCCAGCGCAGGCGTTGGAGTCAGCGCCGCAGACGTAGCCGAACATAGAACCATACTCCTCCTCATCGACGCTAGACTTGACGGTACAGCTCAGAGAGTTGAACATGCACTGGCAGAGTTCCCTATATCACGTGTCAGCTGTTTGTATGCGATGCCGAAGGGCGGGTGCACGGACCTGTTGGGGCTTGGCGGAAGAGGGCTGGCCTTAGCAGCCCAAGCAGTACCAATGGCAGGGCAAGAGGCGATAGTGTTGGTGGGCGAGTATGAGGCGCTGTTGACACCGCTGGGAGAGACAGTTGCCATGGCGGATTTCAGGTTCGAGTAATCGGCCAGGGTTGAGACAGCGTTGTTGACGATCGAGACAAGACCGTACTCGTTCGAGGTCTCGAAGTACATGTAGACGATACCACCAGACCAAACGCTGGTCATGTTATCACCGTACAGGGCGGCAGTTTCACCCCAAGTCCTCGGGCGGTGGGTGTTGCAACCGTACTCACTGTACCAATGTTAGTTGTTGATTAGGCATGGTGGGGACTCGGGAAGACGAACGCGAAGAAAACGGGAACACTGTAAGTAGAGAACTCCTCAGTGCGAGCCTGGTATCCGGATTCAATGTAGTTAGAAGGATCACACCAAGAGTAGACGTTGTAGCCCCAGAAGTCAATGTTGAGGGCGGTGTCAGAGCTGCAGTCGAAGTAGTCGGCCATGTCAACACGAATAGTCGAGTCATCGGATGTGGCGTAACCAACACCGAGCTGTCTGTAACCAGCATTCTTGATGTATGCCTTGGTGTCGCGAACAGCGGCCTTGACGAAAGCGCTGGCGTTGGTGGTGTTCTGGGAGTTTGAGACCTCGTTACCGGCGAAGAAACCAAGAGTGTTGGTGTAGTTGGCAAGAGCATCGACAACGGAGATGTAGCGCTGGTACAAGTCGTCGTTCCAGGCAGGGTCGTTGCGGTTGATGGAGGTATCGGGGGCGGAAAGATCGGACACGACGTAGATGCCAGCATCTGCGAGCATGTTCATGCAGGCATCGTGGTTCTTGGTAGGGTCAATGGCGTAAACACGGATGGTGTTTGTGCGCAGAGCCTGGAGGTAGGGAATATCACGAGCGCAAGTAGATTCATCGGCCAAAGGGTCGGTGTAGGAAGAGTCGGTGGTGTTCTGAACGTCCTCCTGGTATGCGACACCGCGCATGAAGAACTGGGTGCCGTTGGTCTTGTAGAAGAACTTGGATCCCTTGATGACGATGGGGTCGACATCAGCGGCGACCTTGGAGACGAGCATGCTCGCAGCCGCGATGGCTGTGGCAATGCCAAAGCCCTTCATGATGATGATGTGGATACTTGTTTAGTAGTAAACTGGTGTAAATAGCCGCCTTTAGTAGGTGATCAGGGGCTCAGGTGGAAGGTGCGAAACGCAGGAATAATAAAAGCTTCGAGCGAGCGATGAGATGATACTGAAGAGTTGTGGAGCAAGGAGTGAACGAAAATCGATATCAGGTAAATCGTCACAGGACACGAAATACCAGAAGATGCACAAGGGAAAAAAAGGCAGGCAAACAACAAGAAAGGTTGCTGTCCGGGAGAGGTTGCGGACCGTGGCAACAGGCAAGCGCCTTACATAAGATGGAAAGAACGTGTTTTGGCACTGGCCGCGCAAGCCCACCTCCTGGCCCATCTGATCATCATCTCCCCGAGGAGCTACTTCGCCACAACGATACGAGTCCGCACGACTGTCTGGAATATGGAATTGACTGCCCTATTTCATTTCTCACTTTTGCCAATCCCTCCGCCCAGAGCCTTGGCTACTTCTGCGCAAGAGCTTTCAATTGCTTCTGCTGCTTCGCCTGAAGGTCTTGCCTCCGTGTTATATGTGCTGCCGTTCAAGCCCGCAATTTCAATGTAGCGACCGTGCCTGCAATGTATGGGGTCGTCAAACGAAACGCCTGCATAGGTGGCGCAACAGCACTCAACTCGACCGCGTCCTCCTTCATCCGGCTCCCATGTCTCCTGTAAAATCTCATTCCGAGCAGCCGGGCCAAGCTTCGTGTGCCTCAACGGCGGCTGCGTATCACTTTTAGCCCCGTCAACAAGATGCCGAGACTGTAAACAGTCGCCTTTGCACTGTTGACTTCTTCGAACAAAATTGCTGTCTTCGATGACAGAACTTGTGTTCCTCCGAGGGCTTCAACCTTTATCATATTAGAGAGCTTCTCAACGTTTGTATCATCGGATTTGCAAATAGTCTTATGTCGTCACGACCAATTGTGATCTACAGATATCCTGAGGTGCAGGAGGAGACATGTCCAGAGGTAACAACTCCGTAGCTAGTCTGCACAGTGGCTGAAAGTCCAAAGAGCATCCATGTCTGCTCGCACATGCATGTCGTCTTATCTTTCATGCCCATGCTATCGTCCATTCAAGCTTCGCTACTTAGTACTCCAGCCTGCGGATGTCTAAGCTCTACTCGATGCACCTCTACATATGAATTTTAGGAGTATGTCATGTTTAGGAATGCGTTTCACAATTCAGGATGACGATGCAGGAAATTGCGAATGGTAAATCGATACACAGGCCATGGCATTAGGCACTTCGATCCGAGACTTTGATCTTGAGCAACAATGCCTCTGATATCACGGACTCTTTCTGGAAGGATTTCGATATGTGGTTAAAATTGTCGTATGCTCGAAAAGTCGTGGCAAGCGTCCAGAAATAGCATACGAGGGTAAAGATGCCGCGCTTGTGTATGTAGACTTTCTTACTAGATCTGAACACGCGGCGAGAAAATAGCTAATGCATACCACATATTGTGTCTGTTAGAGCAAAGCCTTCATAGTTCAGTAGTTGGAGTGGAAGCTCTCAACATATCACGAAATTTGAATGACGATTTTGGATGTAAGCCACAGTCAAAGCATCACCCAAGCATTTCGCGGACAGCAGCGAACCGTTCAACAAGCACGCATATGAGGTGTGAGGCGCATTAATGACAAAGCCGAAAATAGCACTGGGCAAGTTAGCAAGCATCCAGAAATTCGACCACTCAAAGTAGTGCTGGCGATCGCGTTAAGACGTCTGTTATTTGCTGGCAGACACCAATAAATCGACCATCCAGTCAGTCGGAGCACGGCACAGAACAAGAAGAGCAAGCAGTACAGGGCTGTGCAAGAGGTGCGGTTCGGTGCTTTGAGATTGAAAGCAGTGATCGTCAAGCCTGATTTGCGTTGATGTCAAGTCGTGGACGGAGCTTGTGCCCTGCTCAAGACGGTGTGAAAAGAAGTGGCCAAGAAGGACCATGGTTCCCCAGCAAGAATCGACGATTAGCGGCCCGGTGCGGAAAAGATTTCAGAGAGGCAGTCTGGCAGTCTCAGGAATGGCAGGACGCATGTTTGAAGAACGGCGCTAGAGGGCGAAGCGATGAGCGAATGAGAGGGCAGTGGGCGGGACTGAGGCGCGAGATGAAAGTTGGCTGGGGCATGATAGCGCGACTCGCCCTGCCGCGAATGCTGGAGCTAAATTGAAAAGTGGCCTGAGCTTTGTTTTGGATCAAGGAGAGACTTGTGTTCCTGCTGCGGTGCTCGCTGTCCGGGATCCGGCCGCTAGGTGCATTTTGCTGGGGCTTTTCCTGAATCTTGGTGCTCTGTTGGTGCTCCTAGGCAGTTGTCTGTCGAATCGCGTTGGTGCGGTCGGTCTTTCGCCTCCAAGCCGTTGAAACAGCAGACTACGATCAACCGAAAGCCCCCCCTTTCCCGCCCCTGCCTCGTGCGCGCGCCTTCTGTTCCAGCATCTTTTTGCTTTCGTGCAAACACTCATTCGTTCTCTTTTGTGTTCTCCTCCCGGCTGCACATCTGTCTCCCTTCCTTCCTTCATCGCCGCCACCCTCATCCAAGGTGTCGGATTGAACAGAGGTTGCTTGACATCTGCAATCCCGGACTGATCAAGAAGCCTATTTCTTGCATCTCCACACAAGCTGCCGAGTCTGCGGCCGCGCGTTCTCACGGCAACAACTGCATCTACTTTTCGACCTACACCACCTCCGGTCCGAAAATATCAACATCGCCTCCTTCGCTCAGGCATAGCTGTTGCTGCATCCGCACCAGTCCTCTCTGTGGACCATCACACTCGCTGCAACCCCAAACAACAGACGCTTCGCTCAGGCTTTTTTGGCCACATTCCCGCAATCAGCCCATCCCTCGTTCATTGGCGAATGTCACTGCTTTGAGGTGAGAATCACCATAGCCAAATTTACCACCCTGGACGAGTTTCTGACTTGTCACAGTAATTTTTCGTAATTGACTACAGCATGGCGCACCCTCAACAGGGCGGTGGCCATTACACTGACGATGGCTACGGCCACGGCAACGATGGTTACTACCAGGACGATCAAAACCAGGCCTACTACGACCACAACCAGGGTTATGGCAATGGCCAGGACAGCTACTATGATGAAGGGTTAGTCGTTCTTGTAATTGCCGAGCCTCCTCTGAATGTTGCTAATTCGCTCGTGTAGTACTGGTCACTACGCCCAAGGCGAACACGGCCCTTACCAAGGTCAACACGGCCAAGACGGCTACTACGACGCTGGTCACAACGGCTACCAGGACGAGTACTACAATGATCAATACTACGACCAAGGCCACGCTGGTCAGCAGGGAGCTCGTCAGCCCAGAGGCCACTCCGAGGAAGATTCGGAGACCTTCAGCGATTTCACCATGAGATCCGACATGGCTCGCGCTGCCGAGATGGACTACTATGGTCGTGGCGATGAGCGCTACAACAGCTACAACGGCGAGCAAGGTGGCCGCGGCGGTTTCCGCCCTCCTTCCTCTCAGGTTTCGTACGGCGGTAACCGCTCTTCTGGTGCTTCAACACCCGTCTATGGCATGGACTACACCAATGCTCTTCCCGCTGGACAGCGCTCGAGAGAGCCCTACCCTGCCTGGACCTCGGATGCTCAGATTCCTCTTTCCAAGGAGGAAATTGAGGACATTTTCCTCGACCTGACTGCCAAATTTGGTTTCCAACGTGACAGCATGAGAAACATGTTCGACCACTTCATGACCCTGCTCGACTCGCGTGCTTCCCGCATGTCGCCTAACCAAGCCCTCCTCTCGCTTCACGCTGATTACATTGGTGGTGACAACGCCAACTACCGTCGTTGGTACTTCGCCGCTCACCTCGATCTCGACGATGCTGTCGGTTTTGCCAACATGAATCTCGGAAAGGCGAATCGCCGTACACGCAAGGCCCGCAAGGCCGCCAAGAAGGCGGCTGCGCAAGCCGAGACCGAGGAGGCCACTCTTTCCAGTCTCGAGGGTGATAACAGTCTTGAGGCTGCTGAGTATCGCTGGAAGTCGCGCATGAACAAGATGTCTCAGCACGACCGCGTCAGACAGATTGCTCTGTACCTTCTTTGCTGGGGTGAAGCTAACCAGGTTCGTTTTATGCCTGAGTTGATGTGTTTCATCTTCAAGTGTGCCGATGATTATTTCAACTCTCCTGCTTGCCAGAACAAGGTCGAGCCCGTTGAGGAATTCACCTACCTCAACAACGTTATCACCCCTCTGTACAACTACTGCAGAGATCAGGGTTATGAAATTTTCGACGGCAAGTACGTCCGTAGAGAGCGTGACCACAACAAGATCATCGGTTACGATGACATGAACCAGCTCTTCTGGTACCCTGAGGGTATTGAGCGTATCATCTTTGAGGACAAGTCTCGTCTGGTCGACTTGCCTCCTGCTGAACGCTACGAAAGACTTCAGGATGTTGTCTGGAAGAAGTGCTTCTTCAAGACTTTCAAGGAGACCAGATCGTGGTTCCACAACTTGGTCAACTTCAACCGTATCTGGGTCATCCACATTACTGCTTACTGGTTCTACACTGCCTACAACTCGCCTACTCTTTACACCAAGGACTACCAACAGCAGCGTAACAACTCTCCTCACGGGTCTGCTCACTTCTCGGCTGTCGCTCTCGGTGGTACTGTCGCGTCCGTTATTATGGTTCTCGCCACGCTCGCCGAATGGTCATACGTCCCAAGAAGGTGGGCAGGTGCTCAGCACTTGACCAAGCGTCTTCTCTTCCTCATTCTCGTTCTTGTCATTAACGTTGCACCCGCCGTGTACATCTTTGGTGTGAACCAGAAGGGCAAGATTGCCTTGGCTCTTGGTATCGTGCAATTCCTGATCGCACTGATTACTTTCGTCTTCTTCTCAGTCATGCCACTTGGCGGTCTCTTCGGCAGTTACCTGACTGGCAAGTCTCGTCGCTACGTGGCTAGTCAGACATTCACTGCCAGCTGGCCTCAGCTCAAGGGCAATGCCATGTGGATGTCTTACGGTCTATGGATCATGGTCTTTGGTGCCAAGCTCGCAGAGTCTTACTTTTACCTGACTCTGTCGCTGCGTGACCCTATCCGTATCCTGTCCACTTTGAAGATCAGACACTGCATTGGTATTAAGTATGTCGGCACAGTGCTTTGCTACCACCAGGCCACGGTCACGCTGATTTTGATGTACATCACTGATCTGATCCTGTTCTTCTTGGATACCTATCTCTGGTACATTATTCTGAACACCGTGTACTCGGTCGCTCGCTCTTTCTACCTTGGTGTCTCTATCTGGACTCCTTGGAGAAACATCTTCTCTCGTCTGCCCAAGCGTATCTACTCCAAGGTCCTTGCAACCACCGACATGGAAATCAAGTACAAGCCCAAGGTTCTGATCTCGCAGATTTGGAACGCTATCATTATCTCGATGTACCGTGAGCACTTGCTGGCCATCGACCACGTTCAGAAGCTCCTTTACCACCAGGTCCCTTCAGAGCAAGAGGGCAAGCGTACTCTCAGAGCACCCACTTTCTTCGTTTCTCAGGAAGATCACTCTTTCAAGACTGAATTCTTTCCCAGCCAGAGTGAGGCTGAGCGTCGTATCTCTTTCTTCGCTCAGTCGCTGTCCACTCCTATCCCCGAGCCTGTTCCTGTCGACAACATGCCTACTTTCTCCGTCATGATCCCCCACTACGGTGAGAAGATCCTTCTCTCGCTCCGTGAGATTATTCGTGAGGACGACCCTTACTCTCGTGTCACTATGCTTGAGTACCTCAAGCAGCTCCACCCTCACGAATGGGACTGCTTCGTTAAGGACACCAAGATCCTGGCTGATGAGACTTCGCAATTCAACGGCGAATACGAGAAGACCGAGAAGGACACTGCTAAGGCCAAGATCGATGATCTTCCCTTCTACTGCATTGGTTTCAAGTCTGCTGCTCCTGAGTACACTCTCCGCACTCGTATCTGGGCATCGCTCCGTTCTCAGACCCTTTACCGTACCATCTCTGGTTTCATGAACTACAGCCGTGCCATCAAGCTGCTGTACCGTGTCGAGAACCCTGAGGTTGTTCAGATGTTCGGTGGCAACTCTGATAAGCTCGAGAGAGAATTGGAGCGCATGGCTCGCCGCAAGTTCAAGATCTGTGTTTCCATGCAGCGTTACGCCAAGTTCACTAAGGAAGAGCGCGAGAACGCCGAGTTCCTGCTCCGTGCCTACCCTGACCTTCAGATCGCCTACCTTGACGAGGAACCCCCGGTCAACGAAGGTGAGGACCCTCGCCTCTACTCTGCTCTGATTGACGGTCACTCCGAAATCATGGAGAACGGTCTTCGCAAGCCCAAGTTCCGTATCATGCTCTCTGGTAACCCTATTCTCGGTGACGGCAAGTCTGACAACCAGAACCACTCTATCATCTTCTACCGTGGTGAGTATATCCAACTCATCGACGCTAACCAGGACAACTACCTGGAGGAATGCCTGAAGATTCGTTCTGTCCTTGCCGAGTTCGAAGAAATGACCACCGACAATGTCTCCCCTTACACCCCTGGTCTGGCCACTCCCAAGTTCGACCCCGTTGCTATTCTCGGTGCTCGCGAGTACATTTTCTCAGAGAATATCGGTATTCTTGGTGACGTCGCTGCCGGAAAGGAACAGACATTCGGTACTCTCTTCGCTCGTACTCTCGCCGAGATTGGTGGTAAGCTCCATTATGGTCACCCCGATTTCCTTAACGGTATCTTCATGACTACTCGTGGTGGTGTGTCCAAGGCTCAGAAGGGTCTCCATCTGAACGAGGATATTTACGCTGGTATGACTGCTCAGCTCCGTGGTGGCAGAATTAAGCACTGCGAGTACTACCAGTGTGGTAAGGGTCGTGATTTGGGTTTCGGCTCCATTCTCAACTTCACCACCAAGATTGGTACTGGTATGGGTGAGCAGATGCTTTCTCGTGAATACTACTACCTTGGCACTCAACTCCCTCTGGACCGCTTCTTGTCTTTCTACTACGCTCACGCTGGTTTCCATGTCAACAACACTTTCATCATGTTGTCGGTGCAGCTCTTCATGTTCTGTATCCTCAACCTTGGTGCTCTCAGACACGAAACCATCATCTGCCGTTACAACAGAAACACCCCCATCACCGACCCTGAGTGGCCCACGGGCTGTGCCAACTTGCGCCCTTGTCTCGACTGGATTGAGCGTTGCTGTGTTTCCATCTTCATCGTCTTCTTCATCTCCTTCGTTCCTCTTACGGTTCAGGAATTGACCGAGCGTGGATTCTGGCGCGCAGCTACTCGTCTTGCCAAGCACTTCTCTTCGTTCTCCCCTCTCTTCGAAGTCTTCGTCTGTCAGATCTACACCAACGCTCTCCAGCAGAACTTGTCCTACGGTGGTGCCCGTTACATCGGTACCGGTCGTGGTTTCGCCACTGCTCGTATGCCTTTCGGTATCCTCTACTCGCGTTTCGCAGCTCCTTCCATCTACCTGGGTATCCGCCTGCTTCTCATGCTTCTGTTCGGTACCCTGACCATCTGGGGATACTGGCTTCTTTACTTCTGGGTTTCGCTTCTCGCTCTCTGTATCGCTCCCTTCCTGTTCAACCCTCACCAGTTTGCCTGGGGAGACTTCTTCATCGACTACCGTGAGTTCCTCAGATGGTTGTCCCGTGGAAACACCAAGGGCCATTCGGCATCGTGGATTGGATTCGTCCGTCTTTCGCGTACCCGCATCACCGGTTTTAAGAAGAAGGTGCTCGGTGAGCCGTCTGCCAAGCTGTCTGGAGACACTTCTCGTGCTCGCTTCGGTAACGTCTTCTTCGCTGAAGTCGTTGGTCCGCTCTTCCTGGTTGCTGTGACTCTCATTCCCTACCTTTACATCAACTCTGGAACCGGAGTCACCCGCGCCAAAAACCCACAGGCGAGTAATGCAGATTTCGAGCCCACCAACCCTCTCATTCGTGTTGCTATCGTTGCCTTTGCTCCAATCGGTGTTAATGCTGGTGTGTCATTCATGTTCTTCGCCATGGCTTGTTGTATGGGACCCATCTTCAGCATGTGCTGCAAGAAATTCGGTGCCGTTCTGGCCGCCATTGCTCACGCCATTGCCGTCATTGTGCTCATCGTCATGTGGGAAGTCATGTTCTTCCTCGAGGGATGGAGCTTCCCCAAGATGCTTATCGGCATGATTGCGTCACTCGCCATCCAGCGCTTCATCTACAAGCTCATCATTGCTCTGGCGCTCACTCGTGAATTCAGAACCGACTCCTCCAACATTGCTTGGTGGACTGGTAAATGGTACGGCATGGGATGGATGGGCTTCTCTCAGCCTGGTCGTGAATTCTTGTGTAAGATCACTGAGTTGGGATACTTCTCGTCGGACTTCTGCTTGGGACACTTGCTGTTGTTCTTCATGCTCCCTCCCCTTTTGATCCCTTACATTGACACATTCCACTCTGTCATGCTCTTCTGGCTCCGTCCTAGGTATGTTCCCATTTGCTTATATTGTTGAGAAGCTTTGCTAACAAAATGACAGTCGCCAGATCCGTCCTCCAATCTACTCGCTCAAGCAGTCGAAGCTTCGCAGACGTCGTACGATCCGCTACGCCATTCTGTACTTCACCTTGTTCGTCATCTTCATTGTGCTTATCGTTGCGCCAATGGTTGCTGGCAAGTTCATGAACCTGAAGGTCGACACTCTCCCCATGAATCTAATGCAGCCCACCAACCTCAAGAACAACGACACTACCAGCCAGACTACTGGTACTGCTGTGGCAGGTGAAACAGATGCAGCAGCAGCTACTTCAGGTGGCTCTGCCGCGTCGTCTGCAGCAGCACGCCGCTTTGCTCACTTCAAGTACTAAAAGAGGTTGGAGGATGAAGTTTCACAATAGATTTGAGTGGAAGTTTCGGCGTCAAAATGATTGTGTTCAGCATGGCTTGTGGCATGTTCCTGTACAGCAGCAAGTTGGCAGGTGTGCTCTGATTGGTCGGGCAGCATAATGATGATTATTTGTCTTTGTTTTTATTCTTTTCAGAGTCGGCGGGAAGAGAATTTGGGAATTGATTATTGCCACTGTTAGAATTAAATGCTCAAAATGCAATCACCAGTACATATGCTCAAGCACTGTCCTCTGAGAAAGCGAAATGTCTGTGAAGAGCAAGGCAGTGAATGTGTTGTTCGAGCTGGCCTGGAAGCAGCGAAGAAGCAGGTCACGTGCATGTCGTAGGAAGGGCGCGCAAGCTGGAAGTCACAAGGTGCCAGTGTACATGTGGGACCAGCGAGGTCTCCAGCATAACTCGAGTACATCGGACCTATTATCCACAGCGTGAGTCGCTCTTTCCTTCCTCTTGCATCTCAGTATAGACGCGCACTGTTGTAGCATATTCGACATGGCTGACATGGATAGATTTGTAGCTGAACGCGACCATGCCTGCCATGCTGGATGACCCGACGGCGCCTGCCATCTATCGTGCATCCGGCGATGCACCCTATCCCACTCCATATGCCCCGCTGCCCGCCAACGTTGTGCCTCGTCAAGTAACTCTGCGTGATCGCTCAACCACTGCCACCCTCGTGCCTTTCTCTTCTCCGCATCAAGTGCCCCAGACCCTGCTTCACTACCTCTGCGCCCTGCTCAATCGCGAAATCGAGGGCGGTGACACGTACCCTATGATCAATGAGCTTCCGCTCGAGTCTTTCGGTCCCTACTGGTTCGCCAACTTCGGTGCCGTCATGCTGTTGGGCGATGTGAGCAATGTCGACCATGTCTGGCAGATGGAGAAAGACGGCGTCGATTGGTCTAAGCAGTGTCTAGGCAGCTTCTACATCAAGCCCAACTACCCAGGTCGCTCCAGCCATGTCTGCAATGGTGGTTTCTTGGTCAGTGATGTCGCAAGAAACAGAGGTGTAGGCCGCTTGATGGGCGAGGGATATCTGGAATGGGCTCCTCAACTGGGCTATTCCTACTCAGTCTTCAACCTTGTCTATGAAACCAACATTGCTTCCGTCAGGATCTGGGATGCACTGGGCTTCAAGCGTATTGGTCGCGTCCCCGGCTGCGGCAACCTCAAGTCTGCCGATCACCTTGTTGATGCCATCATCTTTGGCCGCGACCTCAACGGCGAGGCCGAGGACTATCTGTCTGAAGAGCGTTTCGACAAGATCCGCTTCTACCTCAAGACAGGCAACTATCCCAATGGTGCTGACCGTGCAGAGAAGAGCAGACTTCGCAGTGCAGGCGCTCACTACCGACTCGTCCCCGATCCCAACGGCGGCGAAGAAAAGCTCATGCTCAAAGACAAGGAAGTCATCAGCGACCCTCAAAAGCAATACGAAATTGCCTTGAAGACGCACGCTATGTCCCACGCGGGCATCAACAAAACCACTGCATCGATTGCTGAACGCTATCACTGGATCCGCATCAAAGAGACTGTCTCACAAGCCATCCGCAACTGCACAAATTGCAAGGATACCTCAAAACAGGGCAAGGCAGCTACACCCAACAAAGCCTCGGAGCCTTCGCAAGCAAGTCCTGGCGCTGAGACGGAGCAACCGTCTCTTCTCTCGCCTGCCACTGTTGAAAATGCAAATCTTCAAAATGCTATGCAGCAGCATCATGCCGACCATTCCTCGCATGACCACATGCAACAGCAGCAGCATCACCCTGATTCTTCCTCGCACGACCACATGGACCTCTCGCAATTCGACTACTCGAATATTCCTGTGGACCCAGCCATCATGACAGATATGTACTCTACCGCTGCTACCTCAAGTTCAGCAAACAATGCGTTCACCGCTGAGCCCACACAGCAAGAAGTGCAGCAGCACGGTGGCATGTACGGAGCACAGATTTACGAAGACGACGCAGATGCACAATTGCAGGCTGAATTGGCCAGTGAAATGATTACCAGGGCTGCGGGCGGCGAGGAGTAGGATGCCGGCCTTGCTTTGTGGACTTTTTCGAGTCAATGGTGGTCGAGACAGTGATGACACGCAGACTTAGCTTCACTATTGTTTGAAAAGGAACGAACCCTATCGACTTCCCACACGGAAGCATTCAAACAACGACCTCAATGCCCCTCCCCTTCCTATCTTCGATTTCCTTAGAAGCCAAACTTATGTTTGATCAACCCCGTAACGGCGCCCCTCTTCTGCCTACTCACAAACTTACTAACATCATCTGCCCACCCTTGACTATTACTCTCGAGATTCTCCATCGAGTCTCCCATGATATTGAGTTTCTCTGTACGTTCTTGGATCTGGCGTTGCATGTAGGCGCCCCAGCCTTCGTTGCTTTGCCCCGCTGCTGAGGAAGAGGAAGAGGCGGGGCGGCGCGAGGCTGCTGCTCGGGCGGCTTCGTCGGCGCGGGATTGCGCGATCATGCGTTTTGAGGGGGGACGGTCGGGGCCGCCGACTAGAGGGGTGTTAGTGGTGGGTTGGGAGGGGGAAGGGGAAGGGGGGAAATACTTAGGATGTCCATGTCTGCGGGTGTCACATATTGTGTTCCTGCCACCCATTGGAAGTTTGAGATTGTAGGTCTGGGTGGGATGAGGGCTTCTGGGTTGAAGAGTCTGTCTAGTGATTTTGGTCTGCAAGAAGTCGATTAGTATTCTATACGCTTTGCATTGGTCTTGTAAACTTACAAGAGTTGGCCTGTACCCCAGATGTTGATCAGTGCCATCTCAGACGGACCAGTCCAGCCAAAGATGTCTCCATTAGGAACGATAATGGAGTCGGCGAATCGTCTAGTGTCTAGGATGTGCGATATGTTGATCGAGTTGAGCTCTTTCAACGCAGGCAATGTGTACGCACGCACAGTACCGTCGCCAAACAACCCAGCAAGTACATACCCTTGGTCCTGGAATCGTACGACAGCTGCTGAATCGCAAGAATAGCTGTCAAAGGTCTTGTGAGCTCCCTTGGAAGTGGCTGGACGGAAGATACGTGCTTCGCTTGTGGTCACTGCGACGAGCACACCATCGGTCTTCAAACCGGTACGGAGACTAGCTACAGCATCAGGATTTGCGGTCGCGGGTCTGCCTGTGTGGGCATCGACGGGTGAGATGTGGATGATGCGACCATCAAACGATGTGACACCCTCGAAGTTCACACGATAACGTCCACTGCTGTCAGGGATGAGCTTGAAGGTGGCTAGTCGACCTAGATTAGTACCAGCATGCAGGTTGATACTGGAGTAGTTCTCATCTTCAAGAGTCATCACGCTGAACTCCAGTTTCGTCACCCACTCTGGTTTGTCTCCTGGATGACTGCTCTTACGACGCAGTGTGCCAAGCTTGTCGCCCTTGCCAAACTCAGCAGTCGTGCCAAGGTGGATGATCGCAGGGCCGCGCATATCAATGACAGCAAGTTTGCCTCCTTCCGAAGCAGCAGCCACGAAGCCAACCTCGCTGACCTTGACTGCAGTGATAGGTCCACTTTGCAGATCGAGCAAGGTAAATGGACACAGTCCTTCCTTCAGGCTTGGGTCCGTCCTCTCGATGATGTTTGTCAAAGCATTAGGGCGGTTTCCACCAGCCGATGGAGGCACATCACGACCATGGTTTCGGTTATGACCCCAGCGGAAAACAGCGACTTCACCGCTTCTAGTGCCCGCTGCAAACTCGCCGCTTGCACTGGCTAGAGAGGTGTTGGTGATGTCTACGCCTTCGATACGTCCCACAGCTCGACCAACACCCACTTCGAGGACTTTGTCGTTTTCAAGCTCGTCACCATGGCCTGCGTCCCACAATCTGACTGTACCATCTGCATGCATTGTTTGAATGATGTTTCGGTTTTCGTATCGTTTGAGAGGATGTGTTTGCTCCACACCACCTTTCAGAATCTTGGGGCCTTGGTTTCGAGTCTCAGTCATACCTAGCCACTTGATTCTGTCGACCGTAGTGACATTTGCGCGTCTAATAAACGGATGGACAAATGTCATGGATACGTGTAGCTGATTGGTAGGTGTGATCGGTATGCCGCTTGGGAAGCTAAGTGTGATAACCTCTCCAGATGACAGAAGCGCTAGAATGGCAATGGGATCTTGAGCACCAGCAAAGTGTGGTGACTCTCGAGGAATGAGGCAGAAATCGACTACTTCGGCATTAGGTGGGGTTGGAAGCACTCTTTGTCGGCGAGGCGACTCCAGATGGTCAGTAAGGACATCCCAGCTCGACGTAGCATAATTTGGTGTTCGGCCCAGCTCGAAGAACGTCATGCCCTTTGTCGGCATGGTTGTGTCTGCACCACCAGCAATAAGAAGAGCCGTGTCATCAGGGTCCTTGTTCGCACACCAGGCGATCTTGAAGATTGGCTCTCTGACCGATACTGTCGAGCCGAGAGTCGTGGCGCCTTTACCAGGCACGTTGATGTGTGTTTCGCTAGTAGTCCGGGCTAAAATGATTCTGCCATCCTTAGGATCCCAAAATACCATTGAGCTGTCTTCGTGTCCAGTCAGGATGAAAGTGCCAGTAGGATGCCAAACTGCTTGAGTGAGCTTAGGCCACCGAGGAGTTCTTGACATTGAGGGGTCTCCATGACCACCCAGTGCTCCAGCAGGAATCTCGTATTGGAAGAATTTTTGAGCTTGGTTCTGTTTGAAGGAGAAGGTGACGGCACCATGAACATAGCCGATCAGAAGCTTTCCAATATCTCTGGGATGGAATTGGATGCTGACAACTGGTGACACTCGAGCCCTTGAGTCATGCTCAGCCCAAAGATTTGGGATTCGGAAAGGCGCGGCTCCCTCTCTATCCATATCATAAGCAAGAACATCTCCAGACTGCATACCAATCAAGGCATAGTCCAGCGCGGGGTCTGTCGCGATGCATGTAGCGACACCTGGTGGTGAATGCGATCCAACCAGTTTCTTCGCTTCGAGTGAGTAAAATGATAAGTCGTTCTTTGAGTCGAGGCAGACAAGCTTGTCGGCGCAGAATTGTATCTGTTTGGCTGATGCTCGTTGAGGCAGATCCAGTGTGACAGCCACTCTGCCTCTACCGAAGATGTAGATTTGTCCAGGACCAAATTTGCTGTCCTTTGTGCCCACCGCCAGCAGTGATTGCACGGGATCGTAGGCGATGGCGCCTATCTGACTGTTGATACCATAGCGCTCGATGTCGTCAATAGCGACGTGCTCGGGAGTAAGTCCGGCGGATAGGTCGTTCTGTATACCTGCCTGCTTGCCTCGAATAAAGCTGGCCATTGTAGCTATTGTCGGCTTGAGGAAATATGATCAAGAGTTGTTCTTATTATTTTTTGAAAGAAGTGATTTGCCTAGACATGTTCCGAGGGATCGTTGTCGCCAAGTCGGATGGGGGAGCTTGGGCATCCACCTGTTTCCAAGTCATGACAGGTTTTATGGTGGATTGTAACCTCCTCGCTTTCTTGCACGCGCGTCAAGGTACATAGGGGTTGATATTGCGACTTCGATCGCACAAGCTAAACGCACACTATTGGAGTGCATCGCAGCCGTAAAAGTGTCCAGAAGCTTTTGACAAGAAAGTTCGTCACATAGACTACAGCACAAGCATTTCTTGTAGGCATCGTGCTTAGATAGTGTTGAGCAACCAAGCACGATCGCAGCCTCAATTACAAAGTCGACACACTGCTCAAGAAAAATAATAAGAACAGGAGGAAAGGGACAGATCAGTGTGTTGAAAGTGTTGATGTATTCTCAAAGTGGTATCGAATCGGAAAGTTAACTCTTCCGCTGAGTAACAGAAAAAACACCCAGAAATGCGTACTCCCCAAACCATTGTCGTGAAGCTTTTGAACCCTTTCCTAACAGCGCCGTGCGTGAATCATTGAGAAATGAGAAGGTGGTGCATCCCCTAGTGGACCATGACATCGCTCTGCTGCTGAGGAGGCTGGGGCTTCTCGGTAGCAGGGGCAGCAGTGTCAGTTTCCATCTCGTCGGCAGCTTCTCCCTCAGCTTCGCCTTCGCCTTCCTCCTCCTCTTCATCTTCGTCTTCGCTGGCGCTGCTCTCGGCTTCGATGTCCTCACTGCCAGCATCTGAGACTTCGTCCTCCTCCTTGGGTTGTTCAACGGGGTTGACCTCAGCCATCTCAGCATCCTCACCCTCCTTGACTTCAGGCTCGCCCTCAGCTTCAGCCTCGTCCTCTTCAAGCTCCTCAGCACCGTATGCAGCCTCATCGTCTTCCTGGTTGTCGGCGTCAGGCTGCTCAGGAGGGAACTCGGCGGGAGCGCTGGCCTCGCTGTCCCACTTGATGGCGAAGCGGGTGACACGGGGCTTCTCGGCGAGGATGCTGCGGCGGACCTTCTCAACGACGGCCTTGGCAGGGGGTTCGGCGATGAGAGCCTCGTCGGTGTACTCATTGTTGACGTAGTAGCCAACACGGACGAACTCGCGACCATCGTAGCTGCAGGTCAAGAGAATGACGGTGACGCCGAGAATGTCGCTGTTGGGGATGCGGTTGAGGTCTGGGGGGTCTGCCTCAAAGACGAACTTGTTGACGCCGACAGGGATGGGACCGACAAGAAGAGAGTCGAGCTCCTGGTCGTACTCGGAGCTGGAATGCGCAAGTCAGCAGGAAGGTCAGGTAGTTGGAATGGTTGGAAACTCACGAGGTGGCAGAGCCGACATAGGTGAGCTTCCACTCAAGATCCTTGTCCAGCTTCTCAAGACATTCGAAGGTGATCTCGAACTCGTAGGGTGAGGTGAAGGGAGCAGGGTTGTTGCGCACAGCAACGTTGAGCAGTGAGACGGCGGCCATGCTGGTGGTTGTGATGTGATGAGACTGAGAGAGATGCTGCGCTTTTGATAATTGTGGAAGGATGCGATTTATGTATATGTGACGGAAGAAAGGAGATGCGTCTGAAATTAGAGGTGAATGCAAAAAGGCAAAGTGACCAAGTTGTGAGAGCAACGTCAATGTTTTGTTCGACTGCGAGTGAAGGGTCGACCAGTCGCGTCTCGCGTCGGTCGCGTTTCATTTGGCACTTTGTTCCCAATTCGGCAAAGGCCCTGCGTGTGACGTCTAGCTAACTCTCGATCTTCTCCCTGTTCTTTTCCTTTCACCTTCCATTGACCGCATCTTCCTTGTTTCAATGCTTTACCAGCGTTCTATCCCGACCCACCTACCTCTTGCCTGATACATCGACTTGCTGGTCTTCTGCTTGTGTTCCCCATTGGTCTGATGCTTGGACCCCTCCAGAAGCTCGCTACTATCGGCGTCGGCGCTTTCGTAAAGCCACCAAATTTCAATCTTTCAACCACAAGCCGCTTTAGCTCATCTGGGAGAGCGCCAGACTGAAGTCCACTTCATGTCTTCCTGTATCAGGAGTATTCTGGAGGCACTGTGTTCGATCCACAGAAGCGGCAGTGATATAGCTTTTGTTCCTTACCTTTTGTCCAAGTCTCACCATAGACACTGGGCATTGCTTTTACCAGGCTCTGTCCAGACTCAAGCTAGGTAACCTGGGCCGCTCGATGATGTTAAGCTCTCCATAAGATCTGGTCTAGATCTTGGTCGTATTCTTGTGACACGTTGTGATCACAAGAAGCCCACACGGTAGGAAACCAAATTCCTTGAGGGTAGCAGTATTCAGTCTCCAGACATGGGCAAGTTTTGTAGGTTATTTGGTAAGGTGGATGGTCTTCAAACAGTGGTAATCATCGAGACTGTCATGCAGAGGGCCTTAGAAGAGTGCTTCAATTAGCAGATGTAGGCAAGATGGAAGAATCGGTCCTCTAAGAATCCGGTCAAGCACGTGTCCAGGCAGAATGGAAGAATCATGGGCACAGTCGGAAGGATGAGAAGACAGCTTCTCGCCGCCCATTGAAGTGGTCATCTTTATACATAATGACCCTTGCACCGGCGACATGTGTGGTAAAGGTTGAGAAGACAAGAGTCAGCCATCGGAGTCAGTGCGTTCGCGGACCGATTGCGGCAGCGGGTGCTCCGTAAAACTCCTTGACAACGAAAGCCAGCTTCACACGACGACAGTATGCAAGCTCTTGCCTCATGGGAAGCAAAGGTCCGGTCAGAACAACTGCCGTGAATCTTTATATAACAATCAAGGCTCTCCTCACAGCCGCGGATCTATGTATGGAAGGAGGAAGGACAATGTGGCTTTATTCGTGGATGCCAAGTAGGGTTATGTTTCCAGACTGGGACTCCGCGTCCGGAGCAGCTCAGAAAGTCTAACACGCCCGCATGGGCAAAAAATCCTGCCCCACTGTTGGTACTTATTGCTCATAGCTGTCGCCTTCTTCTTTATTTCCTCAACTTCCTTTCCGTTGTTGCACACACACATACACACCATGTCTTCTTACGCTCTTCCCGAAAGCCATCGCGATGTCAGTATTCTAATGCGACAGTCTTAATTGAGCTCGAGTACTCACTATGCATAGCTCATGGAGAAGTCTCTCGTCGAGACCGACCCTGAGATCGCCGAGATCATGAAGAAGGAGATTCAGCGCCAGCGCGAGTCTATCCTTCTGATTGCCTCGGAGAACGTCACCTCGCGCGCTGTCTTTGACGCTCTGGGTTCGCCCATGAGCAACAAGTACTCCGAGGGTTACCCCGGTGCCCGCTACTACGGTGGTAACGAGCACATTGATGCCATCGAGCTCACTTGCCAGAAGCGCGCTCTCGAGACCTTCGGCCTTGACTCTGAGAAGTGGGGTGTCAACGTCCAGTGCTTGTCCGGCTCTCCTGCCAACCTTCAGGTCTACCAGGCCATCATGCGTCCTCACGACCGCTTGATGGGTCTTGACCTGCCCCACGGTGGTCACTTGTCCCACGGTTACCAGACTCCCCAGAGAAAGTAAGCAAATGGACTCTACCCACGAAGCAGCCAGGGAGCCCCTCTAACACGCTTTGCAGGATCTCTGCTGTATCCACCTACTTCGAGACCTTCCCCTACCGTGTCAACCTCGAGACTGGCATCATCGACTACGACCAGCTCGAGCAGAACGCTCTCATGTACAGACCCAAGGTCATCGTTGCCGGTACCTCTGCCTATTGCCGCACCATCGACTACAAGCGCTTCCGCGAGATCTGCGACAAGGTCGGCTGCTACCTCATGGTCGACATGGCCCACATCTCCGGTCTGATCGCCGGTCGCGTCAACGACTCTCCCTTCCCCTACGCCGACATTGTCACCACCACCACCCACAAGTCGCTCCGTGGTCCCCGTGGTGCCATGATCTTCTTCCGCAAGGGTGTCCGCAAGACTGAGATGAAGGCTGGCAAGGAGGTCCAGACCCTCTACGACCTTGAGGGCCCCATCAACTTCTCTGTCTTCCCTGGTCACCAGGGTGGTCCTCACAACCACACCATCACCGCTCTTGCTGTTGCCCTCAAGCAGGCCCAGTCTGACGAGTTCAGACAGTACCAGCAGCAGGTCATCAACAACGCCAAGGCCCTCGAGCACGAGTTCAAGAAGCTTGGCTACACCCTCGTCACTGGCGGTACTGACAACCACATGGTTCTCATTGACCTGAAGCCCCAGTCTCTTGACGGTGCCCGTGTTGAGGCCGTCCTCGAGCAGATCAACATTGCTTGCAACAAGAACACCACCCCTGGTGACAAGTCTGCCTTGACTCCTTGCGGTATCAGAATTGGTGCCCCCGCCATGACTTCCCGTGGTATGGGCGAGAAGGACTTCGAGCGTATTGCTGGCTACATTGACCAGGCCGTCAAGCTCTGCAAGTCTGTCCAGGCCGACCTGCCCAAGGACAACAACAAGCTCAAGGACTTCAAGGCCAAGGTCGCCTCTGGCGAGGTTGAGGAGATCAACAAGCTCAAGTCTGAGATCGCCCAGTGGGCCTGCACCTTCCCTCTGCCCATCTAAGCAGGTCGAAGTTGGGCTTGCGTACTAGTGATTTGATTGCATCTAATGGCGTCTTGGGATGAAACGATATTCAACATGGGATAAAAAACGGAAGGAGGGGTGTTAGGTTACGAAAAGGCAGACACAGCTTCAACCTGTGACCTTGCTATGATACCAGGAAACATGTAGTTTCCAGTGCTAGAAAAAAGCGACATGACAATCTATTACAGATCTGAACCATTTTCACATTACCGCTCCTGTAACTCCTGTTGCCCGACCATGTGTCTATCTCGTGGTTGTCCTCAAGTGTATCTTCACCGTATTGTCCTCTTCCCAATGTCGAACTTGAGGTCGATGACCACGTTGAGCAAAAAGACGCCGATTGGCTCGTGCGCACGTCAGACCGACGGGAAGCGGGTGCGGGAGAGTTCCCTGATTTTAGCGCGGTTGCCCTTGGTTCCCCACGCAACCAAGTATTTACCAACGATCATCATGGTCTTTGGGCGAGGGAGGCTGGGGTGTGGCAGGAAATTCATTTAGCACCAGACCAACCTCGCCATTTTGTCGTGCAGCAAAAGAGACAAGGGCATACACGCGCCGCGTTTCCATTGCTTTCTCTCACTTCTGACTTTTTTCCTACGAACCCACACGTTACATACGGTTTTCTGGACGATAAACTGAAAGACCATCATCTAGCGGCTTTTTGCAACGACTATTACCTACTTCTCCACACCTTCAGGCCATCCAAACCTCCACATTCCACGAGTCAAGACACGCGAAGACACACCAAGAGCCATTGTGTAAAGACGCATCTGCATTCCTCCAACCTCTTGCTCGGCCACCGGCAGAACACAGGACATTGTCTAAGCAAAAGAGGACATTTCAGAGCAAGCCATGGCAGGAGGTATTGGCTTTGCCGTTGGCATTCAACGTCTGATACCTTTCATCGGTTATCACCACATCCTTATGATACTGATTGCTGTTGCCATTATTCTTCTTTGTAAGTCAGACTAACTATCATCGTTGCCTACCCATCACTAACAAGCTTGGTTCGCAGCACTATTATTGGCAGGGTGTTCCTCAAGTTCACCATTGATACCGGGAATATTCCTCATCGACTTCTACTACCAAACATACACACCGACATACGATCCAGCGCAAGTCGATCCAGGCGTCACTGCCGCTATTGCCAACATTGTTGGACAGACGCAATTGGAAGTAAGAGTTGGATACTTTGGCCTGTGCATTGCATCAGATGCAGGCAACTACCTCTGCTCCAACAATGCTACCCTGCTGGCCGAGCAGATCAGCATCGACAAAGATCCCATGAACTTGATCTGGGTCGCAAATACCTTCAAGAACTCCGTCGTCTTCCCCTGGCTGATGTAAGTACTGACCTACTTGACTAAGAAAAATTCCTCGCTGATCAAACCCGAACAGTATCATCGCCATCATATTCGCTTTCCTCTGCTTCCTTCTTCTCGCCTCTTTCCCTGGCTGGCATGAAGAACGTGACCGTGCCACTGGCTCAGAAGTTGACGTGAAACCTTTTCCTTCACGTCCAGTCTCACAAACAGCCCTCGCACTAATCTTCATCGCCTCAGTCTTTGTCCTAGTATCTGTACTATGGCAACACACAGCATCAGTAGCCGCAGCACAAGTCGCTCAAGACATGGGCAACGGCAGCATAAAATCAGGCGTTGGAACATCAGCCATGGTCCTGGGCTGGTTCAGCTTTGCATTGCTACTCATCGTTACCATTGGTCTTTTGGTTATGATCTTGAGTATTCATCTTTTGGAAAGACTCACGGATGAATGATCTTAAAGACTTGCAATTGATCTGCAAATGATACGATACTACAAAAAAGCATGATACGAAAACCAGAGGCGAGATTCCGACATATGCATCATGATCACGACGACTGGGTATGGATCTTCCTGCCCGAGCACACCAGCGCATTATACCCCCTGTTTCTGCGCAACTTTTTCTTCTTGTTTTCTTCTTCTGCATCTTGATCGGGTTGATGAGCCCGGCTTCAAGTCCTCGACCACATTACCAGCATACAAGCATTTTTTGTTCTGTTGTTGGAGGGTTTGTTTGGTAATTTGCATCTACGGAGCATTTTTGAGATGCGTTGTTTTTTTGTTCGAGTGAGGGAGGTGGTTAGCCTCGCTTGAATGTCTTGATTCTTGAGTATTTCTTTTCTTTTTTTCTTTCAATCAGATTGAATGCATGGAGAGAAAAGCTAAATGATGAGTTTCCTTTCCCCCTTTTCTTCATGTACATGACAGACCTCGAAAACAGAATGAGACGGATGGATTATATAGATGAGTTGACAATGATATGGACAAGACTGGCTACATGGACATGTCCCATTTGACCACACTTTGTTTTCGAAAGCGGTGAAAGTGGTGTGTACTGTTTCCCTTTTTGCAAACGTCGTCGAATGAGTAGCATACGTCCAATTGAAAGATGTGTGATGTCTTGATTCTATCGGGTATATGTGCTCTTCTATGGTGCCAGCTATACACGTCTTATTCTGTGTAATCAGAAAGCTTATTCATTTGACTCTGGAGCAGCCTCGATCTGAGATTGACCCCAAACATTAGGTCTGTAGAAGCGAAAAAACGTTAGCATATCAGAAATCTCCTCAACAGCTGGAATGACAACGTACCTTGTAAACAACATCTTCAAAATCTCGCCATAGCTACCGTCATCTCTTTTTCTGCCTTCAAGCCATTTACTCAGGTCTTCTTTCATTTCGCTCTCGCCTCTGCCCACCACATCGATACCGCGTTCCTCGCATGCTATGCGGGTTTCTTCTGTGCTCAATGTCAAGTGGCTCAACACCCAGTCTTGAAGCAATAGTTCGTCGTCGATGTGCAAGTATCCAAGATGTCTCATCAGTTTTACGGGGAAGAGTGGGTGTTGCACACCCATACTGTCGAAAAGTCTTCCTCCGATCCCGAGTACTCGTGATACGTGCATAGACTCTGTCTTTCCTAGCTTGACGATGTGTTGGGCTGTACGCATAGATTGGTACAATCTCGGCAATGCCTTTTTGCCTCCTGCCATACTCGTAGGCATCTTTTCGTCATTTTCCTCTGCAGGTTTTGGCGTTTTTAGTCCCTGGCGGAAAGATTTCTTGCGGCGTTCTTCGACGCCTTTTCGCATGTCTTCGATTTGCTTGGGGATTCTGCAGGTGCGAGGGACGGCTGAGGGTACAAAAGGTACGATTAGCGGTAACCACTCTCCAAACAGCGCCACCATCAATGCAAACGGAGGCAGTTTTCTAGAGTCGTATTGTTCCCTCATGAGCAATTGGAAATTCGTCCTTGTGAGTTTGTCCTTGCCGTCTGTGACGTTCTCATAGTAAAACTCCAAATGTGCGAGTAAAGGTCTAGGTATGTTAGGTAACCCGGCAGCGCGGTTTGCAGATGTGATGGAGGTCTTTAGGGCTTTTGCACGTTTGCGGTTGCTCCATGTTGCTTTTACGCCAGCCCAGTAGAACTTTCCGTATGCGCGGCCGATCTGGAAGAGATGGGCTGGTGTGGAGGACGAGCCTTTTTCGGGGAGAGTGAGGGGTGGTGGGAGCGTAGATAAGGGGCCGTTGATGCCGTCTTCATCTGGTTGGGAAGGTTCCTTGGGAGGTAGGTCTTTGGTCTTTTCGTCGACGTTTTCGGAGGGTGGTTGCGTCGAATAGAGTCTGAAGGTGTTGGCGTAGAGAAGTTGATGGCGTTGGGAGAGCGGGCGGAAGGAGGATTGTTGGAGGGACAGGATTAGAGTGGTCGCCCTTCGAGGGGCTTGAAGTGTGCTCGTCATTGCATTGGTTGTGTTGGTTCAATTGCTGATTGAAGGTCGACAGACAGCGCAAAGTCGTGTTTCGAGTGACCCGCGTCTTTGACAATTCGGCGCAATCGATACGTCACTGACAAAATAATGGCAAACAAATGGACAATTAAATATTTGATCATTTTATGCTTTTTGATTAGACTTCTTTCGTTTATGCAGTATACTAAGTATATCATTTGGGCAGCATCATGACATATTCTCTCTCGCTGTCGCCAAAGCCCACGACATCGCCGTCCCGCAGCTCAATGTATCGACTACCTCCAATCTTCTCGCCGTTCAGTCGCGTTCCGTTCGCGCTGTCCAAGTCAATGAGATATGGCTTGACCTTGCTTAGCTTATCTCCGTACTCGTTTGTCTTTGTGATGTGTCTGAACTGCACAACAGCGTGCTGCTTGCTGATGCTCGGGTGTTCTAAATGGAAGTCGGCGATGGCTTGATCGCGTCCCATGAGCCAGCAGCTGCGCGAGTAGAGGTGGATGGTATCAATCATGTCCTTGCCCTTGAAGACGAACATGCGCCATTGCTCTTTGCTTGGTGGTTTGCGCGCCTCGGGCGGCTCGTGATATTTGAGGACGGTATTTGTGCCTGCCACAGTATTCGCTTCTTTGGCAAGTAGTCCTGTCGCGTTGAAGTTGGGCTTCTGCTTTTCTACAACTGGCTCTGCTGGATCAGCGCCGTCTCCTTGGCGAAATTGATCTTGTTGTGAGGGTAGAGGCCCACGAGCGCGGCGAGGTGGAGGTGACTTTGATTTCGAGTATGAACGTCTTCTTCGTTTTGGCGGCGGTGATGATGATGCGTCTTCTTTCCGTGAGCTTCGTTCTCTGTCGTGTCTTCGTCTCGGGCTCCTTGAGTGACTGTAGTGTCTTCTCCTTCTGTCCTTGCCGTCATCGTCGTATCGTCGGCTTCGTCTGTCTCTCTCTCTTCTGTCGTCGTCGTCCCTGCTCACAGATCTTCTCCTACGATCATATGGTCTGTCAGAGCGTCTCTCTCTACTATCACGACGCCTTCTGCGATCTCCATCTTCTGAACCCATTGTTGTGAAGTGATTGTGAATGTTGTCTCGCAAAAGAGCGAGCATTCACTCGGTAAATTAAACAACCACTTCGGCCGGGGATGACGCGAAAGTCTTGGCATACAAAATCTCGAGGGTCCAAAACTTCTTTTTCGCGTTCACCTGCCTTTTTGTTTCTCCAAGCACCATCCTCACCAAAGCTGCGTTTCTTTGCTTCCACACAGACAGAATGAGCAATCATTTCGTCCTTTTACCACTTGCAAATGAGAAATTCGGAGTAATCTTCACATAACCACAACTCACCTTGCAACCACTTTCACGAGTTGGGCACAAGCTCTGAGTCACTGCCTGCGAGGGCCTGACGTGACACGTCTGCACCTGGCATCAGAAATTTCAGAACGTCTTGACTGGCCAAAAAGCTGCTTCACGGTGGCTTTTTTGAAAGGGAGAGATAGCGTTTCTATGGGAGCCGGTGCGAAGATTGTATGCAAAGTCTGACTTTGCGATACTTGAGTGCAATACGCAGCGTTTCTTCTACGAAGGAATAATTCGATTCCGATTACTCGGGTGAGGATGGTGTTTCACACTTCTTTTTTATGGTTGGCGAATGAGAGACCACCTGTATGTGGTGCTGACTACGAACCTCATGTCCTGACAGAGACATGAGAGCCGAGAGTCTCTCAAAACTTCTTCAATTGCGCTTCTTGCGTTGGTTGTTGAAGTACATTTTGAACTGAGGTCATTCAACATGCGGCCTCGGAAATATACAGCAATACACAAACTATATTCATCCTTTGAACTTCATTCCAACTATCACAGTATCATTCGACTCGACCGCCCCAAGTGAACTGGCTGGCGTTGCGTCACATCCGATGCTGCATCACTGTGTCGCCCTTTCTTGTGGGCGTCCTTGCCGAAACCATTGTTTCCTGTCAAAGGAAAACAACTCACCAATCTTCTCATTGTTCCTTTCGTCGCTATAGCTCATTTGGCTTACATGCATGCTTTGATCTCTGTCACGGCCTCTGAACGCCTTTGTCCGCATTCTTGAGACTCATTGTTCATTGTCTCAAGCAGCACGGCGATACCAATCGCCATGATCTACTACAAAATGTATATCCTTGCTCTGGGCAGTATGTCGGAGTCTCGAATCCACTAACACTAACACAATACTCAGACTCGCTTCAATGTCTTCCTCCATTTCTGTCAGCAATGCTGCTGCTGGTCAGCCTTCTATCCTGACAAACATGACATCCGGGATTGAGTTGGAAGTAATTGCGTATGCCCCTTCTGGTGTCGACCCTCAGCGCCACCTCTCGAATGCTCTACGTCAGCCTATCCTTCTGCCTTGCTCCAAGTGCAATCAAATCCACTGCTGGAAGCTACCCTTCCTTGGCCTTCTCGACCCCAAAGACTTCCCTCAAGGCTATTCCTACGCAAGTTGGAAGATGATCAAAGATGGAAGCGTTAGGCCTGACAACGATGAGCTTGTTCACGTCCCCACAGGTTCTACTTTCTTCAACATGGAGATTGTATCCAGAGTCATGAACTTCACCAAGCCTACACCCTGTCCTCTTGATCAAGTATACCCATGCACTGGTGAGCCCTTTGCCTGGGATGCTAAGACTGAGATTTTTACTGTCATCCAAAGAGTCAATGAAGCATTCTCGGACCCTGGATATTGTCTGGCCATCAACAAGAATACTGGTTACCACGTTCACTTTGGAAATGGTAAAAATCAGCCTCCTGTCAAAACTTCTCTTGGAATGTTTGGTGTTTTTACCGCTCTTGAAAGACAATTTGACCAGATCTTGACCTGCTCGAGAATCCCAATTCTTCGCTATAGAGGTCACCCCGATCCTGGTGTCCAGCAGAGGCCAAACGCCGTGTACAAGTACGAACAAAAGGCCAAACAGAGCCGGTTTGTTGGTTCTGGATCCAGATTCTTCCTTGAGAATCTTCGCCTGCAAGTCGATGTATCTTCTGGAAGATCCAGGCCCGAAGATCGTAGAGCCGTCATTTCAGCCCTGCAAGATGCCAATGTTCCAGCCTGGCTTGAAAGGCTCTCGGGATTTAATAAAGTCAAAGATTTCCTGGACCTTTACGCCAATTGTAGCGCTGGGCAACAGCTACCTTCTCGTTATCTAGCCGTCAATCTTGAAAATCTTCGCTCATCCAGTGGCAAGAAAACTGTTGAAGTTAGACTCAGTCCGGGCTCTATGGATCCTTCTGATGTCTACGCCTGGTTCGACTTCATGGGTAAGCTGATGCTATGGCTATCGACCCCTGACATTGCCCACAACTCTATCATTCTCGATATTTGGGCTGATCCGAAGACTACCGTTCTCGACTTGATCAAGCAGATTGGCGCTTCGCAGTTTACCGTTGACTACTACACCGACCGCCTAACTCCTGACTGGGCCGTTCGTCGTCATTCCCGCTTGACTTCCAATATTGATGACAATGATCCATTCAAGGCTTTCAAATTCGCCATCGAGAACAATCGCTTCAAGGATGCTGACCGTGAAGCCGTCGACGCCAAGATCTCGCAGAAACTTGAAGGCGGGTACTATGGACAACTCCCTGACACTGTATTCAAAACTCTGCCTGCCGAAATCCAAAATCACCCAGACAGCCACACTCTCAACATGGACGCTTGCGACTACGAGAAATGGGCCGACAAGGCTATTGCTGTAGCTAAAACCATCGACTTCTATGCCCCGTTGTCACCTAGCGACTCTGACAGCGAGTGCGACTGCAAGTTGTGCCAACTGGAGAACTGCGGTTGCAAAAAATGCCTCAAAACGCTTCGCAGGTTGTGCTGTGACTGTGACTGCAAGTGTTGCGCAAACACAGCCTTCCAAGTCACCTTTCTGACTCGTCTGAGTTCCCTTCCCACAAGACTGATGACTCGAAAAGGACTTTTGCGACTCCTGCTCCTTCTAAAAGTCCCCTTGACACTCGCCCTGATACGCCTGCTTCTTCTTCTGATGATGATATTGACTTGTCGTACTATGGTTTGTAGTGCTGGTCATAATAGGTGAGTTGTGTGTTTCTAGCGTTACAGGTGAGCGTCTTTTTTCGATATAGTCTTCCAATACACTAATACAAATTGATCTATTTTCGAATCTGCTCAAACTCTTTTGTCCTGCTGAACTGTTCGAAGAACATGTGACATGTACACCTTGGAACTCTGACCTCTCCGTGTAGGACACAGACTTCGGAAGAAACAAAAAGTGATCAGTATAGAAACTCTCACGCCCCTGCGGGATACAAAGAGAGAAATAAAAGAAGCGAAACCCAACCAGAAAATCTAGAATATTACATTTTCCGTTGCTCTTGCCCACTGCTCAACAGTCTTTGGGCACAATCAATCAACGCTTCCCTCCCTCTCTCTACCCTCCCTAGTTCTCCCACTAAATCTCGAAAGCCTACTACTCCTCCCCTCTTCACCACCTTCCTCCCACTGCTGCGAACTACCAATACTGCCTCTTCTATCCCTCTCCCTCTCCAGCATACCCCTCAGATCCTCAAGTTGAGAGTCTCGTTCTTCAAGTCTTTGTCTCGCGCCCTTGCGATCTAATAATCTACCTTCTCTTTCTGCCTTGAGTCGTCGTTCCAGCTCCTTAAGTCTGTGGATCCAGCGTTGCTCAGAAGGTTGAATAGGCGGTGTAGCAATAACGATAGAAGGATTCTTGGCCGTTGTGGGAGGTTGGTTTTGTCCTTGTAGCACTTCAATCGCAGAACTAGAATGATGTCTGAGCAATGAATTTGCCATACTAGCTCGAGGCGTAAGTTGATTACTCGTGTCTTTTCTGTCTGTAGCAGTATCCTTCGGAGTAGTCTTCTCTGCAGCAGATTTGTGGAAGCGGATTTCGGCTTTGAGAATCTTAATCTCTTGCTTTAGTTTCGTGACTTCTTCGATGATGGTCTTGGAGGATCTGTTCATGTTTTGTTGCGAGCGTAGCTGGGCGGATTCTTGGGCTTGCACTTCGATGGCTGATTGTGCATCCTTGACTGCGCGCTCCAAGAACTCCATCTTCTTGACGCGGACGTCGAGGTTCTGCTCTAGAACTTGGTAGTCTTTGCGTAGATTCTTCTCGACACTGCGGATTTGAGCCTTGCAGTTTGACATCAAAGTTTCGATGGTCTTGATCGCGGAAAGGATGTTGTGGGTGAAGGGTTGGAGGTTGCGGGATATGCTGTCAATCGATGTGGGTTCACCATTGACGCTGCTGTGGTGAGAAGCCCATGCGTTGCCGCACAGAGTTGAAAGCCTCGTCCACAGAGTGAACAGCAGTTGGTTACGCTCGACCAGTTGATCACGGTATTGTTGTTCAAGCTGAATCATCTTGCGGCGGTCTTGACTACGAGCATTTTCCAGATCCAGTGCGCGAGATTCGTGTTGGGCCATCATGCGTGCATTGGTAGAGTTGCCGCGTTGAGACTGCTCGAACTGGTGGAGGTCTTTGCGGCGGAGAGAACGTTCCTTCTCCAGCATCTCGGACAGTCTTTTGCTTTCCAAGCCACTGCTTTCGAGTAGTTGATCCCTGTTGCGTAGCAGACGATCCTTCTCTGCCAGCTGTGCCTTTGCCTCGCTAAGGTCAACAATGGTGTTCTCCAACTCGTCCTGCATTCTCTGAATCTCCTGAAGCCAGCCGGAGCGTCTATCACCAAGAACCCGTCTCAGGTTGGTCTCGAGCTCTTCCAATCTGGTCTTATACTTTGTGGTCTCAATTTCCGCTTGACGAAGAGTCTGCTTGATGCTTCTGACTTCATCCTTCGACTTTGCATTCTCGTCATTGAGATCATCAATCATCTGCTGTACCTCCTGCTTGGACTGATTGTCGACAATCTCACGCTGGCGACGTTCTTCCACAAGACTCTCCTCGAGCTCTTGCATTTTCTCCTTCTCGTCCTGAATCATCTGCTGAGCAGCGGCGAGATTGTTTTCCAGGTCGCCTATCTTGATCTTGTCGCCTTCTTGCTCTTCACGAAGGAAGGAAATTTCATTATGCAGAGATTCTGCCTGAACATCAAGCCGGCTGTTCTTCAGTGCAGTCTCGCGCAAGTTTTTTTCCATCTCGTCAAGTTCAGTGTTCGCGTCTTCGAGCTCTTGTTCAAGCATCTCGATGCGCTTCATAGCTGCTGTTCTATCATCTTCCAGCTGGACAAGACTGTCGTTGAGGCTATGCAACTCGTGCTGCAGGGCTTTGAAGTCATCCTCGCGGTCCTTCAAGTCTGAAGCAATACGTTCGCGTCCTTGTTCCGTCTTGTCAAGGCTGTCCTCCAGATCTTCAATGGCACTAACAGCTTCGATCCTGAGTTTCTCGTGATCGGCCTTGACCTGTTCGAGTTCCATTTCTGTCGCTTCCAATTGTTGTATGGCTTCGTTACGCTGGTTCTGGACTGTCCTCAGATCTTCAACAGCTGCGTCCAGCTCATTCTCCGAGATTTGTACAGCCTCTTCGAGCTCCGCGATAAGTTCTGTTTGCTCATTGAATTGTCGTTGCATGTCCTGGAAGTCCAGTCTAAGTGCGGCGTTTTGGTCACGCAAAATGCCTTCACGTTGTTCGTACCCGTCTCTTTCAGCATCGCTCATGGTAGCTTGAGTTTGACCACTGGTTCGAGAAGTTGATCGTTGGTATTGATTTTGTCGTGATACGGAACGGTCTAAGATGCTGTCACTTGTCAGGGAGCGACCACCTTCTACCTTGCGATGCAGCAATTTCAAGTCCTCGATCTCTTGCTGCAAACGTTCTCTCTCGCGGTTACGAGAAGTGAGCATTGACGTTTGAGCACCAAGATCGCGGCGCAATTCTGCGTTTTCGTGCTGCAGCTGGTCGACGAGAGTGGAGCTTGAGGCTGAGATGGCGCCGCTGCGAGTGTCGACATGTTCTGATCCAGTAGACTGGGATCGGATTTTGCTCATCCTGTTGATGCCGAGTCCTCTGCTTGCTTCTGAAGCCTTTTCGCTCCTTAGCATGATGACTTCTTCACGAAGTTTGCGAATGTCCTCTTCAGCCTGTTCTCTACGAGCAGTCTCCGTTGTGAGAAGGTCCTTCCACATCTCCTAGACACATGTATCAGTTTGTTGTCTTACATGTCTGAGACAATACTTACGGATTCTTCTTCCACAATATCATGCTCTGAACCCCGTCTCTCATTCATGGCAGTCATGTATTCTTTCATTTTGCGCTTCTCCACCTCCTTGGCCATGTTTTCAGCAGACAAGTGTGCGATCTGTATCGTCTTTCTATCGAGTTCTTCGCTCAGCTGTAAGATCTCATACTCAAGCTCTTCGTGGCCATTACCAGCCGCCTCTTGAGCAGCTTTACGGGCTTCTGCAAGATCCAGCTCTGATTGTTTCAGTCTCTTCTCAAGATCACGGATTTTGCGGCGTAAAGATTGGTTCTCCTTTCGCTCGTTGGCGAGATCGGTCTGGAATTGGACATTCTTGTTAATCATGTCCTTTACGCCTTCTTCGGAACGATTTTGCAAGGCCTGGTCGAGGAAATGAATTTTGAGTTTGAGGTCAAAGTTCTCCTTGGTGAGCTTGTCAATCTTGCTATTCTGCTCCTTGAGAGTAAGATTACCACCTGGACGATTGCCGAAAGTCAGAGCGTTGGACGAAGAGGCTGGACGCTTGTCTGGAGATATAGGGCGGTTCTGCTGACGGTACTCTTTTGCAACAGTGTCTGGGACTTGAATGTTCTGAACATGTCTGGTGATTATGGTGTCTGTGGGAGCGTGGAATTCGAAAGTGTCAGGTGGACGAGGTGTAACAGGATCAGATGCAATTGAAGCTTTGTCCTCCTCTTCCAAGCTACCTAGAGCACGTTCTGCGCGAATGCTTGCCAAAACTGAATTTCCACGATTCAAGGGAGGAGGGTTGGGTTCGCTGTCTCTGGACATTGCTGAAACAACACTACCAAGACTGGGAAGGCGTGAAAGTGGACGGCCGTGGCTGAAGGAGTGATCCTCGGGGATGGCGCCGCCTGTCTGCAGAGCGTAGTCGCCAGCAGAGTATTCAGTATCGGCATTTGACATAGCAGACAAGTGACTAGGGTTTCTCTGAGAGGAATAACTTGGTCTCTTCTGCAGACGTGACGAGGCTGAGTGAAGGCTTCCCATGTCGAGCAAGCTCCTATCCGAGATCGGCAGAGGGACGTCTTCTGGCCTTGTCGAGGCTGAGGTAATGGACAAGAAGGAGTGTTCTGGTTGTTGTGCAGGGGCTTCTTGTGAAACTTCTTCCGATGAGTGTGGGATCCCTCTGGAAGACGAGGACAAGGTACGATGTTCAGATGACGAGGGTTGTGCCAAGGTCCGGGACGATGCTCTTTGGTCGGTATCCTTGGAGGCGTTGGAGCGCAAGGTGAGTCTTGTAAAGGCAGTCGATAGATCGTGGTCGTTCTCGGAGACACGTCGCACGGGTTCAGCGCGCATTGAAGAACGTTCGGCGGCGGCAGCGGCAGGGGACGAGGGCTGTATGACAGCGGCAGATGTTATGGATGCGATTTCGTCGTCTTCTTGTTCCTCCTCTTCATGCTCATCTTCAGCGCCCTGCTCGACAATGTCTTCTTCCGTTTGCTCATGGATGGGAGGGATGTCGCTGTCTTGTTGATGTTTGATGTTGAGGTAGGTGTCGTCGGCACCAGTTCTTTCGTGAGTGACGCGGGTAGACAGCAGGTCGGGCATGAAGCTGGATTCGACGTCCATGAGTTTCCTCCTCATCTCGCGCTCATCGTAGACATCGCTGTGGGGGTTGGTGAGATGCAGCAGACTGTCGCTGGACATGGGTAACGGCGGCAGGTCCGAGTCGTCTTGATCGTACAAGTCGTCGTGCGTAGGAGAGAAGTCATGGTGGTCATGTTCGTAGTCATGGTCCGAGTAGTCGTCGTCTTGGGCGTGGTATGTGTGGGGTTGTTCGGCGGATTGTTTACTTGTTTGTTGATGGACTCGGAGGTGAGATTCTTGGTCGGAGTGGTGTGAATTGTCTGCAGCGTCGCTGGCGCGGTCGGCCAGAGGAGCGGGCGAACTCATCTCCTAGTCAATCCGGTTGGCGAAAGAGAGGAAGGCGTCGCTGCCAGATCGCAGATAACCCAGACTTGCCCATGGATGAAGCATCAACATGGATGAAACGTCCGTCAAGCAAAGAAGGCTGGGGCTAGCTTGGAACCTTGCCGATGTTGCGCTTGCTGCAAACACAAATCTCGTCTTGTTCTTTCAACCACAACTTTTCTCTAGGCCGCAAACTCTTTTAGGTAGACTTAGAGCGCATAGTATAGGTATAAATCTGTATTATGTTGATACGCATTAGATAGATGGCATCAATTGGGAGAGATCATGCGTTGATAGGTACTTGCCTACGTCGCGACGCTTGCACTTGCCGAATCCGGATCGTCCCAGCCGAAGCAACAGCTCCACCGACTCTCCACTACGGATCTGCAGGGTCAACTCTCTTCTAACAACCACTGCTGCACGTCTTGTGAAAGTGTCCAACTTCGACCGTACTTCAAATACAGCTCAAAGCAAAGTGTACACTATCAATATGCACCATCTTGTCGGAGATGGATGCGTGTCCACTGACAGCCGATCAATTGTCGCTTCTCAGTGGACACTATCCTGACTTCTGATAATATTGTGCATTTCTACAGCTATACAGTTTACATACTTCGGACATGAGAAGGCCGTGTAACAAGGTTTGCAACTTTCAGTGTATTCCGCCTAAGGCAACAAGCAAGATTCATACTATAGAAAGCCACAATTGTTTTGAGGGCGAACGCATGTCCATCGAGAGCCAGCAACTTATTGCCTCTCAGTAGATATTATCTCATTTTTTGTTACTGTTATGCATTTTTACAGCTGATACAGTGCGCATTCTAGCGGACATGGATTGTATTAGATACTCAAGTATCTAGCTCAATGACAAGACCAGAAGCTATCTGCGCTGCTGTGCTGTCGCTCGTGTTCACTCGCTATCTTGCAGCGCCTTGCGCATGGCATGCAAGCTTCTCTCGAACATTGCACGATCCGCACCTTGCTGTGACATCAGTTCCTGCTCTCTATCCTTGAGCTCCTGGATCTCGCACTTGGTGTTCACCAGCTGATCACGGAGCCCAGCAGCTTCCTGCTTGACATCAACGAGCTTGCACATCAAATCAAAGACCTGCCCCTCCAAACATATTTGAGCAGCCTTTGCTTGACTCATCTCTTGCTTATGCTTAGCTTCCATATCCTGTTCTTTCTGGCGCAGCTCGTCGATTTCGTTCTCGGCTTCCCACAGGTGATCGGCAAGTTCTGCGCAATCTTGCTCGTGTTCATCCACGAGTTCGTCGAAAGCTTGTTCATGCTGACGCTGAGCCTCCTCCTTCAGTCTGACTATCTCCTGATCGTGGCCAGCCTTGTCTGTCCGCACCTTCTGCACCAGTTCTTGGATGTCGTCGACAGCTTCCGCAAGCTCCTTGCGAAGCTTGAGGTTCTCATTGTTGACCTTGTTTTTCTCTTCAAGCACTTCGCATGTCTGCTTTGCAAGCCACTCACGGTCTGCATGTCCTCTCTTGATCTCTTGCTCGTAGCGAGAGTTGGCGTCCTTGAGTCTCTTCTCATATTCAGTCTTCATGACTTCGGCTTTCGTGATCTGAGCCGCTAGGACTTCCGAAGCGTCTTCGCAGAGTTTGGCATCTCTGGCGGCCTTCTGGCGATATCTCTCAACTTCCTCTGCTGCGGCTTTGGCGAAGTCTTCATATTTTTGGTGTTGCTTGCGCTTGAGCTCTTCAAGTTCCCGTTGGTGCTTGTCTTGCATTTCCTGCAGCGTGTCCTTGAGCTGTTGTTCGGCTTCATCAGCGCGTTTACGCTCTTTGTCGCACTCAGTCTTGTGCTGACGCTTGATGACCTCGAGCTGCTGGCTTTTCGAAACCTCGAAAGCGCGTCTGCGGTAGATTTCCTCTCTGCACATATCGACATGCTGCATCTTCTCTTGCAAGGCTGTGTTGAGGCAGTTGAGTTCTTTTCCATGCTCACGGTTGAGATCTTCCAGCTCCTTACGATGGCGTTTTTCAAGCTCACTCTTGGACTTCAAAGCTTCCTTTTTGCAAGTTTCAAGCTCGTAATCTAGCTCTTCGCGGTGGCGCTTCTCAAGATCGCACTGGTATTCCCAAGATTCTTGTCCGAAAGCTACCAGCTGCTCCTTGAGTTCGCGGACTTGGATGCTTTCTTCGGTGCAGTCATCAACGTGCTCTTCCTCATCGTCATTGGTGAGAGTGTTGTCAAGGTGCTCTTCTCCATCGTCGGTGCCGCCATAAAGCTCTTCGTCCTCTTCTGGGTTGTAAGGCTGCTCTTCCTCGTCCGCATCACCGTCATTTTCGGCTCCATCGACTTCGCTTTCGTCGTCGGCGTCATCGCAGTAAAGACGTTGCTCCTGATCCTCCTCGCTAATAACAGACCAAGCATCATTTTCTTCATCGACTAGTGCATCATTCTCGCTTTCCGTCATGTTGCTAGCCTCTCCATCGTCTTCCAGAACCATATCAACAGTCTGAGCATCCTCAGCTTGTGTGTAGATGCCTTCTTCGCATCCCTCGAGAGTAGCTACGTGCTTTGCGACATCTCTCAGAGCAGCTGTGACGCCATCACAGGTTTCTGTTTCCCAGACTGGGTTTTCAAAGTAACAACCGAATTGTTCTGGTGTTGTTGAAGAAGAAGCCATGGCTGTTTGTGGAGGTAGGTAAAGTAAAGTAAGAAGTAAGCGTTTATCTAAGTAGCCAAAGTATTCGTAGTATCTTTGCCTCGACAGGTAGTTGAAGAAGGTAAAAAGTAAAAAAGAAGAAAGGACAACTTGCACATTCTAAATATCTGTCTTCTTGAGTCACCAATTTTTGCAGTCATTCTATGCGTACTAATTACCTCAATCTTGCTGGGCTGAGAGTTAGAGAAGAGTAAGTACCAAGCAACATCGGCGTCGGCGAACACGGCACGTGGACAAGCCATATGGTGCTCGAAACCACCTCTCTTTTGGGTGATAATCTCATCCTCCAATAGATATAATGCAGCTCCTGCATCGAGAGTCAAAAAATGCTAAAGTCTTTTTCACATTCCACCAAATCTCGATACGTTCGTCACATGGTATCAGTTGCACTTGATTCATGTGCTTTTCTCTGAACGCTCACCACAGCACAATCACTGCTTTCCAGACTTACTTTGAAACAAGCCACTTGTAAATGCAGACTCTGGGATGGAAGAGAACATCTTTGCAAGAAGAGATACATGTCACTGGAATGTTAAACATCAAAGCAGCAGTCGTGAAAAAGAAAGCAATATCTCAATTCTGACCAAGTCTATCTGTTCTGTGTGTATGAGCTGGCCATGATCGACGAAAGAGAGTTAAAACAGTGACAAAGGAAACCAGGCCGTCAAGATCATTGCGTCGTTAAAGGAAACCGTTGCTTGTGCTGGGGTTGAAAGAAGTCATAACCATGTTTTGTTTTCTGCCGTGTATTTGTGGCTTAAAGGCATAGAAAATGGACGTTTGACAAAAGCCGTATCGAAGGATGTATCTGATGCTAGGAGAAAGACAGGTGGGGCATTTGGTTGGCCTGTCGAGGTTGCCGTCTTTGGATATCTCTCGTCAAGCTCTCCAGACCTTCGACTTGTGATATGAGGTGAGGGGTAAGAGCTGAGAAGAAGATTGCAAACCCGACTATCATGAGCAGGACAAAGCTCGGGAGTCGCGAGAAGACCGCAAGTCTAGGGTATCAGTGGATGAGCCGTGAGGACCCTCATGTCTTGCCGGTGCCCGTTCACATCAAGACTGTGCAAACTTCAAGAGTCTGTCAACGTCTTTCTGAATATCCTTGAGCCGATCGTTGGTGAGAATAGCTTGTACAGATCTGTGTGTATGATGAAGGTGAGACGGTGTCTGCGAGTCCATGAGGGGATTGTTAGAAGGATAAGGTGGATGTTCTGCCAGACCGATAGCCGTCATGCCGTTTGAAGCTCTGTGGTTCAAGACTTCCTGCCAATTGGGGGTGAACAACGGGCTGGAGCGGCTGGTATTGATGAACTGGGCAATGATCTCGGCTGAAATACTCAGAGATTGCTGGTATAGGTCATTGGTGGTTCGTTCTTCTGTTCTCGCTCTGGTCATCCCACGAGTTGTTCTGCCAGTGTTGGGGTCATGGTGGTTCTGAGACTGTCTGTGTGGCATTGGACTCTGCTCGTTGACAGGTTCCTCGGGTGGAGTTTGGGCAGTGTCTTCGACCTCGTTCGATTCATCTCCTGGCGCATCACCTGGTCTTTCTTCTGCCGCCTCCTCAATTGCATCATCTGACTCATCTGCGTCGTCTGTATCTCTCTCATCACCTGGCTCATCTGCTCCTTCCGAGTCTTCTGCCTCGTCTGGGCCATCTGACTCGTCTTCCTGGTCATTGTTGGCCTTGATTTGTGCAAGCAGTTCTACGAACTCTGGTAATTGGCGCCATTGTTTCGTCCATTTCCTACCGATGGAGGTCGGCGAGCGATGAATACCATACTCGGCTTGTAGAAGTCTTGAAACTTCTCTTCGAGGAAGTCTCGTAATCTGGTATTCGATAAGTACCTGCCTGATTATTGCGAGACACCACCGAGTTACTTCGGAATCCCAGACGTGTGGCGAGACTCTGTGTTGATCAGGCGTGAACTCTTCCTTGATATCATGCTCTTTCTTGACGGACGCAGCGGGTCTCAAGTAGTGATCTTCACTATCGTCTCCTTCGTAATCATATTGGCCTTTGCTGTAGAATGGCTGTTTGCGCTTGCCTTTTCCCTGATGCCCGGCGAAGTGATCCTCGGGAATGGCCGGGCTGAGCTCTGTGACCGGAGCGTCATGCTTTACAGGGTTGCGATCCAGCGAGTCACCCTGGCTAGCTACCGCAGCTTCGTAGGCCAGCTCAAGGTCCACGTTGGTATCGAAATGCTCACGGAGGATAGGTGCAAGAGTGCTGTCAAAGTATGCTCGTGATATGATGCGGCTGTTGACCTCGCCAACTCGAGCGGGATTCCTAGCCAAGGTAGGAAACTGCTTGAGATCATCTCCGATACACTGGCCCAATAGATATGAATGGGCGTCCGCAAACTTGACGAATTGCTGTTCGGCTGTAAACCTGTCGCGGTTTGCCCAAGCTATTAGCCTTTGACCATCATGTTTGTCAGGCCAGATGCTGCGCAGGATATCCTGGTATCCCAGACAATCGCCGATAGAGCGTATTGCAAAATCTGGATTGAAATTGCCGGTTGGATTCCAGACTCCAAAAATTCTCAATGCTCGAGCAGCTTGGATACCTGCGTCAGGACCACCTACCCAAAGTGCGAGGTCCACAAAATGTGCGGCAGACCATCTTTCCTTCTGATCTCCATACCATTTGAGAGAACCAGTGACTGCCCACTCCCGCATGGTGACGAGATCCTGATGGGGCACACTGAAACAATCTTCCAAGCTGTCGGGTAATGTAGCATCTCCAGACAGTGTGTTTTGAAGAAAATCAAGTACAGAGTTCCGATCGGGCTCATAGATGATTGTCTGAACCAGCGAAACCCACATCGCCTTGTGGTCCTGATTCAATTTGTTGGAAGTCATGAATTGTTTTAGGGCTTTGAGATTGCAGATGTCCTCAGTGAGGCCTCCTGCCTTGGCAGGCCAGTCGTTCAGCAATGTACCTACGGCTCTGTCTCTGATGGTCGTAGAAGCTTTCTCTACTGGGGCACGGACCTGGTCATTGACGGATTCGTACTCGATCACTGCTGCAATGCTGGTGCTGGGTGAGCTCTGAGGATTAGGAGGAGAAGAATCGGTGTGTCCATCAACCTTCTCCAGTCTATGGTCGTGTGCAGCAGATGATGGGCTGATTTGGAACTCGGAATCGTCGTTCGCGATAACGTCAGTCAGAGGGTCAGCTTCAGCGCCTGCATCTTCTCCAGAGAGCATATCAAAGTCGTTGAAAGCAGGAGCATCTACAGCTTCAGGCGAGGAAGCATTTCTGAATCGCGCACGCTTAGCAGACAGCGCAAGCTTTTCCGGCGTGAGCGGAGACGACCCAAGGGGACGTTTGGCTGCCATTCTGTCTCATCGATATCAGTATCAGGAAAGCATACTCAATCAGATCAGTCAAAGTGCTCAACTTACTTGACTGCTCTAAGCGCCCAAAACTTGTCGAAGTCGAAAGTTGGAAAGTTTTTCGACGGCGAACGAGCTGTATAAGTCAAGCTGCCATTCATGGAAGAACGTTCGCGATCTTCCTCCTAGCAAACAAATGAATGCCAGAAAGATCGATAGTTCTTTGACCATCCATTCCAGCGAAGCTTCTAGAGCAAATGAGACTTCGCTTTTTGCAGAATAGATGCTAATGATTTGAATGGTAAGGACAAAGACGCTGCCTTCAGCTTAGCAGATTGTCTGAAGAGTGAACTTCTGAAAGCACTAGAGTACTGATAAAATCTCAAAACAGATCCGCAGAAAGATCTTGAAGTTTGCTCCCTGTCATCCACAACAAAAGGGTGAACAACCACAAGATATTTAGAAAATGATGAATTTTTGTGACAGGAGTAGACAAAGCTGAGCATATCCGTGGCCTTTGCTGTTCAGATCTAGAAGTGGGAAATGATGAATGAGAAATGGAAGGAAGGCAAAAGCTCAGTAGTTTGCATTCTTGGAAGGTGTTTCTGTCAGGATGAGTGTGATTGGAAACAGCAAACTTGGTTGATTGCTCAAACGTTCTTTCTCCTTCCGGGACAAGGTTGGGGACGACGAAATTGATCTTTTTCCTTTCTCTCCAAAATACAGAATAGTGGTTGGTTGTGGCGAAGGTTTTATGGAAGAGCTCTGGACCTGGCGCAGTAGCAAAATCAACTGGAAACGTGAGTGAAAAAAGTACCCATACTGCTTCCAAGCAGTCTCTACCACGATCAGCTAATCAATAATGATTGGTCTACAGAATCTTTCGAATTTCACCAAATCATTCTCAGCATCCCCTACCAGCTGTTTCTGGAACTCCCAGAATTGATTTCGAGGATAATCAAATGTCTTGGGTACATCGGGCCAAGGTAACTGGTCCTTCGATCCCGAAACCCATTCCTTCCTCACTTGTCTGAGATTCCAGACTGCCTTCCAGTAGTAGTGCGGCAGTTTCGGTGAAGGATTGTGACTGTTGGAGAAGCTGAGGATTCGATGTGAGGGCACGTTGCATGTCTGCTCATACAGCATATTCATGACTTGCTTGTACAGTTTTAGAGGTTCTCTTGGAGCAGAAAGATTCAGCTTCGCGGCTGTCGCTGCTGCATCGTTGAAAGAGTTGCCCAAAGGCGATGGTCCGCTGATCTTGGTCTCGGTCTCATTATTACGGCCAGAAGCAGACAGTTGACAGTCGGGAGCCTGAGTTTCGGCAGTAGGATGAGCATTTTCAGTAGAACTTGCGGGTGCACGTCGCGTAGGGTTGATGTTGTGCCCTTGTTGTTCGTCCTTGACATGAGAACGATTCGCACCAGAGCGCTTTTGAGGTTGTACGAAAAGCCGCAGACGAATAGTATCCATACTGTTTGTGCCTGAGTGGCCAGATTCACTCTTGACAGCTGCTGCACGATTAGGTCCCACCTCAAAGTTCTCTTCATCATCCTCGTTGTCGTCTGTTTGAAGCAGGTCTTTTTCTCTGCTGTGACCCCGACGAAACGTTCTGCGACCACCCGTCTGGTTCCTCGTGAGGGGTCCAGAACCAGAAGTGCTTGTGTAGGGTTTGAGTAAGTATTCATCGACCGCATAGCCAACAACTGCTTTAGAAGCAGATGCAAGATCTACTTTGAGATCAAAGTGGTTGCGCAGGATAGGCGCCAGAGTCTGACAAAATTGTGCCGGGCTGATCAGATGGGTCCAGTCAATCTTCTGGAGCTTCGGTCTCATCACTGTTGGGAAGTCGGCGAGATCTGGCCCGATGCAGAGACCCAGAAGATGGTTGTGAGCTTCGTCAAAGTTCGTGAATGGGTTTTCGGGACTGAGTCGGTTTGCTCGCTCAAGCAATGGCTTCTGTTCGTACTCGGTGGTAGGCCAGATCTTGCTTAGTATCTGTTTTGGTCCAGTCTTGACTTGCATCGATGGCAATTCGTCATGCTTGTCTCCGATGTGAGGACTCCAGATCCCAAATACGCGAATAGCTTTGGCAGCCTGTATGCCTGCCCTGATGCCACCATACCACATTGCAATTGCCACGAAATGTGCAGGTGTCCATTTGGCTGATGCTTTGCCATGCCCATGGATTTCGAGACATCTTGTTACAGCCCAGGTGTCTTTTGAGACCACAAAAGGAGTCGCCCACAGATCCGGGATGTCTTGGGCATCGACCGTTGGCGCGGCGCTTGTCATGGTTGAAGCTTCGCCATCAAATTCATCGGTTCGCTGACGCTTGCGAGAGCTCTGTAAAGCTGTCCGAGGCTGAACTTTCAACTCTTGCTTGATCGGTCTGCTAAGAAAAAGATCAGTATCTGGATGTAGACCAACACGAGTTGTTGTGACACCTCAGCTCACCTATTGTATGACATGATAGGATATCTCAATCTCAGAGCTGATAACGTTGACAATTGTCAGACTCGTTCCAGAGTTGGTGAAGTACGAGTACAGGATTCGCCATGGCTAATGGTAGCTCCTATGTCAACGACTCAGACAAACAGCATTGTCATCACAGAGCAAACCTGAATTGCAAAGAACATTCTAGCAAAGCCGTCCGATCGAAGCGATGACCGTGAAAGCGATAATCGCATGTTTCTGTATTGAATGAGACTCTGATGGACCACCAAGTCCGATATTGGAATGTACTGGATGAAGAGGGAAAACGACTCGTGGCATACGCGAAGACAACCTTGACAAGTTCGACTGACCTTTGTGCAAGATCGACAACCAGGTACTAACGACGAAATGATGGTTGGTAAGCGCAATGTCCAGAACCTGCGAAGCAAACAGGGGCTATCTGCGAACTCCCAGTCGCTCCTGCCGAAGTAAATGGCCGAGAGGGAAAAGCTGGTCAACTAGGCAATGACGAATGTAAGTAGGTGAATTTGATATAGAAAATGGCCTGGTATCATTGAAATCATTACTTCGTACTCCATGGTATTATTAAGATTGCTTGTTGCCCATCTTTGAGCTCGACTCAGTCGTCGGGATATTCATCCTTGATGTTGCTGATAAAGACCTTGTTCCCTTGGTCCCAGCGCTTGAAATAGCGACCAGCAAGTCTCAACAGGTTTTCGGATGGCTCTTCTTCGAGAACCATGATGTTCTCCTCGGCTACGTAGCGCAGAGATTCGTCCTCGCATCTGCGGTCGTGTCAGTACTGGTTTCACTAACTTAGCTGGTCCAAGAACTTACATTATATGGTAGAAGCTTTGTTCGCGGCCTCGAGGAAGATCTTCTACCCGCATGCTCTGGATCCAGAACTCGCCAGCCTGGCAGCTGGGATCCCATCCAATGATTGCACCTACGTAACCATAACGGACATGTCTGAAAATTTGTCCGACTTTGTACTTGACTAACTGTGTATGCTCGTTACGAGGAGTAAGGGGTTTCGCGTTCGAGTCTGCGCTTCGGATCTGTTGCAGAATCTGCGATAGTCTGGTGCTTGCTTCCACTCCATCGATGAGGGGCAGGACATAGCGCTCAAAAAGTACAGCATCGTCAAGCCAGAGTCCATCCTGAACATAACCCTCGAACCAATTTACTATCTGGCTCAACCAATGTTGATGGCGTCCATATAAATCGCGATTCTTGGGTGCGTCGACCTGGCTCATGGAGATGAGACTCCACAATGCGCAGAACGCAATGTTGGGTGTCTCCCAGCCTGGAGATGGTCTGTGAAATTGCATGGATCCGATGATATTAACACCAGTTCTTAGCACCAAAGCTCGAGTATGAGCTCGCGTCAAGCATGAATATTGACTTTCTGGTGTGTTGTAATGTGGCATTTGACTGAGCATGTCTCGCATTTCTTGCTCTGTAATGATCTCGTCGTGATCGAAAGGATTCATCCAAACAACACCATCGGGAATCTTGTGAGAAGCTCGCGTGTCTTTAATCGATGGGCCATACGGCGATTCAATGACTGCATGAATCTTGCCTGGGAAATTGCAAGGCCAGGCTATGAGACCAAGTCTCATAGCCACACAGCAGAAGATAACAACCGATTGCATAGGAATCGAAGACTTGTCGGTTGGGTGTGTCAGAACATGAGTGATGAATCGGTATCGCATGAGACTGAATGTTTCAGGTGAGCAGCCGACAAGACGGTGTTCTCTTAGGTATTTGGAAATGGCAATCGCCTGGTCAGTGTGGCTCTTATCGCGCCAGTCTGGGACCGAAAACTCGATAGCATGAGCAATGTCGTCCAACTCTTTCTTGAGGATGGACAGCTCGAAATCACTGCCACTGCCCTGGATGAACAGGTCGAAAGCGCCCAAAGCTTCTTCGAGTGGTGGGTAGTCCTGCCACTGCATCTTGTCCCATATTTGAACGGCCTTGAAGCGATGTAGTAGTTCAAGGACGACGCCACTCCAGTATCGGCGGGCGAGAACATCTTCAGCGTCGTCAGGCGTGCTAAGCTGGGCGACCAGCATGTCTTTGGCGTCGTATGCGTAAAGTTCAACAATCTCGTGCATGCGCGCCATTCGATTCTGCTGGACACTCAGGAGATCGTTGAAGATGGCCAGAACCTCTTTATCCTGTGTGACCTTGTTGGCGTATGCACTCTTCCACTCAGTTTGCGAGTGAGGATTGTAATCCGGGATGGGTCTGTCCTCTTGCTCTTCCCAATAATTCCAGCCATCGCGGCACCAACGACGCCATAGTGAGGCGGTATTTGAGATCTTGTATAAGCGTTTCGAGCCTTGTCCAAACTTTGTGGCTGAGGATGCGTTCAGGTGGATGAAGATGTTGTGGATGAGTTCGTCGGGCAGATCAAGTAACGATGTGGTAGCCATGTTGATGAGCCGTGAATGTTAGCTCAGTAGGAGTGAGCGGCGATAGCATCGAGGCAATGGAAAACAGTCTTTGGTGAATTGACGGCGACTCGCCTTCTTGCACAGTCGTGACGCGATAACCGTACACTTTCTGCCCGCAGAACCAAGACCCGATGACGATCGATGCGGAGCACGGTTAATCTTCGGCCACGCACGCGACTCGTGCTATGTGGAGGAGCTCGACGCTGAGGTCAACTTTTGCAGTTGAGAACACGTTATCCACCCGATGCCACTACTGCAGCTACTATCACCAAAGATTATCGTGCATTTTGTTTTCTACCAGGACTCTGACTATGTACTGCAGCGGTTGATTGCGACACCCCTCGCATTTTCGCGTCGCCACAGACATTCTTACTTAAGAGACCAGTATGATAGCACCGATCTTGTCAATTTCCTTCGATTGACCTGAACTGAGACTAAGTTATGTGAGGGCACATCAACCATCATCAACGAATTCGTAACCCACGTTTCTCTTTATATCGATATGCTTTGAACTTCGTATCAAGAACTATTGCCAATTTAAGCACGTACAGCCACAGTCCTAGAAATTGGGCACTTCCATGGTTCGCGTGTACTAGCTTACACCACGTGATGCTCTAGCGTCTTGAATATACAGTCTCAGCAAGTCCGTATCGTGTTGTTTTCCCACCCTTTTCGACACAATGGCAGAAGCACGAAATGCTCAGAAAGATGAAGACGACAAACCTCCTTATCCAACGTTCATGGAGCGGTGGATCGAGAACAGCAGAGCTCCAAGATTTGCGGCAGCCTTCGGACGTTTGATATGGCCAATCCAAGGCGAGTTCCCGTCCACCATTTCAGTAATGGCAGAGCCTCACCAAGACACTGGCACTCTGCAACCGCTCTTCGATTCAGAGACTGGAGAATGGCATAAAATTGCTTCGCAATCAATCACGGACTCAAAAGTCTCATACATCGAAGCATCTGTCGTGAACCTGGACAACTGGGACCGTAGGTGGGAGCGGTTGCATATGGAACATGCTGATCCAGCATACGACGAGTGCAAGTTTGTCACCTATGGCGATCTTGACAATGGCATTCGTCCTTTTGCAGAAGATCCCGAACGAGAGGATGGCACCTGGAGTTGGGATGAGCGCTCAGACACAGAGATCCTTGTCCACTGCTGCGACGAGGACCGCCCACTGGATAAACAATACCTCACGCTCAAAGTCCGCCCTTCGCTTGGAAACGATTTTGTTACGGTCAAGGACTACGTCGGTGCGGTACATTCCTGGCTTATGAGCATGCAGGATGATATCCTTGCAGCAATGCAGATAGTTGAAGTTTTGTTGGAAGAGCCTGAATACTCGCCAACCGCCAAGTGGATGCTGAGCAATTCTGAGTATGACGCCCCAAGGCATCGAATCATACATCCCAAAGAATGGGAATCCAGAAACCGGCCACCGAGTCAGATTAAATGGTAAATCTCGCAGTCGATCCTGCTTTTGTAAGCGATTCCATTTGCTAACGTTCTTCCTCGCAACCAGGAGTTCTGTGATGCTTGACGGGACTATGGTAAAAGCCAGGGTCAGTTCTGTAATGCTTGACGGGACTATCGTATAAGGTTGATCATGAAATAAGTAGATTTCGCAAGGGACAGCATGGTTTAGCCAGACGAATCAAACCCTCCTGGACTTGGTAAGACGAACACAGCTCCCGAGATTGTTGCAAACAAAAGATTTCGCATTATCTGGGCCATTTTCTGTGAGATCAAGCCTTGGCCGTAGCAGAGGCACTAGGAAATCCATAGGTAATGATCGTGATTGCGTGGTTTCTATATCCGTAGCCAAAGTTCACTTTCTTGCATAAGCAAGCGGGTATCGGACTTGAGCATCCCAGCGCCAAACACTTTTTGTGTCTTCGAGGTTTCCAGGACGCATTCTTGGGGCTGCCGCTATTGCTGCCGCAAAGGGGGCGAATGCCTCGTTAAATTCGGCCTCGTAGGTGATTGTCATGGTTTTTGTTGTGCGTGAAATGTCTTTTGGAATTGAGTGTGATTTCTGTTTAGCGAAACCGAGATGCTCGCCTCCTTTATATGTGAGAATGGGGTCTCCATACGAGTGTCTTCTTCTGTTAACCATTGGGCGAAATGTGGGTCCTGAATAGACATATTGCGGCGTTGATTAAGGGTAGATCGACGCATTCTTCGCTGAAGAGCAATCATCTGATATGTCTTGGTCCGAGTCGGATCAGATTCTCCATTGCGTTGTGTCTGCCCTTGCTCCCTTTTTGTTTTCGCTAATGATCAGAGAATCACTATATTTGCAAAGTAGTTTCGCTGTGGCGTACCTTCTTTCATACTCCACAAGTATTCCGTCAATGCTCGACCAGAGACAACATCTGCATAAACATGAAGACTTTGTCAGGGTCCTGGTCTTTGACTAAGATCGTACTTGTCTATGTTTACGTTAACTATAACCCATTTTCTACTATTTTCACGTGGTCTTCTTGTGTCGCGATGCATTAATTCCGGAACAAGTATTTTATCAGTCTTGTGGGCAGAAACTGATCGATATCCCAATTATGCTATATCGATGCCTTCGCCAGGGCCTTCGTCGTGGTGCGAACATAAGATTAGACTAGTCGGGAAGAAACCTATCAGTGTTATAGGAGGAGTTGTCGAGATGTGTTGGTCTGTTGGTGTCGGAGAAGCCGTTGCAGACAGCGTCTTAGTATTCCCATTCTCATCGTCATAATGACTTGTACAGCCGCTCTGATAACAGGCATCGCATTCTGTGGGAACGGACTGGAACACACCCGTCTTATCGCGCTTCTACTCCTTCCAAAATTGTGTCTTTCGCTGGCATGAAAATATTCTATCATCAGCTTGGACGACTCCACTGACTAACTGCTGAGCTCAAGCTGGATCACCGTATGCATATAAAAGGTTATCGAAATCGTGTTTACCATGGGTCGGCAGCTTGATCGACCAATTCCTGAGCTTCTTATAACAAACCATTGCCATTTTCAGCACGTACGGCCACAGTCAGCTGAAAACTGGGCATCCCGTCCGCTCTGCCATACATAAGCAGTTGAACGGCAGATTAGTACTACGGTGGGTGACCACGTGGGAATCCCTGCTGCTATACGTTTTGCAAGCTGTCTACCTTTTTTTCCGACTTGCGGTCGTGTGATATATGTAGCATCGGTGTCCTCCGCCGAATCGTGTTACGCGGCAAAATTGAACAGGGTCTTCAAACATGGAGTGGAGTCTTGGCTCGCAGGATCATGGAGAAGCCAGCCGATGGGAGCCGCAGCAATTCAAATGTGAAACCTTACACGAATCCGAGGACTTGATAGGACAGTGCCTATACACCAGCCAAAGTTTATTATCGCCACTTGCCGTATTGCTCATAAGGCTGCTTCCCCCTCTCAAGCGCAGAGCTGTTATGAGGAATGTTTGAAAAGTGACATTTTTCTCTGCTTCTCCTTGACTTTTCGCTGGTCACTGATCTTAGCCGTGCCGCAGGGGTGATAGGAGTGCAGGTACTCGGTCCTTGATTCCGTATCTTCTGCCGCGCTGAAGAAGAAACTGTCGTTGTTTAGCGTCGCATCTGGAATCAACGAATTCTAGGCCCAACGAACTAGGGCAATCCTCCTTTATATGTGTACAAGTGACCGCTGTCGGAATACATGAAGGACGATCGCTTTTTCACACTACGGTCTTGAAGTTCGCTTTCCCTGTACAACCGCCCCGGATGGACATCCTTGGTTACGATCAAGGTCTTCCTGATCTCGATCTTCCGAAGAACAACGACAAGGATGCCCTTGGTCAACATAACAACATCCCGATAGACTCGCCGCAACAATGTTCGAGCGACTTTTACTACTCTGCGCCTGTCCCGGTCAAGATGCCGCAATACTTGACGCCTATTCCCAGTGTCTTGCTCGAGAACCCGATGAATTTGCTTTACTGCCATTACTTCATCAATTACACCGCCAACGTTCTGGTAACTCATCAATGTCCATCAAATCCCTTTTCGACGATTTTACCACAACTTGCTATGGAGGATGATAATTTGTTGCGGCTTTTGCTGGCTTACGCAGCTTGTCACAGAGCTCGACTTTTGCGACATGCCGAGCCAAAGAACCGTATCGCTACTTGGGTCACCCCTGTGTTTCCTTCTTTGCGACAAGCATTATCAGGAAATGAACCCATCACCGATTCAGCATTCGGATCTTGTGTCATGCTGGCCTCTCTCACTCAATCATATCCTCTAGCATTTGACTTGCCGATTTCGTGGCAAGAGCATCTGAGCTTGGCGCGACGATTGTACACTCTCAGACTTGGCCAGGAAGGCCTTCAACGAACCAACGCAACCATCTTTTTCGGCAGATGGTTTGCGTATCTGGATACTTTTGGAAGTGCAAGTAGTGATACCTACCAAGGCGCCTACTACGAATGGTCACGCGAGCTCAAAATGGCCGAGCAAATCCCTGAACTCCAATGCTTGGCTGGCTTCACCAATAAGTCCCTCTGTCTATTATCGAGAACTGCAGAATTGGCAAAACGCTGTGATTACGAGCGTCGCTTACATGGACAACCTGCAGTGCAGACAATCACAATGTCGCAGCAATTAAGGATGAATCTGGAACTGTATACCTTGGAAATCAAGCATACGCGTTATGATTGCGCCTGCTCGCAATCGTCCACATCATCGACGGAAGTTTATCGCGCAGTGAATGCTGCAATAAGTCATGCAGCATTGATCTACCTGCATCGCCGCGTGTACATGCTTCCGTCTGATTCCCGCCTCGTGCAATTCTCAGTCAACGCAATTTTGGATGCCTTCACTGAACTCAAAGGATACAATGCATTCGACACTCCAGATATCATTCTACCACTCTTCCTTGCAGGTTGTGAAGCAAGAGACCCTGGAAAAGCAATTGATGTGTTGCAACGACTACAGAGTATTGAGAATGCTGGCATGGGACAAGTCGTTCGTGTCAAGGCTTTGTTGCAGGAATGCTGGGATACCAAGAGAGACTGGACTGAACTCAAGCACAATGTGCTTCTTGGCTGAAAAGGTCAACTGGACATTGATCAAAATCTATATGGTTGACAAAATCGCACGAACCAAACTCTGGTCGAGGTCTGGCACACAAGAGCACGCCTGCACTGCCTAGACCAGGCCACGCATGTGCAACGTCATGGCACTGACAAGAGCACTATTTGAGTTAGTATCGCTTACTCGCTGGACTGCCTGCAAGCCGTTGCCGATACTAGATTCTCAACCCGCGCGACGTGTCAAAAGCGATGACCAATCTTGGCCGCATATACATGCGCAACCAGCGTCCACTGCACGGGTTGCATTTACAAGGTTTCGTTGAGAAACGACAGCACCCATGAGATGAGTGTGGAATGGAACACTCGGGCAAACGAGTTTGTAACACATGACCGGCAATCTTCTGAATTGCCATCGGCATGATGAGGAAGAGGGAAAGAGTAACATGACCATCTTGAGCGGTCGTATCCACAAGCACGATATGAGATCGGATCAGTGGAAAACAACTACATAGGATACACGTACACACGAAGCAATGAAAGGGGGTCAACTAGACTAGAATTAACAGATAGAAACACCTCAATTGCACTCAGAGCAACTTCAAACAACCTCAAATCACCGAAGCATTTTCACGGTCCACCTTCCAGTGGTCGTTCGTTGCTGTCGCAAGACCGCTAGGCCAACCACCGCTTGTGTAGTTAGTGGGTGAAAGAGAGGTAGTGATGAAGGGTGTGTGACAAAAAATCAGTCATCTAGCCTCCAGATTTACCAAGGAAGCCTCACGGTCAACAAGAAATATAGATCAATATCTGAAAAAAAATCGACGAATGTATCTTGTATTAGTTGCTATTCAGGAAATTATATAGTAGTTTACAGGGCTAGAGAAGAGAAAAAAAAAGGCAGATTAGCTTCCTCAGGGGTATGTTATATCTCCATCAGACCTTGCGACCAACCCAGCAAGCCAGTGAAATGTATTTCGATGCATCCGCAGCTAACACTGCATGACTGCTTACAAAAGCATAGCGGCACCAGCAGCAGCACCGAGGAAACCCATACCAGCACCGACGTGAGCAGCAGCACCAGTGTAATAGATAGGCTTGGGGGTGGTAGCAGTGCCGTTCGGCTTGCCACCAGCAGGTGAGGTAACAACACCGCCGGCGGGCGTGGTCTTGGCAGGAACCTCAGAAGAGATGGTGCAGGGGCAGGCAGCGGTAATGGTGGTTTCCTTGGAAATGGTGTATTCACTGCTGCCGATGGTGGTGACATAGTCGCCGGCGGTTGGGGCAGGGCATACGGTGGTCAATCTGGGGGGATGTATTAGGATGCATGTTTTTATCTAAGCGATGAGATAGATAGGGGTTATATCCACTTACTCGGTGACGACTTCGGTGGTCCAGACCATGCTGGAGTTTCCAGCGGGAGCAGTCCAGTTCTGAGCAGGAACGCCGCCGCCAACAGCGGGAGCAGTCCAGTTCTGAGCAGCGACGGCGCCAACAAAGGCAAGAGTTGCAACACCAGTGAACTTCATGTTTGCGGGTAGTGTTCTTCTACAACGAAAGTTGTCGGATATCAGGCAGAAAAAGTGTAGTGTAGGGTAGTGCTTTGTATAGTGAATGTGAAAGTTGGATTGAGTTGACAGATGGAATGATTGTGGTTGTGTGATGGAAGGAAGGGATCTGGTCTTGGTAACCACCATCTTTTATACCATCAGGCGATGCATGGATGGTCTTGCCTTACCTTGCCAATACCAATGACGCGAGAGGTTCCTTCTAACGGTGGTTCCGCTTGAGCTTGCTCTAGTTAGGAATCAGAGAATCCTTACGAGCAAAGTTCGTATACATAACGGCTTTCTCATCTCTTGAATCTGCGTGCTTTCCTATTGGGGCAAAGACTAAGACCATCGATGGCAAGCATACCTTGGCCCACCTTGGCCGAAGAGGTTTTTGTTTTGGCAACGTTGTAAAATCGTGCCGTCTGCAGTTTCGAGGCACATGGGGTTCATGTAGAAACGTCCTCGGCATTGTAACTCACAGATCCCGAGCCTCGCATCCCAAGAACCAGGAACATCGTTGAAGAGGTACAGAGGTACAGAGCTACAAGATGCGCCACTTGCTGACAACTCACAGATGGAATAACTTTGCCAGCCGTCAGTTGTCGTTCATCATGTACTCAACCAATGAAAGCGTCAACAGGCAAGGTCAATTCGTCGAGTCAACACCACCACGTAGCTGAGGTTACATCGATCACACGTTGACATTGATACTAGTTGTGGAGGCAGGTTCATACGTTAGTCGCTTGATTGTTGAGTTTTCGGACTTGCTCAAGACGATACTTGAAGGAAACGGCGAACCGGGTTCCCTCGCAAGGATCCGAGGGCTAGAGGAAAATAGGCTGGTCCGTCGAAAACGGCTCGATCTTGGCCTCTTAGCCGGTACATTCGAGATAAAGAGATTTCGCATTGCAGCAGTGGTTCAAATGATCATTGTCTTTGTTGTTATTGTGAGATCAAGGAGAGAGAGAAGGAGCAAAAGCGTTATGCACTGCAGTTGAGCTGGGTGTGCCGAACAGCCTGCTTGGCGATTGCAGATAGAGCGTGTGGGGAGGACGTTCACACCGGAACTGCTTCCTGGCTAACCACCTACGACTACAGAGTCCAGCAAATTTGCACTTTAACCCATTGAGGCAAATGCAACCCTCAGTCCCCTGCACACAACTCGAGACAAGAAATGCGACTCTATCTCCAGATTAAAAACTTGAAACAATAGAAACTACTAGCACCGTTCTCAAAAACAGCGCCAGTCATCATATCCCAGCAAGAGGAAAGGCTGGACAGGTTGAGTTACAAGGTTATCTGAGACACAAAATTCGCAAGCTCATGCTTCAAAGAGTAATTACATGATCGACGCTGCGTTGATCAAAAAACTTCTCATAAAGAGGTTGTTTATATCGAATTCGATTTTCTTCTTGGCTTGCTTACTTGTTTAGTGTCTGCATGGCACGACTCATGAATCCACTCACACCTTGATGGTCTCACTCCAATCTCAGACCTGGTTCAGGCAAACGTCACTGCCTCTGCAAACGTCTCCCAGCCACTTCTCTCCCAAGGTGCTAGCACGATCGCTCGTTGTGCATCACGAACCACCCCGGTACCTGCAAACGCCTTTGCCAATTCCTGTGCTCCGAGATCTCCGTAAGGTGGCACAGCTCTCTGCGACGTCAACAGAGCCATTTGAGCCGGATATGACTCTTCCGTGGATTCCGCCAACTGTGTCCATCCATGGCTTTGATGCGGGGCAAGCATGATGGCGCGCTGTGTCTCGACCAGCGCATCCATGTCTGATGCGTCAGAGGAAAGCCCTGCGATAGCACCGAGAACTTGTTCGACATGCTCGCGGTCGTAGATCGAGATGCTGTCGTTTGTGCGTAACGATGCAAGGTCATCGCGCACAGCATCAAGGGCATCTGTGTCGTTGTCCAATGCTGCGATGGCACCGAGAAGTACGATCGATGGAACATGCGACTCGTGCTTCTCAATACAGTCAAACAATTGATCGCGAGCGACCGACTTTTCTTCCTCGCCACCCTTGGCCCATAGGACTTGAACGAGCAAGCATACAACATCGGGATCAGTATTGCTCTCTTCAAGTGCTGATCGGAACGCGGCAATGGCGTCATCCATGTTCTGCAGATAGAAGGCGGCAAGACCTGCAGTCAAATGAGCAGATAAGCGGACCTTGCGTCTACTGTCTGGCTCCAAGCCACTTGCATCAGCTTCAGTCGAGAGATCCAGAGCAGTACCTGCATTTTCTGCCGCGGACTCAAAGTCTTTGGAAGCAAGTTGGTTTCTGGCGAGATCTGCCTTTGCCAGAGCAAACCGTCCGAGAGAGGTAAGCGACACCGTGGCTTCATAATCGGATTCGGCCGATGTACAAAGATTTGTGAGCATCTCGATAGCAGATGTATGATCACCCACGCGTTCAGAGAACAAGGAGGCAAGGTGATTGAATGCCTGGTCTGACGGTACCTGTCGGTGCAGTTGCTCCAGAGCAAACAACGGCTGGATCAACGCAGTGATCTCGTTCGAAGCTGATGGAGTTGTGAGTAGGTTGTCGAAGACCGACACAGCATATTGACGCTTTGAGATCAGTGAAGCAGAATCTGAAATCTCAAATGCGTGAGTGAAGTGTGACAGCGCTTCCTTCTTGTCGCCCATCATAAGCGCAATCAAGCCTTCGCCAAGCCATGCATGTGCATAGTCAGGATCTGTTGACTGAGCACGGCCAAAGGCTTGGTGAGCGAGCTCATAATCGTTGTTGATGAGATAGAGGACTCCGAGGTTGCACCACGTCTTCGCACTACGCTCGTTCAAGTGCAATGATCTAACAAACGAGTGCTGCGATACCTTAGGGTTCAGTCTGGTTGTAATGACACCAAGCGAGTTCCAGAATTCTGAGTTTCCTGCTTCGAGCTCAATGGCACGCTTGAAGCATCTGACAGCTGCACGAAGGAACTTCTTGCCAGCCTTGGCATCGCTGCAGCTGAATGCCTTGTGCTCGGCCCAACCAAGATTGTACCAAGCTACAGCTTGAGCGTGTACATCGTTTGCACAGCTGAAGATGGCGCGCTTGTACGCAAGTAGAGACAGGGCAAGGTACTCTGGACAGACAACAGCTTTGTCGCCTTCTGTGGAGCCCTCGAGGACCTTTGAATCGACTCCGTCAATTTCTGACAAGATACCAAATTCCTTGACTTCGAAGTCCTTCTGTAGCATTTGCTTGGTCAAATCGCTAGGGAACATGTCGAGTCTATCCTGGACCCAGTAGAAGGTTGAGCAAGCATCACCAACTGCCTTCCACAGGTTGAAAGCCTGAGGTCTTAGCTCAGCAATTTTTTGAGCAAGCTCAATTGCTTGAACTGCACTGTGAGCAGCTTGACCATAGAAGCCAGTCTCTACACACCTCCATGCTTTCTCGTTGTATGTCTGCAAGAGTGCAATCAGGACACCAAACTCTTCAGCTCTACCAGTGAGAACTTCTTGAAGGCCAGCGATAGCCTCATCATGTTCGCCGAGCTCTCTGTTGACATTGGCAAGCATGTATCGCGTGAACCAGCTTTGACCAGTGACATTCATAGAAATGCCATCATGCGGCTCTTCAGCATAGATGAATGTCCGGCTTGCCGAGTTGTAACGGCCAGAGTTGTGGTAACTTTCTCCCAGGCCGACGTAAGAATGGTAGTCATTGGGACTGATTCTGAGTGCTGACAAGAACGAGACTATCGCCTTGGAGTACTCTTGCTTTGTCATCTGCACGACACCCAGTGCTGAGAAGGGCCAACTGATACCCTTCTTCTTCGAGCCAGGTGGAGGTCTGACCTTGCCTGAGTCAACGACTCTTTGTGCGACAATCTCAACGATGTCCCACTCGCCTTGGTCAGCGAATGATCTTGCCAGTCTCTCAGCAGCCTCAACTTCCGAACCTGATAATTCAAAGGCTTTCTGAAAACATTGGCGTGCTCTCTTCTTGTCTTTGGCATAGTCGGCGTAGTAGTAACCAAGAGAAGTGTATGCGGGTGCAAGATTGACGTTGGTCTTGATCGCAGACAGGAATCTGGCGTAAGCCCCATTGCGGTCTTTCCTGGCAGCCTTAGATGTGTCAAGGTTCCATATACAGATACCAGTTCTGTACAAAGTCTGTGCTCTGAGCTCTCGTGCTTTGGGGTCATCCAGCTTCAAATTGGGCAAACACTTCTCCATAGTCTCCAAAGCAGGGCCGTAGTTTCCGCGCAGGGCATCGCACCATGCTGACTCGATTTCGATGCGAATGTTGCTGGGATCTTGTTCCAGTGCTTGTGACAAAAACTTGACTGCCTCATCGAACTCTTCTTGCTCCTCGAGGATTAGACCTAAGCCAATGAGCGTTGCAGTATGCTTAGGCTTTCTTGCGAGAATGTCATTGAACAATTCTCTGGCCTCAGGGTGGTTTTTGGGCGATTGGTGGTATACTAATGCGGTGGCGAGCGTGCTGTTGAAGGCATCCTTGTTGTCCTGCAAAACGAGACCAGACTTCCTAACCTCTGACTCGAGCATTTTGAGACCATTCCTGGCGACTTCCACCGCGCTCTCGTACTCCTCTAGGTGAAGGTAGTACTCTGCAACCAGACGATGTGCCAGAACAGATTTGCTGCCATCTTCAAGACCTTCGCTCATCAAGAGGATTCTATCCTCCTGGTTGAGTGGTGCCTCTACGTCCTCATCCTTCTGTTCCGGGTCCTTTGGTGGCGCGGGGAATGGTGATATTTCACAATCGAGGTAAGCCTTGAGCACTTTGCCCAAACTGGTTTCAGGGAAGAATTCGAGGTACTCTCGCAGAACACCGACATCCAAATCGGAGACATTTGCAACATCTTTCCAGTCCAGTTCGACACTCCAGGCCAGAAGGAAAGGGTGTTTGATGATGACCATGCCATGCACAATGCCCATGACCTGCTCGCGCTTTGCAGCCTTGGCATCACCAGTCAGGACAATCAATGTGTCATAAGCTCTCTGCAGAAGCTTCTGTTCATACTCGCGGCGAACCTCGTCATCGTTGGTCCAGTCAATCAGCTTTTGGTACAGCTCCTCGAGGTTGCTCTTTGTAAAGACTTCCCGGCGAACATCAGTAGTCACCTGGTTGATGCGAGCTCCCAATCTAGTTCTCCGCTCGCCGATTTCCTTGTTAATACGCTGTTTCTCCTCTTCCTCTGTGATTTCGATGAGACGAGTATATGTATGCGAAGGACTCGGCAGACGTCCCTCCAGAAAATCGTAGATGGGACTTCCTGGTAATTGAGCTTCCAGAGCGCGTTTGTACTGAGCGTTTGTTCCGTGTTCCCTGGTGAAGTCGACAAGCTTGTTGATGGTGGTTTGACATTTGTGAGCATCCTCCGCCGCAGCTTGGATTTCGGCAACCTTGAGAGCAGCCTCACGGTATTGATCGAGCTTGAGACCGCCTTGACTTTCATACAAATTGCAAAGACCTAGCCATGCTTGTGCATCGTCCGGTTTGATCTCCGCGGCTGAATTGTATGTTTTCGCCGCATCGTCTAACTTGTTCTGTTTTTGAAATGCGCGACCCAAGAAAAGCTTGCTGTGAATGCTGTCAGTGTCATTTGTTTGCGCATCAGAGAGACAACATACGCAAAGTAATTTTGAGAATCTGATGCAAGCACGATTTGACATTGAGTGACAGCATCATCGTAGTTCTCAGCATCCAAGGCGACTTTTGCGGCCTTCAGCGCGGCCTTGTTACCAGACATGGTCGGCTGCGCAACAAGCTGGGGGGACTTTACTTTTGCACTTGAATGCGATAAACCGGACAGACAAACGAGTGAGAGTGAATTGGCATGTGACAGACAAATTGTTGTCTTTGATGATTTCCACGAGCGCAGCGAATTGATGACGTTTTTGGAGCGAAAGCTCGGACCTCAGCGATCTGGAATCCACTTGTCGATGAGATCTCTCGACTTTTCATCTCCAACTCGACCAGACCGATTTAAAGGACAAATTTCTCGTTCTTGGATCGGCACACTCGCAGAGTGAATGTCTTAGTCACGCAATGTCTGATAAATAGATCTCGATTTGATCCGTGGCTTTAGCATGCCCTCGAAGCTGGACACCTTCACCATGACTGAACCACCACGCGGGGATTGAGCTATAAAAAGAGGAGATGCTCAGCTATGCATGTCTGGGTCGCATAGCTGACATCTGTCTAGTGCCGATAGCGTCCATGGAATAGCTTCATAGCCAACACCAATCCATCACCTTCTACCCACCAAGCCCTCAAACATCTCATCTCTCCTCCTAACCCAGCCCTCCAACTCTGCCCTCAAATCCTGCATCATTCTCCTCACCTCCCTGGCTTCCGGCGGCACACCCTCAAAAACTTCAATCCTATCCTCTACATCCTTGACCCTTTTGACCAAGTTTTCCAACCCCCTCTTTGCAGTTTCAACTTCACTAAGTAACGCTTCTGGTATCTCTGCACCAGAAGCATTTCGCAACCTCTCATCATATTCGCTGACTTTAGCTTTCAGAAGTTTGATTTGTCGCGTGAGTTCTGCAGTTCTTTGGGGTAGGTTTTTTTCTGTTTGAAAGGTTGGAGAAACCAGGTCGTTGAGTTCTGTTTGGAGGGTTGAGTGTTGGAATAGTAGAGAGGATTGAAGGGATGTAGTTGAGACGATTTGGTTTTGGATGGAAGAGAGAGTGGTGGAGAGGGTGAGGAGGGTGGTTGCTAGTGTTGGGGCAGAGGTTGTGGTTGTGTTTAGGATTGTTGCTGTTGTTGCTTGGGATGTGAGATCTGAGGCTCCTTGTGTAGAGAAAGATGTGAGCAGGGATGTTGTGAGGCTATTGATGAGGGTCTTTGTCGTGTCTTGTGTTTCCTGGGTGTTGGAAATGAATGTATCAGCTCATGCTCTCGTACACTCGTTCTTCTAGTGATTTCCAAGACCTGCTCCCCCATCAAAAACAATCCACCCACCTCCCACCTCCAAATCATCAGAAAAAGCAAGTGAACTCACCTCATCTTGCCTCTCCTCCTCTAACTCCCCCACCGCCCCCTCCTCAAGCCTACACAATTGCCCCCACCCCTCATCCGCCCTCTCATTAGCAGGCGCAACCGCCAACAGCATCCTCAAAGTCTCTTCATTCTCCTCAAACCTCGGTACCTTTCCCGGAGCAGGATATTTTTGGCGTAGAAACTGGTGTACGTAATTCCAGTCTTTGGCGAGACGTTGCTGTTCCGCTGCTTTGGAAGGTGAAAATAGGGAATATTCTAGTGGTGTTGAAGAGGAAGCTGGAAACATGGGTGGTTGGTTCATTGTGATATTGCAGAAGTGGGGTTCCAATGTTGTTGTCTTGGAAGTTTGGTAGGATTTGAGAATCTTTGCGTTGGTGTTTTTATATATGGTTCAAGAAGTTGTTGTTTTGAAGTTCGAATGTTGACAGCTTCGTGAGGTCTTGGCATCTACATTGATGGACTCACCATTTACTTATGGCACCACAATTTTTCACTTCTGATGCTTCTCGTACAATCGCGATGAAAGTTGATGGCAGTAATCATGACTTCATTATGTGTATTCTCATCTACTCTATCACAATCTAGTATCCCATGCCATACCCTCTGACCCGACTAAACAAGAAAGCCTTGTCATTCTTCAGGCCAAACTCACCCCAGTCATCAGTCAGACGGTTGTAACTCCAAAATCCCTTCCATGACAACTTATTGCCTCCTGCACTCTTCTTGCCTCTGGATCCAAGGCCGAATTGCATTTTCCACATATACTTTGGGATCACACCATCAGTCTCTATGTGTACATCTCCTTCTACTTCAGAGGCAGGATCGTTGCCTGGACCGCTCAGGCGCCAGCGCCCACGTAGAGCATCTTTCATGACGCTGTTGGGTAGAAGCGAACCAGCGGCATATGATCGCATGTTTTCCTTGGTTAGATGGTGGACGACATCTATTGGTTCGGTTGTGGTGAGTAGCGAAATGCAAGTGCCGTCGCGGAAGAAGCGTAGGTAGCGGAAGTATGTTACAATGAGGATAGGCGTACCCCAAGTCGACGAGGAAGTGTTTGTCGCACCAGGGCGTTGGTAATTTACCGTACTTATGTAGCAGCCATTGAATCGGAGACGGGGACGCTTGCGGAACATTTCGCGCCATGAAGAGGAATACAGAGAATGTAGTAATGCGTTATCAATCTCTGGAGTGGTTTTAGAAGGACGACGAGGCGCTGTGAGTTGAGTTTCTGCATCCGAGTCTTGATCTTGTCCTTCAGAAAAGTAGGCCGTGTCATCGTCAAGTTCCGGCTCAAGCGGTTCGCCTTTTAGATTGCATACATAGTTGTAATGCATGCCTCCGAAACCAAACTCTGGACCTTGGGCGACGCGCTTCCAGATGGATTCGTCTGTCATGACAATGTATGCGAATCTTTTGCAGACAAGAGAGACTTTGGCGAGAGAAGCCAGATCATTGACGGCAGCGTAGGTCAAGATCTCTGACAGAATTTCGCCTGGTAGCTCTGCAATGGGACATGGCGGTGGTGGATCAAGATCTGTGGGAGCTGGTGCGCCAGGAATAGAGAGATGAGAGAATTGATCCACCAATTCGGACAGAGTTGGTGGTATGCCGTGGGACGAGTGATGAGCAGTGCCGGAGACAGTCTGTGAAGCATTGGAAGGGTTTGTTTGTTGCACAGGGGCTTTTGGCTTTGGTGGGAAGGCCGAAGGAGGAAAGTGCTTGTTCTTGTACTTTTCATGCACGCTGTCATCCATCTTGAAAGCTTTTCGGTAGAGAGCAACGCTGTCGCCTAGACTTCCCATGGTCTCTTTCTCGACAGCCTTTTCATAGTGTTCCAGGGCGGATTTTGGTTCTTTTGTCAAAGCACCCCTCGCAATGGCTTGTTCGTGGGCGTCAAGACGCAACTCTGCTTCTTTGTCCGGCAAGTCATAGTATACTTGAGAATGGACCTCTTCTTCATCGTCGTGTTCATCATGCTTATGTTGTTGCGGCTTAGGCTTCGGGGCAGAGGACGAGGGATGAGGGGCCTTGTGATGGCGGGTCGGATTAGGTTGTGCTGATGTGTTTTGCTTGTTCCGTGATTCTACTTCTGCACGCCATTGTCGTCTGAAGGCATCCAATTCGGCATCAGTGTCTTTGGGAGGCTCTTGTGAGGACATTCTGGTGGGTCAATATGTGGGCGATTGTGGTAGATTGTCTTCGCGCAGTCTAGATCGAGAGAGACTCTAGGGCGAGGCGTGGTCAAGCGTGACGTAAGAGAGAGGCTGGAGCAGCACAACGGCGAGTTGATGTAAACTTGTCGAGATTGGAATGAAACAACAGCAGCAGCCAGAGAGATGTATAGTGACAAGACGAACTGAGAGAGGCAGGCAGGAGCAGCGGTGTCTGTTTGTGGTCTCCTGCGATCAACCTCGGTGTTGGTTATCGCCGAGCGTGAGGGTCCAAAGACCGGGGCAAAAAAAGAAGCTTCGATGACGGCGACCGAACGCGGGCGCGACGGGAAAGAACTAGAGCGCCATCGGCCGGACCCATCGTGAACCAGCGCCAGCATCATACACTCGTCGTCCACCTGCTGCATTCTTCCTCGACCTCCTCGCACTACCTGCTCGACACGTTTCTCTCGACAAAACTCCCCATAGTCGCTCAATCCACCGCCCAGACGTCTGTGTATCGCTGCCCCTCCTCGGCGACGTCAATCTTGCAGCTTCCACCGTCATAAAATCTTATCAATCAGCGCCGCCCATCACTGCAAAACTCCCTTGCTACGACAAGACCATTCACACCGGCCGCATGGCCTATCTCGGCCCTTCAGCAGCAAATCAACCTCCCTCCGATTTTGCCCAAATTCACCAACCCGCTGTGCCGTCGCAACCTCTCGACGACACTCCTGCCGCCACCATGGACCAAGAAACTTCCATTACTCAGAAGATGCTGTCTGCCGTCTCTGGCAGCATCTTGACCTCTCTACTTGGTTTGTTCCACCTGCCCAGCCATCTCCAACCTTCTCCGACTAATCCCACTCATAGTCACCCCTCTTGACGTCGTGCGTGTCCGACTACAAGCTCAATCCGGTCCGTCTTCCCTCAATGCTTCTACCCAACCCTCCTTCGCACGCCTGCCTCCCAATCTCGGCATATCCGCCTGTTGCAGAGAAATCTACTACGTCCCCAACCAGAGCCCATATTGCATGGCCTCGTCCGCTGGTCTTACTGTCGACGAAATGCTTATTTCTCAATGTGCGGCAGAGGAGACTGAGCGAAGAACTTTCAACTCAACCATTGATGGTCTAAAGAAGATTGCACGGAATGAAGGTCTTACAACCCTATGGCGCGGCTTGAGTCCCACCCTGCTCATGTCCGTCCCTGCCAACGTTATCTATTTTGCTGGCTACGACTGGTTGCGAGCGAATCCCCGCAGTCCCATGAAAGATCGCGTATCCGACAACTACGCTCCCCTCATCGCTGGTTCCAGTGCCAGAGTACTCGCCGCCTTCGTCGTTAGCCCAATCGAAATGTTCCGTACGCGTATGCAAGCCAGCCATCCTGAGGCTGCTTCGCCCACTGGTGTGTTCAGAGACACACTATCCGGAGTTCAAGACATGGTCAAATCAGATGGATACCGCGCATTATGGAGAGGCCTCGGTCTGACCCTTTGGCGAGATGTGCCTTTCTCTGCCTTGTACTGGTGGGGTTACGAATATGGCAGGCAGGCGTTGCACAACGCAAGAGAAGGTCCTGCCTCTCACGAGCCGACAGGCAGCTTGAAGAACCGTTCTGTCAGCGAGCTGGACCACAAGACGGTCCTACTTGACAGCTTCATCGCAGGCGCCAGCGCTGGAGCCGTTGCTTCTCTCGTCACCACGCCTTTCGATGTTGGCAAGACCCGCCAACAAGTCGCTCGCCATTCTGCCGACTCCGCATCTGCCGCCCTTGCTGGCGTACGTCCTGAGGATAAGCTTATGCCTCGATTCTTGTGGCACATCTACAAGACCGAGGGTGTCGCTGGCTTGTTCAAGGGATGGGCTGCTCGCACAATGAAGGTTGCACCTGCCTGCGCCATCATGATCAGCAGTTATGAGATTGGCAAGAAGATGGCTGGCAGCATGAATGAGAAGGCTGTCAAGGAGTCATCATCATAAAAAATCTGGACTCGAAAACAAAACCTATTCTGGACATGTAAAATTATCACGGCCTTTTTCTCTTTGTTGGGTTCTCAAAAATCAGTGCAGCGTGGAGTTTTGGGTTTTGGGGCATTGGCTTATTTTCTGGCATATTCTCCTGTCTCTTCTTCACTCATCCCCAGCGCTTGAATCAGCGATCTGTTTTCCTTCTGCTGTTTTGGCATACCCTCTGGCTTTTTCTTCGCTTTCTGTTCTTGTACTACCAATGGATGAATCAGGAGATCAGAGTTGCGTCTTCTACCACAAGATTTCCAACAAATAAACGAAAGTCACACCCAAGACAGTTCTTCTAGTGTAGTCGTTCTCGATTTTGTGAATGCCGCCTTCTAGGCACGTAAAGTCTTTTTTCTTTTTGACCAAACTCGCAACGTTTTTCTTAGTCTTGCACGTACGTCTTTCAATTGGCGACCAACCATTGCTCATTACACACATCAAACATCAAACTCCATTATATTTGCGCCTCCAAAAAAAATCCTAGACTTTTCCAAGAAACTCTGGAAGAAACTTGCTGAACGAATTCAAAAACAGACCCACTCACCAACTACCAAAAAGGGATTCTCTGGTGTTGTTGTTTTGTTTCCGCTACTTTGACAATACCACACATAATCCCATAGATGATAGCACCGCCAACAGCAAGAACTAGAACAGTACATCCAAGTGCCTTAGCAATCCCACACCAATTCACAGATTCTGTATGCTGTGGTTGTCGTGGACCTGGTGTTGGGAAAACAGCCTGTAGTGATGATGATCGAAAGTCTTGCATTTTGTAGGCTGGAGGCGCTTGCTCGCTGCTGTATTTCGTGCCAGCTTTACAAAGGTCGGTTTTCCATGAGTCGGTGTTGGGCTCCATGATGGTGGAGGAATAGTGGTGGCTGTTCTTCATGGAGGTGTTTGGAGGTGTCTTGATGGCTGTTGCGAGAAAAGGCAAGAAAGAATCTTGGAAGGGCGAGAAGAAGATCTCTACAATCTCATTGATGCCATTTCATTTTTCTTGTTGATGACTCTTCCTTGCGCAAGTCTGCTTCTGTTGGTTGGATATCATTCTTGGCTGAGCGAGCGCGTGGATTTGAGTTCAATTCTTCATGATCCGCTCTCGCTGTATCTCAGAATCTCGAAGAACTTTATCCAGACAGCCTAGTCTTACTGCCGCCAAAGGCTTCAGTGATGAAGCGACCTATCCAACCTGTAGAAGCCCTCTATAGCGCCAATCAAAGCGGCAACGATAAGCACAAACAACAAAAGCATCCCAATACACTTGAGACCAACACATCGTTCTCTCTTCGCATGTGGGCGTGGTTGCGTTGCTGGTACTGGCAGATTGGACGGTGGTGCTGCTGCTACTGCAGGTCCCAGATCTTGCATCTCGTAGGCTGGAGGTGGTGTCCTAGTGGTGGAAGAGGTGGACTTCCAGGTGCTGGGATTGGTTTGTGAAGTCTCCATATTGTATCATGACACTCGGACCGGGTGAAAAGTGTCAAATGCTGATACCGAAACTTGTGAGAAGAGCACAAGAATCTGGGATGCGGGAGCATCCAGATTTATATAACCTGGTTGATGGACATTCTTTTCTCGTAGTGACTCTTCCCTGCGCAAAAGCCATTGGTGTAGGTTAAATGGCTGTATCAGATGGTTGGACGTTGTCTTGGCCGAGCCCGTGAATGTGAGTTCATTCTTCAAGGACTGCTCGCTGTGTCTCAGAATCTCGAAAATCTTGTTCACAATCGAGACACAATCCACCCATCCAATATGTAACAGCCATAGAGCCCCATACATAGTGCCAATGAGGGCGGCAAGAAAAGCAGCAATAAGCGCGGTAAGACCAAGCACAAGCAACAAAAGTACACCAATAAACTTGAGGCAGACACAGCGTTACCTTTTTGAGTGTACGTGTGGTTGTGTTGCTGGTGTTGGGAGATTGGAGGATGATGATGGTGCTGGTCCTAAATCCTGCATCTCGTAGGTTGGAGGGGATGATGTCTGATGTTGTTCATTATCGTGAGTGGAACTAGTGATGGAAGATGTCGGTTTCCATGAATTGGAGTTAATTTGGTATGTTTCCATGGTTGCGTGATAGAAACTGGTGATGGGCTTGAGAGTGTCAAGGGCTAACGCTGTGATCCTGGCAAGGTTGAGAGATGAACAAGAATTCCTCGGATGCGGAAACATCAGATTTATAACCAATGACACTGACGGGTTTTCATTTCTCGAAGTGATTCTCCCTTGCGTGAAGCCTTGGTCCAGGTCGACGACTGTATCAGTTGGTTGGCTGTCGTATTGGCTTCAAAGCCACCATACCGGGGATCTGAGCAAGGGCAAGCACTGCCCTACCGAAGACGCATATACCATCTTCTCATATCTCCTCGTCATCCAGCTCTCCATTCTTCTCTTTTTCCTTCTCTTTAGCACCTCTAGCTTCTTGCTTCCTATACAACTCAGCCAAGAAATCACTCGTACTAGCCTCATCAATACTCTTATCCTCTCTAACCTTCAAAAACCGAGGGAAGCGCAATGACAACCCTCTTTCCTCAGATACCAAGCCTATAGCAGCGGTGTACGTGGGGCTGAGTGTCACATCCGCAAAAGCACATTCCCAGACTTCTTGCGGGTTGAACCAGACATCGGGGTGTCCACCGCTGTATTCCACATACGCTGGTTTGCCACCTAAAGTATTGTTTTTAGGCTTTGATTGCTCGTCGTCTGCGTCTTCTTCATCTTCGTCATCGTCTAGTGTGGCATCTGGATCATATTTTGCTCTGTTGGCTTTGTAGAATGCATCACTGAAGCCGGCCATGCATTTCGTTACTGCTTCTAGTCCGCCAGTCTCAGGGTTTCTGCAAGCGAGAAGAATAGGTGACCACCAGTTGCATTTTCGACCTGTGCCATGCCAGGCTGCAATGGGAATGAGATCGATAGTGTCGGAAGCAGACGAGTCGTAGTCTTTCTTCACTTTAAGCCAAGAGTCGAGGCGTTTGTCTGGTTCGTAAGTTGCTAGAAGTGCTTTTCTTCGTCCTCCCTTTTTCGTTGCCGTAGCACCTTCAGCTTCGGGAGGTGGCGATGAAGGTGGGTCTCCCGGTTTGCGTTTTGTAGTGCGTTTGCGTTTCGACGGTGTTGGTGGTGGTTTTGGTGTTCCATCTTCATTAGCGTCCAGAAGGTCAGGATTGGGAAGGTTGTCCAGCACTTTTGCCATAAAGCCTTCACATTTGTCGTTGATTGCTTGTTTGTAAAAGTCGGATATGGTTTCCACGTCTGCTGATGTGGCATCTATACTCTTCACCCATGTGAAGTGATGAGGCAGTTCGACAAATAAGCTTCTTAGCAAGGACCTTCGTTCACGGAAAGGTCTGTCCATCAAGCCCTCGCCATTGAGATACATCAGATCAAAAGAGAAAAGACATACATCCACTGTTACCGAGGAGATGGCCACGTCCTTTCTTGCGCGGTTAGAAAGTGTTTGGAAGGGAAGTAGTGCACCGGTTTCTCGATCCACGGCTACAACTTCGCCTTCGAGGATAAAGGAGTCCACGCCTTCGCCGCGGATTTTAGGGACAAGAGCGACGAGGTCAGGGTATTTGTCTGTCATCACCTCAAGATGGCGCGAGAAGATTGTAACTTTGCCTGCTGAATCACAGTGGACTTGTGCTCGTTGGCCTGCATAAGATTGTTAGCATATCAGGAACGGAGGTTGATGAGCTGCTTGGAGCGATCTGTACCATCGTATTTGTACTCGCAGGTGAACTCGCGACCAGTGAGTTTCGTCAGCATTTCTCCCAAATCCCTGGTAATGCCTCCCAGCATAGGACGTAGTGGGATGTGCATGGCAAGACCGCAGCGAAGAAGGAGTTCTTCTGTAACACCGATCTCTAGTAGGGTGGGTACTAGGTCATTCTGAAGGTTGTCAGAGCAGACATTCGTCGTGACCCCATCAGGCGATACTCACATAGTTGGGACGTCGAGCGAAACACGCTTTTACAATTTCCTCAGCAGGAGCCCACACTTCTACCAGTTGCTGCTTGGATAGTTTGGCCAGCTCATGTCTATCGCGGGTTGAGAAATCTGCACCAGGTGGCTTTGACAACAAGAAGGCTCTTGATAACGCAATAAGCATAGTCGTCTTGACTGCACCGATGCGAAGCTAGATATAAGTCAGAGGTTGTGTTTGTAGCCATGTTGGAATACTCACATGTTGCACTAGAGTACGAACAACATATCTGCTCTCCTCTGCTCCTCTAGCATCCTGAACAAGTCTTTCGACGAGTCGTTGTTTAGTCTCGACACTACCATGGCCCTTGGCCATAGAGATTTTGATCAACGAGTCGAAGACAGCTTTGATGGTTAAAGGCTTAGGCTTCCTTAATGTCAAGCTCTGTCGCTTCTTTGCTTCGAAGGCAACATCACCAGCATCGCCGTACTTATCAGACAACTTCTTCAAAGCAGCATTATCCAAACCACAGACTTTCTTCAACGCCTTGGAGATGGCAGAACCTCCTAGTCCAAGTTCCATGTCGATATATGGTGGTGAGATTGAATTTGTTGCAAGCCATACAGCAGGCAACAGACTCTCGGGATCACCTTCTATGATGACACGCAATGCGTTTACTAGTGTATCGACGATCTTGATGCGACTTTGTGTGCTGTTGACCATGACGAAGCAGTGGGTAAGGAGAGCGTATGTGGCGTGGCCATTATCGGTGACCCATTGCTTCTTCAGCTCTGGAATATACTTCTGGGGATCGAAGGCTAGGGGACTTTGATCGAAGGGGATGTCGTAGGTGATGGTGTCGTCATCTGCGGTGGCTGATTGAAGCGACAGTGTGTTCTTCTTCCCTAGTCCTGCGAAAGGGTTCACGAGTACAGGTGCTGGAGCGGGTGTAGGTGTCTCTTCTTTGACTTCCTCCTCTTGCTTGACATCTTCGGGTAGTGCTGGTGCTGACTTGGTAGCTTCAGTAGTCGTTGCTGACTTGGAAGGTGAAGAGGCTGGAGCTTGTGATGCTCTGTCTTGTTCGTCCCATTCTGCCTGTAGCTTTCTAGCTAGGGCCTCGTCTGAGAGAACGTCGTGATCGAGGTTATCATTTTTCGAGTCTGCTTCTGACGTTTGGTGTATCGTCTCCTTGGGTTGTTGTTTCGCCTGTGCTTGTTTGCCGAAGAAATAATCGAGTCCTCGGACTGGTTGCCCGTCGTTCTTCTTGCGTCGCTTTGAAGGCGTCGACATTTTGCTTAATTCATTTGATGCTTGATGGTAGGAAAGGAGTTTCCATTAATCGCGACAGGTACACGGCCGACGAATGACGCGTTAATGGGTTTCGACCGACATTGACGTCATTTGGCTTCACATGTCAACACAAGTTGTTTTGGTCGAGCTGAAAGACAGCGACGGCGAGCATTCTGTATACATCTTTATATCTAGGTACTGCAACAAATGATACTGATAAGCACCTGTAATGGCTTAATGATAGCTCTCAAGATCTCATACCTCAAAATCAGTGTGGGATCATAAAGAGTCGATGTACGAAAACCATGGATTCGGCACAATGTTCAAAATTCGGAAGACCTTGAAGTCATTTGCGAGAATTGTCACCAACATGATGATTACAGCAATACGAGAGATAGACATCCGCATTGGCAAGATAAATAGACACCTTTCTACATGATCCACATGATTCAAGATGTGCTGTGGAAGCTACAAGATGCTATTACTGGAAGCAGCATGTAGTTGTTGGCGCAACCCTGCCCGAGCCAGAAACACCAGCCACCTCCATCTGCAGACATAGACATGCGTCTCTGCTGGAAGGAACTCATCATCTGTTCCAACGTCAATCAAATCACTTCGAATTGGAGATCCTCACTGTAGCCGTCTTTCTAGATTGCGCTACTCTATACCACAGAGTCCAGCTCTCGGGTCATAGGACATCCGGAATAAACAATTGTCGATCTCCTCGACAACCTTTCGTATGCTAAGATTGCCCGTGCCGTAGGTTCACCTGACCTATCTTCATATCGTTGCCAGACACAGTATCTCCTTTATCTATATAGGTATTGCGATTGTTGTTGTTATGATGTCGTTTTCATCTCCACGAAAATCTGCCGTCATGCATAAAACTGTATGCAAGCTTGCCGTTGTACGTTGTCATGATCTCTGGTTCCGTGCTTCCGTTCCTGCAGCTGTTGAGCTGTACCTGCAGCCCAGAACTTTGTCACGCTTCGCTACTCCTATTTTGGACCATGTTGAAAGATATTTTTGACAGGTCGGCATGTGTCGTGATTCATGACACAGCACGAGACGAGGCGGCAGTGAGATGACACTTTCAATCTCTAGGATCGGCACAGCTATTTTGTGTGCAATAATGACACGGGAAACTCGGCCGGGTTTTGCAAAGAGGAGCAATACGAGCAAAGCGATGGGCCTTAGCTACCAAGCTGCAGCACCGTTGTCGCAAGTGGAGGCTGTTGTCATTGTTTCTTTGAAGTGATGACTAGATGTTGCGATGTGATCTGTATAATGGCTCGGAAGCGGATCGATCGCGCGTTACTGTTGCGACATTTGCGACACAACACATGGTGGAGTCTCGAGAGCAGTTTTGCTAGAGTGGATCTACTAAGTAGCCCGCCGCGCAGTGAGCATTCATCAACGATCAGTCTTGCATTAGAGAAGTGGACCTGAGAAAGTGCATCTGGCCACAAAGTCTGTCAGGCTTGGTAAAGGAAGAGAATGTCTTCGCTTGTTGTGCAGATAGAGGGCTGATCCATCTGGACCGAGGCGTCGAGTAGGTACATTGCATGAATGTCTCGACGAAGCACCACGGCACTGAAGTCAGCAGTGTCTCGCATTATTGTGTTGCTTTTGCGAGCCTGAGAGGAATTCCCGCTGGTCAAGGATGCAATGGAGTCGGCAACTGTGGATTGAGTGACATGGAACCTGTCGTGACAAATGCATGACCCTGTAATGTTGTCTCTTGGCACAGGAAGTGAATCGTGTCGCAAGCTACTGAAGTGAAAACGATGGAGCTGAATGGAGTCCAGAAGTGCATGTTGAGACGAGCTGCGTGCGGAGAAGGATATGGCAAGCCCCAACAAGAAAGCTGGGTGGGGTCTGAACAGCTCCAACTCTATAGGTCGTATGCACTACTCTACCGTGCCAAGAGTAGGTCGAGACTGCTCGTACGGCAGTCAGCCTCAGTATCTTATCCTTCTATGGAATAGGTCAGCTTGAACAGGAAGTTCTGAGCTGCTTGCTTCCTCGTGTTGGCCGCCGCGTGTAGACGTTCCAGGGCGACCGTTCTAGTGTCTCAGCCGACTCAAAAAATATGATCGAACCGGAAAAGAAGAACGAATGATTTTTGAGATATCAAGACACGCTTCTGAGATGTCGAAGCAGCTGTATGGTATGCGACAGATCTCGAACTCTGTGATGAGTCTAGAAGACGAGCGACAAAGACATGCTTGGCTGGAGGATTCAGATCACAAGTCTTTCACAGCAGCTAGCGATCAAGACAGAGCACGAACCTCTCGAAAGGAAGAGGAATCGATACCTTCTGGCCAATATGAAACGGTACTGAAGATGTGAAATTTGTTGCGCGAGGAGAAAGATGCAGTTGCGGACAGTGAGTAAAAGAGCAAGCCGCTTTGGTTGAGTGAGACAACCGCAACGGAAGTCTTCGAAGGCCTTTCTCTTCCTTCCTAATGCCATTGATTCTTGACCGATAAGACATCAGATGTGGAGTGGGGCGAGAAGCAATAAACCTACCGATTAGTACCCAATTGGTCACCATGGTGCGATGATGAGCCTGGAGAAGCGGAGATCCGAAGGCAGCTAGCTGTCTGAGACTCTGAGATAGACGAGACTCGAGCTGTACTCGAGATGTACCTACTTGGCCATCCTCTAATGTCTAGTTCTGACGTGCTGTCGACAGCGCATTCGTCAGACATCCTCTCTCGTTTAAACCGCGACGAAGTCAAAGAGCTGCTGGCCCCAGGTGACGAACGACAGTTCAGTTCGAGCTGAGGAGCTGAAAAATGGCGTTCGGAGAATAAAGGCAAAATGGACGTCAAACCATCTACAAGCCTAGGTACGTCGTGTGGAACTGCTGAATACTCAGCATGGCCTAGCCGCATAGTGACAACGTCCATTGTTCTTGGTCATGCAGGTTGGCGCAGCTCTACCACTCGAGTCAACAATCGTCAGGAACTCAGGTTCCGCCTGGTCGCACAGGGAGATTCTCGAGCGCAGTTTGTTTACCGTGAGCAACGGCCAACGTCGAGGTTGTTGCTCCCGTGGTCTCAGACCATGCATTTTGTTGCGACGACGACCTGGCCGCCTGAGAGCAGCGAACAGATGCAACGACAATTCACATTTTCACGAGACGGACCTTTCGGATGATTATGAATCTTTCCCGTCTTCTCTGCATGAAGAAGAAAGTCTGCTCAGCGGAGTCTCTCCACTTGGGACGCACGAAGATGCACCAGAAGCACCGCAAGGTTGGCACGTTCGCTTCAAAAGTCCGAGTGGCTTGGGGGATGTTCAGGAACAGGACGCGCTAAAGGCCTTGGGCAATTTCGGGAAGCCTCCGCTTTGGCTTGGGCCATGCTGGATCGAGTTAGCGGTGATCCGTACTTTGATTATGTACCCAACGGCCATCCGTCGGCCGTTTCTGCCATCGATAGTCGAGCGTGGACCTCGCCCTCGTCTCTTGGTGTTTCTCTGTGCAATTATATGAAGCCTCTGCCTTGCCAGGTCAACACTCGTTTTTGCTCACAGGTCATCCACATTCTTTAACCCAGCAGTCTCTACCAACCCCCCGGGAGGAATTCTATCGTGCGCTTCGGGACAGCTGCCACATTCTTTTGAACGTCAACAAACACACAGAGCAACTCCTTGCGTCAGTCAATTTCGAGACAATCTATTCTACGCCTTCGTCTTTGTTTAGGAACCGATTTCGTAAGTTTCACATCTCGCCTCTTTCCACTATCAAGCACCGACCACACAGTTGGCTCGTGGCCTCGAGGTTGAATTTGAGGCTTCTCTCGAGGCTTCAAAACTTCTCTCCCTCCGCCATCTTCTCGGAATTGAACATCCTCCACACATTCGTTTGATACAACGCTGACACCGCTGGCCGGCCAGACTAAACTATCATTACCTCAAACTATTCATCATGATGAGAACCGGTGTTGCTGCCCTCGGCGCTTTGTCGCTGATCAACCTTGCTTCTGCTAAGCCTTCTGGTCACCACCGTAAGTTGATCAATTGAAGTCGATCCAATGGAACAACAACCCTAACAATATCCCAGGCCGTCACCAGCAGCTTCACGAGAAGCGTCAGGAGGTTGTCTACGAGACCGACTACACCTACGTGACCACCCAGCTTCCCGACGTTGTCGTCTTCGTTGACGAGAACGGCGCTCCTTACTCCACTTCTACTGAGGGCCAGGCCCCTGCAACCTCTGCTGCTGCCACCGTCGTTGCTTCCGTTGCCCCCGTCTACACCCAGGCCGCTGCTCAGCCCGCCTACTCTGAGGCTGCCTCTTCCTCCACTGAGGTCTACGTCGCCCCCAGCCCCACCACTTTCGCCTCTGTCTACAAGGCTTCCAGCTCCGAGGCTGCCTCCACCACCCAGGCCCCTACTCTCTCTTCGGCCGCTGCTTACAGCTCTGCTGCTTCCTCCTCCTCCAAGGCCCCCACTTCTTCTGCCGCGGCATCCGACGGTAGCGGTCCCCAGGGCTATGGTATCGTCTACTCTCCTTACACCGACAGCGGTGACTGCAAGTCTCAGGACGATGTCAACAGCGACTTCGCCAAGATCATGGCGTACGCTCAGAACAACGGCGACACCTACGACTTCGTCCGTATCTACGGTACCGACTGCAACCAGGTCTCGACTGTCCTCAACGTCTGTGAGAAGTACGACCTGAAGATCTTCGCTGGTGTTTACAACATCTGGGAGCCCTCGGCCTTCTCTCAGGAGCTCAACATCCTCACCACCGCCGCCAACGGTGACTGGTCCAGATTCAACACCATCGCCATTGGTAACGAGGTCGTTAACCAGGGCAAGGTCGCTGCCAAGGACGTCAAGGGTCTGGTCGACCAGGCCAGAGGTGTTCTCAACGGTGCCGGCTACACTGGCCCCATCGTTGCTGTCGACACTCTCGTCGCTATGGTTGCCAACGGCGAGTTCCTTTGCGATGCCTCTGACTACGTCGCTGTCAACTCTCACCCCTTCTTCGATGGTTCCGTCCTTCCCGAGAACACTGGCGAGTGGCTGCTCAAGGGTATGGAGGAGGTTTCCAGCGTCTGCAACGGCAAGAAGACCTGGATCACCGAGACTGGCTGGCCCACTCAGGGTAACACCAACGGCGTTGCTGTTCCCAGCGTCCAGAACCAGAAGTCCACCATCTCTTCCATGAAGTCTGTCGTCTCTTCCAACATCATCTGGTTCACCGCCTTCAACGATATGTGGAAGACTAACAGCGCTTCCACCTTCAACGCTGAGCAGTACTGGGGCATGTGCAACAACTAAGACTGTACAAAGTGCTTAGGAAAAATTTCGTACGAGTCATGGTTATCTTCTCTTTGGGCACGCATTTTTGTGGAGTTCCGATCTAAGTCTTCTCTTCTATCATCACGAAGAACTTATTCGTGTATTTGATTCTCTTTCTTCTTCGAGCAATCTCTCTCCAGATTCATGTCGATGATTTAGGCAGTGTGTTTGCGGGTCTACACTTCTTTGTACATAGCATTTGACGATGTCCTACCGGAGGAATTTTATGAGTTTATCTGTTCAAGATTCTTTCGCTCGTGTTGGTGTCAAGATGTTAATAAGCTTGTCAAGATTGAGGCCATCGTTCCTCCTTTCCTGAGAGAATGTCAGAACCGCGTGACGTCGGCATTACCACAACCCCGCAGAGCATCAACTTCAGCTGGGTAACTCCCTCCAGTAGGCAGGCGATTCGTCACACTCGCACCTGCCATTCCTCTATCTTAGATGATCTAGCTACCTACTTAAATCTCGAACGTCTTGACCATCGCGGCGACCATCAATCTGTCTCTCATACCCAAGTCTTCAAGGAGAGTTCTATCGGCAGTCAACTCTCTGCCCGTCAGACAAGCTGCTCCTACACAATCACATCGCCTGATCAGCATGGCCTGGCGAAGCCATGGCTCAACCAACGACGAGATGGTTGACGCTCTATTCCGGAACGGCATTATAAAATCCGACAAGGTTAAACAGGCCATGAAAAGCGTAAGCATCTAAGCCACAGGTAATGAAACCTCGACTGAGCATGACACAAGGTCGACCGTGGACACTACGCTCCAGCATCACCATATCAGGACAATCCGCAATCAATCGGTCATGGAGTGACTATATCTGCTCCCCATATGCATGCTCATGCCTGCGAAGCTGTGCTCGAATTCTTACGACCTGGAGCTCACGTGCTGGACGTCGGATCTGGGTCTGGATATTTGACCCATGTCCTTGCCGAGCTGGTGAAGCCTGGAGGCACTGTTGTTGGTATTGAACACATCCAGCCGCTCGTGGATATTGCACGGAAGAACACCGCAAAGAGTGCTGAAGGTCGTGAGCTGCTTGCTAACGGAAACATTACATATGTGAAGAGCGATGGCAGGAAGGGATGGACAGGAAAAGGTGGCGAAAAGGGTTACGATGTCATACATGTGGGCGCAGCAGCAGTTGACTTTCATCAAGAGCTCATCGACCAGCTCAAACGCCCAGGAAGGTGAGTGTTCTCAGTCACTCCGACAGGTGCTCCACGTGGCGGCCACTGCTATCAAGCGTGCAAAACGTCCATACAATGAGCGGTTATATGCTAACGAGATGAGATAGACTCTTCATGCCTGTTGGACAACGAGGCGACCAGTACATCTATGTTGTCGACAAGAAAGAAGATGGCTCCGTCGAGAGGAAGAAACTCTACGGAGTCCAATACGTGCCTCTGACAGACGCACCACCAGAATAACGCACTGAATATTCACACGACAACGAATCGCGACAAAGCAACACTCAAACTGACCTAGCATTGATCATCTCGGGCAGACTCACAAGTCATTGATCCATTCACTCTAATCACAACCTTTTTCTAACCGCACGCTTTGACCAACCTGATACGTTCATTCTCGTCTCCCATGAGCTGACCAGTCATCCCTTTAGCCCTGTCTCTAATTTCTTCCAGTGTCTCCATATCAAACTCAGTATCGTCCCACCCTTGTAGTACCCGGAAAGAATATGGCAGAACGGATGACTTCCACAAAACAGTTCTTCGATTTTGCAACAGAGTCATAAGTAACACAATATCGGCAGTCAAGACCGCTATAGCTGGTAGTGTGAGCCAAGCCCAGTCGACATGGATGAAAGCGACAGATTCCCACGCTGTACCTATAGCAGGCTTGCTTTGATATTGTCTCCATACATTGGTCAAGCTGGTAGCCATCCTATCAGAGAGCTCTGTGATGTTCGGGTTCATGATCAAGGCATCCCCCAAACCCGCTGAGGAATCATTGGAGCCGGATAAATAGCTGTAAGTTGACGACCTGAGGATAGTTCCAAGATGGCTGACCATTTCGGCATTCGCATTTCCATACACCTTGAATGTGTCGTTGTGTTTGTCGCTTGGGAAACCAGTACCATTGGCTCGGAAAGTGTAGTTCGTATAGGTCGCACTTGCAGACGCTCCGGGACCAGTCTGATACAACTCAATTGAGTCATAGCCTAGATTGTACTTTTTCAGCTTTCCAACATCGAAGTCCTGACCTTTGGCAGTTGAGTTTTCATATACCCACGCGCAGTACTGCAATGTACAAGTGGTGATCTGTGGACGTGCCCAGGTATCATTCGTCACGATCACGCTAAAATTCAAGACCACGGCAGGTTGACCTTTATAATAGAAGCCTTCCTCGTTCCAGGTGGTAACATCAATCGCAGTCTGGTATCTCCAATCGGACAGGATGTTTGGATCCGGAGTTCCAGTTCCAACGGCGGATGAGTTCTTGCCCCTGATTGTAGTGAGATTATAGCCTCCTGTGCGACCTGCGCGACCTGCTCCGTCGTAGTTGCATTCGAGCGTAGTTACGTTGTACGTCGTATCTACGGTTTCGTGTTGAGAATTGACAAATTGACTGGGCGTTGCGGTAATCTTGACCACGCAGCCACCTGGGACCGAGCTGATATCCCGGCAGCTTGAACACAGGCCAAGAGTGACATGACTGTCCCAAGAGCAAGAAGATGCACCGCAATCGAAAGGGGGATCGATGGTTTGTCCGTATATGCTTTCCATCAGGCCAAGTCTAGACTTCAGCAAACGATCCGAAAACTGCCGACCAAGTCCACCCCAAAATGGCATGGCCTCGAAGTTTTGGATTACTGGAAATGAAGCAGTTTCATTGGCGACTGCGACTGTCTTTTCAGGAAAACTCAACAATTGCTGGCCGAAGGTCTCCATGGCCAGTACCAGCACTGTGACCGCACAGCCTAATGTGACGGCGACATTCAGGTACCCACTTCTACTCAAAAGCAAGCGAAGACTACCATAAGCACCTCTACTCGCATCGTCAAAGCCTTCCAGATCCTTGAGTGTTCGAGGCCTCTGCTGAAAGTGCGTCCATTTGAGTTGGGAAACACAACTAGCTGTACTGATCATTAGAGCCGCTTTTGATGAAACGATCAACACGGAAATAACAGCGTTAGGCTGAATGGCCCAATGCCAGATAGACAGCCTTTTCCCATCGATCCAAGCCATGATGATAGCAACAGCAATAAGGCAAGCGAGAGAAAAGATCATGGCCCAGGTTTCTTGTTGCCAGGATAGGTACCAGGGATTATGGCGGTAGAGGTTCCAAGTTGCTGTAGGTGACATGAAAAATGATGGAGCCGATGGTTTCTCCTTTAAGCTCCGGACTTTAGTTGTAGGTTCTGGTTTCGCTTGTTCGGGTTGTTGCTGGCCCATGAAGTCTAGCGAGTGTGAGGATGCACTCGAGGTAGAGTCGCGTCTAGGGATAGACGTCCATCGTGATGGTGATGCCATTATCAATAACGACACAGTCAAACCAAAACAACCAGCAAAGACAGCAAGAAAGGTCAAGTACAAAGACTGACGGAGAGAAGAAAAGACAGCGGTTGGGCGGCTTTCCTACTTACATATATTGATACCAGAACTTATGTGCCTGACACTATCCAGGCAGTACGGCCGTACTTACGTGGAACCCAAGCGCGAACCATACTTTTCTTCCATTGGGCGACAAGCCCATAGAAAAGCAGTGCACCTACATGAGTCGGCGGTTGTGAAGGGAAGGATCTTCCTTGGCGGCCTTACTTCTAGAGCGCGCATGATATGAAACAGACGGGCACTTTACAGCTTTCTTTTCTTGTCCGCGGTGGCGCTTAGAAGTCTGCTATACAGTATGATTTCTGCGATCCTATATCACTGATGAGCGCGTAGAAGATGGTGAAGAGAATGGCTGCTTGTTTAAATATGCGACGGTGGCTATGTGAGCAGTGGTTAGATTAGATGGGTGAGTGCGGTTGAGGGGGATTTTCTCGGTGGTCGTGCTCTTCAGAAGGATCCATATGGGACCCTGTTGCCAACAATCCTTCGCGCGTTGATGGTCTTGCATAACTTAGCTATGCTCATCATATCAACTTATCATGATCATCATGATCACCACAGTCTTGGCAAGCTCATCTTCTACCGCTGTCGATATTTCAGCCACACCATCTGCAGACAGCCAACTGGGCTCGTAGAGCCAAACTTCAGTCCGGCCAGCAACAAGAGATGACTCAACAAAAGATGACCGAGCAAAGCTATGGTTATATCCTATGTGGTAAGCAGTTGAACAAATTGGCAGGTAATCCTCTATCGCTGCCAAGGCTTCTTATCCTCCAGCCTCAATGGCACATCGACCTTATCTTGTCGATCTTCGCGTGGACCTCTATAGTCAGATCCAACCATCCTAGCGGTCGTCTTTTGAGCTTCCGAACTCGGTATGCTTGTCAATACTGCGCCCTATGAGCTTCCATGGCTACAGATAGGCGGAGCGGCCAAACACGGCCGTCGCCTGTATGTACTCTGAACACCGTCACTTTGTCAATAGCCAAGCAATAGCGATACGATCACTCCGGCTGGAATGCTACCCAAGTGGTATAGTGTGTACTTGGCACTTGGACAGAGGCTGTCTTTTCGAGCACTCAGATGTCGCCGACTTAGTATTCGAGGGATAGGGCTCGTCTATCCATGCGTAGGATCCTCCTGCACGGCGTAACTGTACACCGCAACCATGATCCGCAGCCCCAACCCGAGCATGTAGGCTGTGTAGACTCCGCAGAGTATTGGTGTTGGGACTTTGCCTGGATTGCACATGTTCCGATCAATAGCTCGCTGCTGGATATATAATGGTGAGCTGTGACTCCCATCCTGACTGCCAGTCAACATCTTCGTTTTCCTTCTATAATGTCTATCCGCAAACTCTCGACAGGCGTCTTCGCCTTGTCGACGCTGATACAACATGCTGTTACTGCTCCTTCAAGCCCAATCATCTCTTTCAGATTTCCTGAGGTTGTAGAAGCAGGTGGTATGCACAACATTCACGTCGACTATCATTCCTCTCATGACGGCGAGTTCTCAATTGTGTACGGCGACTGCGGCATTAAGTCTACACAAGAAGCCCATCATATTCTCGGCAGCACTCATGTTGGAAACCACGACTTGGCAAAGCGTCATCTCAACTGGCACGAACAGAGACCAACTCGTTTTGTCTGGTTGGCTCCTGAGGATATGTCCAGTGATGGCTGTCTTCATGCTTTCTCTGGTGATGTCTTGCTGGGAAGATCTGCACCTGTCAGTGTTGGCCGCAGGAACAACAAGAGACATCTTGCTGCTTCGGAAATTATGGATGCGATGGGTCCTTGGTTTGATGGTGTCACATATCTCAAGGAAAAAGAGCCTGAATCAGTATTCGTCGCTCAAACCAAGAGCAAGTCTGTCGGTATTCTCGGTGGTGGTATGTCAGGCCTGATGACAGCGCATCTTCTCGACTCTGTCGGTTTCCATGACTGGCAGATTATCGAGGCTTCATCGCGTATTGGTGGCCGTGTGCATACATCCTACCTCAACGCTACCAAACCTGATCAATATCAGTATCAAGAGATGGGACCTATGCGCTTCCCCGTCAGTCTTACTATGGATAACGAGACTATCGAAATCAACGATCACAAGATGGTCTTCCAGCTTGCTGATGAACTGAACAAGCAGAATCAACACGATCCTACTTATGAAGTCAAGTTTATTCCTTGGATCCAGAGTGCTCCTAACGACCCCTCTAGCACAACCAAGAGAAAGCCTGACGGTACTGTTCCTGGCGTTGCGGAGGTCAAGGAGAATCCATCGCTTGCTGTCAACACCACTGCTTCTTACAGTAACGCAACTGCTGTAGCTGAAGCAACCGAAGAGTTCGAGGACTGGATCGGCATGGACCTCGACAAGACTCGTCTGTATGCAACAAATGTCTTCAAGGCACACAAACAAGCTGTTGCCGAAGGCTTCCTCGATTTCTCGGAGTCTGGTTATCTCCGTTACAAGATGGGACTGGATAGTAACATTACCGATCAGATTGACTCTGTGGCCGATAATGACCCTTCGTGGCCTTATGAGGACATCTACTTTGAAGCAACAGAATGGCGTACCATCGATCAAGGTCTGAGTCGTCTGCCCGCTGCCTTTGGTCCTCAAGTCTTGAATCGCACTCGTTTCCAGACTGCTGTGCAGGCTTTGACCTGGAACGAGACTTCAGAAAAGATGTCCGTTCACTTCCATCCTGGTAACCCCTTCGATATGGAAACTGAGACCATCGATTTTGACTACACTATTGTTGCAGTGCCATTCTCCAAAGTTAGACTCTGGCGTCTGCCCGACTATTCAAGCCTACTCAGTCGCGCAATCTCAAGACTCAACTACTCTCCCGCATGTAAAGTGGCTCTTCACTACAAAACACGCTTCTGGGAACACCTTCCTCGCCCCATCATCGGCGGCTGTGGGTCGGGCGGCGGCATAGCAGGTATAGGAAGCGTATGCTACCCCTCCTACCACCTCAACAGCAGCGGACCAGGCGTAATCCTCGCCTCCTACCTCTCAGGCTCCATGGCCCTCTCCACGTCCGCCATGACCGAAGAAGACCACGTCGCCTACGTCCAACGCGCCATGATCGAACTCCACGGCCCCATCGCCGCTGAACAATACACAGGCGCCTACGACCGCAAATGCTGGCTAAACGACGAATACCAAGCCGGCGCTTGGGCATCCCCCACCGCAGGACAACGAGATTTATACCTTCCTGCGTATTTCCAGACGGAGAAACATACGGTGTTTGTGGGTGAGCATACGAGTTACACGCATGCGTGGATCTTTAGCGCGTTGGAGAGTGCGGTTAGAGGGACTACGCAACTGCTGCTGGATATGGGGCTTGTGGATGAGGCGAAGCAGGTTACTGAGTTTTGGATGGCGAGGTGGATTAGTATGTAGAGAGCAGAAAGGTTCTCATGATGTTTATGTAGAGATGATGATTACGAGTCGCAGCTGAGGTGGCACAAATACACTTTTAGTACATGATGCTTGATTGGACGAACGTGCTCGGATCGTGCAGGAAGGAATACGAACATGACTTGAGGTACCAGAACATGCAATTGTGGCTTGTTTTCGGGCAATCATCTTTTTTGTATGGGAACAAATGGATAGAGATAAGACATAAAATTATCAAGTCTAGGTATCTCCTAAGACACTACTTTATGAACCCACAACGATAGGAAAATCATTATCGACAGACAGATACGAAACTCAACTATTCATACAACCAGAACCACTCCCTAAAGAGCAGCAAAACCCATGAGGGCAAGAAGACCAAGACCAGCGCTGACAGCCGAGGCAGCACCAGTGTAAGAAGCAGGCATAGAAGTGGTGGCAACAGGGACAGTGCCGTTAGTGGTGAGGTTGACGGTAGGGACCGAGCTGGCAGTAGCAATAGGAGCAACAGGAGTAGCCTTGGAGGAGGACGAAGCCATGGACATGCTAGAGGAAGAAGCCATCATGGATGCACTGGAAGCAGCAACAGAGGAAGTGATGTAAGAGCTAGCGGCAGAGGCGGCGCCAGCAAGGTTGGGGCAGATCTGAGCAGTGGCAGCGGCGGTCTTTTGCTGGTCCTCGGCCGAGCAAGACTTCTGGGTGCAAGTAGCGATGGAGGTGACGAAGCTCTCGCTGGTGCAGAGGCAGGAAACATCAGTGGCCTGGCAGCCAGTGGCGGGAATGGCGGTCAAGGCGCAGTTAACCTGGTGGATATGTTTAGCGATCTGAAGAGAGCCGAAAGAGAGGTGACAGAACTTACAGCGCAGCTAGGAAGGAGAGATGCAAGAGAAGCAGCATCCTGAGCAAGGGCAGGGGCCACCAGGGCGGCAGCAAAGGCGACAACAGCAGCGGTCTTCATTTTGATGGATTTGTGTATGATAGATATATGGAAACAAGCGATAGACTTGGTTGAGATTTTTTGATGTTTTTACGTGGAAGACGAGAGCGACAGTGGATTGTGATTGTAGGAAAAGAGAAGAAACAGAATGAAACAAACCAGAGCTGAGATGGGCGATATATGAGGTAGCTAGCTGATCCTACACCACTTACATACTTGGGAAGGATCGTAGCTACTACTGGTGAGTCTATTGACACCTCTGTCCTGTTTTGGCGAGTTGGCACAGGTACCCGACCTGTACCGTTTTTACAGTTTGCCTGGTTCCCCCTTCAGCTGGTAACTGAAGCAGCCACCGTGCGGAGCTGAATGACCCAGCTGCATGTGAGAAACTGTAGATGAAGGCATATAACGTCGACTGGGCGTCGCATCATCTCTTCCAACTATCGTTTCATCAAAGCATGCTAGGCGACTCGGTCGAGTATCACATCGCCGTTAAGCTGTGTTGTGTTCCCCACGATGGCAGGTCAATTACCTAGAAAGGAAATCGAGTTGCGAGCCAGGCTAACGTGTGGATAATCCTCGGCAGAATACCATTAGGGTGACGGCAGACCTATCTAGACTTCCAGACACCACCAATCGCGTATGCTTTGAGCAGAAGGTTGCCGGTTATTGTGCTGCGCCCACGAGTTGCGTTGTTGATTGCGATACGAACTGCGTGGTGGATTGCGTTTCACTACACGCGGTCTCTACCAAGATCCATGTCGTCTATTCTTGCAAAAGTTGGCTTGACAGCAAGCGCTAGCTTTGTTTTCTCACGATGCTGCAGTAGCATTGCTCCATTCGAACTGCTGGCTCGCTGCTTCCACTCATCTCAGTCATGGTACACACCGTACAATGATCGAGCTGCGAAAAATGCCAAAGCCCGCGAGAAGTACGCCAACGACCCAGAGTATCGCAAAAAGAAAATCCAGCAAGCCACTGAGCGGAACCGCCAGAGATATATAAATGACCCAGCTTACCGCGAATATCTCCGTCAGGCCACCACGAGATTGAGAGCTAGAAATCGACCCGAGCACGTGCAGAAGTTTCTCAACGATGCAGAGTATCGCAACTCCCTGAGAAGAGAGCGCTTAAGAAGTAGCGCATCTACACAGAAAACACATGTCAATTTCAAAGAGAACGTCAACAATTGTCATCAGAGAGACTTGCTTTTCCACTGGGTTTTGAATGCAAAATGGCGACGTCGACTCGTTTGGGAAACACACGAGCCATTGGTATCCGAGGAGCGCGAAGGCACGCCAGGGTAATGCTCTTCTTGTAATGGTGCCTTCACAAGACGGCTTTGGTGGCGACGGAAGAAGGTTGGTGAGAAGTCTGCTGGCAATACAGACGAGCAATCTAGCGAGCAGATGCTCAACTGCCATTCCTGTTTCTGTGACATGGACTGGGAGAAAGCCTTGCCACTAGGCTACAGAGGGCATGTCTTTGGTAGTGGGAAACGCCTCAAGCAGCCGGACTGGGACAATTATCCTCCTCCATCACCTTCCTCCTCGCCGTAGTCACGGGTCAGTTCATTTAAGCGCCTTAACAGCATTTGACCTGTTGAACTGGAAGCATATTGTCATGTCAGGTTCTCATCATTTGTCTACCTACTACGTAGACATAGTTTTGTGTTTGCATAACATTGAGCGGAATATCCTATGGCCTTTTTTTTGTGTTAGACCAAAACTCCATCAAACTTCTCCAATGTCCGCGGATGCATCATATCGCATATTTCTTTTGTTCTCATATTTTCTTCCGAATACCCAATCAAGGCTTAGGGACGTGGAAAGTCTTGCTGATCATGAGGCATCCATGGGCGACGAAGATCAGAGCGGCGGGGTGGAACTCGAGTATCGAGCCTTCAGCAATGACGCCGAAGGGAATTTGATCGTGGATCCAACCCTGGCTGACCCAGTAGGAAATGACGCCGACAATGCCTAGGGAGGTAGGAGTGGGAAGACCCTCAAAGTACTTGGCCTTGCCGTTGGCGTCCTTGGGTACACTGTCGGTGGTGATGTTGAAACGAGCAAGACGCAGGAGACCGCAGAGGGCAAAGGAGGTGAGGAGGAAGTGGTCGAGAGGGGTTCGCATGCCAATTGCGACAGATGCGACAGCAGGAGAAACACAGAAGGAGATCTGTATCATTATTGTGGTCAGCAAATGTATCCAAGCTCTTTCCAAGGGGTAACAACATACCAAGTCAGCCAGCGAATCAAGCTCCTGGCCCATGAGCGAGCTCTTCTTTCTCCAGCGAGCAACCTTGCCATCCATAAAGTCGAAGAATAGACCGAAGGGCATGAAAGCTAGAGCAGCCCAGAGATTACCGAGATCGTTTGGGTTACCCATGCAGTAACGAAGGGAGGACAGGACCGAGTTGATACCACAGAAGCCTGCCATTGGTGTCAGTACGAGGAACGGTGTCAACACTAGAATGTGAAGCATACCGTTCAGGAGAGTGATCAGGTCAGCAAGGTGCATTGCACGGATCATGGAGAAGTGGCCAGGATCAGTCTCCTCCAACAGGCGCTTTTGCTTGTCCATGGCTGTCTCTCGGTCAGCTTTTATTTGTATATCGTCATTTCTAGCAAGACGTACGGGGACTGGCGGTGACTTCTTTTGCAGCGTCGGTCGACGCGTTGACTCTGCGAGACATGGCAGATTGAGTGATTGAAATACTTGAGAGTATGTTAATCTCAAGACCAGTGGTTATTAGGAGTACAGCAGGTAGTAAGAGGTCGAAGTTTCGAGGATACACAAGGGAAAGCAGGTTTAACTCAGACGCCGCGTTTGCTTGTGGCCTGCGTCATTTTGGACAAGCCACAACAAGGGACCACAAGCACCGCCACAGCTACTGCTCACAGCCACACTTAGACATGTGACAAGCTCTTATCATTCAAAACGTAGGAGCATTGTAAGCTATAGAATGCACGATCGTTATAAAATGACAAATTATGCATTGTTGACATGGCATATCATAGTATACAGCATTCGTCTTTGGAATAGTCTCGCAGGTCTATGAGTAATCGAAGAGAGCACTGCTCCATATGACCGCTCTGTCTATAGTCTTCTTCCAGTCCTACAAACCTTACCTTGACACATTTACTGAGCACACTGACCTGCCTCAACTGTGCCGACTAGTGTGATAACTGGAGTACGTAAGTTGCATTCGAGAGCCGGGCCAATGTCGAGACAAATCTCGCCGAAGCATATCCTTGCGCGACTGCAGTATTCTCAGGCTACGGGAATACTATACGGAACAATTTGCATCACTACAGCATGATCAACAGGTCCGCACCCAGAGCTTAGAACATCTAATTCCTCGGGGTTCTGGCTTGCTCAATTTCTTGCAGATTCATTGTGGATTTGCTAGTTTGAAGAAAGACATGATGATTTTATAGGTCCAGCACGTACGGGAGTCCACATGTTATCTTTCTAGAGCAACTCAAGGAGATCACCAGCATACTTGGTACTTTTACAAGGAATGAAGTTGAAATAGTTTTTTTGCTCCTCTTCTCTGTATTCAAAATAGTCCTGTACAGCGTAAAACATGAGATGAACTGCCTCTTTTCGAAACAATGCCTCCTGGTGAACCATTTCCCAAGCCGTCCAAGGCCTCTTAACTCCGTGACGCCGCTGCCTGTTTACGCCCACATGCTTTGCACTTTTTATCGTGTCAAGTTGGCTACACTCAGTAACCGCGACCACGACCACCACCGCGGCTTCCTCCACGACCTCCGAAACCTCCTGAGCCGCCGCGAGACTGGAAACCGCCTCTTGAGCCACCACGGGCACCACCACGGCCACCGAAGCTTGAACCACCACGTCCGCCGAATCCGCCTCTTGATCCACCACGAGCGCCACCACGGCCGGCGAATCCACCACGGGCACCGCCACGGCCAGCGGGCTTCTTGACCTTAGGAGCACCGGGAGCGGGCTTGGGCTTGGGCAAGAATCTAGAGAATGTGTTAGGGTTGAGTTATAGCAAGTCTGGCGCAAGGAAGTGTACCTCTCGAGGGGAAGGAGCTTGTCGCCGCCAATGTAGAACTTGTCGCCGTTCTTGAAAGAAGTTGCGACGATACCCTCCTGGGGCTTGATGGTGAAGTAGACCTGGTTGATGGGGCCGAGAATCTCGTCGACCTTGCCGACAGCAGTCTTGTTCTCAAGGTAGATAGGAGCGTTGAAGTAGGGGATCTTGGTGTTGGTAGAAGTGCAGACCATCTCGCCCTCGGAAGCGTGCATGAAAGTGCCCATCTCGTAGACCTGGTCGGGAGGACCTTGGGGAGCGAAACCGCCGCGACCTGCGCAAACCAGAATTGTCAGTCATGACTGCTCCCTGTATCTTCCAGCATGATGAAATCTCTCAATGCGCACCTCCACGAGATCCACCAAAACCACCGCGTCCACCTCTGCCACCACCGCCGCGGAAAGACATTTTTTCTAGTTGGAGTTTGTCGGGTTTACGAAAAGCGATACGGGAAGACCGGTGCGAAATCGACCGGAAAATCAGACGAATTGAAAAAAGCTGTCGGCGATAAGACAGCAATCAAGGAAATATAGGTTGGCGTTCGTTGGACGACGAGTGACACGGCGCGAGAATTGTGCTTCAGTCGATGAAGCTTGAAATTTTTGCCAAGCCCTGAATTTTGGGAGGAACGGAAGCTGCCGCCGGCGCGCAGGTCGCTCCTGCCTGCGGTCACGCTAAACAGCGACCGAAGTTGAGCGGTATCAGAGGTAGCTGTGACTCTTGCTGTATATGCTGTCTAGCTGCTGTCGTTACAAGAGGCTGCCGTTTTCCTCTGCTCCGACTCGCTATCTCATCGCATCCCACAAGCGCATTCAATCTCCGACTTTTTTCAATCATCAAATCACCTCCGCCCGCACTTTTACAGCTTTTTACCCCGCCGCTTGTAATCGCACAATGGACGCCGTCAAGGGAGCTGTCGATGGCGTGAAGGATGCCGTCGAGGGTGTCAAGAACATGGCCGTCAGCGAGGCCCAGCAGCAACAGTCCCAGCAGAAGAAGCAGCAAAAGAAGGACAAGAAGAAGGGTGCACAGGAAGAGGGCGATGCCCGTCCCCTCGAGATGACCCCTCCTCCCTCATACATCGACGACCGCAACAAGATCTTCGACAGAGTCAAGGCCGAATATGACCAATGGGTTGCCCAACAGCCTCGCGACGACATCAACATCACCATGCCCGATGGTAACGTCCGTGTCGGCAAGGCTTGGGAGACCTCCCCCTCTGAGATCACCCGCGGCATCAGCAAGTCGCTCTTCGAGCGTACCGTCATTGCAAAGGTTGATGGCGAGCTGTGGGACATGGACCGTCCTCTGGAGAAGAGCTGCAAGCTGGAATTGCTCGACTTCGAACACCCTGAGGGAAAGAAGGTCTTCTGGCACTCAAGTGCTCACGTTTTGGGTGAGGCTTGCGAGAGAAGATTTGGCTGCAGCTTGTGCATTGGTCCTCCTGTCGAGGATGGTTTCTACTACGAGATGGCTCTTCCCAACCAGGAGCCCGTCCTGGAGTCTGACTGGAAGCCCCTGGAGAAGGTCGCCGAGAAGGCAATCAAGGAGAAGCAGACTTTCGAGCGTCTCACTCTGAAGAAGGAGGACCTGCTTGAGATGTTCAAGTACAACAAGTACAAGCAGCACATCATCCAGGACAAGATCCCCGATGGCACCAGCACCACCGTCTACCGTTGCGGCCCTCTGATCGATTTGTGCAGAGGTCCTCACATTCCTCACACTGGCAGAATCAAGGCCTTCCAGATCATGAAGGTATTTGGAGACACACCGACATAGATGAACCACAACGCTGACATTGTAAACAGAACTCTGCTTCTTACTTCCTCGGTGATGCCAAGAACGACTCTCTTCAGCGTATCTACGGTGTCTCTTTCCCCGATAAGGCTATGATGGTTGAGCACAAGAAGTACCTCGAGGAGGCCGCCAAGCGTGACCACCGCAAGATCGGCAAGGAGCAAGAGCTCTTCTTCTTCCACGACATGTCTCCCGGTTCATGCTTCTTCCTTCCCCACGGTATGATCATCTACAACGCTCTCCAGAGCTTCCTCCGCAACGAGTACTGGAGCCGTGGTTACCAAGAAGTCATGTCTCCCAACATGTACAACTCTGCTCTCTGGAAGCAGTCTGGTCACTGGCAACACTACAAGGATGACATGTTCACTTTCGAGGTTGAGAAGGACCAGTGGGCTTTGAAGCCCATGAACTGCCCTGGTCACTGTCTGCTCTTCTCCCACCGTGAGCGCAGTTACAGAGAACTCCCCATGAGAATTGCCGACTTTGGTGTTCTCCACCGTAACGAGGCTTCTGGTGCTCTTACTGGTCTTACCAGAGTCCGTCGTTTCCAGCAGGACGACACCCACATCTTCTGTACTGAGGACCAGGTAGAGTCTGAGATTCTTGGTCTCTTCGACTTCCTCCGTACCGTCTACGGCAAGTTCGGTTTCACCTTCAAAATGAAGCTTTCTACCCGCCCTGAGGGTCACCTTGGTGATGTTGCCACCTGGGACAAGGCTGAGGCTCAGCTTACCAAGGCTCTTGACGAGTTCGTCGCTGGTGGCGGTTCCCAGTGGGAGCTCAACCCTGGTGATGGTGCCTTTTACGGTCCCAAGATCGATATCACCATCTCAGACGCCCTCAAGCGTGAGTTCCAGTGCGCTACCATCCAACTCGACTTCCAGCTTCCTCAACAATTCAACCTTGAGTACCGCAGTGCCGAGGCTGGTGAGGCCAAGGCCAAGGGTGAGGAGGTCAAGGCTCCTGTCCTTGAGCAGAAGCCTGCTGAGGCTGCTCCTGCTGCCGAGGGCGAGAAGGGCGAGAAGAGTGCTGCCAGCTACCGTCGCGAGTTGACTCCTGGCTGCCAGCGCCCTGTCATGATTCACCGTGCTATCTACGGTTCGTTCGAGCGTTTCATTGCCATTCTCACCGAGCACTTTGCCGGCAAGTGGCCATTCTGGCTCTCTCCCCGCCAGATTCTCATCGTCCCCGTCATGCCCGCCGTCAACGACTACGTCGAGGAGCTGCAGGCTTTGTTCCGCGGCAAGGGTATGCACGCTGACATTGATATCACCGGTAACACCATGCAAAAGAAGATCCGTACTGGTCAACTGGCTCAATACAACTTCATCTTCGTTGTCGGTGCCCAAGAGAAGGAGTCTCGCACTGTCAACATCAGAAACAGAGATGACCCCGAGACCCAGAAGTTGGGTGAGCTCATTCCTCTCGATGTCGCTGTCCAGAAGATGGAGGCTTTGAGAGATGAGAGAAAGCTCAAGACTGAGCTGTAAAGGGGTATTTGACGAGGATTTCATGGCGTTGACACGGACACAAAAAGGATACCATCGCTGAGACGATTGTTTGGAGCGTGCTGTATCTATGATTGGTAGGTAGATTTACTATCAAAACACATCTCTTGATCTTACTAGTCTCTGTGTTTGCCTGTTGTAATCGATCTTGAGCTGACTGCAAGCTCATGGCTCAGAATGGATGATTGACTGTCTGTGACTAATAAACAGCTGACACAACGCACAAAGCTATGAACGCATTTCCCTAGGGACGTCACCAGCGTCAAAATGGTCGTCGAGAGACTCAGGGGGAAAATCAGTCAGGAACGTACTGACAAAAGATTGAGGTGTCAAAAGCACCGTGTGATGAAGTTGGCTGGAACAGTAAGCGCTGTGTCAAAGTGAGGGACACCTTCCCTGTCCTCACTCGCACTGAACAAAGCCACGACGCACCGTCCTCACCGCCGTCACGTTTGTGTGTCAACACTTTACAAACGGAAGGTCCAACACGGCGTCTTCCGCGCTCTCTTCTTCCTCTCTTGTTTATAAACTTCCCAGGCCAACTTTCAACCCTCACCACAACATCCACATCCTCTCATCTAACACTCAAGTAATCCAGACTCAAAGTCATATCAACAACCTTCACTACTCATCCACCATCAACAACCAAACAACCGCCAACATGAGCACTGACTTCGGACGCAAGGTTTGTCTCTTCACCAATCGATCCATCATGCACATAGCTAACATTCATCCAGGATCTGTCTGACAAGGTCGGACCATCCCATCTTCACTGCCCACACACAACACTGACAAATTTACAGATCGAGGAGAAGGTCACCCCTCAGTCTGCCAAGGGTCCTATCGATGTCACCAAGGAGCATGCCACTGGTCACGCCGACCACATCGCCAGGTTTGTCTCTCATTTCCATCCGTCATCACCATCACACATTGCTGACGTACATCAGAGACCTCAAGACCGACGAGCACAAGTCCACCGGCCAGTCTATGCACGACAAGGTCTCTCGCATGACCAGCTCCGACACTCCCAGCTCCACCACCAGCTCCACTATCACTGGTGACCACTCCGCCACCACTACTGGTGAGCACAAGTCTGTCATGGACAAGGTCAAGGACGCTATTCCCGGCCTTCACTCCGACAAGCGCTCCGATGCTGCTGAGGTCATGGACCCCAACACTTCCACCACCACTACCGACGTTGTCAACAAGAACCTCTAAGTTCGTGATACCGACATGGCAGGGCTGAAGTGGTTGGTCCTTTGATGGAAAAAGTCCTACGAAGCAATGATTCTTTGATGGCATGATGATATGATATCGGCGGATACCCCTTTTGCTGCTTTATGCAATGCACCTGAGATGGAAATGACATACCTTTGAACCTCACAACTGTTCTCTTGCTTCTGTGACTTGCCTTTCGTGTCTTCGTCATCTGCGTTGTGTCTCTGCACCTTCTTGTCTTGACCACATAAATCGTGACTTCTCTCCTCGTGTTGCTTTGCAGTTTCACGTTGTACCTGGTCCGATGGCTCCAAAGTCTGATCTGCAAATTGCCTCTGTTTGACCAGATGGTCATTCTTTTCCCTTCAAACAATAAACAGAGTAAGTCGCTACCGCTTGAAAACAGCCACTGATCTTTCATATGTCGATGTAAGTCTGTAATGTGGAAAGTTTCTGACATTTCCACCATGCCACGAACTCGAGCCAAATAATACACACGATCTTGGCCATCACAAAATTTGAAAGCACGTAGGTAGACCTACGACTGGATTTCCCCTCGTAAGTATTCAAATACTTGTCTTTCCTTACGATATGAAGAGCGTTGTAATGTTCAGTCTATATAGTACGCAAAAGTGATGAGACGATGCAAATCCATCGAATAGTACGAGAGAGGGTGGGAAAGCAGTGAAAAGTATCGATATGAAGTTTGAGAACCCTTGGGCGATCTTGATATTCATGTGTAGTACAGCGTAACCTCTTGAACTCGTTGGCGATCTAGAAGAACAAAAAAAGAAAAATCTGGTGTATAATTGGTGGTATGATATTATAAAGAAGAGAGAAAAACCGTTTCCAACGCTATGCAAAACAGACAACAAAAGACAACCAAATCACATCATGATACACTCCTGCTCTTGCTTATGCTTAGGCACTCCCATTTCTTCAAACGTCTTCGGTCCAGTCTTGACAGGCTTAAGAGGTGTAGCAGGTTTTGGCGTCGACGAAGCAGAAGTAGGTGGAGGTGTTGCAACGCTACTGCTGCTATCTGCAGAAGGTCCTGGACTCGGTCTTGATGGGGTAGCAGAATCGACTCTCGGCGGCCGTGCCAGATTGGGGTTGCTGCTAGATGTTTGTGGACGTGCCAGATTAGGGTTGCTGTTGGATGTTTGTGGGCGTGCAGAGTGTCTGCCTGATACAGGGTTTTGTGGTGCGGAGTAGACTACGCTAGGAGGCGGGCGTGTGTCTGGCGGTGCAGTGAAGCCAATGTCGAGCCGTGAGTTGACGGGTGGTACTGAGGAAGTGGGATTGATACGAGGAGAGCTTCCTGGCGGAGGACGAGGACCGGAAACAGGCCCAGAAGCTACACGTTGACCTGATGGCCTTACACCAGCGGGCATGGGACGCATGCCTTGGGGTGCAGATGCAGCAGAATCAGGACGTGGCAGAGCAGAGTGAGCACGTTGACGGTTGCCCACGGGTGTGGTAGTCGCTGGGCGAGTGTCCAAGAATCCACCTGTAGGCCCGAGCTTAGGAGTCGGTCTTGGTGTAACGTCGTCTAGAGGGTAAGGTGCAGTCGAGGTAGATCTTGGGGGAGGCACAGTAGGGGGTCGGTCGTCCAGAGGATAAGGTGCCGGAGTGCTAGAGGGAGGAGGACCAAGAGATGACAGACGCCTGGGGTGAGGAGAAACAGAGCCTTCAGAGATGGACTCAATACGTGGGACTTGGGCTTGGAATCTCGCAGGACGTTGTCCACGCATTGAACCATGTTGCGACTTGATGCGGGTCAGAGCAACATTTTCATGATCCTTCTTGGACAAGATGTGTCGGTGAGCGATACTATCGATACGACCTTGAGCATCCTTGTTCCCATTCGCAGCAGCCTTCTTGTACCATTGCAAGGCAAGATCGATGTTCTTGGGCGCATGAATACCAAGCTCGTTGAAATAGCCCATGGCGAACTCGGCAGTGGACAGACCAGCATGGGCAGCTCTGTTGGCGTAGATATATGACAATTCTTCGTGCTTGGGGAAGACACCTTCGTGACCAACAAGGAACCACTTGCTAATAGCCATGTCGGCTTCAGGCTCACCTTGCTTTGCAGCAAGGCGGTTGTAGTGCAAAGAAAGTGCGGGATCAAATTCACAGCCTAGGGAGGCCAGTTCATAGGCAGAAGCCATCTTCAGCTGGGCTTTTGAGAACCTGCAGAAAGCCGAGTTCTCAATGTAGCGTCTGGCTTCTTGTTCGTCGAAGGGTAGAACTCCTTCAGGAAGCTTGATCTGTGGTAGTTGGCGAGCAAGCAACATGCCATAAACATAGGCTCCTTGGGGCGCATTCTCGTCTATTGAGTCGGCAGATCGCCTAATCAGGTCGAGACCAGTAGCAAAGTCCTTGGGCTGTCCGTATTGTCCTCGTAATGTGATCATACCCAGGCGATAGAGAGAGGCACTGTCTTGAGCGGCAACACCACGTCTGTAATTGTCCAAAGCTCTTTCTTCATCGTTTGCATTCTCGTACAACATGCCGAGGCGATAACAGGCGCGGGCGTAACCTCGATCAGCGGCTCTGGCATAACAACGAAAGGCTTCGCGCTTGTCGTGCGGACAGCCAAAGCGACCGAACTCGTTCCACATGCCGCGCATGAACTCTGCCTTGGGATGATGCTGATCGGCGAGAAAGGTGACGATGTTGATGGCGTCAACCATGATCTGGTTTTCGATTGGGGGTTGCTGAGGGCGCGGGGGTTGTGTCTGTTGTAGTCGCTCCTCGTTTTCCAGACAGATTGTGACATATTGCAAGGCATCCTGAGCCCATGCCAGCTGCATATCCGGGTCATTCGAATTCAAGACGGTGACTCTTGCAGCTTCCAGGACAGACTCGAACTCGGCATCGGTCTGTGGGATATGGCGACCGCGGTAAGGGATCTGAGGGAAGGCAGCAGCCTCGTGTTGTGCTGTGACGGATAGTTGCATGTTTGCGATTCCTTCTTGAATCTGGTCACTCATCTCAGGCATGTGTCTGTATCTTGGTGTTAGAAGAGGGCATGGCAGTCGATGCAGGCGGGCGTCATACCGTTGAGGGGCAGGTGCGACGACAGAAACTGGACTGTTAGGCATGTAGTAGTCATCATGGCCGCCTGGCACGAAGGTCGCGCTTGTGTGCTGCGAAGGGTACGCCATCTGTGGATCAAAATAGTCGTCGTATCGCTGGTTCGAGTACTGATGCGGATGCGAGTGGCTGTATTCGTAGTCGTAGTCGTGGTAGCGATCCGGATGTTGATCTGTATAGGAATCACAAGTCTCAGCCTCGGTCAAGTTGTCTCTGCTGTCGCGCTACTAGCAGTAAGGAGCGTGAAATGGTCTGCATCATGAGGAGAAACAGGCAGAAAATCGTCAGGGTAGCTGAGGTTGTTCCGTACCATACAAAGTCCCCCACGCGGCTGCCGTTTGTTGTCGACTTGCCAAAAGCATCTTGATTCCTCTTTCCCCACCAACTGTTCTCAAACGGCCAATTTCCTGCTCTCTTTGTTGAACAATCCTACAGCTGCTTTTGCTGCACCACAATCACTGCGAACCTGCTCGACTTCTGCTTGTCGAGTCTCTGTCTCTTTATCACTACTTGCACTGTCTTGAAGCCGTACTTCCGCCCGACGCGTGTCTCAATTTCATCTCTGCCATTTTGCCAAACCTTCCACACGCATACTATTCAGGGGCAACTGAGATCCTTGGCGCCATTGCATTCTGGCTGCCTTCTGTGCATCGCCACAAGGCTCAGCCTTGTCTCTACTTTTCTTTGTCTAACTCGATGCACAAAGACACAACACAGGCCTGACTTCGGGTCTGTCCAAGCCGCCTGAGTCCCGCTGTGCTTTCTCAAACACTAGTGCCAACTCCATGACAGCACCAACAAATGCTCACCGAGCAATGTCATTTTATAAACTGACATTGTGATAGACGTTGATTGTGTTCTTGGCTAGACCAATCTTCTTGGCCCTAATCGCGTATTGAAATACGGTGAGTTCTCCACTAATCATCGGGAATAAGACCTCATGTCCTTGACATTGATTTGTCTCCGAAACGTATCCTTGATTCATTCTTATCTCATAGACGCCTGTCCTTGCTTGATACATCAAAATCCCCTATCATCGAACACAGTTGTATATCGTACTGCAAATAGGTCTCACAGCTCAATTTGATTACACACTTATGGTATACAGTATGATGGCCAAATCACGTCGAGACGATTCGAGTGATTCAGGTAGGTCTTGCAAATGTTGTTGTACAAGTCTCAGCATGTTTTTGCTACCTCGCCTTCTGTTGTTTTCCTACTCTAATGCCGTCCCCTACTTATGACAAGTTCCTCGTGCCTTAAAATGCACCTTTGTACTCTCAAATCTTACATATCTCAAGCAGAAGCACACCATGGCCACTTTCTTCTACAGCATCACAAAAGCCTTCACAGCTCTCGCCATCTCGGAAGGTTCTGCTCAGAGTACCAACATCGGACCCTCCATCAATCCCAACTTTCCAGACTACTCAACAAGCACCTATGATTTGCAAGGTCGGGATCTCTGCTTCCACCCTGAACCCACTGGTCCAATGCGGCCAAACTTCATTCCAGACGGTCCGAGCACTGAGATGATTGGACGCTTCTACCCTTTCGGTACTTCGGCTCCTGTATACGCACTGGACGAGGTCAGGAAGCTCGAGAATACTGGGTATTTGAGAAGCCAAGTCACTGTGGGTAGATGGAGGGCCATGTGCGATGTTTGCTTCGAGGATGTTGCCGAAGGCTTCTGGGAAAAGACTTGTCAGATCGACATGAGAGCGAAGCAGACAACCTCTGCCGTCCGCTTTTTAGGTCGCTGCAACAAGTGCGGTCGATCATTCTCTGAAGTCGTACCTGGTATTTGATTCTATCATCAAATAGTAAGTTCTCGGACATTCTGACGCCTTTCACTATCCTCGGTGTTGATTGTTTTTCCAGGTTCATCGCGTAGCGGGAGCATCGATGACTTGCCCTAAACTGGTGGCTTCTGTCAACTTCATGAAGTCTCCATCATAATTTACAACACCACGCAAATTTCCAGACATTCACTCCCATCGACCATGCCGAACATTTGTTTTGCATCTTCACATGGGCGACTGCTTTGTTGCGAGCATTTGTCGTTGAAGAATGACATTGTCATCCTTCGCTTTTCCTTTGTTCTTTGTCCTTTTCTGCTCATCAGCTCATTGAGTCCGCCCCTTTTCTTTCACTACTCTTCATGCAAGCATTGTTTCCCTTGTTTACTTCCGCTTGGAATATCGATACTTAATCAACCGCCAATCCATTGTTATTTGCCCTTCTCTCCCGCTTGTCACTCCCAGATCATCAAGTCTGGGACCGAGGAAAAACATAAATTCAATTATCTAGCACGACAGAACGCCCATTTCCTTCTCAGAAATCTCAACCATGTGGATTCACGTTGACTGTTACTGCCGTCTCTGCGCTGGCCGCAACGTTCCTTCTGATTCGCCTGTCAGTCCTCTTTCCCCTTCTTTCCACCACCGTATCGGCTTTGACACTCCACCTAGCCCTCTGTCGCCGGCTTTGTCTTTCACATCAACTAGCCTTCCCCTTCCAAGTCCAATTTCCCCTTTGCTGATTGCTGCTGAAGACTGGTCCTTGAGTCCTGTCTCGCCCTTTGCCCTTGAGCCTTTCAGCCCGTCGAGCGAAGACAGCACATCAACCGCTTCGCCCGCTCTCTCAATCGCTGAGTTGACACCCAGAGACTTTCCTTCTCCAGCCAGTCCTCTGACCACTGATTTTGTCTGGGACCTCTGTATAATTCCCTCCATCCCTGCCAAGTTTTCCGTCTTTGCACCGATTTGGCACAATGACACCTCTTTCCCCTTCAACGCCCCTGCTACCGAGATTGATGATGAAGCAATCAGCCCTACCACCCTTCCTGATGGTACCAAAGCCGTTCGCTCATCTCCCGCTCTCCCTCCAAGACCTATCACACGTCGCCCTAAGAGATCTCCTTTGCTTACCTCCAAGTTCTCTTGGGGTAGTACGCCCACCACTTCTCCTTCTCTGACTTCACCTAATTTTTTCCGCTTCACTGGACCAACTTACACCTTTGAAACTGTTGCTGAAGAAGTCAAGAGCAGAGCTGGTTCTTTGTCTTTTGCTTCTTCGGACAGTGTGTCCATTCACACTCTTGGTACTGAGGGAATGCCCTTGAAGTTCGAGAACAAGCCTTGGTGGGAGAATATCCCTGAAGTTTCGCCTTTGCCTTCGCCTACTTTGAGTGTTCACTCTTTTAGCGGGTTTTCTGGTGTTCATGGCTCTCCTACTGGTTCTGAGTTTGACCTTGTGGCTCTTTCTCCTGATGATACTGATGAGATTGACGATATTGATATCAGGAATGTTTACTGGACGCATGTTACACCACAGACTGCTACTGAGTATACAGCCATCTTTGGCACTTCGGTATTCGAAGACGAGTTTGCTTGGATCCGCTACCCAATCCCTGGTCCCCATAACCTTCTCCCTTCTCCCTCTTTCTCAGATGATGAGACTGCTGGTTATGATTGGGACAAGCACAATCCTACAGCCTTTGACTCTACTGATCCATTCAGTGAGGTTGATGATGTGTTTGAATCATACGCTGACTCTGTCTCTTCTTCGTATCTTTCGTCTTTTGAATCTTCTTCTGCGGACTGGAGCTTTGAAGTTGGTGAGTACTCGGGATTTGAGGGCAGCGTTGGTGTCGCGCAGACTGCTGAAGTTGCCAGAGCGAGGTATATCTCCTCGTTCCTCAGTCGCTCTGCTGTTGCTGGTGTCAAAGAGATTTGTGCTGAGGACAGACAGATTGCCTCGCTTGATTTGATTGTTGCAAGTGTGTTCTAGAGCTGGTGGATTTTGGTTCGGGATTTGGTAGTGTGTTTTCGTATGGTGTTGGTAGGTAAGGTCGACATTGGAACGAAGCGCTGGTTTCGCTGATATCTATATCTCTGCAAAATGCTTGTAGGCGCTCTCTTCTCGTTTTACTTTTTGCTTCTTCCTTTCCCCTTAGCTATTAATCCTTTCAATTGCAAACCCAATCATAAAACCCATGTTCGTTATTTCGCTCTCTACTCTGTGTTTATCGATACATTCCGACACTCCAAGGTGTTTCTACAAATCATGTCGCGAAGGCAGACGCGACTTTGAAACAAATGACCAAGCTCTTCCTTCGAAGGATTCCAACTTGGCACAACTTGGGCGCCTAACTACACAGCCTTACTTCTCATAATACACATATTGAACTTTCAGTCTTGGTCACCTCGAGTGATTGTTTTTTCGCCAGAGTTAGAAGAAGTTCTTTTTCTTTTCTTTTCCTGCGAAGTTCAGCGCAGAAGCACAAGAAGAGGAAATTATGCCGTCTTTTACTATCAGAACAATACTCATCTCTTCTCTGCTATTGCTGCAAGGTATCTCTGCAGCTCCCTTGACTTATCCAAATGCCTTGAACAGCAACACCCATCCGTAAGCAAACCACCCCTTCTATATCCCGGGTTTTCCCATTCTGCTTTACAGAATTGACACTCATGCACGATAAACAGCCGCTGGGAAAGCAAGACCCTCGTGATTCCAGACGGAGTAGTAAGAGGACCATACCACAACAAAAGAGGACTGCAAAAAAGCGACACGGGAAAAGAAATTGAAGGATGGCTTAAAGAAGCGCTGAGGGAGGATCCCGATTTGCAGTTGGCGCCTATGTATCAGAGTGACAGGGAGTTGGTTGAGTACATCGAAACGTTGAGGGAGGAGGTTGCTGCAGAGAAGAAAATGGAAGGTTTTAGGGAAGGAGAGGAGCAGAAGGTTGTTGTATAGGTGTGGTTTGGAGAGTGTGGTTTAAAGAGGTGAAGAGGTGGGGTTGTGGTAAGCTTCGGCTCCGAAGGTCCGAAGTTGTACTGCCTACTTGGAGTATAAAGAAGCATCTAATATGTTACTCTTCCCTCGAGTATTTCACTGCTATCTACACACTCCTTCCAAACAGACACAGACAACTACCAAAGCATCACCAACACCCACCATGCCAAACCCAGCTCTCCAAAAACCACCAACATTCACGCTTGGGAAAAGCCTCATCGCACTTGTCAATCTCGTCACTTTATTCGGACCTTATCTAGCAGATTGGAAGTACGTCTCCAGCTATCTAAATCTTCTCTCTTTGCTTCTTTCACTATCGCTTCAGCTCAGCAGAACTGACAACTTTGATAAACAGCAAAACACACATCTACAACCCCAACTGGCCCCCACACGCCCGCTACCACAATGGCCAAACCATGTCACTAGGTCTTTTTGTGGGGGTTATAACTTTCTACATCCTCTTCTTCCTTTTACCCTCCTTAGCCTCCTCTGACACCTACCCACCCTCCCGATCCCCCTCCTCCACCAAACTTCAACAAGTCCACTTGAATTGGGTCTTGGTATTGCAGAACTTGATGTACATTTCTAGTCTGAGTGGGATCTTGTATCCGGGTGCTGGATGGACGGATCCAGAGTTTGGCGATGGGAAACCGCAGGCGTATGTTTTTCCTTGTTTGGTCGGGGTGCTGTGGGTGGGGTGGTGGGTTGAGAGGAGGAGGATTGAGAGGGTTGCGCAAGGCAAGAAGGAGTAAGAAGATTTGATGGGTAGTGGTTTAGTGGAGTTATATGGAGGGGATCGAATTTTTGTGTGGCTTGGGAATCGAAGGGTGGGATGACTCAAGAGAGGCTTATGGCAAGTTGCAAGAAGAGAGTATAATTTGGCATATTTTGTAGCCTTTCCTTGATGCTCAGATGCGAAATACTCGAGTTTGCTACTCGATCTTTTCAGCTCCAGCAGTTTGCTCAACGGCCTCATTCTCTTCCTCAGCCTCTTCCTCCTCTCTCTCCTCAATCTCTTCAACATGATCATTCTCCTCATCAGCATCACCCTCCCCATCCACATCCTCTCCACCCTCACCCGCATACCCCTTAAGCTGTCCTCCCTTCCTCTTCGGAATCACCTTCATGAACGCCTCACCCCAATCCCCACATTCCAACCACTTGAGCATAATCTCATGCACATGATTAGTCGTAAGTACTTTTCTGCTTGCCATGGCCAAGTAATCGCCAATTGGCAAGCGAGCGGTTTTTACTCCTGCGGCAGCGGCGCGTGCGGCGCAAATACCCTTTTCGCGGTTTTTGTCGACGAGGCCGCCGATTATGTAGGTGCTGAAGGGTTTTAGTTCTGTGAGGGTGTAGTCGCTGTCGGCGGAGAGGTAGATTGTTTCGGCTTGGGCGTGAAGGGCTTCGAGATCTGCTGGTGGGAGAGAGGTGGGTTTGATGTAGATGGGGTGTTGAGGTTTGGGTTTGGCTGTCTCGGGTTTGGTTTCCTCGGTTTTGGGTTCTTCAGTGCTTGCTTCCGCGGGTTCATCGGTGGTGGAGATGGCTTGAGTGTTTGCGGTCTCTTGTTTCTCCTCTGCAATAGCAGGACTGGCAGGAGCATACTTCTCAAACACACCAGCAAGTTTCCCACCTCTTTTGTCATCAGCCATCCACTCCTTTGCCTTTTCACTCGCAACCACAAAGTCCTCGTCCAAAAACCTCACACCCTTCCAATTCTGATAGCTCTTATTCAAAACACCATCAAACCTCTCCCTCAACTTGCCATTGAAACTGCACACCGCAAGATGAGCCCTGAACGGCGCATTCTTATTATCAGAATAACATCTCGTCAATTGACCTCCCAGAGAAATACGTTCATTGTCTCTCATCAGGTTGTCGAAATCGCAGTCGATGAGAAGCGTAATGGGTAACATTGTAGGTTTGACCCATTGCTTTTGCTTTTCCTTCCATGCCTCGGGGTTTGTGCGTTTTTCTTCGCGCTTGCGCTCTTTCTTTGCTTGATTCTTTTCCTTGCGCCAGATTTTGCGGTCTTCTTTTTTGGCGTCCCATTCGGCTTGTTTGCGGAGTTTCTTTTGCATGGACTTGGAGAGGGGTGGGTTGGGAGCTTCAGTCTCGGTTGTGGTGGATGCTGTTGTAGGTGGCAGAGGGGCATTTTCTGGGACTGCGGTGGCAGTGTTGGCGAGATGAGTTGCGGTTGTTGTGCCAGCGGAGGGGTTTTGCGGTTGTGATATGGTGGACTCGGGGGCATCAGCTAGAGGAGCGGTGGTGGGTGGTTGTGTTGGTGTGATACCAGCAGCGTCTTGGATGAGAGTATCCGTGGGAGTGTCGACAGAAGTGGTCGATTGAGCAGGCAGCGTATCGCGCTCATGGTGGCTGCTGAGCTTGCGAATCTTTGCCGGTCGTTCGTCTGATTCCATTTCGTCTCCAGTCTTGTAAGAAAGCGACCAGACCAAGTTGACTGTTCCGTGATGGTGACCTGGTGGGGGAAAAAGTTGGCGGCATCGAAAGCTGCTCGAGTCATGCTTCGACTTGTCCCCGAGTCATGCTGCCAAGCCCTCACATCCACCTCTCGTCGCAGCCGACGAAGGTCAGCAAGCACCAAGTCTATACCCAGCCTTGCACCACCAATTGCCCCTCCAATCGCGTCCCGATCGACTGTTGAACCTTTCCGCAGAGACCCGTATATACAACACCACTCGCCCACCATGCCTCAGGATATGCCGCCCACCGGCGGCTACGAGCCCGTCCAATACAAGCGCAACTTGCCCGCCCGCGGTTTCCGTCCTGCCACCTACCTGCTCATGGTCGGCGCCATCTGCACCTACGGCTTCTGGCGCGTCGGCCAGGGTATCCGCGAACAAAAGTATGCACACCACCACCACCTCCACACCTAGAACAAAAAGCAAGAGCCGGGAAAACTACATCCGAGGAAAGCAAGAAGCATTGAAAAGCAAGATCCGAAAGACACGAGATGCGAGCGACCAATTCAAAACGCAAAAGATTACAGCAGAAAGAAAAATAAGTTGCTAACGCACTCTTTCAAACAGCGAACTCGCCCGCGAAAAGATGTGGTCGCGCATCCACTTAATCCCCATGCTGCAAGCAGAAGAAGACCGCGACCAGGTCCGTCGTCACCTCGCCGACAAGGCCCGCGAGAGAGAATTGTTGGGTGCCGAGACCAAGGTCTACCACAGCGATCGGTATGTTTTCCCTTACATCTGTTTCTTTGCATAGGTTGCCGTTTTTCTGACTTTCGACTGCAATAGTTTCATTCGTCCGACATTTGCTGTTACTCCTAATGAGGTTACCAAGTAAATGTTTGGTCATGAGAGACAAGAGGAGATTTGGTGATGGGGTTGTCGAGGTGACTCGAAGGGTAGAGGTTGAGTGCCCTTGCGTTCGCGTCCATGGAGAGGGGATGGACGTGTCATTGACTGAAATCTATGGATGCTCTTGATGAAGAAGAGATCATGGAAAGGTCTTATAAGCCGTTAGGAGCGGCTCCCTCAATGTACTCAGATGAACGGGGGTTTCAAAGCAAACAATGTATACAAATGAGTTTTCTTTTTCCCTTGTGCATACCAACTTTGAACCGACCTCGCGAGCCTTTTTGTGAGGACTCTTCAGCCATATAAGCTAGAGATATCTTACTGGCTCCTTTCAAGCAGCATTTCTACCTCCAAAGTTCCTCGGCAAGTGTCTAACCCTCCACTCCTTTTCTCCAAGTCCCAATCCCGCCTCACTAGCATCCCTCTGCGCGACATACGGTCTACTAGTCTTATCCTTCATCAACCCAAACATTTCCTGCCGCTTAAGTTTCTGCGCATCTCCACTATAAATATCCTCCAAGAACACCCATTGAGGAGAGTCGAATTTGCCTCTGACCAATACGGTTTTCGACCCTTGCAGAGCTTTGATTTCTTTGACGGACATGGGTGTTATGAGTTGGAGTTCTTGCTTTGCGACGTTGATGCCGCGGACGATGGCGAGGCCTTTGCAGCAGGAAAAACGCGGGTCTAGCGGTTGGATTAAGCCGCTGTTGTCGGGGCGGAGGTAGGGTAGTCCCTCTGGCGTCCTGCCGATTCTCTCAGTCATGGTTTCTCCCATTTCTGCTGCTGAAGCGGAAGGAACATGAGGAGGTCTGTATTGGACTGTAGCGTAAGCTTCATCAGACTCGACTTCGCAGATGGCGACTGTCATGCCATCGATGATCGATGCCAGAAAATCTGGATTTACTGCTTCGCCATAGGACATTATGGACGAGATGCCAGCGTTGGGACCATTGTATTTGACGTGCCAAGGATGGATTTGGGTCAAGGGGTTGCTTGTCCACTGAGATAGTCCTTTACTGGGAGGTAAAGAGTGGAAGTATGACATGGCTTGCATGGCACGCAATTCAGCGCTCGTACGGGATTGAGCGGGTTTGTAGCGGGGTGGGATCATCAACACTCTGGCCATTGGTAGTGTTGCTTCGATGGATGCGACGGTGTCTCTTTCCATAGGCTCCATAAGCACTACGTCTGTCAGAGGGAACTGCTGTACCAATTCCATCATGGCAGAGACTGCAGACCCGAGCACCCAACCAGAGCAGTTGAGGATCAGTGGTGCTCCTGGGAAGTCTTCCAAGGTACGGAAGTATGCGTCACGCAAGTCCATCGCGCAGGCTAGGAAGTGCACAACATCATCTCTTGGCGAATTGGCAGCAACAGTATGTGATCGGATAGTTCTGTGAGCCGAACTGACATGGCCAGAGGGGTGCGTATAATTAGGTCCAAGGACAGGTGATCGAATCTGCACCAACGACATTTGACCAGGTGCTGAAAATTCAGGCTGTCCGGGATCAAGATCCAACCAAAAGCAAGATGTGGAGCACGTCGCCTTTGAGGCAGTCAAGAAAGTGTTGATGATCCATTTGCAGATAGTCGACTTGCCAGAGCCTTTTGGACCAGACACCATGATTACTGAGCTTGGATGGATTGCGGTTTGTCTGCTTAGGACTCTGTTCAGAGTGACTTGGCAATCTTGCTCTACTTCCAGTGCTGTGACAGCGCGCTTCAATGGGTCGTCTGAAGAGTCTCGAAGCAGTGCAAAAGATCGCGAATCATCTTTCGTCTGCTTTGCGTCCTTGGAGGTCTGGGCATGCCAAAGCTTCGTCCAAAGTGGAGAAACATTGCTCAGAGGACCGAGTAAAGGAATAGTCGAGATAATGTCGACTTCAGCAGGACCGCCCTTTGCAGTGACGGTTGGTAATGCATGGCTAGTGGGAGCAAATACACGATGTAATTTTGGACCAGACCTTAGGATAGCGCCATAGATCATGATGTAGCCAGAGTTGACGCGTAGATCGTACTCTCCAACAAAAGTAGCGGTCTCTCCAGCTTGTAGCCTCAGACTAAGCTTGTCAGGAGAGTCCGAGATGACACACTGTTCGTCCATCGGCAGGTTAGATAGTTTGCAAGGTTGACTAGCCTTGTACGAGTTTCCGTTGTAAGCACGAGCGTAATTGCCATCAAAGTCGATGGCATCTTCGTCGTTGTCGCTAGATGCATGGCTATCGAGTTCGTGAGCCTTCGCTAATGGGAAGCTCGACAACAAAGTAGAAAGCTCTGTATTGTCAGAGCCAGCACCGCCGTTGGTACGAGGAGCTTCGGTAAGATTGTCGGCAGGTGTCGGGTTCGTCTCGATTGTCTTATCAGAAACTATTTGGTTTGATGCTGCCTTTGCTTTGGCTGCGGCAAATGCACTCATACGAGCTGATCGAGGGGTGAGTACAGTCATGATTTATCTGAGGGGTACAAAATAACGAGACTCACGTTTAGCGGTGGGTGCAGGAAATGCTTCCTGGGCTTTTCTTTTTTGCTGCATGGTCATGTTTTTGCAGGATCGAGACCTTAGTGTCGGTCCGACGATTCTTATCGTATTGTTCGTATGTACAGTGCTCCTGGGCCGTGAAACCAGGTTGGGAGTTTGTTTGTCTGTTTCTCGAGGCCTTTATGTCAACAAATGCCAAAACTAAAAGATTCAATTTGACGGTATAAAAGTTAAAGACGTTGATGGGTTGCCAGATTGGGGATTTTGCGACGGAGAAGAAGGCGGAGAAGAAGAGCTTGGCAGCGCTGCCGAAGCTTTGATCAAGCCGCCAAAAATTATCTCGACATGGTCTTTTTCTCTTGCATACCACGCACAACAGAAGACTCGCGAGGGTCGCCTGTACACAACACTCATACAACATTCTAGACTCGGCCACATTCTTCGATATCAATACCACAGTCAATCGCATAAGCAACATTCCCTACCAGATTCGCATGCTTGGTTAGCATCTACAACCACCATCACTCAACATGCCCAAGGTCAAGGAGACAAGAGTCGCCCTGACCGGCGACGCTGCTCTCAAGGGGGCTCCTAAGATGTCCGAAACATTGCGCAAGGCCCCTCCCCATTCTGAGGAAGTGCAAAACGTTAGCGACAGCGATGAATCCAATAGCGACAGCAGTAGTGGTCACAGCAGCGGAAGTGAAAGCGATGCAGAGAAGCGCAAAAACACCAAGAAGCCCAAGCCATCAAAGGTCAAAGAGACGGAGCCCAATAGCCCCCCGGTCCCCGATGATAGTGACGAGGAGGATTCGGACGCCGATCTGGAACGCGCTGTCGCAAAGACAAAGGCACAGAAGGATGCTGCAAAGAAGGCTCCTGCTACTGTGACGGCCAATGGTGCAGCACTCAAGACGTCCAAGGCGACCAAATCATCAAAGAGCTCGGAGAAGGTTTCGGAATCAGACGATAGTAGTGAAGAGGAGGAGAGCGACAGTGATGTCGAGATGGCCGACGCTGAGAAGCCTGCTGCACCCGCCAGAGCCGCTGGTCAAGCTGCTGCTCCCGAGACAACAGTAGTCGTCCCTCCTCAGCCTTTTGTTCCTCCACCAGGTTACAAAGCACTTAACACAAAGACCGCCCTCGCAAAGACCGCAAACTCTCTCTTCGACCCTTCCACCATTTCCTCGAAACAGATCTGGCACATTACCGCTCCTTCATCCGTTCCGCTATCGCAAATCAAGTCCGTGTCACTCTCCGCCATTCAATCCCACCAAACAATTCTCTCGCACAACGGAACCGACTACAACTTGGCTGAGGAACCTACAAACAATGCCCGCGTCTTGCTGCCATCATCAAAATCGGACGCTTACACCGCTGTCGAGGTCCCTGTTTCGAAAACCCTCCACCTGCAACAAACCATCCGCATTCCCGACCTCTCTGCCTACCAAACAGACCCTAACACTGGCTCAAATGCTGCTGGAAGTCTTAGAACACCTGCCGTTAGCAAACCCCGTCCTCAGCCCAAAGGCATGAGAATGCGATACAAGCCTCCAGGTTTCGGCGATGAAGACCCCGGTCTCATCGGCTCCTCAGAAGACGAAAGTGATGCCAACGCCAAGCAAGTCGAGAAATCCGCAAAGGAAGCTCGCAGCAAGCGCAAGCGTGACGAGAAGGAGGCAACAGAAGAGTCAGGCAAAGACAAGAAGAGGAGAAAAGCAGCAGAGGCAGCTGAAAAATTGGCAGAAGGTACCAGAGCTGAGGCGCCTGAGACGGCCGAGGAGAAAGCTAGAAAGAAGGCTGAGAAGAAGGACAAGAAGAAGAAGGATAAGAAATAGATGGGGTTGCTGCATATACCATGCGTGGAGTTCTTTTGACAATGTGTATCTGGGACAAGGGCGTTTTCTGTTGTATGTACAGCATATCAAAAGTGGGAAAGCATTGTTGTTTTTCAGACCTTCATATCCAATTTGTCCTCTATCGCATTTGAGGTCTAGCTTGCTTTGTTTAAAGCTTGCCAAATCTGCTTTTGATGCTCAAAGTTGAGTGGAGGTATGACATCCCTCAAGTCTGTGACAGATGCTTGATTTGGCAGTCGAACGCATGGCTTATCATGTATTCATCGATCGTGAGCCTCACTATAATATACGTCAAACAATCAAGAATGAATTAAAGTTTATACATACAAAAAGTGTTTCTGAGCTGTCGTAATTATGGTGACCCTGTCATGTCTGTTTAGGATGTTGCACAGCCACCGCAAGCCCTAGCCACATTTTCAGCCGCGTGTGATGGACTTATGATGTGCGACATCTGGTATCGACGTCTTTCAAAAGAAACATATCAAGACACAAACTCGACATATGATCTGACATGTCCGATGATGCGAGCCAGAAGACCTTGGATGCTGCTTCGGTAGCAGACGAGGCTGCTCCTGACACCGCCTCGTCACAGCCGCGGACGACATCTCGGGGCGCCAAAGATAACCAAAATGGAGAAGACGTGATGGAAAACTCACAAGAGATCCGGCCGCCGCTACCTCCCAGACCGTCAAATTTGGATTTACTGGATGAACGGGGCGCTGGAGGTTCCATCAGGATGCCTAAACGGATGGCCTCACGACCAAATCTACAAGCACGACCAACTACTGCCGTTTCCTTGACTGATGTCCATACATCAAATAACCTACAAGACCATGGCTCTCCCAATCTCGCTCCTGCCAGCAGACCTGTATCCAGGAAACAGAGTAATGCTAACATGGACCGGTTTCGAAGTCGTGTGGGCAGTGACGCAGCTGAAACAAGCAGTGTCCGCAGCTTCACAAACACGCTCGGAACAGGCGCTGAGATGGAAAGTCTACTCGGTGACCCGTTCCCTACAAGCCCTGCTTGGAAATCTCTCAGTGCACAACTGGAAAAGGAAAATCCGATGGATCACGTCTTTGATGAGGACGATATTTTCAGCCTTCGCATGCATCATGAATTTGACGAGTTGGAGAAGTTCAGAGCTAACGGAACGAATGAGGAGTTTTTGATGAATTCGTGGACTTCGAAACTAAAGCATTTCTTCATCCTGTCCTCGGCGGGGAAACCCATCTGGAGTAGACACGGTGATGATCAAGTCATTGCCAATCACATTGGTATACTGCAGACCCTCATCTCGTTCTATCAAGACGTGAACGACAATCTACGCGGCTTTACTACTGGGAATGCAAGATTTGTCATCTTGTCCAAAGGCCATTTGAACCTGGCAGCCATCAGCAGACTCGGCGAGAGTGATTTGCAGCTTAGAACACAGCTGGAATCTCTGTATATGCAAATCCTTTCGACGTTGACTTTACCAAGCATGCAACGCATGTTCTCGAACCGACCTTCCACAGATTTGCGACGACCACTACAAGGCACAGAAGTCCTACTCGGAGCCCTAGCCGATGGATTCACAAGAGGCTCTCTACCAACTCTGCTCTCCGCACTCGAATGTCTCAAGATCAGAAAATCACACCGCCAAGTCATCAACAACACTCTCCTCAAAGTCAAATCACCAAATCTACTTTACGGTCTTATGGTAGCGGGTGGCCGTCTAGTCAGTGTAGTGCGACCACGAAAACACTCTCTGCATCCAGGAGACCTCCAACTCATCTTCAACATGCTCTTCGAAGCCGGCAGCGTCAAAGCCGGAGGAGGCGAGAATTGGATTCCGCTTTGTTTGCCTGGGTTCAACAATACCGGTTTCCTTTACATGTATGTCAGTTTCTTGGACATTGGCCAGGATACTGCAAAAGTGTCGGAAGAGAGGCCGCGGCCTTCGACTTCGCCTAGAGATGATGATCAATTGGCTATTATCCTCATTAGCGCGGACAAAGAGGCTTTTTACGAATTACGCCAGATGAGGGATGATTTGATCGAGGTTAGTTTGTTTCTTTGCTCACCTCTACCCTTATCTCTTTCTTTCACAAGATTACTGACACCATTCCTCCCAACACAGCAACTCAACACCAACGGCAGCATGTCCATCCTCAGCACCTCCATCCGCCACGGCCGCCCCTCCATCTCCTCTATCCTTCCTTCCTCCCCTCTTCTCCACTTTATCTACAAATCGCGTCCTAACGTCCAATTCTTCACTCCCTCGTTCCACCCGCACTTCTCCTCCTTGGTCCCCCATCGCCGCCTCGTATCTCTATACTCGGCTTTACACACTGCGGTCCATAATAAGACAGCACATCTCAAGGTTCACTATGCCTGTGCGAGGGATGCAGTCGCGCTGGGTTGGGAAACTAGAGAGTATGAATTTTATTGCGTTGCAGGGGCGGGCGCGAGTAGAGAGGCTGTGGCCAAAGCGGCGCAGGAGGTTGTCAAGTGGGTGAGACGGGAAGAAGAAAGGGTGTTTATTATTGGTGGTGCTGTGTTTTGAGCGCCGACTTTGGGTCTTTCTTCTCTTGACTGAGGATTTGCGTACCATATGATGCGAATACATCTTTTTGCATTCGAACAACCTTGCTTTGCTGTCCATCTGTCCTCTGTTCAAAACGCAATCAAAAGCATCACACAAGAAAGCAAAAAGCCGTATGGAAATGTTCAAAGTCTGAGACGTAGAAGCAACAGAGGAAACAAAAGTGGTAAAGGAATCGAATAAGCAATTTCTTTTGATACAGGAGAATTTTTCTATTTTGCTGCAAATCTTATGCACATTCCAAAGTTTCATGATTCATCTCTTCTTGTTCTTTCATGTAAAAGTGTTTGTAGCTCTTGTCTTTACCCCAGTGTAGCATGTAAATGCTTTGGAAACCTCTGTGTTTTCTATTCTATCTGTTTGGTATACCTGCTGGACGTCTAATCCGTCTCTGAAAAAATTAGTGTTAGGAGGAGCTCGGAAGGAATACATCAGAAGTTGCAGAGCTCGCCATTTTGCGGTCGAATACGTCGTAGCAATGTACAGCGTTCTGGCAGGTGAAGTGCTTGATCCGGACAGCTGAAAGGCAGAGCGATCATCAAAAACCAGGTACTGGGACAGCCCGGCTGGCCGGCTCCATTGAAAATTGTAAGTACGGACAACTCTTGTGCTTGTTCAAGGCTCTGCGTCAGTGGCGCGATGTTGCTCTAACCAAGCGAGGCGCATAACTTCGTAGAGGAAGAGGAACTGGGCTTCGCTCTGAACCATCATCATACGTTGCTTCCTCATGGCGTTGACAGTATCCAAGATAGGATCGACGTCATCAGGCACGGATTCCAGACTGCCGCGTCTAAGATGAGCAAGCAGAAAGTCCAGAGCAATGAAAGTACCTGATCTACCAACACCAGCAGAGCAGTGAACGATGCGTGGACTTGCTGTAGATGATGCGGTTTGGTCTGATGCTGCTTCGAGAGGGAATGACGAGGATTTGGACACGTCTGGTGGTAGGTTCAGAGTTGCAGACTTTGTGATGAGGTTAAGCATAGCATTGCGATTTTCGCCTTCTGGGACGGAGAAGTCTGGCCAACCAACAAAGAGCAAGTGATAGATTTCTTTTTCGTTCCATTGGCGTTCTTCTCCTTCTCTAGCTGGGGTATCTGTGTAGCGGAGACGTAGGTGGCGGATGGTGCATCGGCAGGCAGTGTCCTCTTCAGATGACAGAAGCTCGACGTTGCCTTCGAAACCTGGGAAACAGACGTTAGAACATGGCGGATGTGGCTTGTGTGACATGAAACTGACCATCATCAAGATCAGGGTCCGGGTGTAGCTCGAGGGGAGTGTCCTGAGTGTCAGGAAAGTACTTGAAACACTTTTCACGGCCAGCCTCGTGTGTCTGGGTAAGCATGACGACAACAGCAGGAGTGTTGGAAGTAGATTCTTGGGCAAGCATGCGGTAGAACTGCGAAGTCGAAGTGTTCTTGGGACCCTGAGTAGCAATGTAGTGGCGGGGGCCTAGTACGATAGGGGAGGCATTGATGTAGTCGTTGAAGCCTTTAGCGACATTCAACTTGACACGGTTGTTTGCAAAAGGCTCGACATTAACGTAGCGATTGCGGTAGGCGATGTGATCGCCGGTCAAGCGGGTCCATTCCGACTCTTTCTCTGGATTCTCGTACTGCTCGGTCAAGCGATCACGCTGTAGGTTTTCGAGGTAGTTGAACTTGTTGACGAGAGTAGGACGGTCTTGACGAAGGAATTGTGGCAGCGAAGAAGGTAGATCGGATAGCGACTGGCTGGAAACGGAACGAGTAGCCATGGCTCGTCTGATGCTGGCAGAACGTCTTTCGAGGAACTTTTGTTGCTTATCAAGTAGGCGAATGCGCCGGGGCGATGTGTGGGGAGCCAACGTGGCGGAGGAGGGAGTGAGTTAGCTAGTCGTGTTCGCGTCTGAGATGTGAATGGAATGAACCAGAAGCGATGCTGAAAGAACAAATTGCGTAGGTCGTGTGAGTGAAAGTGCAATGAGATTGTGTGGATTGGGCTGTGCGAGATTCGAGGCTCAAAAGCATGAAACATGACATGGCCATGACAGACCTGGAACTGCCCCTCAATCGGCTGCCCCTTCTCCCGAGACCGTTTCGGATTTTTGATATGCTACCGAGAGATACTGATACTTGTCTGTAGACATTGCTTCGATTGAGATTTTGCAGGAGCAAACATATCTCAAGAATGTTCCAGTAGTTCAGTCAGAATGGTCAGGTCGTTCGTGTTGCTACAGCTCCAAAGTGGGCAGGTGCATGCTGCAGTCGAACGCAAGTTTGGGCCTCGGTTGCTCCTTCCTTCTTAGCTGAACGTCCGTCCAAAAGTCCATTATCTCCGTCGCCGTCATTGAAACGCTCCTTCCTTCTCTGAACAACGACCAACAAGTCTCTGCTCCTCGTCACGACCTCTTGTTATAGACTTGATTGTATAGTAAATATGGGTCCGTGGTTAGCAGTCCTAGAGGTAAGCAACAGCACCGTGAAAGCCTGCATCGCCACTCAGCAGCTAACCTCAGTACAGGCATGGCTAGTGAAAAAAGTATGCGCCCTCGCCGAACCACGCTTGAGACAAGACTGACACTAGACTCTCAGCTACTTGAGAGTCAGACATTCCACCAGGGTGTTCGACGAGTTCACAAGAGTATTTACCGTCTACGCCACGGCCCTCTAGAAGGAGACGACGGCGGCACAAACCTCGAGAGTCCGTTGCCCCTCAGAATTCTCATGTTCAAGTCATCGCCTGCTGACAAGATCGTACAGGACAAGGTCCAGGTTTCGGGAAGCATTTCTGGGACGAAATTCAGGCACAGGTTGGTCGCAAGAAGCCTGAGAATCCGCTCGAGAAGTCCGACCCAACACACACTACACAATCGCATTACTCTACCTCGAATCAATCTGCACGAGAGCAGACTACAAGACGAAGAACAGACACTCCGCCTCAATCTCCAAAGGAAGGCTTCTTGTCACACTTCATGGACGAGCTACGCTCACAAACCCGCGGCCGCGACAAGAACCCATGAGTCACGCCCATTCGACTTCTCTTGATCGCAACATTCCAGAAGCTCTGTCTCGAGAACACACTCGACTACTATCTGCTCCACCTGCGCTGTTCTGGATGCAACATGTCCATACCGCCGGCATGTCCTGCCACACCCAAGACTTCTCCCTCATGAGAGACGTACAGTCGTTTGGACATTCGCTTCCTCACAATTCTACGGCCTTCGGGTCCAGAAATGCGTGGCACACAAGTACAGTCACTAGCTGAATCCTCCAACGAGGCACCAGCATCGCATAGACTCAGTCTCACGAGTGCAACAACACTCCCGCTCGACCATGAAGCCAATTTCTGCTTGCTTGCTCGAGCACTCATCCAACAGATCCTGACTTTTTACCATGTTTGATTTGCATAAACGAGTCTCACCGTATATAGGATGCTGATCAGTTCATACTTATATCATTCACCCCACCTATAAACTTACGTCATGCTTACAAAATGGTAATTGTGACATGTGCTATTTCAACCATCACACCTTCAATGTCCACTTTCCTGCTCTCAAAACAAAACACTATAAGACAAAGACCACTTGTTCAGCATGCCTAACGCAATTGTTACCGGTGCCACTGGTAAGCTACTACAACCACCACATATATCGGACACAAAATGAACCCATTACCACAGGCATTCTCGGTCGCGAGATTGTTTTTGAACTTGGCAAGGACACCAAAACATGGCCCACAGTATATGCTCTATCTCGCAGCAAGAAAGAAGACTACCCATCAAATGTCAAGCACACTCATCTCGACCTCCAAGGAAACCCCGAGGACATGGCAAAGGAACTTGAACATGTTGATGCTGAATACGTCTTCTTCACCGCCTACCTCGCCCAAGACGACGAAGACGACGCAACAAAAGTCAATGGCGACATGCTCCAAAACTTCATCTCTGCCCTCAAGCTCACCGGCGCAGCGAAGAAGATCAAGCGCTTCATCCTAACCACTGGCTGCAAACAATACGGCGTACACTTTGGCGCCCCCAAAAACCCAATGCAAGAATCCGACCACTGGCTCAAGAACCCCTCTTATCCCTCAAACTTCTACTACCGCCAACAAGAGATCCTCAAGAGAGAAGCAGAGGAAAACAACTGGGAGTGGACAGTAACCTATCCCAACGATGTCGTCGGCGTAGCAAAAGGCAACTTTATGAACCTGGTCTCTGCGATTGGCATCTACGCATCCATCTGCAAGGAACTCAACCAACCCCTAATCTGGCCAGGTTCCCCTCACTTTTACACCATGTTCGATAGCTTGACCTGTTCAACCTTGCACGCTAAGTTCAACACATGGGCAGCCTTTGCACCTGGCGCCGCAAACCAAGCCTTCAATGTCGTCAACGGCGACGTCGAATCCTGGCAAAACCTCTGGCCCAGAGTCGCCAAAAAATTCGGCTGCAAGATTCCTGAGAAAATGTTTGAGGATAAAGACTTTAAGAATGACTTTGGTGATGAAGGACTTGTCATGCCCTTGGAAGAAACCCCTCCGATTTCTGAATTTGCAGCCGAAGCTGGTCTCCTCGACACTCCCGCCCTCAAACAATCCCTCGTCGAAGCCAAAATCGATCTCGGCAAATGGGCACAAAGAGACGACGTCAAGCAAGCGTGGAAAACCCTTTCTAAACGCGAAGGCTTGGATAAATCTGCGTTTGACAATGCAACATGGATGTTCTTGAACTTTGTCCTTGGAAGAAACTTTGACTTGGTAATTAGTATGAGTAAAGCTAGGAAAGCTGGGTGGACTGGCTATCAGGATACTTGGGAGAGTATTGAGGAGGCGTTGGAGAGGTTGGTTGGGGAGAAGGTTATTCCTGCTTTTAAGTGAGGAGGAGGGTGGATAGGTTGATTGGTATTTGAGTAATGTAATGCCTGCATCTTTGTGAGTTTTCACCTGGTGAGCAATTGATGCTTATGTACTGGACCGGTATCAGTCATTTACAAAGTCTTCAACGCCACCTAGATACGATCTAATCAGGTCATACCGCAGGCTTGTATAAGCCTCGCTACCCAGCTGTTCAGTCTGGTGTATAGTCTACTAGGTTTTGATGTAGGCTATCTAAAAAAGTGCTATTATAGCTACCTGGATGAGCACTGCTATAACTCCGGGCCTACTTATCAAGACAACCTAGTAAAAGGTTCTGTAGAACCAGAAGATACAGCGGTGTCTCAGGCACACTAAGCAGCGACGAGGTGCTCCCGGTCTGTGTCATCCGACATGTCTTTTCGTCGCCTGTCTCTTCCCAATTCCTCGATCTCTAGATCTAAATCTCCACCAGAGGCAACACCGGTCCAACCTCCCAGCCGGATGTTTCGCCATTGACTCAAACCTTCCTCTGATTTATTCTTCATGATCAGAAAAATGTGAATCAGATCCTTCCATCTGAGCCTGATAATGGACACGGTCTGGTCTGTCGCTGATGGCTCACGATCGAAAAGGCTTGGTCGTACTGTGGTTGAAAGTGATATCAGCACGACGAGCAATATTGCACCGACGAGGAAATAAGACACTCTCTATTCGGAATGGTGTCAGCAAAATCGCTCAGCATGGCAACACAAAACGATACCAGAGGACATCATCGGATGGGCTACTCACAATCCTCGTGCATGAAGTGCTGAATTGGCTAGCTGCTGCAGGATCGAGAACCCTCTCTTTCCAACCACATACCCAAGCCTCTCGTGTGTAGTTCCAAGGCAAGCTTTGGGCGCCAAGCACCAAACTTCCGCCGATTCCTTCGCTGAGTTCTTCTAATTGCTCTCTCGAGGGCGGCACAGCCTTTCCAAACGCTCCATCTAGGATTCGAGAGGTCCAGGCGGCCAGACAAAAGAGGCCGGTCGTACTGAAGATTAAAAAAGCCATGACTCTGTCGGCTTGGCCTGCATCTCGGCATGCCTCCTGCATCTCTTGTGAGAAGGACGTGTTCCAAGAACGATTGTGATAGTCCTCTCGGCTGCTGGACTCCAGCTTGCGAGTCTTATCCACCCTTTGTGCTTGGATGATGATATAGGCAAACCCCGTCGCAATAGCCAGGATGCAGACTAAGCTGATAGCAAGGGGATCTTCCAGATTTATCGGTAGATACTGAATAGCCACGGTCGAATTTAATCCTTGGGGATGTGTATGATCAAAAATAGAACCTGAAGGCAGGCTGACAAGAGTTGTGCCATTACCCGGTTGCGAAGTACCATTCTGCGAAGAAGGATAGACAAGCCACAACACAATTCCGAGCACCGCGAAGACTGGACACAATGCTAGTCGTACAAGAAAAGATCCAACTTCTGCAGAGCGAGGGGTTGGGTTCAACATATACGTTTGTTGTTCGGCCATGTTGCATCGAGGAGAACAGGTAAATACTGCAGTGGAACAACTTATTCTTGTCTCGGAAACAAGATCATGGGAATAACGCAATCGGTGCCACTAGGATTCACAAGTCATGCTCAAAAACGATCAGAATCCTTCTTTGTGTTAGCACAAAGCGCATGATGTCATTCGTATCGACGTGAGCTTGCATGTCAGGCAGACACCCTACGTAGGATGTTGTATATAGCCGATACAGATTGGAATTGCGATGTCTACTGATCTTTAAGCCGTGCCATATCGCCTTTGACTTGGTGGGGACCTCCTGTCCTTCAAGTGGCGGGAGTCGAAACGCTGTAACGTAGCGGAACGATTTCCTGGGTGTGGGATGTGTTTGACGCCGAGCCGGGCAGACAGTACCGTAGTCTCGAAGCTAGCTTGTTAGACAATTCTTGCCCGTGTTATATTCATCCCGGCTTCCGGCGCCAATCCTAGTTAGTTCCTCGCGTTCTAATGACGAGTATCAATACAGCCAGTTGAGCATTCAAGTAATAGTTATCTATAAATCCCATTCCAGCATACTCAGGTCCAAGCGTGCCCAGTGAAGCTAACGTCTGTGATCGGCTTTTCTAGATCAAAAAAAAAAAAGAATCCTATGTTCTTCTGTAGCGTTATGTATAGTTTCTAGGATTTCCATGATGTGTAATGCCTTAGTGAACGTCGTTGATCGGTCAGTCTTAATCATAATCTGTACTCCTGTTTCTTATCTGACGAAAGTTCTTGTCGTATCATTAACCTCTAGTGAATATGCTCCAATGAGATCATTCTTTAACACTGACGTTCATCGAAATCCCTGCGACGACTCATCTTTATGCTCATCCGAGTATTTCTTCCATACTCGAACGATTACGAAGATGGCGGCTGTGCATACTACAGTGAGTATAAGTGTGACAATTACCACCCACACAGACAACGGAGACCCATTGATCTCCTTGATATTCATTCCAAAGACTCCTGTGACGAAAGACAGTGGCACGTACAAGAAAGCCAGCTGTGTCAGCGCTTGGTTGCGGTTCGAGCGCTCTCTTTCCACTTCGGCATTCATGACACTTGTCGAACTGACAAGGAGTTGGAACGACTGCATCAAGAAACCCTCAAGGTGAGTGCATCGTTGGAAGATCTCTGGCAGAGCTTTACTGGGGAAACCCACAAATTGGTGAATTTCAGAACCGTTCGAGCGAGCGGTGTCCTCAAGCGTCCGTTGAATTGACTCGAGGTCTTGTTGCACAGATGGAGGCAACCATTTCCTGGTCATGTCCACCTGATCCTGCAGAGAAACCAATGCTTGTCGAAGGTCATGAAGACGATCGTTGATCAGTATATTCGGACGTCTGATCTCATTGAAAGCAATTCCTTTGATCTTTATATCAAGAAATCGCAGATTTTCTTCGAACAACGATGATACCAATAGATGGAAGAAGGTCTTGGGCGACAAACACTTCCCCGGTGCGAAGATTACTTCAAAGTGCCAGGCGTGGGAGAGGAAGCGCTTCAGTGACCTGTTGAGGGAGTGAGTGTTATCTTCGTAGAGATCTGGAATCACTAGACCACCACGGTTTTCGGCAAGCGGCAGATGCAGCGTCATTGCTGCTTGATCTTCTCCTGGAGCTGTGCTCGATCGAGCTAATGGACCATCGATGAGAAGCAGACCTATTATGAGGATTCAGCCTGATGACACCAGTGACTACCAATCGAGTCTCGGAGACTTCACTTACACAATGGTCGGGGCGAATCATGTCTCACGTAATAGGACACACGCGTGTTGGCTTGCCAACCGTATCCATCGTACCTTTTCAGTATGCGAGGAAAATGGTTTGTATCGAAGAGAATCTCCGCACTCGGGGGCGAATATCTGTTTCGTTTGCGAATCCCGTCAACATGCCAGTAAGAATGTGAATCAGAAGATCCTTCGCTCGGCTTCTTCTGCTCCGCTACAGTGTTCCCGAAAATGGCGTGCCAAATGGTGGATGTTACTAAAGGATTGCAAGCGTGTCTGGCGAAAAAGGAGTTGTCGATACCCAGATCAGAGACCAGTCTATCAATCCAAAATTGATCGATGTTTTCTATCACAACCACGACGCCATCTGAGCAGCTGAGATCTGTGACTTTAAACAGTCCTGCCAAGTCCAGTTCTTTATGCTCACTGACGGTGTGGTAGCTAGCCAGGGTCTTTGTACGTGGCGGTGTGCGTGCTTTCTGGATTTTGATCACTTTGTCCACACGTGAAGACAAGAAAGAATCCTGAGAATGTGTATTGTGATCCGCGATCGACATGTTTAGATGAAAGATGATTGTTCACTACTCTGATCTGCTGCTGAAGTGTTGAACAAGAGTGCTCGCACAAGAGCGTGAGTGGCACCTTATCGCGACATCGAAATAGATCTTGCTGGCTGCACCGCCCGGAGGCTGTAGGTGGCAGCCATCTTCACAGACCGGTTGGTGAAGGGTCGTCGAAGCACGTTTTGGGCAAAGATGCCCGACCAATTCAGCTCCAGGTGGTTGGCGGGCGTGGGCGGGGTAGAAAAGGCGGTCTGTGCCCTCTAGCTATTCCAGTCGGAGAGATTCCCAACACAAAGCCTCGACGTGATAATGTGATTGAGCACAAGAGTTGCAAATTAGTTTTCTCGCTCTACCTCATGATCATCAGCCATCAGATCATTCTTGTTCAAGACGATGTTGATATCTATCGCTACCCGGGTGACTGGAATATCTGTCCGGAGATGATACATCTAAAGATATCACCACCCTGCAGCCATTCTGCGGGTGAGCAACGAATCGGGCGACTTTATCGAGACTAGATGCATATTCAGCCTTGCAGAAGTAAAGGGCGGGCAGATTCACCCGAGGAGCTGAAAATGATTCCATGAGGACTCACACGGCACTGTTCGAAGGTCGCCGATAGAGATAGTGCTTCAACATTCGAGCCCTTCCCATTCCCCTCAGACCTCCATATTCTCGCTTCTCCGTTCCCTTCATCTGTAATACGATCAGCGAACTTTGATCAAACGCTTGTCAAATGGTCGGTGCCCTGGCAAAATGCTCGGAGCAGCACTAACGATAGCAACAGGTTCGAGAGGTGACGGAGGACGACACAGGCATCAGGGTGCTCTGGGAACCAAGGCAGGTCGAAGCGGAAGGGAATGGTCAAGTCATCGAGTAAGTCGCATCCAAGCACTTTGCCGCCCCATAAAAGCGATTCTGATTTCGAAACAGCATCGTTGCTATTCATGGCATCGGAGCACATCCAGACGACACCTGGTGCAAGCTTCGCAGAGCCGACCTCGACGTAACCAGACCTGAGAACTATGTCAACTGGCTGCACGATAATGATATGCTTCCTTCGAGAATTCCGAATGCACGAATCATGCGCTATGGATACCGGTCCGCCTGGCACGGAGCCGAAGTCACGGAGCAAGGAACATCGTCAGTTGCACCACGAGTCATAAAAACGAAAACATCGCAAGTTGCGCAGCGATTCCTGCAGGCACTTGGCCGGGTGAGAAAAGTTTCAGAGGTAGACGGCACACTTCTCTCGTTGTTGATGACAACACTAAGACGGCTCTCTAGAGATGTCAAAAGCGACCCCTTATTATCGTCGCCCACTGTTTCGGTGGACTGGTCGTTCTGAAGGTCAGGATTACTAATCGTTGCTTTGGCTTATATCCATTTGTGACCTAGATCACTGATCGGGAATAATAGGCGATCCTTGACGCTCGTGACGACCCGGATAAGTGGCCTAACATATTTCAGTCCATTACTGGCTTGATCTTCTTGGGCACGCCGTTTCGCGGTGCAGAAGGCATTAGCCAAAGCGAAATTCTGCAAGCTGCCTTGAGCAAGTATGACCAGGGTCATGTACAACCTGAGGTTTTGAAGATCCTTGATCCAGGCAACGAGCTGCTTCACATTTTGGTGGACAAGTTTGGAGAGATCAGGTCCAAGCCGAACAAAGCGCATGTCGCATGCTTCTACGAGACAATGCCTTGCGATATTGGAAGGATCATAGGTCAAGCAGGCAAAAATGTAAGCATCGAGCTAGTCAATAGTTTCTGCTCAGAGGAGCTGTAGCTGATATGTTAGCAGGCATTCATGGTTAGCGAGAGCTCAGGCTGCCTCGATGTGAGCGACAATACGGAGAAATGGTCCCTCGAGCGTGATCATTTCGGAATGAACAAGTTTAGGAACTCCAACGAAGAAGACTTTCAGATCGTGTGCGAAGTGTTGGAGAGGATGGTTGAGGCAGCACCTGACTTGTTGCTGGCTCGCTCCATGGGTATGTAAGCCTCGATGCTTTAGTGTTTACTTGAAACAACGAAGAAAGTATTGACGTTTGTTTTCCAGATCCAGGCAAATATCATGTACGATGCTCTTATAATGACAGTGCCCACTAACCGTTCAACAGAAGACGAGGTGAGAGTTATCAACGGCGTAAAAGCTCTAGTCGATGCCACCATGGATCCCCCTAAAGAACAAAGTGAGATGCTTGCAAATAGTATGCAAAGAAGCATGTCAGAGGTCATCGAACTTGCATTCAGCCGAGCCGAAATTTCAGAGGCTATCACCAAAGACGCACGGCGTGGTCCTCGAATTTCTCGCCATCATCGAAAAGGTGACATGGAAACAATCACGGCCATGATCAAGATCAACACTTCTGTACAAGTCAACAAAAGGAGTCAGTATCACATGTAACCTTTTTGAAAATCACCGCTTACCGTTTGTGACATAGCCCAGCGTCGCATCGCCGCAAAAGGTTTAGGTCCCTTGATCACAGAAACCTACAAAGACAGCTCGAGCATTGCCGACGGCACATTCGAGATGAAAACCATAAAGCGCATAACTGCGGATGGCAAGCATGTCTCGTTGGAATCTGTGATCACCTTCACCGCTAGCCGAACTCAGTACAAGGAATTCTTGCTATCGATACATCTGCTGCAGTTGTATGGTAGTCAGGGCGCAACAGTCATGCCGGCTACCATCATCATGCATGAAAAGATCAGCTACAACCATCCGATATTCCAAGCGATAATCCGAGGAAACTACGACACATTCACGAAACTGATTTCTGAAAGAAACGCAAGAATCTGGGATCGCGATCCAGAGGGACGGAGTTTACTGATTGTAAGCCGCGAACGCCTTACGAGTGACAATGACCTTGTTGATAATATGTCCAGTATGCAATTGCTTTTGGTCAAGTCGATATGGTTAGGTACCTTATTCAACATGGCATAGACGTGAATGACCAAGGAAAGCCGCTAGGGAGTGAAATTGTGCCCAGTAAGACTTTTGATAGCGTTGAAAGGGTAGCCAGGTCAGTGCGCGCAATGTACACTATCACCATATCGAGAGCTGATCGCGCATTAGGATGGATATGTACAGCATTTTGGATACTACGCAACATGAAATAGAGGCAGTCGTCTTTCATGACTCTAAGGAGTATCGCCCTCTATATAATCTCTTTGCGATACAGCGCTTACTTCTTGAAGCCGGTCTTGACCCTCAACAAGAAGTAGCAGAAGGTTACACTCGCCCATTTGAATGGGTTATGATAGACGGCACTTGTGTATGTTGTCTTCAGCACACTAAGGCCAATATTGATCGGTTCTACAGGCTACGTTAGAATGCTTCCTTGATCAAAGCCAATACACTATATTGTTGAGCGAAAAAGACTTCACAGACTGTGCTCAAAGGTCACATACAGACAGTTGGGCAAAACTGCGTTTGCTATGGTCTCGTGGAGCTATGCGGAAATTCAAGGGCAACATAAGAAGTTACATCTTCGAATGCATGCTCGAAAAATTCGTTAGCATCATTGCGCCTTTGGACATTGCTCAAACGCTCGATATACTCCTTGAGCGTAAGGCCAAAGACAGTACCATGCATCTTGGACAACTCGATCTCGATGATCAGGTTCAGCTCGTCACAACAGATCTCGATGACGCGGAATACGATTTGTGCCGACTTTTACAGTATACGACCGAGGCTCGCGTTGACACGATGGGACAAGATCTTCTCTATTGTGCGGTAAGGCGAGCACTGCTACGCAACGACTGGTGTCGAGATTGGATGAGACGACACCCACAAAAGCCGAGCACCTATGCAAGCAAATACACACCATTTCACCACCTATCCTGGTTACGTCCAAAGTCTTCTGTCTTAGGCGCCCATCCTGCATGTCCTCTTGGGAGCGACGAAAACGTTTCTTATGGCCGCGATGATGAAAATTGGCAGGAACGTTTCAGTATGGGCGAATGGCCAGAAATGAGCCCCCAGGAAGAGTGTATAGTAGCTCGCGGTGCCCTTGTTGAACGACACAGATATCAAGATAACCACAAATGGTTGGATACACTCAAATGGTCGCCACAGGGCGAGATTCGTGTCCGGACAAAGCTCTTGAGATGCCCAAATCCCTGGCGCGATTCATTTTCACATGAAGTCGACTCGAATACTGACGAAGGTGGCTCACCTCCAGACGGACCTGACGGGCGACAAGTGCCTTCGAGCGACTCTAGTCGAATTTCAGATGCAGCCGACTCAAATACAGACGAGGTCAGCTCGACTTCCGACGAATCTGAGTGCCAGGAAATGTTGGAACGATTGTACAGCGCACAGCAGAGAAATACATATCCGGAATGTCGTCATGCACAAGACTTTGAGTTGGCTCCAGGTCATCATGGTCAATACCTCCCACCGCTTGTCCAACCCAATAAGCCACAGGAGATGCATGGCGGACCTGGCCACGGCGATCCCGCGCCCATGGCTTTCAAACGCCGCCTGTCCCTTACTACAGATTTGCAAGACACAGCAGGAGGGCACAAAAGACTAAGGCTAGACGAACAGGATTTTGGTCAGCAAGGAACTCTACCACCCATCAAGTGGATTCTCAGCAGCACACCGAGCATCGGTTTCCAAAGTTCCGGGCCCCCCTATGCTTGCGAGCCTACGTCTCACTTCCCGAGCGAGTACATTGCGTTTTTTGGAAGATCAGATACAGGTAGAGTAGATTCAGGTCAAGTTACGGTTCTGCCCTCTATCGATTCATGGTTTCACCAGAGAAGGGTCGAGGAGATAGATGACAGCGAATTCCCTTAGCGTCGTTGGTCCCGATCTCAGTGTAGTATCACTCGCTTTGAACCACTTAATATCTTGTATGTATGTTTATTCGGTCTTCACCCATGTCCATCACAGTTCTTTTGTGGAGGGTTGGCTTGGCAATTTCAGACGCTCCCAGCAGTCTCAGCATTTCCTAGATAGGACTTATCTAGCCATCACTCGTACGTTGGTAGACTTGGCTGTGAACTTATTCACAAACATATGACGTCCAATCATCGACATCACCTTGCACATACGCGGCTATCTTCGGCCAAGCACACAGCTTCCTACTCCTTGTGTCTCCATCCGCTGGATCAGTAGTCAACACTTCCTCCGGCTTCTGCCCTCTCTCCACCCAATTCACCAATGCAGGAACAGTATGATACGTCGCAGGCACCTGAGGGTAGAAGCTCGCAGCACCGCAATGTCCACCCCCAGGCACCATGAACACATTATAAAAGTCCGAGATGTCGGTGCCGAAAAACGACTGCACGTCTTCGTAATGTTGTAGTGGCCAGAGTTGTGCGTTGAGTGGATCTGACCAGCCTTGGTAGACCAGGAGCTTGCCGCCTCTGTTGCGGAAAGCAGTCAAGTTGGTGCTTATAGCGTCGATTTTGGCTCCTGCGTTGGCGTTGAGGGTGGTCACGTCACTTGCCCAATTGAAGGTGCTTGCGTCGTAAGTCAGATTGTCGTAGACCAGGTTTTGCAGAATCGGGATGGAGAAGGCATCAGCGAGATCGCCCTCTTGAAGTATCCATTGGATCTCTGAGCCATGGGCGAAACCCGGATATAACGCTTCTCCGGTTTGTGCGTTCTTGGGGCCTGCGTAGATAGCTTTTGCAGCGGTGATTTGATCAGTCGTGAGACAGGATATGCTGCTGTTGCTGAGAGAGACTGTGGTGGCATTGCAAGCCAACGAGTCAATAGAAAAGTCACAGTCCAGAGGGTTTTCGATCACTCCATCTCTGACACCATCGTTGGCATCGCAGGCTTCAAGCACTGCTTGACCAGTAAAGTTCAGCACCGCCTGCGAGAGATAGGATGATGTATTCACAATTGCATGCTGTGCATTCCACAGGAAGGAGAGCGCAAGATGTGAGTACCAGTTCCCAGGACACCCAGCAATGATTCCATCGAAAAGCTCAGGATGATATTGAGCCAAAGCAAAGCCTTGTGCTCCTCCAGTCGAGCAACCTATGTAGTAGCTATATTCTGCTGCTTTGTTGTAGTAAGCTTTGATGATGTCTTTTGCCGATGGCACGAAGAGGGAGATGGCATTGTGAATCCACGCTTGTACTTCGTCTGCATTGTGCAAGTAGGGTAGGTAAGTGTCAGGAGCTCCAGAACCCGCATTATTTAGACTGGCAAGATGACCTGCGTCGCCAGCAGCAGACGCAAAGCCAGAATTCAGTTGCTGCATTAGAGCTACTGTATCTAATGTTCCAGCCATACCGCCATTTCCGACAGCTATGAAGCGACCATTATAGGACAACGCATCTGGCAGGTAGACTGAAAAGTGCAGAGATAAATTTTTGCCGTACGAGATTATGCCATCAACTTCGCAGAATGCATATTTGTTATAGATATTCTGAGCTCCATTGGTAACATTGACAGTGTGAGGTTGGTGATGGGTTGTATTCGTGATTGTGGTGTTGACTGGGAACGAGAGATTGCGAATGAACGTCGTACAGTCATTGTTCTTGACCGTGAGCAACGCGTTGGAGGTTGAAAGAGCGCCTAGAGCGGCGAGGATGGTACAGAACTTCATGTCGCTGGCAAAGACGCAAGTTCTTCCCGAGGCATCCTGTAATTTTATACTGGACGATCATGACGGGCTAAGCAGCCTGTGCTTGACCGCCGACCGACGTCGCAACATCTCCACCTGTGAGTCGACTCTTGCTGTGATAGACATCCCGTCGGCAATTCTGAGTCCATGATAGCCGATGACTGCATGTCTTGACCTTGGAAGTTGGAAGCGGAGCAGAGAGATATGCCACCTTGTCTGCTCGGTTGTGGAGTCTCCGCACTGTGTCATCGGCGGCTGAATTCAGAAGGCTTTCGGCGCCGACGTCCGATGCTACCTCACTCCATCCGGCATTTCGGCTGTCCACTGATGATCTTGCGACCAAAAGCGTGATACCAACGTTGTGCAGCGCAGGAAAGTTCTCGGACTCGAAGATGCACGGGAGTGATGGATCGCCGCTTGTTGGGCTCGTCTCGGCAAGTTCGTTCGTAAATATGTGAACCTGTCTTGTTCTTCTCAAGGAAAACGATTACTTGAATTACAATCGAAGACAACATGCCTACAGAAAGAAACCTGAGGATCGGAAACTGCAGCGGAGCAACTGGAGATGCACCGCACGCCATGGCTCGCATGGTACGGGAGGCCGACGTCGATGTCATTACTGGTGACTGGTGAGTCCCGGATTTGCATAATAGATGCCCTTGCTAAGTAGAGTCAAAGGCTGTCTGAGATGAACATAGCCTGGGAGTCGATCAAAAAGGCTGAAGATCCACATCTTGGATACGATGTGGGCTTTCTCAGGCAACTCACCGAATGCATCGATGATATTGCGGAGAGGAAGACCAAAATTATCACTAACGCTGGAGCAATGAATGCCCCTGTTTTGTCGCGTAAGGTCCAGGAGCTCTGCCAAAGCCGCGGCCATGATATAGTAGTAGCAACAATACTTGGAGACGACGTGAGTCATCTACTGAAGCGAAGCAAGTCGGGGGAGCAGATCCTTGACTTCCCTCACTTGGACCATGAGGAACAGTTTCTGGAGAACTGGGATCCTGAGCTCAAGCCCACATGTGCTGCGGCATATATAGGTGCTTGGGGTATTGTTGCAGCGCTCAAAGAGGGTGCCGACATCATCATTTGTGGTCGTGTCACAGATGCCTCACCAGTTATTGGTGCTGCTGCTTGGTGGTATGGCTGGTCTGAGCAAGCCTATGATCAGCTCGCCGGAGCACTGATAGCAGGCCATCTCATTGAATGCGGACCTTACGCCACAGGCGCAAACTTCTCTGGTTTCAAGCAATTTCTTCCAGATCTCGTGGACTTGGCCTTCCCAGTAGCAGAGATCACGCCGTCCGGGTCCTGCTACATCACCAAGCCAGACTCTATGAATGGAGTGATCAATCGATTCAATATCACGTCTCAGCTATTGTATGAGCTACAGGGACAAATGTATCTCAACCCGGATGTAGTGGCAGATGTCGCCAGTATCCGAATAGAGAACACAAGCCGCGAAAATCATGTCCTAGTATCTGGTTGCAAAGGTTATCCACCACCTCCAACTACAAAAGTCATGGTTGCAGCACCAGGAGGCTGGCAAGCAGAGACAACATACTACATCAATGGTCTTGACGTACAAGCAAAAGCACAGATGATGAAACAGCAACTGCAAAATATTTTCAGTGGTAGCCAGTTTTCAAAATTCTCCGCTGAACTGTATGGCACTCAAGTGGAGAACCCGTCTTCGCAACAAGCAGGCACCGTGATGTTGCGAGTGTTTGCCCAAGCACGCAATAAGGAAGACATCGCGGCCGAGAAATTCAAGATACCGCTGTATTCGTTACGCATGCAGAGTTATCCCGGCTACCACATGAATCTCGACTTCCGCACTATGGACCCGAAGCAGTTCTACGAAATCTTCCCAGCAACAATCCCACAAGCTGCCATCAACCATGAAGCTGTGGTAGCCGGAAAGAGAATTTCGATTGCTCCACCAGGGCAAACACAGCATTATCCTGTCCAAAGGCCTTCGTCAGAGACAGAAAGTCCTGTTGATCTCGCCACTTTTGGACCTACTGAGCGTAGGCCGCTCGGCAGCATCGTACATGCGCGCTCAGGCGACAAAGCAAACAATTCGAACGTTGGCTTCTTCGTCCGCCATGCCGATGAATATCCATGGCTACAGTCTTTACTCACAGTCGACAAGTTTAAAGGATTGCTGCAGGAAGACTATGCGGGAAACAGGATTGAGAGATGCGAATTTCCTAACATCCTTGCTGTGCATTTGTAAGTTTATGTCGATATACATTTGCTGTTGGAGAACGAGTACTGACAACCTTCTAGCCGCATTATGGATTTCCTGGATGGTGGCATCGCATCTAGTGCTCGTATAGATGGATTGGGTAAAGGTGTGGGCGAGTATTTGCGTAGCAAGTATGTGGATGTCCCAATCATGTTTCTGCAGAAAGGCGCGATCTGAGTCAAGATACCAAGATGGTAGTAGTTTCGTGGTAGACAAATGCTTTTTGTGAGATCTGTCCATTAACCAGCTCTTCAATACCCTGAGATTTGATATGTAGGTTCAACCAAATCGCTACCAGTTCCTAGATAACCAAGCCAATCTTGACTCAACTCCATGATCGGATCCTCGATCTGTTGCGTGTTGTAAAGCTGCTGTAAATCATCAAAGCAATGCAAGAATTCCGTGTCAACAGCCAAAGGTGAGAACGTGGTCGAGCCTCGTGCTGTTATCAAAGCGTTGCCAAAGGTACTGTTGTTGACATTGACAGGTTGCGGTAACATGGCTTGAGCCATTTGTTGCGCTTGAGCAGTTTGAAGCTTTATCGCATCGCTCAACACAGCATCCGCCAGTCTATCGAATACTTCATGACAATTTCTGAGTGCATTCCAGCGTTCGGAAACAGCCACCAGCACGTTTGAACAGGCTCTAGTATCGTTGACCACTTCGATAGTGGTCGGATCTTTGTGCAAAGATGGTTGAGACGGATTGCGCCAGCGCGAGCGAAAGTGTCGACTGCAGGCGTAGACGTACGAAAGACCAGCGAGAAATACCGACTGTATAGTGATCCAGCTGTAGTTGATCTTCCTCGACTTGTGAAGGCTTGCGTAGATCGTGATGCTTTGTTTTGCTGACTCGAATATGAATTGCAAAGATGTTGCATCGTGTGAGACGTCTGGCAGGAGTGGTGAAGGGCGCCACAGTATGAGCATAGCATTAGAGTACAGCAGGTTGTACCACTCCATGGACAAATGGCAAGAGGAGGATGTTTGTGAGGTCTGTTCGAGATGCAACTGTTCTACATGGTGTTTCCATCCATCGAGATCTGCACAAAGTTCTTGTCTTATGCGTAAGACATGTTGTTCTGAGACTTCAGAGCTTTTCTTTCGGTGAAGAGCGGCCACTATTCGTCCACAGAGCAGTCGATATGTTAGGATGTGTTTGAAGACAAACGGCAATGTCTGCCTATCAGTATCTGAAGGTAAGGATATCGTGGCATCCTCGTTGGGACAAACATGATCGAAATCGTCGTCCCTTATAGCACAAGGTCGACCAAGGATAAGCGAAGTGATTCTGTCCATACAAAGGACACTCCAAAAAGATCTTCTCTTTGACTCTTGTAATACGTAGCGTTTCGCTGTAGTGTCGTCATCTCCAGGTCCGGTCAAAGGGTAGGCTGACTCTTTGTGAAGTCCCATCTCGAAGCACATGCGAGCGGCTATGCCAACTAGCAGCCACATTGACCCGGAGTTGTCCTGTATAGAGCTACCAGTCCTGTATTGACAGAGCAAGAGAATGGCATGTAGAGACTGCAGCCCTCCAAGACGTAGGACGTCGCCTATAGTAGACATAGCTCGAGCATGGTGGCTCTCAGCACTCGGAAGCTGTCTCCAGTCATACTTTGAGACTTGTGCTGTACTGATCGCGAATAGCATGTCGACCACGAAAAGCTCGTAACACGTTAAACTAGCAAGCCCAGCACTGTACAGGCAGTCCAGAATCTTATAGATCTCTGAGGGTATGAGAAAAGGGTAGCAGAGAAAGTCGTGATCAAGGTACGCTTGTATCAGCTTTTGTGCCAATCTTTTGGAAGGAAGCTCTCGTGGTATCTCAGCACGGACATCTTCAGAAGTGTCCGGTGAGTCCTCTGTATGTATCGTAGATGGTGGTGATGGGTGTCTTGAGTGTGGGACGTCGACGCTCGCTCTCACAAGATCTGCGAAGAGCACTCCGCTCGTGGAACCCAGATATTGTCGCTCACCAGCAGCATTGGTAGACAATATAGAAACTTGTGCCGCGACATCACTTCGTCTGCTCGCGTTGTCGTTTGGCCTCGAGTGCTGAGACACAGTACTTGGAGTATCATCATTGCTGCTGGGTGGCCCGATCGACCTGATCTTAGCCAATTCAGCTGCCAAAGACTTGTTTCGATTCTCGGCTTGAGCAAGACGCCTCTCAAGTCGACTGACGACGTCCGGGCGGATTGCCCTATCCCTGGCCCGATCGGTATAGTGACATTGCGCCCCGCTTTTGCTACATGATGTACAGGGTTGAACTCGGTCGCATTTGCTCTTTCGGTGATAACACCGATCGCAGTTGGCAGTTTGCATGGTGGATGAGTAAGAAGCGGTGGTCGGGGCCGATAGGACAGATATGAAGAGGATTCGGCTGTGGGGTCCTATGGCGGGGTCTGCGGGGGTGCTCAATTTGGTCTGATCTGCATCCTTCAGGAGCGGTAGTTGGGGCCGGCGACCGAAGACGTGTCTCGTTGCTTTCTTCTCGATGCCTCAACATCTCTTCTGGTTAACATAGCACCGCTCGACTATAAGGCCGTGCCTCTCTGTTCACCAACTTCCCCAGATTTACCCCAGACACTCTCTCCTTACATCCTCTTCACGATGACCACCATGAACGAGAAAGATATCGGGCCAGAGTTCGTCAATGATATCGAGTCCGACAGCTCACGACAAGCCTATACTGGAGGAGGCTCTGCCGAGGACAAAAAGCTCGTCTGGAAACAAGATCTGAGAATTCTACCCATCTCTTGCGGCATATACCTCTTGTGCTATCTGGACCGATCCAACATTGGTAACGCCAAGGTCTTAAATGCTTCGACTCACAATGATCTGCTTTCCGAGACCCACATGACAGCCTACCAGTATACTATTGCGTTGATGGTGTTCCTCATCGCCTATATGGTCTTCGAAGTACCATCCAACTACTTTCTCAAACGCCTCAGCCCAAGCAAATGGATCGCTTTCTTGATGTTGTCTTGGTCAGTCATGACCATGGGCTTGGGTGGCGTCCACAACTTCGCTGGAGTCACGGCTCTGAGATTTATGCTTGGAGTATTCGAGGCGGGTCTGTTCCCTGGGCTCGTCTACTACCTTAGTAAGTGGTTGACGAAATGCACAATCAAATCACACAGTCCCTGAAACTGGCTTGCAGCGTTTTGGTATCGTACAGACGAGCGTAGTATCCGAGTTGCCTTCATCCTAGCATCAGCGACTCTGGCAGGAGCTTTCGGAGGAGCCATCGCATACGGTGTGGGTCATATGAACGGCACCGGCAGCCTTTCCGCATTCCGTTGGCTGTTCATCCTTGAGGGACTACCATCTCTGTTGTCAGCACCCCTTGTATGGTTCTTTTTGCCCGATTACCCCGAGACGGTGAAATGGCTGTCACCCGAGGAAAAAGCTCTCGCAGCAGAGAGACTGAAGTTTGAAGGCTCGCACGGTAACAGCAAGAGCATGACCTGGCAGGACGCCAAGACTACTCTCGTCGATTGGAGACTCTATGCCCACTATGCCATCTACTTTGGTATTTCGACACCTTTCTCGAGTTTGTCCCTCTTCACCCCTACCATCACAGCTGGTCTGGGCTTCAAGGACCTTACTGCACAGCTCATGACCGTGCCCCCCTACGCGGTTGCATATGTAGTGACACTTCTGGTGTCATGGTCCGCTGACCATTTCGATGCGTAAGTTGGGAGGTCCTGTGCTGTCGAAGACACAACGACTGACATGAAACAGACGCGCTTTGCATTCGGCCATTTTCGCAACAATCGGTGCGATCGGTTTCCTAGCGTCGGCTGTACTTCCTCCCGATGCATACAATGCTCGCTATGGCTGTTTGATTGTCGCTGCCGCTGGCTCTTTCTCATGTATCCCCCCTCTGTTGGGTTGGTTGTCTTCCAACTTGCATAGCACGGCTGCAGCTGGGCTAGCCATTGCCTTGAACATCTCTTTTGGCGCACCAGGCCAGATCACCGGAGTCTGGATTTATAAAGCTGATGAGAAGAAAAAGGGATATCCCACAGGACATTGGGTCAACGCTGGTTTGTTGTTTTTTGTAGCTGCAGGTTGTATTTCTCTGTTGTTCTTCTACAAGTTCAAGAACAGAAAATTGAGAAGGGAAGGAGCGGAAAGACTGTTCAGGTATTGAACGACTAGGCTTCTCTTATGTAGCTGAAGTATCGGAACGTAATGAATGAATCATCGTACCGGTCGAGAAGTTAGATTTCCGTCATTAACCCGGCGTGCATGATCTTTGTAGTGGTTGGGGGTTCATGTGCTCGGTCCAGTACGCATGAATAAGTTCGAAGGCAGCTTGCGATCCTTGAACTCAGGGTCCACAACGTAGTTGACCTCTTCCACAGGCTTGAAGCCCAGTTTCTGATACACGAATCTTCCCATAGCAGAACCTTCGGTCGTTGATTCTAGCCCTCCTCTATTCTTGGCTTCCTCCAAGCCCCATTCAACCAGCTTGTTAGCAATTCCTCTTCTCTGGAAGTCTGGATCCACAGCGCAAAGGTCCAAACTGAAAGTCGCAGGCGACGAAGTCGTTGCCTTTTCTTCGAGCGTCTTTACGCGCTGACTGACAAATGAGGCAAAGCCTTGACGCAGAAACCTCTGTTCTGTTGCGTCGCCCGGGTAAAGTTCGTCCAAATTCACTGCAGTGCTGACATCAGTCGATGGCTTGTCACCCATGCCATCGACCATAGACAGTTGTGCCCAGATGGCTATCCCGGCCATCACGCGCTTAACCGGATTTTCTGGGTCAGGTACAGTGGCTTTGAGATGCACAGTATTCGGCGCGCCGGACTTGTTCGCAGTGATTGATTGCCAGCGCTTAATCATACGGTCTCTTCCAGCGGTCGCCCCGTCATGGGTATTCCAGCCGGGGTTCATAGCCTGCCAGAAAACATCCTTGGTCTGTTGACCGAAGCATCTTGAGATTATAGCGAAGGCTGTCGCGAAGTCTTGTTCACTATCGATAATTTCGACGACAATATCTGAGGACTTTTGTGCTTTCTGCTCCGCCATTGTGATGATACTATGTGCTGCTTCGGTCTCTGTACTTGAGTAGAGAGAGAGGTTGTCAGCAAGCATGGAGACGTGAGGTTGGAAGGTGGGGCCGTGCGATGTTGCCAGATCTCATCCTTGGAACTTGGCACCTTTGATCTCGCGAACACATCAACCTTTTGACTTGAATCTGTCTGACCGCGATTGGCATCGAAACAGCATATCAGCTACACAAGAGTACGGCCGAGTGATCTAGGAAGATGACCTGAGCGACGTTGATACAAAAGTCATGTTTTCATCACGCATACGGCTGCGACGTCGAAACTATTGAGTCGCAGAATCGATTCTACCAACACTTATTACATTCACTGTTGCGAATCTCCTTGTTTCTGCAGACTCTCACTCTAGACTTACACGCGTATCGCTCTTGGCAAGTAACAAGATCGCCTGCACCACGACGCAACGACTTCAGCAGTCGCTACTTAGGCAAAGTCCTTTGGGGTCGGCTGAAGCTCCAGGACAGCAAGTGATCAAGACTCCCCATTGGGACTCGAGTACGGACTCTACGCAAATGAAACCTACGCCAATTAGGGATCTCGGCAAGTCTTTAATGGTGGGTGATATCACTTAGCACAGCACATCGCGTAACTGGACGGACAGTCACAAGCACATCTGATCAGGATATGTCATCGGACGAGGCTGTGCCTCTGCACGTCCACAGGCGGACGGAAACGACACAGCTGCGAGATCAACTTGCCTGTAATGCCCTCAATATGCCAAGGCAGATTCATATCACCAGTTGAAACAGGCCCTTCATCCCTTTGAAGATCCCGCGTCAGCAGATTGTAAATTGGAAGGATATGATTCGTTGTTGGAACAACTCCACCCGTTGGTTCGGTCCAAGGTGCTCTCGATGTTAGAGCCCTTACCCTTGAATTGCTCGTTGTCAGCAGCGCTAAAGCCAATACTGCATCGTGGTGCCCAGCCGCCGAGAATTGCTTGCGCAGCGCCTGTATCAAGCAACAACTCCAAACTCCAGGTAGGTCAATCAGGTATAAAACCTGCTCGTTCTGTCTCTCTACCTCTTCTTCTTTCCGAACATCAATCTCTTTCACATCATCATTTTGCTTCTCATTATGGTCAGCTTCAGAACTATCATTGCTTCAATGGCTTTGACCAGCCTTGTCGCTGCTCATCCCGGTCACGATCCACGTGAAGAAGCTCTCGAGCGTCGCTCTTACTACGACTCAGTGCCTCCAATCAAGAGATCTCTGAACCACCGCGAAGCAAAAATCAAAGCTCGTGGTCTTGAGCAGAGATCCCTCGCTCGCCGCGAGGCTCTAGCCACCAATGCCAGACAGAAGCGTGGTCTGGGTGAGACCTCTCTGCAGGACGAAAAACTGCTCCTGGCAGCTAACCAGCGAGCAGAGAAACGCGATGCCGCTTCTGTGCTTAACACCACTCATCTCTCCAACGACACCAGCATCAATATGGATGTCACTGAGGATTACCTCTTTGGAAACGGTTCCTGTATCCTTGTGCCTGAAGTAACTCAAGGTCCTTACTATGTCGAGGGCGAGTATATCCGCAAGAACATCACTGAGGACCAGGAGGGTATACCTTTGACTCTCGAAATCCAGGTCATTGATGTCAACACTTGCGAGCCTGTTCCTGATGTTTACATTGACTTTTGGCATTGTAATGCCACTGGTGTATACTCAGCTATTGTCGCCAATGGGAATGGAGACTCATCCGATACTGCAAACGTCAACACTACATTCCTGCGTGGTATCGCAGAGACCGACACCGAAGGCGTTGCCACTTTCGAGTCTATTGTTCCTGGCCATTACACAAGGTATACAATTGCTCTCCACTTGAAAATCAACGTGACATTGTTGACGAAATTCACTCTAGCCGTGCCAACCACGTTCACATCATCACCCATACGAAGACCACTCTCTACGTAAACGGCACAATGTCACCTGGTTCGATCCAACACGTGGGCCAACTCTTCTTCGACATGTCCCTGCTCAAACAAGTCGAAGCCACATACCCCTACAACACCAACACCCAAGACTGGACAACCAACGCCGAGGACTCGAGTTTGGCCGAAGAGACAGCCACCGATGGTGTCGACCCTGTGGTAGAATATATCCTGCTTGGCGAGGACATCAGTGACGGCGTGCTCGCTTGGATCTCTATGGGAGTCGACATGACAAACAACCAGACTGTTAGTCCTGCGGGAAACTACTACCGTACTGGTGGTGTGATGGATGAGTCTTCTGGGGGTATGGGTAGTGGTATGGGTGGCGGTGCTGGTAACGGAACTGCCAATGGTACTGCAAGTGCTCCACCCTCGTAGACAGATCATAGTGCTTTGGTGTGAATGAGAAGTAGTAGTTTAAATCACTTTATTAGAGGCCTGCGTAACCTATTTTGGACTCTCAGTTCTAGGAATTGGAGACGGAAATGTTGCCGATGAACAAAAGAACCCACGTCAAGAAATGTCATTTTGGTGGTTATGTTGATGTTGTTACGAGACTGGACTGAAAATAAAACAGATTGATGACAGATCGTTCGCTCAATTAGGTACAAGATGCTCAAATAGATAGATTGCTTGGTGTAGTGGAAACGTAACACCAAGGCCAACCTCGTAATTACCTGTTGGCCTCAATCTTCTTGACCAACTCCCCACCCAATCTTGCCATCTCTGCCAAAACACCAGTCTTGTTTATTTCAGCGATGACCTCATCTCCCTTCTTGACTGGCACCGTCGAATACGCGAGGTTAACCTTCCAGGCTCTAGCAGCAGTGACAGGACTCCACAGACCAGCAATGGTAGTGCTGCCAGCTCCGCCATAGAACAGTGCTAACGATTGACCGTACACACTCTGCAGCTCATGGAAGAATGCGTCCGTTGGTGCGTAATCGACGAGTTCTGCATTCGTCTCTTCGGCAATGGCAAGGTTTTTGTATTTGCCGCTTGCTGCCTTGGACTTGGTTGTGGTGTACGCGGGGTTGAGGTGAATGACAAAGTCGTAGTCGCCAAGAGGTGAGACGAAGAGTGTTTCGATGTCTAGCGATAGCGACTTGGCCTCGACTTCGGCTGTTGCGGCTTTGGCTAATGCGGTCATGCGGCCACAGACGACTTTTGCTGGTGCACCATCTGTCCAGGTCGTTCCTTCAAGGTCGTTGCTGCTGGCGACGAAGAGGACAACACGATTGAGTGCAGGGTCCAATTTCCGCCAGGCCTCAAATCGTGTTGTTGCTGCTGCTACATTGTCGGCGTTGAGGTCACCACCAAGGTCTACGACCAAGGGATCAGTGCGCCACTCAAATCGTGAGAGGAATGAGAGAGTGCGCAAGAAGGCAGCTTGAGTGGATGACGGTGTGTTGTAGGGCCATGGGCGGGTAAAGGTGTGGATAGCAAACAGCTCGATGACCTCTTCAGAGAAGTGGTTGCTCAGCAAGTGTTCAGAGAACCATTTCTTCAACAATCGAACAGTCGGTGAGAGCACGGGGTATCTTGTGCAAAGCTTCTGCAGGGCTTGAGTATGCGCTGGCGACTTGATGAAGACACGCTTATAAGTAGCAAGGGCGACAGCTGCAGCCTCCTTTTCGCTAGGTGCAGCGGATTGTGACTTCAAGATACGCTCAACCAGAGTCTGTTCTCTATCGTGATGGATACGAACACGGAAGGAGAAGCCAGTAGGATAGATGACGTCGAGGAATGCTTGATTCAGGATATCCTCGCCTTCGTTCTCCAGACCAATGCGAGAAGTGACGCCCTCCGATATCGATTCGAACAGCTCACCAATCTTGAGCAAGAAGGCAATCTTGGTACGTTGAATGGCAACAAGATCATCAGGCCAACGACCAGAGCCTTCAAATTGAAGCACAACATCAGCGGGACGCTTCATTGGCTGCTGAGATGACATAGGAGGCTCCACAGAGGAGTAACGGAGTTGCGAGTCGGCGGCCAGAATAGAACGAATGGTGAGAGGCAGGTCGTCCATGCCACGAATGTCGCTTTCTAAAGTCTTGAAAGCCTCCATCAAAGGCTGGAAGGCAGCAAGCCCATTGCTCTGCTTGATCAGCTTAGCACACTCATCACCAGAGAAAGCAGCACGTGCAGCTGCATCCTGTCCAAAGTGACGGTAAAGCAGGAAAGTAAGAATCTGCTGAATGATTGACATGCCGCTGTTGGTTGCCCAAACCAAACTCTCCAAAATGCTTCCATCTCTGAATCTGCGCAATTCAGCCTTCTCGCCCCAGAACTTGCGGAAAGCGGCCGCCTCCTTCTTTTGCTCAGCAGCAGGACCATGATCAACAGCACGAGAAGCGTTGGTGGAGTCAAGGTTGATGGCAACCGAGACCTCACCCTTTCGCGCCATGTTGGGTCTAGCAGATCCAAGTGCCCAAGATTCGTGACCAGGAGACTGGATTACGACCTGGGTCGCGCGATCACCCAGACCCTGACTGAACACACTGAACAATTTGGCGTATCTTTGCAGAATCTGTAGATCCTCGGAAGCATCAGAAGTCAGAGCAGAGCAAGACACACGGACGGCCAAATCGTATCTCTTGAGAACATTGTCGGAGCGAAGGATGAAGGCAGAGTCGAATTGGTCAAAGAGGTTGTCACCCAGCATTTTGAGGGTGGTACGTGCCTCAGCACGGAGGTGTTGGTAGGACCAGGAAGTCATTTTGTAGAGGATGTTCTGTCCACGAGGACCATCGTAAAGAATTGGTTGGCCGTCCTCGGATCTGAGAGAAATGCCAGCAGCGTCAAGCAAAGCAGGTTCTTTGGCGAGATCCTTCACAGCAATGTACTGGAGAGTGGCCTTGAAGAGTTGGTAGCTGCTGTAGCCGCTCGACAAGACGGGCTTCCCCGAGCCAGCGCCAGTCCTGAGCAGATTCGCCATTGTCGCGGCCCATTCAAAGTTGCCGAAGCCGCCCTTGTTCGTCTCGGAGGCAAGACCGCGTTGTCTCAGCCAGACACGACCAAGCATGCAAGCATCCGTGTATCCTTCACAAGCAGTCGAAGAAGCATGTAACAACTTTAGATAGGAGGTGATATGGCTGTCAGCTTGGATCGAGGCATTGTAGAATGGTGTAGCGGGCAGATCCTGAGCCTGCTCTTCATCGCCAGACTGAGCGGGACGGACGCAATTCTTGCTTGGCAGAAGCTTGTTGTCGGCAAAAGTGCCTTCTGGAATGCCAGGGATGATGTTGATACGCCAGTTGTTCTCAGAGCTTGACTCGTTGGCCTGGACCAGCAAGACGGGGTGAAGAGGGTTGTTGCGGAAGTTGACGAATTGGAAAGTGAATTGCTTGAGAGACGACTGCAGACCAGCAGCGATACAGGCCAGGTAGTAGGCACGCTTGTAGAAGTAGCGGTGGTTCAGGTAGTCTTTCTCCTGGAACAGCGACTTGGGCATTGTGACGACCATGTCGATGGACAGAGGAGCCTGGCGATCGCGGAGGGACAGCTTGAGAGGGAAACTGCCAATGACGTTGATGTTCTGAGGCTTCTCGTAGGCCAACTTGTACTTGACGTCGTGGGCAGGGCGAGGCTCAGGGAAGGGAATGGCGACTTTTGACTTCTTGATCATGTCGCGCTCAGCCTGGAGCAATGGGAGGGCGTCTATTTGGGGGATTGCGTCGATCTGCTTCTTGATCTTGTGCAGAGCGTCTGCGGCTGTGGCCTCTCTCTTGCCCTGTCTCGGGCGAAGGTTGGACAGCATCTGGTCCACCTGCAGCTTGAACATGTTGCTCTTGAAGGTTCCTCCAGTGTAGGCGGCGCTGCTTGCCTCGAGCGAAGAAGCCTGCGACTTGTTGCTCTTGGGCTTTGTCTTGTTGTCCTTGGTCTTGTTTGACTTTTCTTGCAGCTCTTCCTCCTCTTCACTTTCCTCCGCCTCTTCCTCGTCGTCGTCCATGTCGTCCATGTCGTCCATGTCGTCTGCGCCGAGATTTGCGTCTTCCATGTCGTCGTCCTGGCTCATGTCATCTTCGTCAAGATGGTCGAGCTGGCTTCCGGAGGCAATCGAGACGTCGTCATCTTCTACGGGCGAAGGCGAATGGCTGAGCTTTCTTCGCTTGCTCGAAGGGACAGCCATGTTGAAGAGTGGCAGAAATGTGTATGTTCGAACAAAAGCTGTTGCAGCTTCCCTTCAGCGGCGCAAAGTCTCGCTTGGCGTTTGGACTTTTTTTCTGACAAGGAAGTTGCATGGCGGGGAGTTAAGATAAGCTTGTCGCGGCGATAAGCATTCGAGGCAAGTGCATACATTCGACATGCCGACAGCGGCGTGGGGCGCCGGAATCTGGGAAGGGTCGAACAAGAGTCACTTCCCAAATGTCCTGTCATTCTTGTTTGCGCCTGCCAATTGCTGACCTTTCTTTCCTAAACTTTCTTGACTTTTTCTAGTAATCATGCCCGTCGAACTGGCATTCAATGACAATGTCGGCGACACAATCCCCGCCGACACTCCTCACGTACACAATTCCATCCTCGAAACACTCAAACATCAATGACTAACTCCCCACACAGGCTGTCAGTGTCTCGCTACCTACATGGGCTGCCAACGTAGCCTACGAAGAGGCCCAGCCATGGATCGTCGAGAAGATGCAATGTGGCTACCCTCGCTTTTTCATCCACAAGAGCATCCAACGTCTTGCCACTGAAATTGTCAAGCGCTATGGCAATCCCTCGCAGAATGCCATGCTGTTTCCCACTCACAAAGCCGCCAACCGTCTTCTTGAATTCATGCACCGCATGGCTCCCGAGTCCCAAGGCACTGCCCGCATCATCGATTTCGTACCCAACCCAAGGACCGAATCACACGACGAGTCGCAACACGTCTTACCCCGTTTGTCCGCTGTATTGTACCCTACCGAGCTCTGGCCTGTCGCAAAGCAAGTATGGCAGCACAGTGGAGATGGTGTGTCAAGCAGAAGAGCCGAGTTTGTTGAAAAGCATCTGCTTGACGGCACCATGGTCGACAAGGCGTCCATCTACGACAAGCCACGCAAGGGTCCTCGCAGATACCAACGCCAGATGTCAATCGACACTCCCCACCAATCTCCAACCTCGGAAAAGGACGACAAAGACAGCGCCGATCCATTTGCCTTTGTCGAAGAAAGATTTGGTCGCAATTTGAATGTTCAGTTTGCCCAACAAGCAAAGCTCGCCATTCGCCGCCGTATCGCTGGTTCCTTGACTTCAGATGCCGACTTGAAGGAAGCTTTGAAGCATCCCGAAGATGTCGAACGTACTCGAAGTGCTGAAGGCTTCTCCGTCGACGACGTCTTCCTCTACCCTACCGGCATGAGTTCTATCTTCAACACACATCGCACCATGATGGCGATTCGCCCCAAGAACAAAAGCATCAGCTACGGCTTCCCCTATGTTGACACGCTGAAAATCTTGCAGAAGTGGGGTCCTGGTGCTGTCTTCTATGGAAATGGTTCACAAGAGGACTTGGATGATTTGGAAAAGCGTCTTGAGGCTGGGGAGCGCTTCCTGAGTTTCTTCACCGAATTTCCCAGCAATCCTTTGCTGAAGTGCCCCGACTTGCAGCGCATTCGTCAACTGGCCGACAAGTACGACTTTGCCGTTGTCATCGACGAGACGATTGGCAATTTCCTGAACGTTCATGTATTGCAGTATGCCGATGTCGTCGTGAGCAGTTTGACCAAGGTCTTTTCTGGCGACAGCAATGTTATGGGAGGCTCGGCCATCCTGAATCCTGCAGGTCGCTACTATAACGACTTAAAGAAGTACCTGGCTCAAGACTACGAAGACAACTTCTTTGAGGAGGACGCCATGTTCCTCGAGCGCAACAGCAGAGATTTCGTGTCTCGTATTGCTCGTATAAACACTAATGCTGAAACCATCTGTGACGTTTTGATGCAGCACCCTCGTATCAAGCAAGTAAACTACCCGAAATACTCGCCGTCAAAGAAGTACTACGATGCTTGTAGGCTTCCCAACGGTGGCTACGGAGGTCTCTTGTCTGCCACTTTCTACTCGATGGATGATGCAATTGCCTTCTATGACAATCTCAACACAGCAAAGGGTCCTTCATTGGGAACAAACTTTACGTTGAGGTAAGTCTTGCCTTTCGTGACTGTCCCCTGGTTCTTACTAATTTGGTTTCACAGCTCACCCTACGCATTGCTTGCACATTTTACCGAGCTTGACTGGGCTGCACAATTTGGTGTAGAAGCAAATCTCGTGCGCTTCAGTGTTGGTCTTGAGGAGACTGAAGCTCTGAAGAAGGTCTTCCAAACTGCACTCGACGCTATCCCACAGACAGAGACCAACGGTAACGGCAACGCAGCATAAGCCCATGAAGCGCTTGAAATAACGCGGAAGACGATCACGAATTGAATTTTGAGCAAAGCATATATCTGAGGAGGAGTTTCATCTATTTGTACATATGTAGCGAGCAAAAAGCGTCAATGTTGGCTTGATAACAAACACGAGATTTTGAACAGCTGACAGCTCCACATGTGAAGATCCGAGACGGTGGAACGAACCAGGGATTTTTTTTGGATCTTGCTCGCTTAGCGCGACAAGAAGACTGATTGGACGATCTAGAGACATTTGTGGCACAAAGTCGATCGGTGTCAGATACGATCAAGATGCAGCAAGCAGCAGCCGAGATGCAAGAATACGATACACGCGACCAGGATATACGTGGCGTTAGATAAAAGGCGAAAAGTCATGCAAGTAGCCACGGTCGTAGCCATGAGCACAGCAACCATCGGAAGAGTTGTGGGCAGATTCAGTCACCAGTGGCGTGCGTATGTCTGTGCATAAACACGATGCAGGGAAGGCTGATTGGATTCATGCGGTTGACACGTCTTGTGGAGCGTGGTATGTTGATGCAGTGCATAGCCGATGGCACAGTGCACTGCTGCAGCGAGCGCTCTAAGCACGCTTGCCGCCAACGGCTTGCACAATACAGATCTTCAACAGGAGATTTCTCGCGCCCGAATTCAAGTGACAAGTGTGCCAGTGACACAGCTAAAGAATGACCAACCGCTTAGCCACGGACTGCAACACAATATACATGTATATAGACATTCACATATAGTAGATTGTGCAGACAAGGGCAAGTCTATCGAAATCTGGCAGCTGCTCGATCTGAGATCTTGCATGAATAGATTGAGATGAGTGAGATGGCGGATCGGACGGGGCCTGCAGCAAGGATTTGCAGCAACAAGCCAGTATCTTTGTTCTGGGCAACGTTATCGTCTCTTGCTCTTCTACTCTTCGTACCTCTGATAATCTTGTGTCTCTATTCAGCGACCGACGTCTACGCACCAGTAAAGAGCCTCACACCCGTCATTTCTGTCCGAGAAGACAGAGGTCAAAGCGTCAAGATCTAAGTGGGCCCCCCGCAAAGATCGAAGCATCGGGCGAATCGGGACTTTTTCTATCGGAGGAAAAAAAAAAGATTTCGACAAGCAAAACAGTCGCCCGGCTCGGGAAAGTTTGCAGACACAAGTTTCAAAACGACTTTGGCACATTTTTGTGAGCGTCATCGCATACCGCTTATCTTTGTCGTCTTTTCATCTGGCCCGTCTGTTTGTCCTTTTCCGACCCCCGAGTTGCGACACTTGCACACCACACACACGACCACTTTGTCACGCAGGAGATCACCACTTCGCTGTCGAGATGCCCCGCGAGTTGAAGAAGAGAGGCCGTAGAGGCGAGGAAAAGAAGAGAAAGCTAGAAGAGGAGGAGGAAGCACACCAAGACTTTGCGCAACCCAAACGACAAAGAACAGAAGATGGAGTCGATGCAGCAGCCGAACAACAAGACTTTGTTGGACTGGGCCAGGACGGCGCATACACCAATGGCGACTACCAGGATGGAGAAGGTCATGGTCCGCCTGTTGAGCAGGTTTTCTTTGGTATGCTGGACGAGGAAGAGCAGGAATATTTCAAGCGCGCCGATGAGATGCTTGAGATGAACAACTTTGCCGACGCAGAGGAGAGAGCGCTGTTCTTGGCTAATGTTTATCGTGAGGCTAATGGCAAGGAGCTCAAGATTGCCAACAGTCAGTCGTGCTCGAGGTTGATGGAGAGATTGATCCAATTGTCGACTCCGGCCCAACTCAAGACGCTGTTCCAGAAGTTCAGCGGCAAGTGAGTTGCTTGTCTTCGATGCTGCATCTACACACAACTAACCAATCTTACAGCTTCATGCACCTCTTCCAACACCGCTTTGCTTCGCATTGTTGCGAGAAGCTTTTCATCCAAGCCGCTCCCGTCGTTACCGAAGAGCTCCTCCACCCTCCCAAGCCAGAAGATCAGACAACTGCAGATGGCGACGTCTATGTCAGCATGGAAAATCTCTTCCTGTTCACGCTCGGAGAAATGGAAGGCAATGTTGGTTTCCTCATGACCGATCGCTTCGCATCCCACACCCTGCGCGTCCTGCTTCTTGTCTTGGCCGGCGAGCCTCTTTCTGACTCGACAAACAAGTCTCTGATGCAAAGCAAGAGAAAGGAACATGTCACTGTCAATGGCAGCAGTGCCGACAAGGAAGACACCACTACCAAGGACAAGGAAGACCGTCGTCCCGTACCAAAGTCCTTCACCGAGGCACTTGAGAAGCTCATGACGGCCAGTGTATCAGGACTCGACACAACCAGCCTTCGCGCACTCGCCACACATCAGCTCGGCAACCCTGCCTTACAACTTTTGATCAGACTCGAGCTCACTCAATTTGGAAAGTCAAAAGCGAAAGACGAAAACTCCATCTTCCGTACCCTGCTTCCAGACGACCCCATCACTCCCGAGTGTGACAGCGCTTCTTTCATCAACGGTCTTCTCTTCGATCCTATCGGTTCTCACCTTATCGAATGCATCATCGAACATGCACCTGGAAAGATGTTCAAGAGCTTGTATAGAGGTCTTTTGAAGGATCGTATGGCATCGCTGGCTCGTAACGAGATTGCTTGCTACGTCGTCTGCAAAGTCCTCGAGAGATTGAGCAAGGACGATCTTCTGGAAGCACACGAGCAGATTTGCCCTCAGATCCCTAGTCTGCTTGAGCGCAACCGCTTCGCAGTCATCAAGACCTTGATCGCTAGATGTGCTGTCAGAGAAATCGACAGCCAAGCTATTGCCGTCCAACTTAGCGAAGCTTACAACGGACCTGAAGGCTTTGACATTGTCAAGTTGCTCAAACCTGATACTGACGAACCGGCTGTGAACGGCAATGCAGTACCTGAAGGCATGCCCGCACACATTGCCGAAGAACGCGCAAACCCACACACCATCAAGCTACAAGGTTCCCTGCTCGCCCAATGCATGATCTTAGTTCCCGGAGCCCTCAGCGCCCTTATCCTCGAAAGTCTTGCAGCCCTCCCACCAACCACATTACAGAAAATGGCCAGCGACACTATTATCTGCCGTACCCTCCAAGCTGCAATGACATCCCACAACGCCTCCATCATCTCCCGCCGAAAACTGATCCAGCAATTCTTCGGGCACATCGGAGAAATGGCACTAGACAGCAAAGCCTCACATGTGGTTGACGCCATCTGGGAAGGCACACACGGTCTCGCCTTCATCCGCGAACGCATCGCTGAGGAACTCAATGAAAACGAAGCCGCACTCCGCGACAACCCCTGCGGCCGCGCCGTGTGGAAGAACTGGAAAATGGACTTGTACAAACGACGCCGCGGTGAATGGATCAAGCAATCCAAGATCAAGGCTTCCAACGATGGATTCCAAAGCTTCTCAGAAGTAGACAAAAACCTCAAAGCTGCGAATGCGCAAAAGGATGGAAGAAAGATGAGACATGGACAACAACAAGCAGCAAACGCGCAACAAGCACAAGCAGCGGGAGGAGAAAAGAAAAGTGCTATCCAATTGGCGAGGGAGAGACATGCAGCTAACAAAGCGAGATCGCAACAAGCGAGGGAGAAACATGTTGCTGGAGGTAGCAGCGGCAGACCGAGTGGAAGTTCGAACTCGAGTAGACATGCTTCGGGTGCTAATGCTGTGAGCAGCACTAAAGCCTAGAGTGCTGCGTATCGTTTGTATGTAATTTGAACAGGCTGATCTGGATGAGGGAGTTTTTGTGCAAAGGCGGCGTTTGACAGATAGACAGACTAAAACAAGGTCATGGAATAATCATTGGTGTAATCTCATCTTTCTCTACAAGTCTCAATAATTCTGACCATTGTCTGCCTTGAGGAGGGTGTGCTTTTGTGCTTGGACGTCTCAGACGCTTGAAGTGCCTCCCGTGTACTGATAGCACCATTTACCTCAACATGGCTCAAGATGCATTAATAACAGTAAGCTTAGTCGACAAGTCATAAGAAAATGTATGGGAGTAAAGCGGAAGGTCGCCGACCTTAGGATAAGATGAAGGATCGGCGATATTCGGCGATAACGCTAGCTAGCTAAGAAATGTCGTAATAATTTTACCGGTGTCATCTGTTAACAGCATGTGAGGACGACATATAACCTCTCGCTCATTCCTTTCGTTTTTTGAGCGATTGTTCAGTACAGCAAACACAATGACATCCTTACCTTCAAGACCGGCCGAGGAAAAGCCATTGGCAAGGGCAGACGAGGTCAACGATGTACGCAAAGCTTCCAAGCATTGGAGATACTAGCAATAGCTGACGAATGAACAGCTCCTCAACTCAATCCAAGAACTCATCATCCCCTTCATTCGCTCTGCAGACGAAGATGCAGCTATCAAACACACTGGCCATGGTCTCGCCATCGAAGGCCAAGGGCCCCGAACCGCTCTCGTCGAACATCATCCCCCTCAAAAGCTAGTCTCGCTCTTTGACGTCCAACTCCCCGAAGCCTCGCAAGGCAAGACCGGTCTCTTGGAAATCGTGGAAAAGTTACTCAAGTACAGTGTCAACACTTGGGATCAAGGATTCATGGATAAACTATATGCATCTACCAATGCCGTTGGTGTGGTGTCGGAACTGCTTCTTGCGGTGCTGAACACGAATCTACACGTCTATCAAGTCTCTCCTGCGTTGACGATTGTGGAAAAGACGACTAGCAAGGCTTTGGCTAAACTTTTTGGCTTTGACGGTCCTCATGGCGGTGGTATTTCTCAACCTGGAGGTTCGGCGAGTAATGCTACTAGTATTGCTATTGCGAGAAATACCCTGCATCCAGAGACTAAAACCGATGGAATCAATGGGCGCAGGTTTACGCTGTTTACATCCGCACATGGCCATTACTCCCTCGAAAAAGCAGCGCAGATGTTTGGATTCGGTTCTTCTGCTGTCATTGGCGTTGCAGTGGATAAACAAGGCAGAATGCTTCCTTCCGCCCTCGACGAAGCGGTGCAAAAGTCCAAGGATGCTGGAGAAGTCCCCTTCTACGTTAACGCCACTGCCGGAACTACTGTCCTGGGTTCTTACGACCCTATCACTGCTATTGCGGATGTGTGTCAAAAACATAAACTTTGGCTTCATATTGATGGATCCTGGGGCGGTCCCGTCATTTTCTCCTCCGCACAAAAACATAAATTGGCTGGAATTGAAAGAGCAGATTCTATTGGTGTTACACCGCATAAAATGCTCTCAGTACCTATGACTTGCTCATTCTTGCTTGGAAAAGATATGAGACAATTCCAAAAAGCAATGACTTTGCCTGCTGGCTACCTCTTCCACAGCAACGAAGACGAAGACGCTTCAATCGCAGATACTACCGCAAACCCCACTTCTGCTGAACCAAAACCTGAGGCGGAGATTTGGGATCTGGCAGACTTGACACCGCAATGCGGACGCAGAGGCGACGCGCTAAAACTCGCTTTGTCTTGGATCTACTACGGTAGTTCTGGCTTTGAGTCTTCTATTGACTCTGCCTTTTCTGCTGCCTCTACCCTTGCCTCGCTTGTTTCTTCACACCAAAAGTTTACCCTGGTATCAGAGAACCCACCTCCTTGTTGGCAGGTTTGCTTTTACTATAACAAGCAAGATGGAAGTCCAGAAAAGAATTCGAAGATTACAGAGAGCATTGCTAGAAGCTTGATTCCTCGAGGCTTTATGGTTGATTATGCACCGGGAGAAGAGGGAAAGTTCTTCCGTGTTGTGGTTAACCCGGCCACGAGGAAAGGTACTCTGGAAGGGTTGATTAAAGCTATTGAGGAGGTTGGTCAAGAGTTGAAGGTATAGATATGTAATCTACTAGAGCAAATAGAAGAATGGATCTCGTGATAGATTTAATGTCGTGCCCTGTTGGTGTCGACATTCTTTCCACAAGCGTCATGGTCACGACAATGGCTCACTTTGCCGAATATCATGTATCGTTGAACACCTTGATCACCACACATGCTATACCACTTTTACCGCAGATCTGAATTAACAAGTGCTCGTTTCAAATAATATACACACGTGCACAATACCAAAATTCGTCAATGTTCTTGGAAACTGAAGGTTGGTCAAAACAGACAAGCAGGGTCATATGGACAACAAACGTCTCAACTGCCGAGATTCTCGGAACGACTCTACAAGACTTGCCTGCATCAGGAAAGTTAATTTCCCCCCACTTCCAATAGTGTGTTAATTCTTCTAGACTGCACCCTAGTGTTTTATAGAAGCACACGACCCTTGGACTTTGTATCTGAAACACTACTGTCTGGATCTCTTCTCTGGGACTTTTTTTCTAGACTTCTTCGCTCCCACCTCACCGGGTTCTGCAAGAGTTATAGTAGCATATACACAGGGAAAGAATTGATAGCTACTCTTTGATACACTTGCGCAAACCTCCCAAGGAAACACTACTTTCTGTCACAAACCCACAGGAAGAAATGTCAACCATGGATCCCACCCCTACCGCTCAAAAAGCAGAAGCAGCACCTCCTGCGCCGGCAACACACATCCCAAAACCTCTTTCCGCACGCATACGCCTCTGGCTGCGACTCTGGCTCTTCAAACTCAGCATCCGCAGTCTCCTAGGCACACTACGGTTTTTCCGCTACAAAGGCATGGGAACCCTCCAACCTACCTACCGAAAATCTCTCGGCTCAGCTGGTTTGGTCCACGATATCTGGGTCCCGGAAGGTGCCAAAGCGGGAGATAGGTTACCACTGTATATTGATATTCATGGAGGGGGTTTTGCCATTGGAGATCCTTTTCATGACGAGACTTGGTGTGAGTTTTTGAGGAAAAGAGGGGTGCTTGTTGTGAGCTGTGATTACAGGAAAGCGCCCACGTATGCGTTCCCAACCCAAACCCAGGATTTGATTGAGGTTGTCAGCAACATCCTCTCCGACGACACTCTTCCCATCGACGCCTCTAAAATCGCAATGGGAGGATTTTCCGCCGGAGGAAATCTCTCGCTCTCGGTTGCACAAACACCTTCTTTGCAGGGAAAGATCAAAGCGCTTTTGCTTTGGTATCCCTCGACGGATTTCTCGGCAAAGTATAGAGGAGAGTTCAGGGATACACCTGCCGGAGAACCTGATGTGCTTGCCAAAAGCGGGGAATTGTTTACTTATGGCTATTTGCCTTCTGGCGTTGATCTCTGCAACCCTTTGCTTTCTCCCATTTACGCGGATCGCAGACTCCTACCTCCTTACCTCAGATTCGTGGGTGCGGAATACGATGTGCTCTGCAATGAAGCCCACGAGACTGCAAAATTGTACTCTGAACACGAAAAAGGCGAGAAGCAAGAGGGAAACGCAGAAGAGGACGAAAGGCAAGGTGTGCAGACGTGGAGAAAGGGCAATATCTGGTGGGAGATGGTGCTGGGAGCACAGCATGGATTTAATTATGTCACGAAAAAGGAAGAGAAGGCTGAGAGGGAGAGGAAGAGGATTACAGAGTTGGCTTATGAAAGGTCGTGTGAGTGGTTGCTGAGGGAGGTTTATGCTTGATGGTTTTTTGGGTTGGATTTCCCTGGTTGATATCCGAGCTGTAGATGGGGTTGTCGATCATGGAGTCTATTGGAGGAGCACTGCGCATCTCGCAATCGATATGCAAGCACCAGTTCGATCACCTGATCTTGATGGCAAGCGATCGTGGCGTTCAGGTACCTGGCCTATGGTGCATATGCATACCAGTATGATACGCGAGATGCAAGATCGTGTTTCCGATTCGTTCTGCATATGCCTGTTTTGCCTATATAGCGATGTATAGCAGGGTGTGTTTAACCAAAGTTCGGGTGTGAGCCATCATGTTTGTACCCCGCCATTCTTAAATCTCTTCTTTCTATTGACCCGCCCTTGAGGCACTAGCTTATAGGCTGTACAGATTTTGCTCTTCGTTGTCCTTGCCTTTACATTTACGTATTAGCATGATGGCAAAAGCGAAAGTGAGGCGCAGGGAGGAGTGAACTCAGGTCTAAAGGGGTGCTGCCAAGAGATGGAGAATGATGCACACTCGAGCCTCGGTACTTTGCTCTCGACCGTTGGAGAAGCATGTTTCAGATCGTCGGAGGGACTTCCTTTCCTGCAAGCCCCTCTGCGACGGACAAGGAATACCTGAACTGCATATGCATCTCAATCAAAGCAGTGCTGAGGTCAAGTGGCCGAGACTCGCATCGAGAAAATCAAGATCGTCGGGCCAATGGAGCAAGAGCAATAATTTGCATGTCTTACTCATGTGTAGACCGTAGGACGTGCGGAGATATTCGACGGCACTTGCAGCGCTGCAGATCTGACCAACTCGAGAGCGATTCGCCTATAGAGTTTCCTACACTGTTGCGGAGAATGCATCAAAGCATGCTTGATGAGTCGTGGACAGCTGTGTACCAGACTTTTGCAGGCCTTCTAGGATGAACGGCTGTGACTTTTCAGGCTGGGTGCGTAGCAAGTGGCTTGCCCTATTTGCCCTGAGCTGCCCATGACAGGTGGAGGTTGAAACAAGGTTGAGGCGTCCCATGCTTGATTGGATGCTTGTGCTTTGACGACAAGGCACGTTTCTTGCCAAGGTGAGCGATACATGGCAGATCCTGCTAAGGATGGTAAAGAACGGCGATATCGCAGTCATGCAGAGACTCTCAGCGCAACGTTTGGGCCCTCGCGCGGCAGGTAGTATGTTCTCTTGTGGTGTGGCGTGGAAAGGTGAAACGATAACCTTGTCTTCCAGCTGCGAGTCGTGCTTGTAGGGCTATTTGCTAAGCAATCTTGTCTCAAACAAGCGAGCCTAACAGCCTATAAGCATCACAACAGCGAGTCAAAAGGTATATAAACACCTTGGTGTCTCCAAAGACGAATCGCATCTCATCACTCACTTCTTCCACCTCACCACTTTCATTCAAACCCAATTCAACTCTTCTACCACAATCATGCACTTCACAAACAGTGTTGTCATTGGAGCTTCCCTCCTCGGCCTCGCCACTGCCAGCCCTGTCGACCTCGAAGGCCGCCAGACAACCTGCTCAAGCTACACTCTAATCGACACCCGTGGCACAGGCGAAGCCCAAGGCCCTTCCGCAGGCTTCCTCACCATGAACCGCAACATCCAATCCCAAGTGTCTGGCGGCAAAGTCTACAACACCGTCTACGCCGCCGACTACAGCCAGAACTCTGCAGCAGGCACTGCCGACATTGTCAACCACATCAAGACCACTTTACAGAGCAGCCCCAACGAATGCTTTATCCTTGAGGGATACTCTCAAGGCGCCGCCGCCACCGTCAACGCCTTGTCGCAATTGACAGGCACCGCAAACACTGCTGTCAAGGGTGTCTTCTTGATCGGCGATCCTCTTCATAAGAGCGGTTTGACCTGCAATGTCGACAGCACCGGCGGCACTACGACCAGAAATGTCAATGGGCTTGAGTATAACGCTTACTCCAATTCCATCCCTTCGAGTTGGATCTCCCGTACCTTGGATGTTTGTGCTTATGGCGATGGTGTTTGTGATACCACGCATGGTGCCGGTATTGATGCCCAGCATCTTTCTTACCCTAACGATGCCAATGTACAGAATATGGGCACTAAGTTTGTTGTTGGCAAGCTCAAGGGTACTTCTTAGATGTAGCTTGCTTTGGGGTCGATGTTCTGGCAGATGGGGAGGCGTTCTGGTGTGTTTTTATATCTGTTGTATTGTTCACTGCAAGAGGCAAAAGCTGGCATCAGGAGACTGCTGGTCAGAGAATCACGTTAGCTCATGTAGCCATGCAAAAAGGAGTTCATCTTGTCAACACGTCAACAATCATCGATTTGATGCTCATTCCGGTGGCACTCGACTCCCTTAGTAATACCGACTGCCACAATTCAATAATCGGAATTCTCCCACAAGTCATGAGTTGTTCTTGTGAATGAAACACAGATCTCAAGGACGGTGACGTGGACATCGAGCCCTAAGCACGTCTGAAACGTGCTTCACAAGAACCTTTCTCGTCCAAGATAGCATCCTTCCGAGATCAGACCATCGACCCATGGATTTCTTGTTGCCAAACATGACATTGAACCATGTAACTCCACTTTGTAATCCTGAAACTCGCCTTGACGAAAGATAGCTGGCTCTAGACTTCGGCAAAGAAGATCCCCAACCGCATCCGAGCCTGGACTTTTTCCCTCCTAGACTCAACATTTCACACTCTGGTTGTTTGTCTTCCCTTGACGACACCCAGTGCCAATCTTTGTTCGATTCATATGCATTGGTTGCAAACAAGGCTTTAGCAGAAAAGGCAGGACATGTCGAAGTTTCTATCTGAAGCCATAGGGATTCAAGATCATCTGGTCTGCTGACAATGCTTTTAGCTTGCCTACCTCGAAGGCGGCAACAGAGAGTATTACGCAGGCGCCGGTTGTGGCCAAGAGTCCACTGTCTTCCATCAACAGCAAGCTCATGAACGCAATATATGATGGTTAGACGTCGTGTTTACTGTTGACAGTCATCGGCAAATTCTCCATTGTAGGTTCAAACACGGTAGTGAGCCAAATGAGATGTCCAGCAGATGGTCAAGCAATGATAAGACAACACCGCGATGTGCTTGCTGGGACCTGGAGAAGGATCTCATTTTCATGAGTGTGTTACAGTCATATGGTCCAAGACACCTAGAAAGGGCCGAAGGACTGGATCAAGTAGAGAAAGCTGAGAGCTCGTGCCTTGTTTCTTTAATGCTGACAAGGCTGTAGAGAAACGAGCTTTGAATGTCGGATTCAGGACATGTTCGCGCGACCAGAAACGTTTGGGTGAAAATGTCATAGTATGGGATTCTCGGGATTGATATCCGACGGATTCGTGCGGATAACAGATCAGCAACGGCTTTACCTTCCACGACCTGTCGTTCACTCAATCTGAACTTCTTGAACGCCTGTCACGCGAAGACTATGTTAGTCGAAAATACTTTGCAAACTAATTCCCGCAGAAAGATCGGAGTGGTGGACGGCATTGTACGGAGAGTCTGGACTTTGATTGGAACTCTTTTCAATGGCGCGCTGCGCAACCAGCAATCAGTTCGATTTCTTTCCTGACTTAGTGACCAGACAACTAATACCCCTTTCAGCTTGTGGACTTGTGAAGTGGAACGTATTGAGCAGGAGTATCCGTGTTTCGCAGCAGGCTCGTCAAGTCGCCGAATTATCTTGGTCGCCGATTCACAAACGTTTCTCCGTCACAAGCCCTTAGAATCAACATAGACCCCAGAGATCAAATAGTGGATTCACAGACCTGAATCCCCAGCAAGCCGCTTTTTCAAATGGAAGACGTACATGCAAGCGCATCGGAGAACAACAACCACGTCAAAGCCCAAAAAGGTTCCCGACTGTCGCGCTACTTGAAAGCGTCAATACCAGCAGACACACACATCATCGAATTCGAACTTTTGCTGCTTAGCTTTGCTACCGGCATGCAGGACGCAATCGCCTATCCGGATTTTGCGTGCTTTGCTTCCAATCAAACTGGCAATACTATCATCCTTGCCATCGGCGCGCTGGACATCTCGTCGCCTCATTCTTCAAGCCATGTGGACCTCATCAACGCAGTCATCTCTCTGTCGTGTTTTGCTGCCGGAATTCTGACTCTGGGACAACTCGCCAATTGGTTCGGCATCAGACATTTGCGGTGGTGGTTATTAGCATCAAACCTATGGCAGACGGTTCTGATGGCTGTAGCGGCGATCCTCGCGCACGCTGCAGATAATGACACCAAACCCCGATTTCGGAAAGCTGCATTGGCTATATTGGCACTATCCTCAGGCTCTCAAGTAGGCATGGTTCGCGCCCTCAAAATCACAGATATCACTACTGCGATGGTAACAGCAGCTTACATTGACATCTTCATCGATCCGAGTCTTTTTGCCGGAGTAACGAGGAACAGACAGAGGAATAGACGGGTGGGTTTTCTTAGTATGTTGATTGTGGGAAGCTTTGTAGGTGCTGTGGCATATAGATATGTGGGATCCGCGGCGACTTTGGGGATCTGTACTGGTATAAAGGGACTCGTTACTGGATTGTTCTTGTTAAACAAAGGGGTTGAGGAAGAGGGCGAGAAAGGAGACTTGGAGAAGGCGACAAGGCGCAAAGCTTGTGTTGGAAGCTGACAGAGTATAGTAGACATTCATATACTAGCCTTCTAGGAGATATTGTGATGACAAGAATCACAAAGGACCTATTGTTCCTCAAAAGTAGCCTCTTACTCAACGAGTGGTTCTCTATGGTCGACAGCGTGCGTCTGGGATTGGAACTTGCCACGATGACTGCAGCCTGCCAGTCCTATGTCCACTTGGGTGACTGTTTCTGCTGTTCGTATATTGCACGTGAATAGAACAAAATGCGAAAGACGTGCGCATATCCAACACAACTGACTTGTGCTAACAACCAAAAAAGGTTTGGATTATGTCAATGTCTAGGGTACCGTTCACTTCCAAGTTTGAGCGGAAGATGCAAGTACCTTTTTCCCTCCTCTGTGACTTCAGGAAGTCGTCCGGCGCAGATGTTCATCTGCAGAGAGGGATGAAGCAGCTTTGGGGCTGCCAACTTCGCATCGCGCTGAGTTCGCAGAGCGACAAATTCCTCCTCGGTAAGGCCGTTTCTGAGATGCTTGTTCCCTTGTTTATGATCACGAACCGTCATGAAAGGCACCGCTTCCCCACGTTCTTCGGTGACATAGTCATGTCCTGTCCAGACTTTGACATGATCTGGCAAGCTCAAAAGTTTACGTCCAGAGCTGAAGAGGTCGGACGCATTACCACCAGGAAAATCAGCGCGCGCAGTGCCGAGATCTGTGTTTAGGACTGAGTCGCCGCTGAAGACATTGTCTGGCAAGTGATGTCAGCCTGCTCGGGTCAATGCTGAGGGGTAAGAGCAGACTCACCTCCGATCACGTAGCCCATATGATCCGGCGTATGGCCAGGGAGATGCAAAGCCGTCACCTTGAGAATTCCAAGGCTGAAAGTTTCGTCATCGTCGAGAAGCTTGTCAAATGCACCCACATAATCCTCTGCAGGAATGTGATATCTCCGACCAAACAGCTTCTGCACTTGCACGATGCGTTTCCCTATACAGATGAGTGGCTTCTGACCCTGTTCCTGTGCAAGCCTGCTCTGAAGATACGATGCTGCCGTGATATGATCCGCATGTACATGAGTTTCTAGGATTTTCTCTACACGAAGATCTCTTTCCTTGATCAGCGATAGAATCGTATCAGCCGTGGAAGTCGTGATCATCTGGGTGGCAGCATCATAATCCAACACTGGGTCAATGATGATTGCAGCTTTTGTGGACGGATCAGATACCACGTATTGCCATGTCCCAGTTCGTCGCTCATAAAGGGTGTATATGGTCGGTTTGTTCGTTGTCATGGCTTGGGTTGAATATTGAGACCGAAGTCTGACACCTGGTCCTTGAGTCGCGGAGATGCGTTTCAGGGTTGATCCTTTCTTCGGATGTGCTGGAATGGACCTTCCTGGGGTAGAGGCGATGACTTTCGCATGAGTCCGGCCCTTTGAAAAAGTGCTTGTGCTGGCGGGACGTCGATGGTTCAGACTGAGAGCTGTGATGGGACTAGTCACTCTGTTGGTCTTAATGTGTGCGGCTGGTGCCTGGAGCAGATTCCCTATCACTCTCGAACTGCAGATAACATTGGCTGGGGTGAACTTGAACATGGTTTCAGGCCAAGAGCTTGCTCACGCGAAGAAAAAAGAAATGTCAGAAAACCCGATGGCCGTCTGAAGCAAGAACAGTGTCTCTTGAATAACGTAGAGAGGGTTGCATGTTTAATGATCTGGTTGGTCGCCGAAGCTGTGTTTGGATTGCTGTCAGATCGCCGACATTGAGTTCTCGGAAGCGTGCGAGATATCCTTATCGATAAACGTCAACATCCACACTTGTGTATCACGACCATCTTGATCAGAAGAAGTTGGACTGGCGATATACTGTTGAAGCTCCTTGAACTGCTTGTTCTTTGGCGAAACTCCTGTGGTGTTCTAAAAGTCGTTCCAAGGTTTCAGACCATCTGTGTTCTTGGGATAACTCTCATACTTGGCCTCAATCTCTTCTTGTCGACGAAGCTCGTCGGTATACTCTCTCTTGCGTTTCTCCAGGTTGCACCGCACGACAACGAAGTCGATGTACTCCTCATCACCTCCATATCCACTGACGCGAGCCGTAGGTGCCGAAAGCCGTAATATGCCATTACCAAGAAAAGTGATCTTGACATGCAAAATTAATTTTCGGAAATCCTCATTCCATAGTGGTAGCTCAATGGGAATCAGTGAGGCATTCGTGGGTGGTCTGAATGGTCCTATTGAACTGCAGAGAAGCCCTCCCTTTGATCGCAATTGCAAGTGCCCGTCCAATCTGACAGTATCCTGTGGCTCAACGTTTTGCTCCTATTCTTCCAGATCAGAGTCGCTAGGTTCGACAAAGAATAATGTGTCAAAATTATACTGGCCGGAGTAGAAGTGTTCGGATGAAAGGTCCCACCTGCCTTCGAGAGGTCCTATGGGCGTTGGTTTTCCAGCTTAGAGATCTGCCTTGAGTTTCTGCTATTGAGCGATCGCTTCGACTTCCTTCTGTTGCGCCCATTTCATGGCTACATCATATGCTTCAGCCTCTGGATTGTGTGAATAGTCGAACTCGTCGTCGTCATCTGTCTGTTCAGATCCTTGATTGTCTTCATCGCTCCTCGGACCATTCTCTACCAGATACGCTGGAATGCCGCCCCTGGAGTACATGTCACACTGTGATCACAGTGTAGTTTTTGTTGTTGCAGAGACGCGGAGCTCAAACTTGAGATTTGCGGACATTGAGGGAGGCTTCAAGGCTGGGGGTATTAATACCTGCACTCGGCCTCGGAGGCCATGCTTCGAAGGCCCCCACTAAGATAGATGTTCTCTTCGCCAAAAGACTCCAGATCTTCGACACTGACGCACATCGTCGGCGCAAGATCAAGATTTCGAGCTGTTTTTTTTGCATCATTGGCATGATGGTTTTCTTGTTATGGAATCGCCGCATCCCCATACTGTTGCCTGACACGATAGCTACGCACGTACGAAGTTCAAAACGCAGGAGATGAGGTTGCTGCCTTGGGGTCGGCGCCACTTCGCTTGATAGCGCAGCCTCGCGAACACAACAGCACAAACATGAGGATAATGCGCTCACTCTCCGTCCTATCTCTTTCGCAGCAATGCGGCGATATGTGCCATCCGGTCCAGACGAAAATACTAGAAACATCACTGCGTCATCGGCGTTGCGACCTGGAGATCAAGGCACCCAACAAAGTAGGTGGTTTGCTGACCACGTCCATCTTCACCGTCTTCATTTCCTGTCCTTCCCGATCAGGTCAAGGCTTGCTATATGGGGGAACGCCAGGGTTTTCTTCAACGGCGCAAGCCAATCTTATTTCTCCACATGCTTGCCCTCTTCAAGCATTTATCCATTAATGTATGCCATGTCATTGGTCGTAGAGGGCGGCGACGTCGTTTCGGTTTGGGTAGGATCCATAAACTTTGCGAGATTCTAGCCGATGGGTGAAAGCGTGACTTGGTCGAAGATTATATAACGGACGGTGTGATTCCCATTTCTCATAGCTTGATTTCGCTCTTTGCTTTTCGTTGCGCTCACACCGAATCCACAAAAGACACAATAACCACGACAATGAAGTACAACATCGCTCTTGCCGCGTTGGCCACTACTGTCGCCGCTTTGGACTACCCTATTCTCGGCCGTCAAAACGATGCGACTGAGGAATACATCCAGGAAGTCTGTTACCCTAACACCACTTCACCGGTCCCTCCTTGCCAGGCCATCATCAACATCGAGTCTGCTTGCCAGCCCAACGGTACCAGCTCATTGGCCTACGAAGCTCACCAGCAATGCATGTGCAATGGCGGATACTTCCCCAACTGGAGCGGCTGCCTGAACTGCGAGTATGTGCACGGCACCCGTAGCGAGGCCGTCCGCGAAGCCTTCGAAAACATCATTTCCTCTGCGTCGTCGTCATTCTGCGGTGCTGCTACGCCTACAGCTGTATTCGCCAAATATTTCTCCGCGGTATCAGATTCTAGCCCTCAAACCGCAACTTCCGGGGCCACAACCGTCAGCGATCAGTACCCCAGCCAGACCGCTGTAAGCCTCTACTACACCGCAACCGGTAATCAGGGACCTGGCGCCATCACTGGCAGCGCTGCTGAAGCTACTGCCGTTGCTTCTTCCAGCGCCGCTTCATCAGGTTCAAGCAGCGGTTCTCTGGCTGCCAGCGCTGCCTCAACAAGCAAGGGCTTGACCTCTGCTTCTGCTTCGAGCAGCGCCGCTTCGAAGATGTCCACAAGCACCTCGGCACACTCGAGCAGCGGCAGCGCCACTGGATCCTCGTCTGCTGCTTCTTCGTCGGCAGCTGCTCACACTGGTGCTGCCAACGCTGTCGTTGTCAGCGAGGGCTTACTCGCTGTTGTCGCTGGAGCTATGATGTTGATGTAAATATTTATGGATTGATGAGGAAGGTGTAATTGTAGTAATGTCATGAGGTTGTGTCAGCTGAATAAGAAGTAACGTTCAATTCTGTATCATTCGTGAAAACAGTGCTGCGATTCAAGTGCTGCGATAAGTCAACTGTGACCTGCCAATCCAGATCTGACTGGAGATGTCCCTGTTCCTGCTGAATCAGGTACGGAGACTGCCCCAACCAATTGCCCTGTCTCTCACAGTTCCCATATCATCCATGTTCAGAACACCGACGTTCTTCTCGATCAATGTTCTCCAAATAAAATATCTCATGTTAGGCGGTCGTGCTGGTGCATCCCAATACCGTGCTAGCAGACCCCTGGCTTTCGCCGACTCGATCTGAGATGCGATCTCACTCTGCGAGATTCTTGCGTCTCGCGACAACGCTTTGCTCCATCTTGTAGATGCATAGTATGAGTTTGAGATGTTGTAAAGATAGTGATCCGCTGCGTCGTGTACCAAATCCAGTCGACTAAGATCAGCATCGAAGAATATATCTCGATAGTTGTCATCATTGTAGAAAGGGGCGTTGCCAGTTGCGACAATCGTCAAGGGCCGCGAAATTCTCGCGGAGCCATTCCGATGTGTAAGATAGCCAAGATCACGCAAAGGCTGCAATTGTGTAGATAACATAGCATATGTATCTTCTCCCTTGGTTTTGTGGTCAATAAGAAGCACAACAGTTTGGTTGCTAGCATGACGGTAGGTTCCTTGCCAGTTGTCGATGGTTGTGTTGGTGTTCCGAGCTCTTAGCATGCGTTCCAAGGGGTCCAGGTACATCGTCCTCAAGTTTCGGCTAGGGTGGAGATGTAAAGACCTATGACCAACGAGAAGGTCAGAATTGCGAAGGTGTACATCGGCTTCGACGCTGATGCATCGCGAGCCCAAGGCCGCGAAAAGGGGTATACGTTGCGAATAGTCGTTGTGCGAGTGCATAGAAATAGGATGGACCTCGCGTATGAAGGATTGGTAACAATCGTCCCATATGGACGGGCTATCTGCTAAGACATGAAGCCCAAAGAGATTGTCGAATTGATCACCAGCAATGCGATAAAGGCCAGAAAGCAGATACACGAGCCTTGCAAAAAGGCGAATGCATCTGGAGATATGGTATGGTACAGTACATAGTCTGCTCTGTCAGGACCATCTGGAGGAAACTGGCGCCACGTCAGCCAGTCCAGATTGACAAGGTCATTTCAGCTATTTCTGTGTAGAGTCGGCTTCTTGGATAGCATAGAGGTGACTGAGCCAAGACCAGGAGAGAAGCACTGCTGGATCTGGCCTTAGTGACGCGTGTTTGACCCATACAATGTCGTTGTGAGTCCAGAAGATTCCAAGCTTGTCAAAGCTTAGACACAATTGGCATCATTGGCAAGACATTTAGGCGTTTTCCGAGCCCTTAATAGGCACGCAATCAGTTGCACGAAGCTTCACTATGTGGTTCAACATGTTTCCAATAGTAGATCACTAGCTGTGACACAGAGGCGTGAAGTATTCGGGCCGAGGTCCGCATAGAATCGTCGCGCAAGTGTGCTGCGCGTTGAAAGAGCCTTGTCTGGTTTGCCTTGTACACGGTCATCTAGCGGGGTCGAGTCGGACTTGTCAACCTTGGAGGCTGCGACTTTGTCGAAGGGACTGTGATCCGTCACCCCACTTGCGTCGCCAATCTTGTCGCGGATGTCGTCGACCAAAGCGAGCTCGTGTAACAAGCTCTTCATCTTGCTTGACGTGAGCATGTGTGCCGAGCTTACTTCAGGCAGTTAAAATAACCATAGTTGGTATATTGGACGCGATATGTAACTAGTCTTTCTTGATGCATGAGAACGCTCTTTCCATACTGACACTTTACAAGCGTAGGATCAAGCGCATCTCACCTGGTGAGTATGGGAACAGAGTGCTTGTCGCACACGATTTTTGGCTTTCGTCCCAGCCCCTTTGTTCTGTCGCCCTTCAGATTTCCACATAATAAGAGCTTCTCTCAGACGGAGCCGCGAGATCTGATAAAGCTGATTTTTCATCAAGGATTGGTCTGCAGCATGCACCTCCCGTTGCAGTTGACTCGATGGCCGTGGATATTTGATGTACCTGGCAATGTCACATCGTGTGTTTTGACCTCCAAACAAGTGGTGCAATGAAGACTTATTTCGAATTATGGTACAATACAACGATGTTATTTCGTTATCCACTATCCACTCCTCTGGAGTCTCGAGCCATCACACCTTCTCGAAGTGGTTAGCTCCAAGCCGATATTAGGCATCACAACCGACGAAGCTTCGCGAGCGCTTAATTACCCGACGTCGCATCGCGCCATACCATGCTTTAGAAGCACTGGACAAAGCAGTCTGCAGATCATGGTTCGTTGTTGGGACCCTCGTTGTACTACCCCTATCATCCACCTATCACAAGGTTCAGATTATCGGTTTCAGTATCACACGATGCCCTGCGTTATCTCGAGTGTCGATGGCGAATACGAAAAGCCCAAAGGGAGCAGGCCCGTGGAGTGATTACAAAAAGGATAAAGGGTTCTCACGGGCCGGACCACTGTATAAAGATTCTCTACAACTTATATTATCGGTATCACGCGCTCTACGATGGAAAAGAGATCTAGTCTCGATTCTAGCAACCCCGTCGGTGGCCCAGGTACGCCAGTGGTTACCCAAATATCCTCATACGAACTTCTGCCAACTCCAGCATATGATGCTGTCGACAAGAAAGGCGCACAAGAGCCCGAGATCACTGTCTTGCAGACACCAGACAGCGCCAGCGATAACGACAAGCATGACCCAGATCAGATCATTGTCACTGGAGCAGATGCAGCTGTCCACTTGCTTCCGTTACGCGACGATGGCGATCCGTCGGTCACGTTTCGTGGCATCTTCCTCGCGTCCTGCCTTTCAGCCTTCCAAGCCGTCATGAACCAAATCTATACAGTCAGTCATATCAAGCACCTAGTCCGGTCGCAATCTGATACCCCTTAGTTCAAACCAACATCTATCACCATTCAAGGTACTTTCATCGTCCTCATCGCTTACTTCGTTGGTAATACCTGGGCAAAATTCCTTCCTCGTGGTGACCGTCATCTGGCACGGTGGAGATCGAGCAACGGCGAAAGCAAGCCACCACTCTGGATATGTTTTCTTGTCTTCATCAATCCTGGACCTTTCGGGCTGAAAGAACATGCCGTGTGTGCAATAACTGCCACTTCCGCTTCGAACGCTACGGCTGTTTCGATGGTTTTCGCGGCGCAGAAGCTGTTCTATGATCTCCCCATCAGCCCCACAACTGTGATATTGACCATGATCTCAATCGGTCTGTTCGGATACGGCCTTTGCGGTCTACTACGTCCAATTGCAGTCTGGCATGTCGAAGCTGTTTACTGGAGTACTCTGCCAACCGTCAAGACACTTCAAGGCTTGCATTGGCAAGAGGTAAAGAATTCCAAGCCACTACGCTACTTCTGGTATGCATTCGTTGGCATGTTCTGCTACGAGTTTTTCCCTGCGTACATATTCCCATGGCTAAACTCGGTCTCCGTACCTTGCTTGGCTTCTATGATGGCTACAGGCGAAAAAGCTGCAGTACTCACGAATCTGTTTGGCGGTGCGACCAACAACGAAGGCCTGGGGATGTTTTCTCTGTCGTTCGACTGGCAATACGTGAGTGCTCTCTCGTTGATTGTGTCTTGACACTGACTAGAATGTGTACAGATCACTTCTTTCCAAACCTCTCTTCCTCTAATTTTACAAGCTCATATGGCAATCGGTTTGTTCATCTGCATGATGGTCATGTTAGCGATCTACTACACCAATGCCTGGGAAGCTAAACCGCAGCCATTCATGTCCACGCAGCTCAGATCACAGAACGGAAAGAAATATCCCATCTCCAAGGTCTTCCAAGGCGGAATCTTGAACGAAGACGCCCTACAGAAGTATGGAATTCCTCGTTTGACCGGGAGCTTTGCCTACGCAATGTTCATGGCGAACGCGGCAGTGAGTACAGTATCGCGATGCATCCAATCAGGAAGCTAATGATTGTATCAGATCGGTGCTCTCATTGCTCATACAATTCTCTTCTGGGGCGGCGACATCAAGCGTACATACAAGAGTGCCAAAGCAGGAAGATACGACGACCGTCACCACCAGCACATGGTGAAGCACTATAAAGAAGTACCATGGTGGTGGTACATGATCGTCCTCGTCTTCAGCTTCGTTCTGGGACTTGTTGTTGTCATCAAAGAGAACATCACCATGCCAGTATGGGCTTACATTGTTTCGTTGATCTCTGGAATCATCATCGCACCATTCGTAAGTAACTCCGACTACACCAGACAAGACTAATCTGACCTAATTGAACTCTAGAGTGCGTTGATCTACTCTCGATTTGGCAATGGCATTGCCACCAACAACTTGTCCAAGATGATCGCCGGTTTAGCGCTCCCTGGCCGGCCTGTGGGTAACATGTACTTCGCTGCCTGGTCTCATAATGTCATCAGTAATACTGTCAACCTTTGCAACGATCTGAAGATGGGAGAGTATCGTAAGTCCATGGTCAGACGGAGACTCCTTTACACGCAATCTGATCCGAAGCATAGTCAAGATTCCTCCTCGTGTCATGTTCATTACGCAGATCTACGGAACTGTTCTGGGCGGGTTCATCAATTATGCCGTCATGATATCCATCGTCAGTGGTAACGCTGAGCTTCTGACTTCCGGAAACGGCGATTCCTCGTGGAGCGGCGCTACTATACAGTCTTATAACACAAACGCCAGCTCCTGGGCGTTGGCAAAATACCTCTATAAGACCGGCACAACGTACTCGGCGGTACCGCTTGGTATTGCTGTTGGCGCTGGTGTGGTACTGGTTCATCGTATCTTTGCACAGGTATTCTGTCCTTTCGTATGGTCAAGGACCTTATCACTGACATGTTCGTCGCTCCAGTTTGTCCCAAGGATACGCAAATTCTCGACTTACGACATCAATATGCCCCAATTGCTCGTCTACGCTGGGTACATCCCATACAATCAGTCACAGACTTGTGTCATTCTGAGCCAACTGATCGCTGGCTTCTACACCCAGTTCTACTTGCGCAACTACAAACCCCGCATCTTCAAGGATTACTCGTACTTGGTTACTGGCGCCATGGACGGTGCTAGCTTGTTGGCATTGTTCATCCTGTCCTTTGCAGTATTCGGTGCTGCCGGCAGTCCAAAGCCTTTCCCGTGAGTAATGGTCCGCTATCATGTGGATCACTTCGTGCTGACGATGCGGCAGATCTTGGTTTGGCAATAATGTCAACGGAAACTATGACCACTGCCCCGTGACAGACTAGATGAGAGCAAAATTTAAAATTAATGCTATCGGGAGAACAGGAAGAAGGGATTCGAAAGGTATCTGAGTATTGCTTCGACGTGATGTTGAGCTCTCTATCGGAACATGATAGAATAACTGCCGTTCTTCAATACTAGATATTGTTCACTTGTCACCGGCGTGACAGCCATGTCGCTTCGGACGACATCAATCGAGGTCTTGAAGTTTTCTGGGATGAGAATGGAAGCTTGCGTTCCGATAGGAACCGAGAGGCTCAGAGCCACGCTCTCATCAGTCTGGCTGAACTTGACCTGAATCTTGCCATAAGGACAGTTAACATGACCCTCCACGTCTTTGAATTCTGAATCATAAGGTGGCTCGATTCTGAACGTCTTGTACGCGTCCTCATCGGGTCTGATCCCCAGGATACCAGCATAAAACCATTCATGTATCGTGCAAAACAAGTCATGACTCTTGGATCTACATTCGTCTTGCCAGAATTCAAGGAAAGTGGTTTCTCCTCTGCGTAGGAAACGCATGTAGCTGGGGTGTTCTTCTTGTCTTGCCATCGCTAGAACAATGTCGGGGCGGTGCAGATCTACGAGGGTTTCGAAGATGCATTTGAGTCCAAGTTCGCCCGAACGGATGCGGTTGTCGCTCACGCTGGCGAGAAAGGCGCGCTGAACAGAAGCAATGTGCTGCATAGGTACCATGTTGGATTGTAGAGCGTAGGCTTGAGCGACAGCTTGGCAATCCCTTTGACCAATGTTGTCACGAGAGGTGTAGTAAACGTATGGCACATTCTCGTCATCAGTAACAAGAAGCTCTCGATTGTAGACTTCGAGGACACGTGCGGCCCAAGTTCCATACTTTTCAGCTTCTGAAATGTGGCCGAGGTGTTTGGCCATCATTGCAGTATTTTGCAGGCACTTGTAGTAGTATGCTGATTCAATGTTGGCTTGCAGATTACCCCAGGCAATATCACGACCCCAGTCTCCTAGACCATGTTCGATTAGGCCTCCAAGTCGTTCTTTGGTCTTCATGTAATCCATATATCGCACAGCGGCGGGATAGACTTGTGGTATAACCCATGTGGAGCCGTAATACTTCACAAGTAGCTCAGGCAGCAAGCAAACAGCCCCACCCCATGATATTGTGTCGTGTAGAGGGCCACACATATATCTGATCTCTGGTGCCATGGTGGGCACAAGGCCGCTTGGCTCTTGAGCGTCGATCATGTCATAGATGATTTTTGTGTATAGGGCTTCCATTCCGAAGATGTATTGCGAAGCAGGAGCAAGCAAGTGTGTCACTTCGAGCCATCCAAACTTCTCGATCTGCGGACAGTCGGTGTGGTAACTGAATATGTTGCTCGACAGTGACCAATGCGATGCCTTGATCAATGCGTTGACGTCGTCCTTGTCTGTCTTCATTGACCCCACGCGTGTAGATGCAGAGGATATGTGTCTCGCATACAGAGAGCGAACAACGGGAAGTCCTTGTCCTTCTTCCATTGCGACACCCTCAAGCTGAATGTAGCGAGCAGCAGTGAACGAGAAGTCAGGTCGCCAATCTTCAGGTGCGCCAGTTCCAGCCAAGTAGATCTTGGAATAGACCTTGGTCTCGAAGTCCTTGAACAATGGATCGGGCATCAGAACTGTTCCGTCAGCATTTGCTGTTTCAGAGTAGCGAACAATGATCTCAGAGCCAGCTGGTCCTTCCACAGACAGATGAAGCATGATTGAAGCATTTTGTCCAAGGTCGAAGCAGACAACACCGGGACGAGAACTTGAAATCAATTTGGGCTCAAGTTTGTCATGCAGGACAACAGGAGGCTGATTCTGATAGCGTAGCAGTCCGCGAGGTCCGGTCAAGGGCTTTGCGAAGGTCCACTCGCTTTCGTCGAAGCCTGTGGATGTCCAACTGGTGGGATATAGACGTTTGTCATGCGTTTCGGAAGCATAAATGTTAGCAAGCGTGGTCGCACTCTTGCGGACCTTCCATGAGGGATCGGTGTGTATGATATCGTGGGTGCCATCATCGTAGAACAAGTGAAGCTCAGCAAAGAAGCACAACTCGTTGCCATAGCGAACATAAGTATTGTCTTCGTACATTGGCCAGAAGAACCTGTCTTCTTCTGTGCCGCTACCGGCATAGAAACCATTGCCCAGATGCGCTGCGAGGACATTTTCTCCGGCTGTCATATGAGCTGTCAAGTCGTAGCCGACGTATTGTACCGTGCGATGGTAATTTGACCCTACAGAGATTCAGTGTGACACAACATGCAGATGTATGATCAGACTTACATCCAGGATCAATGACATGGTCAGAGGCAGGCTGTCCGTTCACGTGTAGATCAAAGTGTCCAAGACCTGAAGCGAGAGCTATAGCTTTGGATGGTTTGCGAGCCAAGCTGAAGCCCCTGCGAAGGTACAGTGGCTTATCACCACCATTACCTATCCAGACAGCTTTCCACTTGTTCTCGAAATCTTCAAACCATGTTCGAAAGATCAGACTGGAATGAGGCATATATTTCTGGTTCATAGAGTAGGGCGGCAGCAGCTGAGAGCGTGGGTATGCGGTGAAGAAGGTCTGTACCTCTGAGTGAGTAGCGACGTCGTTACGGTCCCACACTGTGACTCTCCAGTAGTAAGTGCATGTTGAGCGAAATCCACCACTAGGTCTGCAGAGGACATTCCGCTGCTGGTCAGTCCAGACTCTGCCAGAATCAAAGGCGGCATGGAAATCCGAAGCTATTTCAGCTGCTATTCCCTGTTCTGAGTCGGAGATAACAACTCGATATGCATTTTGCTCAGCAAATTCAGCGCTTTCCAAAACCCAAAATACACGTATCTCATCGACATCGAGACCAATGGTCTCGTGAAACCCGTGAATGCCACAGCTTGCGACTTTCATGATGTCCGAAAATGACTGCCGGAACGTGGGGGAATCGCCAGGATGCGATGGGGGCAAGAGTCGCGGATCAAAAGTTTCCTTCTCACTCCGCATGCCGTCTTCTGTATGTTAAGGTATGCTGTTTGGTTATGATGCTCGGCTGTTGCGGTTCGAAGATATGCCGATAGGGAACAAAAATTGGGTTCATCTCGCGCGAGATGCAGCGAACCGGTCGTTAGTCGCAAACTTCGCAAGAGATGCCCCGACGCTTTGTCCTTTTCAAGACGCGCTTCTAGGGCACATATTCAACGCTAGATCTTTCTTGGCGATACATCTAGGAGACTATACCTTCTCCACGCAATCCAGACAACTCAGACTCCTGCCGAGTCAACTCTAACGTATCTGCATGGAGTAGATTCCCACAACCCTCATATTCTTTGCCCTATTCTTCCACCACCACATGATCAAGCTGAGATGGTCTGACTCCAGATCTCCACCTCTTTGCTCTTTCCCCATTCCCCGTGGCACCCAACTGTGGGGAATGGGGTTGGGTTACCAAGCATGTATATTTAAGTCTCTGCAGATCCTCCCATGCATCAGATCATTCCCCAGCATATCCTCTGCCAGACCTCTATCAATCATGGGCAAAGCGACAGTCATCTTGTCAAGTTCCTTTCTCGCCATCGGAGGCTTCCTCTTTGGTTATGACTCTGGTATCATCGGAGGAGTCATTTCCTTTGACACATTCAAGGACTATTTCCACAATCCGGATAGCACAACCACTGGTGCCATTGTCTCAACCTTCCAGGGTGGTGCTGTCTTAGGAACCATCATCAACATGATCTTTGCCGATCGTCTAGGACGCAAGCGAACCATCGCTGCAGGTTCGATTGTGTCCTTGCTTGGGTGCATTCTTCAAGCTGCAGCTGTCAATATGGCTATGCTTATGGCTGGAAGGTAAGACATTTAGAGATAGAAGGAGTTCAACCTTACTGACTCGCCCTTCAAGATTCATCGCAGGCGCCGCTGTCGGTATGCTCACATCTACCATTCCTATGTATGCTGCCGAGATCTCTGAGTCCCGATTCAGAGGTGCACTCTCGGGAGCTCTTCAGTGGTTCTTATCTTGGGGTTTCTTTGTTGCTCAGTGGCTGGGATACGGATGTCAGCACGTCAAGGGGCCTTTCTCATGTGAGTCAAGCAGGTATATTTCGTGTTGGTCCGTCTGACATCAACCAGGGCGCTTCCCTCTTGCGTTCCAGTGCATTCCCGCCGCCATTCTTGTTGTTGGTATCTGGTTCCTGCAAGAAAGTCCTCGCTGGCTCTGCGAAAAAGATAGATATGATGAAGCCAGAGCAGTTCTCCAGAAGCTACATCACGACGGAACCGCAGAGACAGACCAACGCATCGAATTAGAGTTCCGTGAGATCAGGGATGTCATCGAGGCCGATCGTATCAATAACTCAACGTCCATCAGCACGATCTTCACCAAGCCGAGCTGGCGTAAGCGTCTTCTACTCGGTTGTGGTGTTCAAGCTTTTGGACCTCTTAGTGGCATCAACGTTATCAACTACTACGGTATGTCTGTTCCACATATGTAGCCTGACATGGATGACTGATATTGTCCTCGAAGGTCCGGAGATTTACAAGATCCTTGGTATCAGCAACTCAACTTCGCTCATGATCATCGGTATCAGTGGCTCGCTGTCCATCGTCTACTGCAGCATCGGCCTATGGGCACTGGAGCGATTCGGTCGTGTGAAGCCCCTCATAATATCTGCCTTTGGTCTTGGAGCCGCACTGGTTTGCAATGCCGCCATGTCTCAACACCTTGACCCTACCAACGGAAACATGCTTCGTGCCATGGTAGCTATGAACTTTGTCTTCTCACTCTTCTACACTCCTCTGGGTATCATCTCTTGGGTATACCCCGCGGAGATTTTCCCTGTCGAGGTCAGAGCTTTCGGAAATGCGACAACCACGTTCACGAATTGGACACTCAACCTCATCTTTGCTCAATTCACTCCTCAAGCACTGGACTCGATTGGTTTCCGCTACTTCTATGTCTTCTTTGCCTTCAACATGGTCGCTATGCTTTGCTACATCTTCTTCTATCCTGGTATGTTACAGCCAATCTTTGACGTTTTCTAAACTCCTGCTGACGGCGCTTTACAGAAACCAAGGGTAAAACTCTCGAGCAGATGGATGAGCTGTTCGGCGATCAGTTGGTGCCCCACGCTTTGGAAGACCCCAAGGGCGCCGCTATTGCTATGGAGAAGAACAATGTTCAGATTGTTGAGGATGTTGCAAAGTACTGAGTTCCTATTGGTTGTTGATTGACGATGAGGGCGCAGCATGTCAGAAACCCACAAGAGTATACGGTAGCAGACGTAAGAGACTTCTGCTGTAAGAAAGCCTGCTATCATCTACTCTGCTCTTCAGTGTGGCGGCCTGACGGAGCCAAGCCCATCACTAACAAGGGGTGTAGACAAGGAGCTAGCCGGAGCTAAGTCCGCAAAGCGCCAGGGTCATAGCGGAGTCAAAGTTCTTGGTACTATAATTGCCAAAGGAACTCGATTTTTTAGACTACTAGCGCACGGCACGATTATATACCAAATCCGCTAAGTAATAGCTTACTCCGGCTTTACAATAACATCCTCCCCTACTTAGACTAAAGCACCTACTTTAGTATTGTCGCTAGTATTAATAAAAATTAATAATATAAAGGAAACAATTAGTTAGACTTTAGAGAAGCCTTAGTTACATAGCTTATTATAGCTATAGGCAACTTTTCTATCTATAACTCTAATAGTAGTTAGGAAATCTGCTTCTATCGGTTATAACCTACTATTAGAATCTTCTTTCCTACTATAATATCTATTACATCTTCCTATGTCTCTTCTAATTTCTTAATCCTCCTTTATTATATTTATTATATCTAATTTTACTTAGCTAGGTAGTAGCCTTAGCGCTAGTAACTTCTATAACGATCTTAGATCGTTTTTTATATACTCTTTCCTTATAATAATAGCATGCTCTAACTTCTTACCTACTAGTATTATAAAAAGCATGCTTTAAGTTTCTTACTTCTTAATTTTACGCCTTAGTTACCTATAACTCCGAGTTATAGTTACTAGCTTATAAAATTCTAGGTATAAAACCATCCCTCCTATCTAGCTTAAACCTTCTCTATAATATTAATATCTAACTTAATTAAGCTTTTTAAACTTGCTTAAGTACTTCTAGTTCTTCTTTCTTCTTTAATAGTTATATATTATACTACCTCCTACATACTATTCTTCTTCTTTATTAGTTATAGTAATATCTTATTACTTATATACTAATCTTCTCTTTCTTATTACCTATAACTTGCTTCTACTACGCGTACGCTTTATAATAGCTTTTCTATACTCTTTATATTACTTTCCTTATATTCTATAATAATATTAGTATCTATTATGCACCCTACTACTAGTTCTCTTACTAGAACTAGTAAGTATAGCGATAATAGTAGTAGTAAGCCTCCTTATAAGCCTTTAGGTAAGGGTAGTCCTAAGAGATACTATACTATAAAGAAGGACTTAGACGATGCTTATAAGTAAATCTTCTAACTTTTATAACCTTGTTATAGCCTTTTCTAACTTCTATAATAGGCAAAAAGTCGCGTAAACTAGATCTCTACTTTGCTATTTAGGCTCTCTTATCTACTCTAGCCCTAGCTAATATAGGTAAACGCTATAACCTTAGAGTTATAGCTAAAAACTTCCTAGATTATAATAACCGTTAACTTCTAGAGCCTATTTACAAGCTAGTCTTTAGACCTAAGAAGTTAGATACATATAAAACTACTAGTGCTTATGCCTTAATATCCTTCCTTAGTTATCTTTCTTATAGCAAAACCGTTAACTCTAGAAACGATGCCTACTATAACTATAAGAAAGGTTCTAGTTGCTTTACTAACTATATTACTATTAATAGTCCTAATAGAGAACTCTTTTCTAGAGCTTATACTAACTATACCTTCTCTAACTACTATAAGAACTGCTCCTACTATAGTAGTAAAGCACTTAGTCCTTTAAGAGCCCCTATTATAACTTCTTCTATAACTTTTAAGCCTAGACGTCGTTAAGAGGTTTAGGTTATTATTTTGCCTATTCCTCGTTAGGTTATAACTAACTATCGTCGTATTATAAGCTTAAGTGTAACTCCTTCTTTAGTTATAGAATTAATAGGTAGTCTAAATCTAGGTTCTCCTATTTGTGTAAGTCTATCTCTAGCTACTCCTAGACCTATAACACTAAGTTATACTCGCGGTAGCTCGGCTTCTATTATTAGTTCTCCTCTCGTGCCTATAAGTCCTAAGCATATAACTATAGCTTAGTTTAGAGCTACTACTCCTTTACGCTAGGCTAACTACATTATCGATAGCATTAGCGGTTAGCGTAAAAGTTTTAATACTGCTCCTACCTAGTCCTCTAGAAACATTAGAGTTTAATTTAAGATGTTAGTTAACCTAGCCTATAGATTAACTACTACTCGTCGCCTTTAGATCTATAATGCTATCTATAAGTAAGACTATAAGTTCTTTAATAAGGGTTCTATAAGTCCTTATAACTTTCTTACTCTAACTCCTTATAGATAGGTAGCTCTAGGCGCAAACTCTATGCGTGCTTATGCTCTATACTATCTCTAGATAGAGTACATCGCCCTTTAAAAGGCTCGCTATAGCCGTAGCTCTAGTAGTTCTTTAGAGTAATTATTATAGAAGGGTTTTAAATTAAGGATATAGTTATAGAGGTGTAACTATGATTTTAGTTAACTTTTAGGGTTTTTCCTTTATTATAAAGAGGTTTTTATAATCTTTTTAAGGTAGCAAAATGTTACTAACCTTCTTTTCTTTTTAATTTATACTAATAGTTAGGCCTTCTACCTTATTATAGACAACTAGTAGCTAAAAGTAGCTTATAATTAACATTTCCTTATTTAATTTACGTTCTAAACTTCTTTATAGAAGTTCTTCTTATATATAAGGAATACTAGTTCTTCTTAGTAGCCTTAGAGGCCTTTAAGACGTCTATTATAGTAGTTATAATTAGTACTAAGTCCTTTTCTATGTTTATAGACTCTATTATAGCAGTTTTCTACTACTAGCGGTAGCTAAATTTATCTCTTAGCTTATTACCGTCTTTAATTTTCTTTTATAATACCTCTTCTTAGTATTACTTATGCCGCTTATTTACCTTTATAAGGGCTTCTTAGATAGTAAGCTCTACTAGAGCTATCTAAGCGTCCTCTTAGCTTTTAGACTTCCTAGTAGCTTTTAGTCTTCTTAACTTATAGACGCTATAAAAGATTTCGAGGTCTTCGACCTTAGTTATAGTCCTTATAACCTTTTCTTCCTCCCTTACTAGGAATCTTCGTGCACCTAGATAATAATTAGATCCTAAGGCGAAGTTCTATAGTCTTCTTTACTTAGCTTCTAATAAAGTAGACTAAGTCTTAACATTAGGGATTATTAATTCTTCGCTATCTAGTACATTAAGCACTAATAAACTAGTTAGTTTAACCTATAACTTCTCTACTAATAGATTTAGATAGTTCTAAAAGCTTATTACACTTATGTAATTAGCTTTTATAAGCCGATTACTATAAGTTAAATGCCGTAACACTCTTCCTTTAAGAGTTTATAAGGTATACGTACTTAACTAATGCGCCTTTAGGATTTTATAAGGCCTAGTCTATTTTAGAATAAGTTTAGTTAGTTTTAGGTTCTATAATAAGACCTACTTGTTCTCCTTAAAAGTAGGTCTAGTATGCTTCTTAAGTATTTAAGAGTTAATAAGCTTTACATAGATCGCTCGTTATAAGAGCTTCTTATTTATAAGGTGCCTTACATGTTTTATAACTATAAGTCTCCTCTCGTAATCTATAATAGCAATATTAAGCGGTCGAGGCTAGTTTTTATCCTTAGGAATACGTAGATAATAGCTATATAGTAGATAATATAGGCTAAAACCTATGCTAGAAGGCATGCGAGTTCTATAATAGAAGACTACTTCTAGTAAGAAGTCTTTCTATATCGTAACTTTGTTTTTAACGCATATTCTAGTTAGAATAGACCTAAGGATACTATTAAGGTTCTTATTCTTACTATTTATACGTAGGTAATAAGGGGTAGATAATTAATGCCTTATCTTAAGTTTATTATAAAGATGTTATAATACTCTAGACACGAAATTAGTACTATTATCTAATAGAATTTCCCTTAGTGATCTATATACGTAATAGATTTCCTTATATATAAATTTAGTAGTAGTTTTATTATTTGTAGATATAACTACTTTTATAATAGGCTAATTTGTTACATAATCGATAGTAGTAAGCACATATTACTTTCTACTAAGAGAAAGAAGTATAGGGCTAACAACGTCTAGTGCCTAGCGTTTAAATGGTTATAACTCTATATTAATTTAATAGAAGCGTGTCTTATTCTCCTTACTACTCTTTTTCTAAGTAATCTAACAAATAGGATAGTACCTACTAAAGTACTAAATGTCCTTTTTAATAGAAGGCTACTATGCTCTAGACTCTATATGTCTAAGTAAGCTAAAGGAGCTAAAATGGCTATAGTTACGATGTATATAATCTAAGAAATCTACACGGAATTCTGGTATAAGATATAGTATAACTCCCTTATTATCTAGCAGAATATATTATAACTCTAGTATTCTATTATTGTTAATAACTACGTAGTTAATTGCTTTTTCTTATACTAGCTTTTATAAGTGCTCTTCTTACGAAAGAGTACCTAATAGTTAAAAGGCAATTATTGCTTCTACAAAGTTAGTTTCTTTGTCCGCTTAGAAACGTATAGCATTAATACGTTCTATAACATTTATAGGAGTATCTTCTATAAAATTAGGGCGCCGTAATATAGCATTAAGGATAATAGCTTCTAATCCTTTCCTATATCGAATCTCGATATTATACTTAGAAAACTCCTTAAACTATCTTATAACTCGCTTGCTTAAGGTTTTTATAGTTTGCAAGTACTTTAGACTTTTATAATTAGTTAGAATAACTATCTTATGTCCGTTTTAAATGTATATAGTCTATATGCGTAATGCTTCTTTAATTATAAGTCCTTCCTTCTTATAAATAGGATAATTTAGTTCTATAGCTTTTAATTTACGTCTACTAAATGCAATAGGATATAACTTGTTATCCTCGCTATTTTAGTATAGAATAGATCCTATTACCTACTTTAAAGCGTTAGTTTTAATCTAAAAAGGCTTTAAAGTGTTAGGTATAACTAGAA